TCAGATAACAAGGAACTTCGGTTAATCAAAATTTGGATAATCGGGGCTCTACTGTATGTGTACTTTCTTTCGAGTACTAGTTGATTGAAAATTATTTAACAACTGATTTGAACGAAGGAGGATATGGATAAAATGTTCTGAATATATTCCATCCTAATATGCAGCCTTTAAAATTATTAGATTACTTTTTTTCTCTAATATTTATATACTCTTCAAAAAAGAAAAAGGTGTGTTTCATCCCTGGAATGAAAAAGGTTATAATTTATTTAAAAATGTTTTTAGAAAATTTCATATACGTCCTTTGTCAGAAAAGTTTCAAGACAGTTTTTTTAATTTCTGAGTTTTCATACTAAAAAGGAACGAATGTTCAGAGTTGCCAACTCTCCCGATTTAGGCGGGAGACTCCTGATTTTCGACCGCTCTCCTGCCAACCCGATTTACAATATATTTCTCCAGACTTTTTCCTATTCTTAAAATTTTTACGATTTTTATGGAACTTGGCTTAATACTTTGTTATATGAACAAAAAAAAAAAAAAAAAAAAAAAAAGTGATTTTGGATGTCTGAAAGCAATTGAATTTTCTCTAGATTATATCTAAACAAAACTTTGCGATCAATAACTTATTTCTCCAATACCATTGCGCTCCCTGCATTTCAGTTGGCATATATTAGCCATGAGGACAAACAAGCTGTTATTTGGGTTTCTTTTTATTTCGTTCATTTTGTCCTGAGTTGTGTGAGTACACTGCCTTCAAGAAATAGTTTTTAGAAATTATCATCTTTGTTATGTCTGCGAGAAGGTGAAATACTCGTGTACGTTTCAAAAATCGTACACGTTGACTTTCCTTCTGTTATTTCCTCAAGGAAATGTAATAAATTTGCGATGTGACCCTGTTGTTGCAATTTTCGATTTCGCATGTGGAGGGCGATGTTCTCAAACATGTGCGTACACAAAACACAAGACAACATGAGTTGTTTTTGAAAAAAACAAATTAAATTTTTCTTTGGAAACAAAGGACCAAAAGTTATTAATGCAGAATGTCTGTTCTCTGCCTTTTTACTGGACCACCCTGCCACTGAATCATCGGATCACGCTGCAGCTTTATTTAGAAAAATGTTTCTCGATAGTGAAATCGGTAAGAAATACTCAAGTACAAGAACCAAAACAGGTGTAATTGTTTTGAAAAATAAATCTTCAGTTATTGATTGTATTAAAACAGCTCCGTTCTGCCTCTCTACGGATGGAAACAATAATACCAATTCAAAACTGTATCCAATTGTTGTTTAGTTTGTTTTCAGTAAAGTTTAATTGGAAACTGAATGGTGCTGATGGAATTTTAAAATATAGTGAACTAGAATTATGTTGGCCATCTTGACAGTTCCCCATAGTTAATGCAGAGTGTGAGAGGATTTTCAATGTTGCGAAACCGAGGACTAAATTTAGATCTAATATTAGTGATGACACATTAGAAAAACTTTTATTAGCAAAAGCAGGCCTACGTGGCAGTTGCTGTGAACAAAATTATGAAGTTTCTTTCTTAAAGAAAGCAAAATCTGCCACTGTTTATAACATTTGTACGAAAACTGATTAAAGTGCCCCTTTTTTTTTTTTTTTTTTTTTGTTTTCTTAAATGATGCAAGTAATAAAAATGTTTTTTATGTGTAAGGTATTTGTGTGGTTGCTTGCATTTAAGAATTAGTTACTATTTAAAGTTAATTCATTATTAAAAACTATATTTTTATCATTTAAAAAGTCTTTTTAACATTGTGAAAAATCTCCTGATTTCTTAAAAAAATCTCCTGATTTTTGAGTGTCATAGGTTGGCCAGTATGAATGCTGTTTTTATGTTGCTATGTATTCTTACTTGTTGTTAACCATGTTTCCACCCAAATTTACTAGGTAACAAGGAAAACAAAAGTTAAAAAGGAACAAATTTTGTTTTTATGTTACCTGGTATGTATTCTTAATTGACATGACCTTAGCCGTATTTCCGCACAAACTTACTATGTGGCAGGACTGTGCTTCGGAATGCACTGTTTGAATTGTTGTCGCATTTGTTAAGTCGACACAATGGATGCTGATTGTGAGCAAAGAGTAAACATTAAGTTCTGTGTTAAGCTTGGAGAAACCCCTAGTGAAATGTGGAACATCATTAAACAAGCATATGCAGGTGAAGCTCTTTCAAGAAATCGTGTTTTTGAGTGGCACAAAAGGTTTCGTAAAGGCCGAGATTCAGTGTAAGACGATCCCAGAGCCGATACCGATTCATGGAGCATGTAAGGCAGTTATTGCAAGAAGACTGTCGTGTAACTGTGCATATGATATCAAAAGAACTGAATTTAAATCATGATGTTTGTCTTAGATTTTATAAATCGTGATGTTTGTTGTAAGATTTTATGTGAAGATTTAGGGAGATGGAAACTTAATGCAAGATCTAGTCCCTCACTCACAAACTAATTCCTCACTCACTAACAGATGGACAGAAAGAGGAAAGACGAAGAATTTCAGCTGAACTATTGGACAGAGCCAGATGTGATTCCATATTTGTGAGAAAGCTTATTGTGATTTTTTGTTTCCATGAATGAAAAGGTGATTGAAAGGAAAGCTGCATCAAGGTTATTGCAGACATCCAACGGGCTGTGGCAAATGAACTTGCAAGTATTGCAGTTGAAGATTTTTCTGCTTGTTTTTAAGATCTCCAGAAATGTTGGCAGTTGTGTTGATAGCCAAGGGGGACTACTTTATAGCGGCTAGGATCATTACTTGGTAAATGCAATTTTCTATTTTTTAAGGACCTTTCTCCTGGAACTTTTCTGACAAAGAATGTAGAATTAAACTGAGTGTTCACATATTCTGTGTACTTAAAAAATCTGTTTCACATTTTTATGTTAGAGCTTTGTTAAAAGATAAACAGTATGTTATGGGATTAGTGTGAAGCACCAAACTTTGTGCAAATAAAGAAAAGTATTTTATTATGTGCATATTAATTTACTATGAAGTCTTCAATAAATTTCAACCTACAACTTTCATTTTCATGAGCATTCAAAAACATGATGCTCAGTTTGCCACTGTGGAACATCAGTTTTGTTACTTTAATTTCTTTCTTCCATCTCGCTGATTGATTATCCACATACCTTAATACCATAGAGGTACATGTTCCTCGACACAGTGTGCCCATAAAAGTCTTCATGTTACTTTTATTTTCACTGCTATTGGTCACAGACATATACTTCTAATTACAGAAATATTTTAAACGAGGCATGTTTATATTTTGCCATTTAGAAATTAAAAAATCAGTTTCAGAAAAATTAAAATATCTTAACATTTTATATAGTCTTCTGGAACTTATAGTTATATTTATTGAAAATTTATAATCATTCTAAGAAACATAAACATAAACATTTGTCCTCCCATACAACAAAAATTGCCTGAGATATTAAACTTTAAATGCCTGAGATCATGCTTTCTGAAAGACAGACGTTCACAAATTGAAGAGCAAGATATTTAAATTTGTACATAACTAAAAATGAAATATCAGTTTAGAAATAGTTTTTGATACTCTTAGATTAAGAGATATTAGGAAAAGTTTTGATCAAAACAAATTCTTTTAAAAAAAGGAAATCTTATTTACAGAATTATATGTTATTTGTGTTCTAGAAAACATTGGCAAACTTCAGCATTGGCAAATAACTAACTTTTGTCATTATTTGCGTAAATAAAGAAAAATATTTCTAACCCAATTATTATTATAATTATTATTTATTGTACGACTATGAGATTAAACTGTATGTGGTTATAATCAACATGTTTTTAGCATTTGGAAGTTTATTAATTACTTGTGTCAAAATTCTTTTGGTATAACATATATAACAAAAGTAACAGTAAATTATTAAGAAATATCATTGAATGACATTAAATGGAAAGAAAATCAGCCTTGAATTATCTTAATTTGTTTCCTAATGTACCTTTCAAGGACAGTAATATAGATATATTTTTGGCTGTGTAGCATCTAAAAGTCTCTCAAATTTTGAAATTAAATATCTCGGTCAATTTTTGTCATTAGAAGGTCAAACACTTTAATTTTACTTTTAGAATGTGCTAAATATAACTTATATGTACTTTAGAATTGCATAAAAAGTTAAGATTCTGTGATTTTTACAAAATTGATTTTAATTTAAAAATACCATAGTATTTATATTATTTAAAACATTTTTGTGACTAGAAATAGATATCTGCAATCCACAATTGCAATAATAAAGGTCATATAAGACTTTAGAGCCATGAATATGTTAAAATACCGTCAGAGAATTAATTGGTGGATTAATTAATCATGTCAAATGATGTTTTTTCTAATTTGTAAAATCTTCCTATTGTTTCAAATTTAGTCTTAAAAACACAGCTAACAATTCTAAATTGTGTATTAATAATTTCAAGTCTTATTCAATTAAATTTTTTTCTGTGTTGAAATACTGTTATGATTAAAAAAAAGAGAAGAGAAACGGGCCAAAGTGAAACAGAAAATTAACAAAGCAACAACCTTGTGTTTGACCATTATAATTTTCACTTTGGATCTGAAAAATTATTCAAGAAGCTTCTATTGGTGAATTGCATATTCTTGAAGCTTTTCGCATTGGCAAAGATTTATCTCATTTAGTTAATGGTTTTAAGTCCAGTCCAGTCCTTCTTAAAGCTTTTAAAATTCTGTTAGTTTAATTTTTCAATTTTCATTAATTAAATTAATTTTGCCGGCAGAGGGTGCTCTCTTCTCATTTGCTTTACTGCTGTAGAGTATGAATATGATGGTTACGCCTACTGCTTTTCAGTCTTGCAGATTTCTTTGCTCCTGATGAAGCGAGGTCTGTAATCTGTTACCTTTGAAATTGATCGAGTTTTTGGCTAAATCTATGCCAAACACAAGATTGTTGCTAAGCTAATTTTTACTATTATAATTTATTTTATCACATAGATATGTGTAACTAATTTTATGTTTGGTTTTCAGGAAAGCCTGAATGTATTAGGTGCTGTCCTTTGCTATAGTCATCTCCCTAGTTATGTTTTGCAATGTTTTATTAGTACACTGTGCCTCACAGTAAATGTTGAAAAATTCTCCCAGTGCAGTTGGAAGGTATGTTATTATTATTCGTAAGTTCTGTTTTTATTTTGGAAATAATTATATTGCTCAAATAGCATTGTTATAATCATCTACTAAGATTCAGAATAATTGTCTCTGATAGCATCAGTTGCAGTCAGACACGATTGTAGTGATTGAATAAGATACTGGATGGATCTGATAGGTATTTTTGAGCCATGCAGATTACATTGCATGTGACAGTTGCTGACATTTGCAGAGGGTGTTTATGTATATTTAAAATGATTTGGACTAAGAATTAAAAGAAAAAAATTAGAATAAAAATTTCTGCCAAGAGCTTATTATTTGAAATGTTATCATCTGCTACTATTAAATTTATTCTTCTTTCAAAATATCGCATGTAAACAAGATATGGATTGAAGGATATGTTTTTGCACTTTCTTGAAGAGAAATATTCCTATTCCATACTTAAAAAATGTTGGGAAATGCATGATATTAAAATTTCTAAGTGCAAAATAAGCAAAATCATTAATCCAAAAAGAAAAAAACCATCATCATTACTTCTGAATGAAAAGAAGACTCCAAACATATACCCAAAAAGGTATGTACAGTAAGACCCCGCTTAACGCGGGGGATACGTTCCATCGAAGTAGAGCGTAATGCGAAACAGCACTAAGTGAGGCTATCTTAACATGTAAATAATGGGGTTAGGAGAAGACGGATAAAAAATGGTTAGGCATTAAATTTAATAATGTTTTTTTTAATAAAAATAAAATCAAACACTTATTTCTTACAAAAATAAAAACAATATAAACGCATATACTTTTAAAAACAAATAAAATTCTCAGTCAGATCATTCAGTCTATTCTGGGTTTCCAATTTTCTGCCTTTTTGTTAAGAAGGCATTATGATAGATTGGCTTAATGGCATATTGCGTTCAATTTCGTCGTCAATCCATATAGACAGTCGTTTTTTTCCATTTCCTCTATAATGTTATTTCTAGAACGGGTAATTCTAGTTGCAGAGCTTGACGTAGTTGCAGTTGCCGATGACAATATTTTTTCTTTATTCTTAAGAATTGTCCTTATTGTTGAAGTTGCCAAAATCAATGCAGCACTAATTTGAGATTGACGTTCACCAGAATCTAATCTTCTAATCACTTGCATTTGAGTTTCCAGTGAAATGCTTTTTCTGGTTGCTTTCTTTTCTTGTTTTTTATTATCACTCATGATAAAAACTAAAAATCATAATATTTGTCACTGTATTAATCGTTATAGTATTATACAAATTTAAACTTACAATAATGTCAACAAATGTTTCAAATGATAAAAATGCGTCCCAAGCAAGAAACACAACTATACTGTTTCGGATATGTTATTTGGAAACCTAGCGCTGCGCACAATTTCGGAGAATCCCCGGGTTGAAATAAAAGAGCGCTAAACCGAAACAGCGTTAAGCGGGGTCTTACTGTACTGTGTCTAATGTTTGTAAAGTAGTGGGTTGCAAGAGGAAATCTGCCAACATAGAAATCAACTGCAAAGGTTTTAAATACATCTTAGCAACAATAAATAAAACAGTAAACTAGGATTTACAACTTGGACAATCTAAAAAAATAATATTGAGCAGATTTTATAGAGGCATGTGGCTTTGCGCAGAACAAACTGTAGAACCCAGTGTGAAAACTGTTTAGCAGGAGATAAATGGAAATACATTGTGACCCATGATGAAATATAGGTTTTTCTAAATTACTACAAGAAAAGATCTATCTAATATTGAAAACAAAGAGAAAAAAGTGTACGAACCTAGTTCTGCCAATGCAAATAAAGTTTCAGTTAGGGGCTTATGGTTGTCACAGGATTCTCTTACAATGAGAAATTAGAAATAAGAACGGGAGGGGAGGAAAGTTAAAATCAACTCAATGTACGACCAAGAGATAAATAGAAAAAAAAGTTTAAATTAATCTACTATCAAGAGATAGTTTTATGTCTGATATTTACAGAAGAAATTCCATTCTTTTATTCCAATGACTTTCAAAGAGTGGAACTTCATCGAGAGAATGTCCGTCATACTTCGAAAAATATGACTTTGCATCTACTATATATATAGTATAAGATATATGACTATATCTTATACTATATATATAGTAGATACTTTCGAAAAGTACTACTGCATTCTTTGAAAAAATGATGACTGATACAAGTATTATATATATATATATATATATATATATCTTTTTAACATATTCCTGCAAAGTCCTCTGATGTATATATATATATCAGAGGGTGTATGTATACCCTCTGATATATACACTGACTACCAATAAGTATGTGGACACCTGTGATAGAAAAGAAAAACTAACTTTAATCAAAATTAAAAGTTGGTAGAGCCTCCACGAGAGGTAATTACAGCGTGGACCCTCCGGGGCATACTTTTACATATATATAGTAGATGCAAAGTCTTTGTATGACAGCTAGTGGTATTTTCTTCCACTCTGCTTGGAGAAGACATAGAAGTTCCTTCACCGATTTTGCACGGGTAGTGCACCCCTGAATTCGGCGATGCAACTCGTCCCAGAGGTTTTCGATAGGGTTCAGGTCTGGACTTTGGGCAGGCCAGTCCATTCAATGAACTCCATTGGCACCATACCAAGCCTTGGTTAAAATCGAAACATGACAACTGGCATTGTCGTCCTGAAAGTAACAGGGGTCCAACCCGTAAAACTGCCACAACGTAGGAAGCACATTGTCATTCAAAATAGTGCAGTAGGCATCGGAGTTGCGCCTACCATGACTGGGGACCAAGGGTCCCAGCCCATACCATGAGAAACACGCCCAGACCATAATACCACCTCCGCCGAACTTGACTGTTGGCGCAATGCATTCTGGCAGGAGACGTTCTCCAGGTAGACGCCAAACCCAGCCTCTGCCATCCAAACAGTAAAGTCCTTGATTCGTCACTCCAAAGAACCCGTTTCCACTGATCTACGGTCCAATTTCGATGTGCTTTGCACCACATTAACCGAGCAGCGCGGTTGGACTTTGTGATCAAAGGCTTATGGGCAGCAGCACGACCATGGAAACCAAGCAGATGTGCTTCTTTACGGATGGTATTCATTGAAACAATACTCCTGGATGCCTGTTGATATTCCTCATGGATGAGGGCCATCGGATGGGTGCGGTTCTTCCGAATTTCTCTGGACAGCACTTGTCAGTCTCTATCTCCCAGTTTCGTTGGTCTGCCGACTCGGGGCACATTCTGACAATTACTGCTCACCTTCCACTTCTTAATCACATAGGCCACTGCCGATTTTGGGTACTTCAGATAGCTAGATATGTGCCTTAAGGATCGGCCACATTTGTGATACCCGATAATTATACCTTTCTCGAAATCATAGAGCTCCGAACTGCGAGGCATCTTGCATGCAACTAAAGCCGATGCTGTTTCCTACACGATATACATAGCAACGGAGTCTGTGACGTACCTTAGGACCGCAGATATCGTCATTTGCATAGGTGTCCAAATACTTATTGGTAGTCAGTGTATATATACATCATATATATATATATATATATATATGATATTATATATATATATATATACCCTCTGATATGTATACATCATATATATATATATATATATATATATATATATACCCTCTGATATGTATACATCATATATATATATATATATATATATATACCCTCTGTTATATATACAACATATATATATATATATATATATATATATATATATATATATATCAGATGGGTCCAGTTTGTTTTGCTGACTCAGGGCCTCTCTATATATATCCTTTTAACATATTCCTGCAAAGTCCTCTGACATTTCATCTGGCATTTTCTCATCTTTTCACTGGACACAAGGTGAAAAATTGCAAATGTGTCTCTAAACTTGTTACATGGGCAAGCATCTGTACAAAGAAATTTTTCTGTTAATAAAGAAATTGAAAACTGACATTTTAAGATATCCATCTTAAATATATCTTATTATACCACAATGTATTTGAACACCCATGGAAATGCCCGTGTCTATGGTCTTGATATACGCACACCTTCTGTCATTAAATTTTGTGTAGGAACAACATTGGCATTAGTCACATGCAAGATGCCATGAAATGCAGAATTATCTGATTTCGAGGAAGGTGTAATAGTCAGGTATCACAAAAATGGTTGATTCTTAAGGGACATTTAGGAGCAAGCTGAATTACCCAAATATGACAGTGGCCTATGTGATTGAGAAGTGGAGGATGAGCGGTGATTGTCGGGATGGCCCTGAGTCAGCAAAACCCATTGGGAAAAGGGACTAATGAGTGCTGTTCTAGAGAAATTCGGAAGAACCACATCCAACCAATGGCCCACATACTCCAGGGGTTTCAAAAGGCAAATAGGATTGTTGTTTCTATGGATACCAACCATAATGAAGCACATCTGCTTAGTTCTCGTGATCGTGTGGTTGCCTTTGATCACAAAGTCCATCAGTGCTGCTCAGTTAATGTGGTGCAAAGCTTGTCAACAGTGAGCCATTGATCAGAGGAATAGGTTCTCTGGAGCAACAGATTAAAGTTAACTGTCTACTGTTTGGATGGCAGAGTCTGGGCTGGTGGTCTGCCTCTAGAAACCCCTGCCAGAATGCACTTTGCCCAGAGTAAAGTTCAGCGGAGTTGAAATTATGAACTGGGTGTGTTTCTTCTGGTATGGATTGAAACCTTGGTCCAAATTCATGGTAAATTCAATGTTTTGACTGTACTATTTTGGATGACAGTGTGCTTATGTTGTGGTAGTTTTATGGGCCAGGCCTATGTTACTTTCAAGATTACATTGCCAGCTGTCATGTTGCGAGGTCCACTGTGGATTAGTATGTTGACAATGGAATTAATCGAATGGACTGACCTGCCCAAAGCCAAGACCTGAACCCTCTCGAGAACCTCTGAGGTGAGATAGATCACTGAATTAAGAGTGCAACAACTATCTGATATTAGTGAAGGAATTTATGTGTCTTCTTCCAAGCCAAGTAAAAGAAAATACCAATAGCTGTCATACAAGGACTTAACGAAAGCATGCTCCGGAGGGTTGAGGCTGTATATTTGCCACTTGTGGGAGGCTCTATCAACTATTTGAAAATGAATAAATTTTGTTTTTCTTTTTCTATCGCAGGTGTCTAAGTACTTATTGGTAGACAGTGTATGTCTCACTGCACATTATAAATGGTAGGCAATCTCTTTAGGTCCTGAATTGTTCTCTATGAGTCCTGCCTAGTGTCTGTGTTAAATTCTAAAAAATTGGCTAATCCCTAATCTTAAAATTCTTTTCTCAGTGCTTCACTAACTTGTAAAATTCTGCCATAATGGCTCTGATGCCAGCCCTGACCTTATAATGTATATCATTTTACATTTATTATTAATACTCATATTATTAAAGAAAAAAAAGTGTGCAGTTTCCTCTATGCATTCTAAATACATGCACTTCTTTAGAATAGCAGAAGTCGTCAATTAAATCTGAAATTCTAAAATGAAGTGGAAGTTTATTGAGAAACGATTTGATTACATACAGAAAATTCATCTTCATATTATTGAAGCATTAACAAAATTAGTGGAAGAAGCAGAAATTTGTGGGAGCATTAATTTTTTTATTGAAACAAATAAACCTAGAAAAGATGCTAAAGAAAAAAAATGATGTATAGAAAATTTTCAAAGTAGAAAGATGCATAAATAGTTTGTTATAAGTTGTTGCTATGAAATATATATAGTTTGTAGATTTTTATGTGTAATTAATTATCCTAATATTATTTTAGAATCAATGTGCGGTTATGTCAAATACTAGATTATGTTTAATAATAATGTATCCTACTTAGAGATTTATTTTATTCTTAGAATGATATTACAAAAGTGAAGTTCGAGTATCGATAATTGTTCATTGAATTCCTTTTACTGATAGGTCCTTAATTTTTTTTTCATTTTTGGTCCTTAAAAGTTCTTAATTCCCATGTGCAGAAATTTTACGAAGCCTACAAAGGACTCGGGCTGTAATTTTATCACCGACAGCTTGTGTATGTCCAACACCAGTTGCTGGATGTTTGTTTTAAGTGATTGCATCCATGACATTCCATTTTTTAGGACTGAGTGTATAATTTATTATGGCAATCCACCCTTTTCCAATCGATACAAGTGTATTGGTGCTATTATTTTACAAACTGGAGCTTAATGAATCTTGTTGCCATCGTCAGTTTTATTCTCTTAAACACCCACAGTTTCATCTCACATCAGTTTTACCTCAATAATTCACCTTTCGCATTGCTAGTCTGTAAAGCTTCCAAGTTACTATATAGGATCATCAAAAAATTTTCATTCATCTACTTATCATATTCTTTAAACACAGTAGCCTATGAAGAGTTTTTAAACTCCACCATAATTATTAATTATATAGAACTAAAATTTAAATACTTTCTTTTGAATTTACCTGCTTTGAATATTTGGTGTTTGTTACTTTGTAACAACACTCGAAGCACCAAGGAAAGGCATTCGCCAGATTTAGGTAGGATACAAAATACATTAATGAATAAAGTTGTTTTAATGTTAGCAATGTTTAAAGGGAAAAAAGGGTACTTGAGATTATTTCTAAAAATGCAAATTCCTTCATAAAAAAGTTGCAATTTCTTTTTTCAAGGTAGTTATGAATCATCAATAGCCACTTATGAATGTGGTTTTATAAGAGACCAATTAGACCTTTTATTTCAGAATAGGAGATGTGAAAATCCTGCAGTACCCTTGCCAGGACTCGGAACTTTGGAAATTCCTATGCCACCAGGCATGCTTTGCAATTATACCATGAAGGCGTGTGGTAAGGAGGGAGAAAATGCCGTACAGTTTTTGATACAGCAAATCCATTGCTGATGCAGAAGCCACTCTTTTTCTGGGAATTTATCACACTGCATCCCCATGTGGCTGAACTGGTGGTTTATATTTCATGCTCATTTTAATAAATTACTGTAAAAAGTTAGGCATTCTCTTCTTGAAAGATTGCAATAGTTTCATTTTCACTTGACGGTAAATTAAAAATTTGCATAATTTTTAATTTGGAAGGCAGGACTTGATTTTACAGTTTTTATTATTTGGGATTGGCAATGGTTTTGAGTTTGCTGTATTGTTTAGTGATAAATGCCACCAAACAGGTGATTTATCGCTGGTAAGACCGATAATTACACAACATTCTACTCTTTTCATGTATTTCCTTTCAATGCCTACAGACATTCAATGACTTCAAACTTTTAGTATGTTGTAAAAGTGTAATTCATTAATTTAACAGTATTTTATGTAGAAATTAACTGAAAAAATTTCACATCCAGTACTCAGGTAATTTGTTGTCCATTAGAACTAAATTATATATTATACATTTATATGTTTTGCTTTTAAATTATTATTTAATGTATCTTAAATAGTTAGTTAATGTAATGATATCATATCTTTACATATAATCTTTGTTTTGGCTTTCAGCAAATGAGAAATTTGCTTGGAACAAGTGTGGGACACACTAGTATTCTCACCCTATGCCTCATTCTCCAAAATAAGTAAGCAAATATTTATAGTATTTAATTTATAAAAAATATGTGTTAGGCGTATGTATTGCAATTTTTAATTTTAATTGCATAATCGGATTGGTAACTAATTTTAGCTTTCTTTTAATTTATCTAGTAACTAAAATCAAATTTTAGACTGGCATTTTTAAAATATCTGTTTGTTAAAAAATAAATGTTTTTAAAATGATGATTTAAATTACAAATACAAATTCTTACTTAAACACCCTTCTGTTAAAAAAATTTGCAGAAAAGTTAAGTTGCTGAATCTTACAATATGCATATATTTGGCTATTAGTTAATTAGTTCAAGTTAGATTAGAAAAATGTAAGCAAAACTGAGAGAAGATGGCTTATAATCTAAAAAAATCTGCACAACCCGTTTTCCTGATGTGTATGAATTACTGAATTTCTACTGTAATAACTGTATTCCAGATCACTGAATTGTAAGTATGTCGGAAGTATAATTATATCTTTGATGCTGTGCTATTAGTTTAGTGCTGCCATTTTCATATTAGTTTTAGGGTATTAATCTCTCATTTTAAATTAATTGCGTTAATTGCATTTGCTTTCTAGTACTTTTACATTTGCCTATATGAGTTGAAGCAGAAGAATTTTGAAATGTTGAATTTTTATTGTTTTGAATGCATATAAAAATTATTTCCATATTAATTCTTGTTTCTCTACATTATTAATTCTTTTTAGAGAAAATTATAAAGAGGCATCTCTTGTACGTGGAGCTGTATTTTTTATTGGCATGGCATTATGGGGATCACACAGAGTTTCATCATTAACTCATCCACCTACAGCTGTTTTACCATCATTTTTAAAGGTATTCTTGAAAATTATTTTTTTTTAGTAACATTTGTTTTAGTATTAAATTTGTGTTGTATTTGTATTTAGTATGTCCAAAAATATTACTCAACCTTTTTATATTTTTAAAGGTTTTGGAAAGCAATGATAGTATTATAGCATATGAAATTGTTCTATCTTTGCAACGGTTAGTTAAAAGAAATGCAGAAGAGCCATTAAGAAATCTTTGCTGGGATATGATATTTGATATAATTGAAGAAGTGTTAAAACATCCTGAGGTAAAGTTACTTAAAAGTATATATTTTTTGTTTCATTATTATTAATATTTTAATTCATAATTTTAAATATTTATTACTTTCTTCCAGCTTCAGGGCAATAATCAAGCTGTATCTGTTCTTGGAAAGGCAGTTCATGACCTTATAACTGCTGCAGAAGAAAATTGCCCACAGGTTTCTTCTGATCGCTTATTTAGGATAATTGAAAAATGTGCTGATGCCAGAAATGTAAGATATTTTATTGTTATTTTTTTAACATACATCACTAAAAAATTAATGAAATTTAATTCAGGTTTTATCAAATGTACTTTTTTTTTGTGTTTTCTATTTTAAAATGAATAATATCACTTAGACATAAAATTTTGGAATACACACTTTTAGATGTATGCGGGAGAAATTTCCAGAACACTCATAAAATATTAAAAAAGTTCATAGAAAGGGGAGGTAAATCAGTGCTAAAACGAAATAAAATTACAGCATTAGTATCCAAAATTGCTTTGGGTACTTTCTGATTATCTGCACCCCTTTTTTGAAAAGTCACCGATTGCTGGCGAGTAATTTTTTACCAAGCTAAGATGTGGAAGATAACACTATTTTCAAAAATAGCAGTGCATTAAGATTTACATAAAAAGCATCAAATTAATAAAATTAAAAATGCAGGAAGACTTCTTTTTACTTACCTTAAAAAACTTTTTTTTTCTATTCTTCTCATGTACATAGTAATTTGTTTTAGCTTCAAAAAACATCAGAGAATTTCAGAAAATCTGCATTGTCCATGATTTGATGCTGCACATAATGTTGCTCTCCTCATGTGCTCAATGATTTGTTTTTGCTTGAATTGTACGAATTTCGCTTTGATTCACAAATTGTGATCCTTTACAAAGTACAGCTTCATGCAATTCAAATTGTTGCATTCTTTTCTGTTAGGCAAAATGCTGTATTTCTGAAGAAATGCAACACTTTTCTTTTCCATTTGCTGATAAACTCCACAATCTCAGTATGACTCCTTACAAGGGGGAAAAAGTGTACTTAAGAAGTACTAATGAGAAAAATGAATGTCGAATTTGGGAAGGGGGAATTCCACATTTGCCTTCTGCACATGCACATACTTATGTTGCCACATAAATGCATTTTGCCGATATTATGGGCTATATATTTTGGTGACATAGTATGCTGCCTTGTGAGTATTTACCTGAGGGATGTTAGTTACTTAAAAAGAACCAAAATATCTATAGGTATCACTATTGCTATTTTTAGGTACATAATTAAAATAATTAATATTTTTATACAGTTGTAAATTGGTAAAAGCATTTATATTTATTTATTTTGTGTTGTTACATACTAATTATCAATAACTGGGAAAGAGGGAGACAACACATTTTAATTCACCATTAATTTTGTTTTCTTAGTTTTTTGAAAAATCTAATCAAATGGTCCATATTGAGGCATTTGAAATTAGCATTTTCTGATTTTTTACTGTCTTTAAAATTTCCAAAATTTGAAATTATTGAGAAATAGGAGAAGGAATATTGAATATATCTTGTAATTTAAAAATATGATTTGGAAAAGCAAAAATTTTTATTGTATATGAAATCTAATACATTTGCTGATACATATTTTGATTAACACATATCTAATACATCTTTGTTTTATAAAATATTTAACTTTCTTAAAACATTTTCCTTGTTATATAATTGTTATAAATGGCATAAAATCATTTCTTATGAAAAATAAAGAAAATTTAACTACAAAAGTCTAATCTTGTTAAAATTTTTGATGTAATGGAAAGCAAAATGTACTTATTTTTACAATTTAAATAAGTTACATTTTAATATGATTTATTTTGTAATTACAAATAAAAAATATGTTTGACAAATGACATTTTAGGAAAATTTTGTTTCCCAATTCTTTTGAGAACTTTTTCTGTTTGTTGCCAATTGCAAAAACTATTCCTCTTTTTTTGTGTTCTGAAGTTATTCTATATAGCAGTGCCTATTGTTTTAACAAGATTTAAATGTAATGTACAAGTTAACTAGCATATTTTAAAATTGTTTCACAGGAGCAGTCTGTAATTCGTTTAATTTTGCATAATGCTGAATCAATCAGTCCTTATAAACCAGATTTTCTTGTGAAAATGAACATGTTAATGGAGAAACATTTCAGGTAAGTTGAGCTTGATTTATGTGTAAAAAAATAAGTATTTTATGATCTCTAAATTTATTAGAAAATGTTCAGGTAAACTCTTGCATATTAATTTGTTATCAGTAAGCATCATTTGATTTTCATACTTAAAAAAGAAAATATATTGACCAAAGGAAAAACATAAAAACTCATGTATTTGTTTGATTTTCAGGTCTGTTGTAGTTTGCAATTAAAATATACTATTTATGCCAGAACGTTATTATTTAAATACTCCCCCCTATTTCTGAATGTGCATTTAAGACATCTGATTTCACAACTGCTGGGGTTCATACTGAAATCACGAATTACTATATATTGTTGAATATGTCCCATTTTCTGCATGAGATTCCTTGAAATCAACTTATTAACTCATTCTGGCTTAATATTTCCTTTGTTATCAGTGAAATGTTGTATTTCTGATGTTTTGATACAAAAAATCATTGTTCATCATTGCATTAATTTTGTATAAATCCACAATTTAATAGAAATGAAAAGCGAAGTTCTGTACAACTTGAAGTTCTTAAAGTCATTAAACAAGTTCGATGTTCAAGTGGACATATTTTTGAGGTAATGTAAGAGTTATTTGCAACCATCTTTAAAGTAATCCCTAGTTTTTTCCTTAAATAAATGATATGTATATCAGTTTTAATGTGTATACATATAATATTCTTCATCTTTCATTTTCATTACTTTGTATCATGTGGAAAAAAAAAAAAAAATTTCAAAGTGGAATAATTTAAGTGTTATATAAAGGCATTTAAGATTATATTTTTATACAAATTGGTAAAGTTTTCTTTTGCACCATAATATCTTGGCTGGTTTGAATAAGTACATTTTAAAAAGATTTCTAATATATGTAAAAAATGCACTTTATCAGCTTTGATTTGCATTAAACATTTACTTAGTCATATTTTATGTGTCAGGAATTAGATAAAAATTGAAATTAATGTGTTTAAAATGCCTGTAGATTTTATAACTTTCTTGTGTTCTGGATGTGCAGGTAGGTATTCTTATTAAGTTATAATAGTCTGATCTGCAATTATATTAAAATATTTCTAGAAGAGGAAGAAAATTTTGATTCTGTGTTAAATTTTTAAACTATTGGTTATGATTTTGTTGTTATTTGATATATCCCTTTATTGTAAATTTAAATAAAACATGATAGTGAAGTATCGTGTATTATTTTATGAATAAATAAAAGGTATTTTTAAAGATTGCCTTTTGACTGGGCCATTAAACATGTTTCGAAATTCTGATATATATTCATATTTATTGATCGAAGATAGCTTTAATTAAATGATTTATTTAAATTTCAAGAGATAAATTTAATTTCTTTTTTTTATATAACTATATGTCATAATGTTTTTTTTATACTGACTTTAAAGTCCTAAATTTAAAAAGAATTCTTTTCAGTTTTTAAACTTTTTATATTCTTCCCCCCCTTCTATTGCAGTTCTTTTGTGCATTAGTTTAATGCTGTGAAATATTTGCCCATTTTGTAAAATTTTATTATTCTTTGTTCAGATAGTGCATTTTTACTTCCTTGTACAAACTAAAGAAAGTATTGCAATCACGAAAAATTCTGGGTACCGTATTTCAACGATCGTTATTGAATACAGTTTAATGATGTTTTTGTGTCACAACTGTATGTAAGGACAGAATTAAAGACTCTTTAGCCAAAACTAATTATAATACTGATTTAAAATGGATTAAGAAGAGATTTTTATGTGGCATCTGTACATCTATGTATCTTGCATAAATCAAAAACGAATAGCCTCAGAACGAGCAAATTTTGTACATACAAAATTTGCACGTTCTGAGGCTACTCTGAGGTTCTGAGGCTGCATATAACATGTAAATGTGCACTTCCCTTTTTGGTTGCAATTGGCCATTCCAAAAGTATATAAATATATGTGTGTGTATATATATATATATCCAATCTGTTACTCAACTCAGTGAGCTCAGTTTCTTTATTCTTGTATGTTTGTAAAGTGTGCATTTTTTGCTTTAAAAATGATTGAATTATGTTGTTCTTATCTTCCAGTTAAGGTTTTTGTGCTTTTGGTTAATCTGCATGTTATAATTGTAGAATTATCAACAATTTAAAAGCTTTTTAAGTGTGGCTAAGCCTAATTTTTTTTACCATATCAGCCATATTTCTTTACATTTGAAACTTAGCAGAATAGTGGATTTGTTGCCAATCTAGAGAAACTAAGCTTCTCAACAACAAAGTAACGTCTTCTTTTATTATTGCAAATCAGATTATGGTTAATCTATTCTGGAATTATCATTTAAGTTATTAAATTATCCCATATATTAACTCAGCATAGCATTCACAACAAATTAAATCAGTTTCCACACTTTTAGTGTCTTTTTCCAAAGTGAGACCAAAAGTAAACATTCAGTTTTGTGCACCGAAAAATCTGCCTTCTTGCCTGCTGGCTGATTTGCTCCCTTTTTGTGTAGAAACTAATTTTAATTGTAAAAAAAAAAAAAAAAAAAAAAAAAAAAAAAAAAAAAAAAAACATTTTTTTTAAAATATTTTTAACTGTGTTTGATGTTTTATGTTTTTCTATATCTTTTAATTTTTAATGAAGATATTTTGAGTTTTTATTACTTTTGCTTTATTAATTGAATGAGAAATATATCTCCAATCAAATTCAAGGAAATAAGTGTTTCATATTAACAGAAAATACTGTCGCCAATCTGTTTGGGACAGAGAAGAAAGTTTACGAGTAGCGCATGTACATTAGTTAAGCTGTTTATTTTTTATTTGTTTAATTTCTTTTATACATTGTTTTAGATTTATTATAGTATTTGAATAGAACATGTGGCAATGATTAGATAATTTTTCAGGTGATATAATTTTACCATTTTTCTGAGTTATAAAATGAATGAGATTTAATGCTGTTAAGCATTGGAGTATCGCTATGGTAAATAAATATAGTGAATTTTAAAAAGCGTATTTATTCTGTTGTGGTTTATACACTATTGACAAAGTAGATTTAATTCAATTCATTAAGTTTAAATGGAATGCAGGAAAAAATAAAATAATTTAATATTCCGTACAAGGAAGTCATGTGGTGTACGCATCGGATTTTTTAATTTCAAGGATAAGTTACCGTGTTAAATTAACTTATATGGTTAATATTTAATTGCATTATTTATATCATGCAAGCTTTGTCACCCTCTGAAATGACTTTCTACAGTATGTTAAAGCAGCATTTTTACAAATTTAAATTAGTATCATACTTACAAGCTATAAGTATATCTAATAAGATGTTTAATTTTTTTCGATTATCTATATTTTAACAATTTTCAAATAATATTTGCATTGTAATTAGGAAAAGCTTTAACAATGATTTGTTATATTTTAAGTATATTCCTTAATTTTCTAATCTTTTTTGAACTGAATGAATCAGTTTTTTTAAAAAATATATATATTTTCTCTTCTCTTGTATTTTTGCTTTCTTATTCATATTTTATATTTGTTTTTAAAAAGTAGCTGATTCATGTATAACAAAAAATCTTTCTTGGTAATTTTTTTAAAACTTTCTTTCTGTTATGCAATAGTTCATATTTCTTTATTAATTTGAAAGTTATAGCTTCTTTTCATTACAGGATGATTTGATGGATCAAAACATTTTGCAGAATATGTCACATTTAGATAGCATTAATGATGTGAATGTTCGAAAACAAGCCGTTGAGTTACTAATCGAGATAGCAGAAAGTTGCATGGGAAGTTGGTTTTTTGACATCTTGGAGGCAATTGAAAAGGTTACTAATTAAAAAAATATATATATAATTGAAGAATTTATGGTATTTCGCTTTCAACTGTTAAATGTAATTTTGTATTATAAATACTTTATAAATGTGAAGGCATGTTTAATCTTTTATGCATTTGTCTAATTTAATAATATTTTTTTCTTTCTGTAATTGAGATAAAAATTAAAAGCAGTGATATTCTGTTTAATCATAAATTCAAAATGGCCTTGTTTAATCAGAGTAAAAAATAACTTTACTGGTAATTAAGACACAATAACACGCCGAATAAATACTAATTCAGAAGTCAAACAACAAAAATCGAAAAACTTCTTTTACAGTCTTCCAGTTCAAGTGGTTCAAAAAATCTTCCCATTGTAAACATCAAGCCAATAGTTAATATTTCTAATGTTAGTCTTTCAGAAGAACAAGAGAGAATTCTAAAATATAATTTTAACTTCTCACAAACCTGTAAACCCTCGATTCCAAAGATTTTGGCTCCTATCGAAAAAGCTTTCAAGTTCAGTAAAGTTTCAGATTCACAGAAAGAAATGATTAGGCATCTTATCGCTCATAATGTGAAATTCAATAATAAACCTTTGAAACCAAATCTAACTGCGAGAGAAAGAGCTACAATGCACGAAATTCATTCCAACCCGGATATTATCATTTCAAAGGCCGACAAAGGCGGCCAGATAGTCGTCATGGATAAGAACACTTACATCGATGGTGTCACTAAACTCTTAAACGAAAGACCATATAATCCGATCCCTAAAGATCCACCACCTTCGGACTTATCCAAAATAAAAACTGCGATCAAATCTTCGCAAATCATTTCAAGCAACTTAAAACATTCGCTTATCCCATCTGTTGCGAATTGTGCCAGATTATATGCTCTTCCCAAAATTCATAAAAGTGGTATTCCTTTCCGCCCTATTGTATCAAATTTAGGTACTGCCTCGTATCCTTTAGCTAAATATTTGGTTTCTAGATTTTCCACTCTATTAGACAATAACATTTACACCATAAAAAATTCAATAGAGTTTGTAAAAAAGGTTAAAAACATTTCTCCTAGTAATTTACTCATGGTTTCTTTTGACGTAAAATCATTATTCACCAATGTCCCAGTGGAGGGTGCATTAAGATGTCTAGAAACCAGACTTCGCGAATTTCATTTCTCTAGCATCGAAATTGAGGAGCTAATTTCTCTCACTCAACTCTGTTTGAAACAAACACATTTTGTTTTCCAAAATAAATATTACAAACAAACTGAGGGATTAGCCATGGGAAGCCCCCTCAGTCCCATCCTGGCTGATATCTACATGCATTATTATGAATCAAAATTGTTTGAAACTTTAAACTTCCCGGCATGGTTCCGCTATGTAGACGATACGTTTACCCTGTTTGAAGGTAATAAAGATGATTTAAATAAAGTTCTTTCAACAATGAATTCTATTGATCCTGCTATTCAGTTCACTTTTGAACTTGAGACTTGCAATTCTCTTCCGTTTCTCGACATTCTGGTCACACGTAACACATCCAACTTCAGTACTACATGGTTTACCGTAAACCTTCATCCGGTTTTGCCTTCCACCACACTTTAAATCATGTCATCCGACTAAACAAAGTTAGCTTCATTTTATTCCTATGTTTTCCGTGCTCTTCAAGTTTGCTCCTCCAAATTAGCCCTTGATGAAGAACTAAATTATTTAAAAGCAATAGCTATTGACAGGGGCTTTTCACCCAACATTATTAATCAAGCAGTTAAAAAATTCTCATCTGAACACACTAAAAGCCACACTCTTATTTTAGGAGATTATAAAAATTCTGTTGTCATTCCCTTCTTTCCATCAATTAGCTATAAAGTTGCACATATTTTGCAGAAATTTAACTTTCAGGTTGTTTATTCTCCCATCAATAAAATTCCAACTTCTATACTCAAGGACCCCATTCCGGATATGAATTCCTGGGGTATTTATAGGATTCCTTGCCAGTGTGGTTTAATTTCCATTGGCCAAACTAAGAGAGCCTTAAAATTTCGCGTCAAAGAACATGAGGCATATGTTAGAAAAAAGGAAACACAGAAGTCTTCTGTTGCTCAACATTGTTGGTCCGAAAATCACACTTTCAATTTTTTTTTTTCTGCTGCCAAAATTATTCAAAAAACATCTTCCATTGGAGAACTGGATTTTCTAGAGGCATTTCACATTCATAAAAATCTTTCTGTTCTAGTTAACGATCCTAATTCCAATCCAAATTTGCCTTCGGCTTTTAGAGAAATTATGTTTTAGTTCTGGTTTCGCCAACAGATGGCGCCACTTGCTTATTCTTGTCCAGGCTTTCTTATCTTATCTAATCATTATTTCCTATCTTGTTCATTTGCGGTTTTGCAGCTGAAGATGATGGTTCGGTAAAACCATCGAAACTAGTCCTGTGAAAATTTTGTAGGTATAACGCTGATTTTTGTTGTTTGACTTCTGAATTAGTACTTTACTGGTAGGTTATGTAATTAAAATAAGATTTCTCTCTCTAAATCAGAAACATAATATTAGATATATTAATGTTTATGAATTACCTACAGAATGGTACAAAATTATATTTAGATTTGATTATGATGTAAAAAGAGATTTTTCTAAGAAACTTTTATTCTAAAAGTCTTGTATTATATTCAGGTTAATATTATGCTTTCTTGTGAAATTTTCTGTGTATAAATTTATGAACAGATAAGTTAAGAACTGAAATGTTTTTTATACTACTTCTTTTTTTCTCTTAAGATATTACTTTCATGTTTGCCTTTTATTGCTCATTCTAAAGTTGTTTTAGTTCTTGTATTCTGTGTTTTTTTTTATTGTTCTGTAACAATTTCTGTATATTTTCATTGCTAACTTCAAAGCTCATAATTTTGCCTAGAGATACATTATCATAGATTAAAATAATTCTGTGTTAAAGCCTTCAGAGTAACATATTTTAGCCATATTTACCTCTAGCTTGAGTTCATGCATATTTTTAACTTAAGTGGCATTTTTTTTTTGTACCCTGAAACAATTATTTGCATGTGATAAGAATTGTTTGTTTTCACTGTATTTGAGAAATTAAAGTAAATTATTCTAGTACTCATGTTAGTTTGATAACAGTTTTTAAAATTCTGTATATGTTTTCAGATTATGAAGCGCATGTTTGATCATTTGTTGAATCCAAGTCAAGCCTTTGATGGTAGTTTAAGCAAAGAATCATTTTCTGATGTTTTAACTGCTGTTGAAGGTTTAATCAAAGTTTTTAAGGTATTTATTACTTCTGTATCATTTCTATTAACATCTGATTACTATGCTACGTATGTACATAGATACATAGATATTGAAATATATTTTATTTATCGCATGTCAATAAAATAGAAAAAGTTTTTTTAAATGAATGTGTATTATTTTATTTTTTTAAAAATTAAATGTAATAGCATTAACTTTTAGTAGTATGCAGCATTTGTTATCTTATTCACCCTCCTAGTATTTTTAAATATGTGTAAAATTTTATGGTTTATTGCTCATGATTTTATTTTGTTTTATTATTAACACTTGGTCATATAATATAGGCTATTTTCTGCATATGTATTGTGACTTTATTGTGTAGCTTGTCACATAGTGTACATGAAGTAGTAATTACAAAGCAGAATGTGCAAGACAGAATGTGCAATCAGAATGTGCTAGACAATAAATAGTTTTTTTTTATCATTCATTTAATACCATACAATTCTTAAGACCATAGATTCTAAGTAGATGTAATGCTTTTAACCCGTCAGCACATGCGCTGGGGTAAAATATACCCCACGTGTAGTCTTTTCTTTGAAAATGAGGGAAAGTCGTACGTGACCTTTCTAGTGCTTCATGTACCTTTCAAGATTAAGGTTAGGAAGGGGTCGTCCAGAGGAATTTTTCCCGTGTCCTAGGGATTTTGTGTTTTCGGAGAAGGAATGTGCAATGAGATTGTAGCTACCCCACGCGTGTACTAACGTTTCACTTCTAAAGAGACATTCATTGAGATGAGTGCGTTCGAGCGAGAACAGTAACGACTGCAGGTTCTTCTCGCTAGTATTGAAACTGATAGCGAAATTGAAGATTCCGATTCTGAGTGCAATAATATTTCTGAGAGTGCTCACGAAACTGATTCTGACCAGTAATATGATGATTCACATGATTTGGGGAGTATATCTTCTTTGACATCAAATGATTTTTATGTTTGAAAAGATGGAACAATTTGAAGCAAAAAATAAAATCTTTGCTTTGAAACCCTCTAAAAACCTTCGGACATGGCCGCACAATGTAGTGACACATTTACCTGGTGTCAAAAAAAGCTTTGGAAATTTAAAAATCCAACTGAGTGTTTTTATTATTGCAAATTTTTGATGAAGAAATAATGGAAGATTTGATGAAATCAACAAACATGTACATTTCATCAATAAGAAACAAATTCTCTAGAGAACGTTATGCACAAGAGACAAACGTTGCTGAATTGAAGGCGTTGTTTTTCCTGATATATTACATTGGAGTGCCGAAACCAGCACTTCTCAAAGCAAAGATTTGTGGTCAGCTGACGGACGCAGAATAACAGTTTCTCAAATAACAATGCCTATCATCGATTCCATTTCCTGTTGAGGTGCATTAGGTTTGATGACATAAATTTACGAGCAGAGCGAAAGATGGCGGCTAGACTTGCACTTATTAGAACTCTTACTTCATATGTTCCAAAAAAGAGTAAATCGGTTCTTGTTCTGTCATCCATGCATGAGGATAATCAAACTGATCCATTGTCTAAAGAGCAGCTCAAGCTCGAAATGATAAATTTTTGCAACTCTACAAAAGGTGTTTATACTATTGATGAGTTATGTGGAACTTAGTCTGTTTCAAGAAAATGCCGCCGCTGGCCTCTAACGGTAATTTTCAAATAAATGAATATTGCAGGTATAAATGCTTTTATTATTCATCGATCAAATAACGAACAAGTGAATATGAACCGAAGAGCTTTTCTCAAAGATTTAGCATTACAGCTTGTAAAAGAGTGTGTCCTAAAAAGGGCTGCAATTCTATCTCTCTCAAAAAGAACTCAAAGTGGAGTAAGAAGGTTGACAGGAATAGAAGATGCAGCAGACCTTCACCCTAAGAAATTGTTTGTAAAAATATGTTGTCATACCATGTAAGGATTGCTCAAAACGAGATTATTTGAATAATTAAACTCAGGTAAGAGGGGGGGGGGTGGAAAACCTATGTGTTACTTATATTTTTAATATTCATATCTATAATCTATTCTTTGATATGAATAATTGTATGACATTATATTGAGTTTTAAGGAAAAAAGCTGGTAAGAATGCAGCCTTTTCATATTCCTCTAGTGCTTTATCAAACCACTCTTTATAATAAACATTTATGTTTAAAAAATATGTACATACGAAAAATGATTTTTCTAATATAAGAAATCATGTGTGCATCTTATATAAGTTAGTAATTTTGCATAAATTTCGATTTTTATGGCTTACTTTAGGTAACCAGTATGGAAATGTTTGTATAACTTAAAGTAAGATTATCTCGAATTAAAACCAGAAAAAAGGTTTAACAGAATTCACAAAGCTATTAGTCATTTATACATTCATTTAAAACAAAGGGAATGCATTTATTTATATGTTGGGCGTTGAACTCCGATAAACAAACATTGGGGTTAAATTTGTCCCGCGAATGTACTAACGTAGCACAATGATGCGCGTGTGCTGAAGGGTTAAGCAGAAGAGACACTTGAACTCTTTTAAAATTGTAAAATATTCTGTTTAGTCAAATGCCAGATAATTAGACTTTTACTGCATATGTATGGAAAAGAAATTATTTTTAGAGGAATTTAGTGTTTTATTCAGGAGATACAGCTGCATATAGCAAATAAACCAGTAAGGTGTTGGCCGACTTCTGGCCTTTATATAAGTTGTTATTCAGCTTGACATTGACTTCTAAAGTTGGAAAATGACTTACTAGGAGATGGCTTTCTCTAGTAATCATAGACTAGTGACATCCTGGAGTGTTTGTGGGGATTTTCTTAGGTCTCATTTATAGTAAGAAATTGTGTCATGTTCTTAGGATTTTACCTACTAAACCATGTGGTGCTTGTATGATTGTTAAACACCAATTCGTAGAAAAATAAACTCTTTTAATATATACAAACATTTACATAGCACCTGGATAACATTAATATCAGTAATGAACAGGGTGTAAATGTAAATTTGTGAAGCAGGAGAAGGTTCTTGTAACTGTTCGGCAGATTAAAGGCTTGTAGTAGAGGAAGATGATTCTTGCTGCTGAAGAAATGGAGAGGAAGTAAAACTGCATTAGTATAGAAATTAATTGCCCTTCTTTTTAGAAATGTTTAGAAACTATTTGAATCCAATAGAATGGAGCATTTTATTGTAAAAATGTTCTTATTGTGGAGGGAAGTCAGTGGAATGAATTAGCCTCTAGTCAGAAACAGTGTTTAAATAAATTGTAATATTCAGGAATTTGTAGACTATTTTGAATCAGTCTATAAGGTGTTTCTCCCACCTTCTTAGCATACTTTCATAGTGTAGTGGTCAGCACGCTCGCCATGAATTCGAGAGGCCCATGGTTTGAGTCTCGGTGAAGGTGTTGCTCGTTTTTCATCTTTCCTTCTTTGAAATAACCTAATGTCTCTACAGTGGTGCCCGAACTAAAAAAGGATGGTGGATGAGGATTCTTCACCCCCAGGATTTGGCAATTGGGTCCCCTAATCCCCAATCGCCCTTTAGAAGGGGCAATATGTAAGGTATTTCTCCCGCCTTCTTAGCATCCCTTCGTAGTGTAATGGTCAGCATGCTCGACACAAATTCGAGAGGCCCGTGGTTCGAGTCTCAGCGAAGGCGTTACTCATTTTTCATCTGTCCTGCTTCGAAAGAACAAGTCAATTTACAAGTCTTTACAAGTCAATTTAATTTATGCAAAGAAAATATTTGCAACAGAGTAGTTGAAATATCCTTTTACACTGACTTTAAATATAAAATAATCTCTCAGTATAAAATGTACAGTTACATCTTGCATCCTATGGCTTCAAAATGTTTATCAATTAACATGATGCTTATGATAGTTCTGATCTTAAACAAGCACATTTAACTTGCAAGTTGTTCTGTGCATGATCTGGCCTTGTTTATATTGGATACATAACTTCTCAGCTTGTTTGCCTGTGGATTTCATTGACTGCTCAACCACTGAATGAGGATCTCCATGGCAGCTTAACTTTTACTTTGAGTGTTCAGCCTCTCATTCTGAGATGCTTCGACAGTATTTTCTTGTTACCATAGCATTCTCTTCCAATTCAAATAATGTTGGCTGTTACAATGTTGATTTGCTGAAATGCATCACAAAGTTGTTTGTGCTGCTGCCTTCTGTTATTTTTCTGCTAATCAGATGTTCATGAATTTACACAAGCCACCAAATGCTCCTTTGCAGTGAAAGCATTCATATCTGCCACCAGGTCTTGCCTGTATTTCCACTCCAAGTAAGTAACAGGGTGCCAGATTACACCTTAACCCTCTAAGCGGAAGGCTGTATATATATACGGCCTAGAATATTTATTGTGATATCTGTGCATGTTAAAATATGTCAACGAAATTAAGGCAATATATCAAAAGAAAATAAAGCCAGGTATGAAATACCAGGAGAGTTTTTGCATTAAAATCAAAAAAATAATTTGTTCTCGTAGTAGTTTTGGGAAATTTGTGCTTTCTTAGAGAAAACCCTAGCCGCCCAGAGGGTTAAGAGAGAAGTACGATTGTCTGCTCTATGTTTTCACAATAGATGTAAACTTTTGTATGATAAAAGTATTTGTTTCCTTCATACAACTGGATTAAGTATAGTATAAATGAACTTTCCAACACCTTGTGTGAAGCCTTCACCATCCTGTAACACTGACAGTGTGTCTAATGGTTCTGTTACCTTATACAGTGTACATTGCTTTCTGATTCTTCTATCGAGGAAATGTAATAAAAATTAAATTTTGATAGATCATATGAAAATTATTCTCTTCTAAGGAAGTTGTATGCTTTGTACATAATGAAATAAGTTGTGTTTAGCTATACCTAATTAACTATCAAATACTGTTATAGTTTATATATACTGAAGTAAGATAATTTGTGCATTCAGGTATATTATATCAGATTTTACTAGAGTATATTTTATAGTTTGTTGTTTGTCTGACATGCAGAACTCTTTTTCATTTTTCTTTGCTAACTGTAAAACGAAGTTGTTTTTGTGTAGGCTTTTCTCTAGCAAGTTAAGTTCTTAAGTTTTTCTGTAGTGTGCTTTTTTGTTTAATTTTACTAACCCTTATTTTGGGGAAATGAAAAGAGATTTTATTTTGTTTACTTATTTTTATTTTATGTTGAAAACATTGCATTTTAAACTATCAGTACATGATTTGTGATTATATGTATGATTATCACAGCCATTTAATTTCCTGCGAAAGGAGTGTATAAGAGTATATATATTAATGGCATTATGAATGCAAAGCAGTTGATCATTAATTGAAAATGGCTATTTCTATTGGTGAATATTCTGTTTAATTATTTATTTTTTATCATATTCATATATCTAATTTAAATATTTTTGTATTTTATCAAATTATCTAATTTAAATATTTTTGTATTTTATCAAATTTTTTCAGAAAAAATTGTTGGTGCTCCCATCTAATCAGTGTGTAGAAATCTATGATTTGCTCATTAATCATATCCAGCAACATTATAACAGGTTATCTTATTTAGATGAAGTTATAAAAATAAGGAAGTTGGTGAGTTTTGTTTCAATAATAACTTAATATCCATTACTATAATGCTCGTCATTGGATATGTAGATTTTATTGACAAAATTTCGACTTTAAATTTTGGAATACTTTTAATCTGAATTTTTCATGGAAATTTTATATTTTTCTTATTTTGTTAGTAATTAAAACTATTCTAATGAATATTTATTATCTAGAGATAAATGATTTAATTTTGTTTTCTATATTTAAAATTAAACAAATGACCATATAATTCAGGTAATTCAGGTAATTTTTAAGAAATATTGGAGATATAAAATTTATTTATTTCATTAAAAGTTATATAATTATAATATATTAATATTTCATTAATAATATGTTTTTAATGAAATAATCTTCTTGCTGTCATCAGGTTTCTATGTAGCTCATCCATGGCATTTGTTGCTATGGTATGGTCAAAAGTTTGGCATCAACTTTGAAACTTTATTTTGATAAAGTTAAAATTTTGTGTTTAATTAATGTTGAAATATTTTGTTGCTCATAAGTTCATTTAACGAACAAACTAAAAAGTTCAGATTTTTACTGTTTGCACTTCAGATAGAATAGGAAAAAAAAAGTCTTTTAAAGGCAATTTGTATGAAACTTAATACGATTTCTAATGTTTTGGCAAATTTTTGAAAATTGTTTTATATTCCTGCCTGCTTGATGTTGGTTTTTTTTAAAAGTTTCAATAATGATATAACGTTTTGAAATTGTCATAGAACCTGAAACAAGCTCTTCGAACTTTTCTAAAGAAAAAATGATGAAAAGATAATTATTGGGTGACATTCTCTCCCTCTCTCTATATATATTTCTCTCTCTCTTTATCTATATATATGTAAGATATAACAAAATATGATAGCTGTTTCAAAAAAATAATTGACGACCTCAAAATTAACATTCTAAATTTGGTAATCTGCCCCTAAATTCATCTCTTCTCACAGGTTCCAGACTTTTCTATCTTATGTAACGTTGTAATGCAGATGTCTCTTGTCTAATCAAATTAATTGTAAACCAGAACTGTGAACTGAAGCTTTTCCGATGCAAAAGTATGAGAAAAGACATGAAAACATCCAGGACATAGCGTACAAGCTTTAACTGTGGCCTATCATAGTTCATGACTTAATTTTGTTTTCTACAAAATTAAGTCATGAACTATGATAAAATTTTGACTTTACTCCTGTACTAATGCTTTTCTCACCCTGGCCTCTCCTTTTGACAGGGGGGAAGATGTAAAATATAAAAAAAATACAATGGCTTTGCTCTTTGCGAACCAGCAACCTTTAATTAATTTTCTGCAATTCAGGATCTTCCCCTAGACCAGTACCTTCTAGAACATTCGTGCCTATTACATAACATCCTCATATAAATTCTGCGTCATAAGTTTTCCTACATTTTTCTAGAAGCTACTCGGCCCACTAGTGGCCGAGCGGTAACGTCGCTGAACACTGGTAGTTCGGTCCGAGGTTCGAATCCGCGAGCAGGCTGGATGCATGAGTGTTTTCGTGGTTTTCCCCATGTGTAACGTGTATACGAGCCAGTTTCCCTTAAAAAGTCCTCCACGAAGGCATCTCTCCCTTAAGGCAGATAGCCCTCGAGTGCTTTGCCATAATCTAATAAACCAAACCTAGAAGCTACTCTGTTACATAACCTTTCATATAAATGCTGCGTCATAAGCTCTCCTACACAGATGCCTTCTCGCCTTCGTTCTGCTAACGCCTCCGCTATGCTCCTCTTTCTTTGTTAGAACGTTATAACGTATTAAAGTCAGTCGTATCTAATAATTCAATTACTGAATAAGTTATTTGAGTTACTTCATCTGGTAGAAAATCATTCTGCTCTAAAATAAAAGTAAAGATATGCTGTTAAAAGTGGAAAGTCCTGAGCCGTCATTTTTGCTCTGTGGTGCAATCATCCCAGCTTTGTCAACCATCTGCCAGAACGTGAAATGAATAGCCTCACCATTCACCCACGATGTGTTGGAATAACTGAAAACATTACATATATATATATAACTTACGAAAAAAAGCATTTTATCCATCCTTCCTTGGGCATCAATTAGAAGTATAGTTTTAAGGTTATGATGTCATTATATTATATTGCACTATTTTTCTTGCTTCCATATAGATTTCTGTAATATTTATTTATTTCCCTCCCCTTGCTTCCTCTCGTTGCTACTTTCAAAGAAATTGGCATACTAAAAGGACCTCTGCCATTTTACGAATGTTATTCTCCTCCTCCCTTTACAGACAATATTTTGCATCTATCATTAATTTCATGTTATTATCTCAAAAGCAACAAGAGTTGATTAGCATTTAAAGTTATTTGCCATGAAAGTATTGTGCCATTTTAAATTTTTGCTATTTCATAAATTTATATATATTTTCAACATTTCAAAAGATGATTTTATTAATTTTATTATGATCCATAATATTATATTTTTTATGGGATTTTAAAATTATGACATTTAAAAATATATCCCTTATAGATATTTGAAATTTTGAAACAAACTTTTCAACCTCTTTCAAAATAATAATGATTGAAAAAAGTGTTTTAGGGGAACTTTCTAGAATTTTGTTTTTCATGGTGTTTATTACTGTAGTCAGAACTTTGCCATTGCTTTCTTCTGATAAGCTGTTGACAACAAATTTTGCACACACATTGTGAATGACAGCATAATGTGATGAAGGGATTTTTTCTAAAATTTGATTTAGAATTTTTAAAAATTTTAATTTGAAATGATTTTTGTGCATACTTATGTCTACTGAACAAATTAAAACTGAGAAAATTTTACTGTAAATACTTTGCACCATTGGAGTGAGTTTTTTTGGGAGGGGGTTAAGAGGAAGTTTATATGAAAATTTTAATGTAATTTATGATTTTTTGGTAAATTTTCAAAAATTGCTTGCATTTTTTTAAACTTTAACATAGCACAGTTGTAGGAAGTAAAAAATTGATTTTTTATTGTTGAAAACGATTTTTCTATTGAATAACTTTATTGCTAATTTGTCATTGATACTAAACCATTAAAAGAAAATCAGAAAAAAAAAAGTTTTATTTAAAAGCCTTAAAATAATTAATGACCTAAAATGATAAAAACAATTTATCAGATAATTTAATGGGAAAAAGTGATTAAATAAATCTTTTTATAAAATTCATCTGCTATTTTAATCACAAATAATAAAGGTATATGTATCCAAATAACACAACATAATAATCGAATTCAAAAATTTAAGATATCATCTTTATAGATTTATCAAGGGCACGCCTTTTATTATTCATGATATAAAATTGTAGATGAATTTTATAAAGAGAATTATGTGATCTCTTGTTCCCATTAAACTATAAGATAAATTCTTTTGGTTTCTTCATTGAGAAACATTGATGTAGATTATATGTAAAATCAAATTTAAATTATGTGTAAAATTAAAACTTACTCTGTTTTAATGCAGTAGATCTCAATCTGTATATGCTTCCTTTTCATAGGTGAACAGTTTTAGCATATAAGTTTCAAGAAATTTATTACATTTTCTTAACATTTTAAAAAAACATTAATATGTCTTTCAGATATTTGAATTTTTACTGCAATTTCGTGCCAATAATCAAAAGCAGCTGGGAATTTGTATGGATGGATCTGTAGAATATAGTGTATATATCTCATGTGATTCCAGGTATATAAACTTTGAAATTTTTATAATTTTTTTTTACCCTTTGTGTCTATGATTCATTTTGGTTCAGGTGCCAAACAGTAAAATACATCAATTTATTATTAATAGTAAAATATATAGATTTATAAACCTAAGTCATATTTGATTGCATTGATTATATAGTATTTTGAACAGATTTGAACTCGGTAGAAAATATCTTTTCTTTTAATTTTGTTTCAATATTCTTCAGAAATGAAATTGCTCTAATAATCATTTGTCTAGTTGTTTATGAAATATTTTAGCAGAGTAGTTTAATGATAGATTATCAAATATATATAAAACTAAAAATGAAGTATGTATAAAACTAATCAAACTAATATGTAAGTTATCAGATATGTTGTTGTATGTATACAGGCTCATAATAGATTGAATGCACACAGGTCTGATGATAGGCTGATAAAATTTATTTTATCAAGCGAAACACTTAAAAGTTCTGCAACTTTTTGCAGAAATAATCATACAGATTTCCACAGTATCACAGAGTACAGTCAGTAGTTACTACTAAGAACTTAAGAACTAATAAGAACTTAAACTACTAAGAACTTAAGAACTTAAACTATTAAGAACATTAAGCACAAAGAAATACAAAGTTCAGCTGAAGACAGAAGTTAAATTGTAGATAGTGTTTGGAACTCACGGTGAGCTAATAATCGTATGTGAGAGCAGATGCTGTCTCCGGCCCCAGCCATAGAGATATTTCTATTACTTTCTGCTTCTCGAAATTATTAGAAGGCAATATGAGGTTCAAATTATGGTTACAGCTAATACAGTGATCAATCGCATTTATTCAGTTACAGTACCTTATATGGACCTTTGGCGATTTCTCGCTAATTTTGAGGGCGAAAATTAGTTTCAAAACCTATTCCCAGCTTGGCGATATCTTGCCAAATTACCGAGATACTCAATTACTCAATGTTAAGTAGACTTGCCCCTATATTCTTGCTTTTCTGGCATAGCTTGTATTTGTAGATTTTGCGTGTTACATAACACAGAAAAATACAATTTCACATATTGCACTAAAATCTACCTATTTATGTACAAAATTTGTAACGCCATATAAAACTAAAAGAAGTCAGAAATACCATGTGTAAAACCTTCTATAAAGTGAAGAATGTTGAATACTAGCGGTTTGAATATGCAGTGATTCACCTGGTATATGCAAAGCACACAAGAATTATCTGCCTAAAGGGAAAGGAAGAATGCCTTTTTAGGGAACCTTTTTGAGGGAAACTGGCTCATATTAACATTATGGATGGGCTGGAACTGAACGGGGATGAAACTCCTAGTATTCAGTGGGCAATTATTTGGCCACAGATGTGGCTGTGTAGTGATTTGAGTAACTTGCATTTCTTTATAGAATTTAATTAGTATAGTGCTCTGTGTATTTTGAAAAGTATTAATTTAACCTTTAGCAGTTTACTTGCTAATCTGGCACAATTTAACATTTTATTTGTGATATTTATTGTTTTATTATTCGTAAAACATTCAGAATTTCATGAAAATATTCCAAATTTAAACTGTGTTAAGAAATCAATAATATTTTTTTAAACTGAAATGAGATTTTTGTGCTAATATGGGGTTGGAAATATGCAGATATTTAAATTGTGTAAATGTGCATTTAGAAAATGTGGGGTGTTTTATTTAGGCATGTAATGAAAGAAGAATTTGTATAATTTCACTAGTTTTGATGGCAGATGTTTGCCAGGAAAAAGATCAAAAATTGAAGTTGAAATATTTTAACCTGAAATATTTGGATGCTGTTTGCTTTATTTTTGCTGAAACCATGGTAGATGGATTAACGTACATGAGTACTTTGCTGAAGTATTACACCTCAACTTTCAGAAAGACCAATTTTTTTAATAAGCATGCACAAGGTGGCAAAATGACAAGATTTGCTTTTAATGTGCGAGTGAAGTCTGTTTTCATTTCTGGATGACTTATTTCACTATTAGATGAAACTGGGGAAGATGAATGTTAAATATACACCAGGGATTGAAAATTTTAGTTTTTTCTCTACTTTTTTATACTGTACTGGATTTTTTCCTTTCGTTTTTTTTTTTGGGGGGGGGAGGCATGTAAACTGAAAACCAGGTTTACTGTGCGGGTATAATCTGGAAGACATTCACAAAAGAATTTATGCTGCATACACTAACATTACGGTGCAAGTGCTTCTTAATGTGTGAGTTTAGATAGAATAAGCCATTCCCATGCCACTGGTAAAGCTTAAATTGCAAAGAATTATTATTTTTTTATATTTGGAAGTATGCATCCTAATGAGTTGTGATACATTAAAAGTATAAGATAATTTTTTTATTGAAATCTAAGTAGAATCTTAGTGCATAAATAAGTTATGTTACTGATAAAAATTGAATTTCTATTATTTGTGCAAATACTCAATATAGTAATTCTTCAAAATATTTAATACACTTTTTATCAGTATTTCAAAACTAATATACACTTTTTAATTGTTTCCAGCTCAAATAAAGAAATAAATGAAACTGCTCCTGCTAGTCCTTCACCAGGATCACCATCATCATTAGTTGCTCAAACCATTTCTTATTTGAGTTACAGTAAAGCTTTTCAGTCTTTAACTATGTGCTTAAAAGAGGTATTTTTCTTCTTTTCGAATTATCAGAATTTTTTGTAATTAATTGTATGTTTATTTAATTAACTGATGTGTATAACATAAACTCCTTCTTTGAGACTGCATTTTTACTCATATCAATATTTATTTTTTTTTATAAATAGCAAAAGTAACAAAAAGCGTTACCTTTCTTAACATTTTTTAAAGGTTAATTAAGCAAAGTATCATTTGTTCCCTTTGACGTCTCACCTTTTTTATCAGTTTTTATCTCCCAGATGAAAGCTGCAAAATTCCATTTAAAATGCATACAATTACGCCGTTTAATTTTCTAAATGTATAGCACATGGTAGCACTCATGGAAATAATATAGAAAAAATTCTTTGCAGGTCTAATTTTGGAGCAATTGTTTTTTTCTTAATTTCTTATGCAAAAATAAAATCGTCTCCAGTATTCCAGAAATCTGTGGTTTGATTCCCGATGAAGGCGTTGCTAATTTTTCATCTTGCCTGCTTCCAAAGGATATCCTAATGTCTCTACAGTGGTGCCCGAACTAAAAGGATCTTGGATGATGATTCTCCTCACCTAGAATTTGGCGATTTGGTCCCCTAAAAACCCCAGTTGCCTTTTAAATGAGTATATAAGGTATTTTTCCCACTTTCCTAGCGTGGCTTCGTGGTCTAGTGGTTCTGCATGCTGGGCCTGTATTCCAGAGGTCCGTGGTATGATTCCTGGTGAAGGCGTTGCTAATTTTTCATCTCTCCAGCTTCCAAAAAAATACATAATGTCTGTACAAGGTAGTTGCCAAATTTTCTTTAGTAAATCCTTCTCTCTTTGGTTAAACTTTAAGATAGTATGCTGCAGCAATCCAATTACCTTAAAAAAGCTTACAACTGTTATCACAAATGAGAACATGTCCATTTATACTCTCAACTATGCAATATGCAATTTTGGAAAATGACTGCAAAAAGTGATCAAATTTAATGGTTCTTACCATTGAATCTGTTGAATTAAAAAATAAGTGTCTACCATCTGTTAAATACGGAATGTGTGTTCTTTCTGTAATAAATTAAAATGAATTAAAATTTTAAAAATTTATTACAAAGTAGTTTTTTTTTTTCTTTTTAACCCTTTGCAGTTCGGTTCATAAAATTTTTTTTTTGAAAAAAATAACTTTACACATAGCCCCTAATACAATGATATTTCATGGAAAAAAAAAGGGGGGGTAAACCTTTAAGGTTATTTATGACGTGGGTGAATACTGCTTGTCTCACCTTTCATCTTTGCGTGAGCGCAAATTCTCCTAACATGCTTATCTAAAGTGTTAGTTTTAGCAACCAAATGAAAATGAAAGATATAAAAAAGGTTTTTGAATAATTATCTAGGAAATGTTGATTATATTTGCAAAATAAAAAATATTTTTTCAAAAAAATTACATAATTTAAAAAAAAAAAACACTCTCTGTATGAGTTTTAGATATTTTTTAATGATTTCATAATAAATTTGAAACAGAGAAGATTTTCGCTCCAATCTTTATTTGCTACAGGTTTGAAAAGGACAATATTTGAAAGGCCCATCATGTTTATTTACATTTCACCTGTCTTTCATCTGCTTAGGATATTTTTCTGTGGGGAATCGCACTCACATATCCATTCAGTATTCAATGACATTTTCGTGTTACAGAGTTACCTTTCAGGAAAAATACTAAATATTTTTCTAGTTTTAACATTATTACAATTTATTAAAAAACATAAATTTGCATTATCAACATATAAATGAACATGATACTTGAATTTAAAAATAGTTGAATGGTGCTGCCATCTAGTAGCAGCAATTCCTACAGGGTCCCACCTTTTAATTTTAACTATTCTTAATTAATATAAATGAATTCAGGTAATAATTTTTATTAGAAAAGGAAACTTTCAAATAAAAATATTCATTCTAACACCAAAAGTTGTTCTTCAGACAAATTAAATTGCATTAGAAATTAAGGGGGGGGGGAAGAAAACTGCTTGAAAATTAGCCCTGTAAAGAATATTTATTTCATATTATTTCCATGAATGAATACTAGTGCTGCCATCTGTTATATATTTAGAGAACTAAAAGGCTTAATTGTATGTATTTTAAATGGAATTTTACAGCTTTCATCTATGAGATGAAACCTGATAAAAAAGATGGGATGTCTGACGTCCCACTGCCTGTCAAAGGGTTAAAGATAAAACATCTGTGTACTATCAGAAATATTTTATTCAAGTTAATATTTGCTTTATTTAAATGTTTTACGTTCGTAGAACAATTTAAAGATGTAGAGTCATTAGGATTTTTGATGTTGGAGACATGAAAAATGTGCAATGCCCTCGCCAGGATTTGAACTCCGGACCTCCTGAGTACATCGAGTGTGTTTCCAGTTACACCAAGAAGGCATATGGCTAAGGAGCAAGAAAGTACCTCAGATACTCCTCTTTTTAAAGGGTGACTGGGAATAAGGAGAGGCAATTGCCAAATTCTGGTGGTGATGAATTATCATCCACCACCTTTGAGTTCAAGCACCACTGTAGCTTCATTAGGTTTTTTTGAAGTAGGAGATGTGAAAATGTGCTGTACCCTCACTGGGAATCGAACCCTGGACCTCTCGAATTCGTGCTTTGAGTGTGCTTCCATTTACCAGTAGGGGAATTGCCTTCTAAGGATATTATTTAAGTTTTCCAATTTTTTTTCATGTCTTTCTATGTGATTACCATGAATAAATAATATATGATATTTGCATCATTAAATTTAAAATTTTAAGCTTTTGGAGGGATTTACTAGAGTGAGGATTAATAAAACTAGAATGTTACTATAATCAGAATACTGCCTCTTTTAAGATGGGAAAACTACATATGTATCTGTATATTTTTTCCAGGAAAAAGATTGGGAAATTCTAGAACTGATTTTGAAAGAGCTGCCAAAATTATTACAAAACAAAGCCCTAATCCTTAGAGGAAGCTGTAATTTAGCAGCTTTATGCGTAGCACTGCGTGCTATGGTAAGTATTATAGTGTGTGTATTTAGTATGTTTTGTTCCTTGTATGCAAGTTTTGGAGCATATTGTCTTTTACCTAGGTAAGTGACAGAAATATGGGATTTCCTGAAAGTTTAAAAAATGCTCCTCCTCGACTTACTCGCACTGATGTACAGAGTAATGTATTTCCATCTGTATCTGCTGTAACATCGTACCATAGCTGTCTAGAATCACGCATACAGGTGAAAACATTTATTTATTTTTATCTCATTTGAAATTTACACCAGTTTCTGTTTGCTTTCATTTATCATTAAAACATATGAAGAAATTTCTGCATTAATAATTTTGTGCATAACTGTATTAAAAATTAGCTAAAATTTTTATAATTTTTTTTATTATTAAGTTTATTCTTTATATAATCAATGATTTCTTTAACAAAATCGGAAGGGAGCACAACTATATCTTGGCACTGTAGTCACCCCCCATATTCCTTCTAAGAAAGTGACTGTAAACTCTTAGGAATCATTGTTTTATTAATAGAAAAAATAAACTTAATAACACATGTTTTAATATTAATGAAAATTCTTAATGCTTTAAACCTATTATTATGACATATGTAAAAGGAAAAAATATCTTCAAATTCAGAGATACTCCATTTTCCTCTTCAGTAGTGTTTCCTTTCTTGCTAAAAAAATAGAGTAGAGATACTTGTTTCTCACTATAAAAATAAAGCACTTAGAATTTTTGTGGACATTAATGGCTTATGCTGTAATTTATACATTAAAATTTGACAAGTTAATTTTGGATCAGGAAGGAATGTATTTGTTTAAGAGCAGTGTCACAAGCAGTTAGTATAAAATGTGTTATATATGTACACAGCAGGAGATTATATTTGATTACTGTATCGATCAGATGTATAGGTTTAAGTAATTAAAAAAGTGATATATGTATGAGTGCATCAAAATAAAATTCATTTACTTCAAGAATTATCAAAACTGTTTTGCATTAAGTGTAGCACTTTATTGAATGTCAAATATCTAAGAAGGAAAGTTATTTATAAAATGTTAAGTATTATCATACCCAGAAATTATTGGATTATCTTGAAGCTGTTTTTTTTTTTTTTTTTTTTTTTTTTTTTTTTTTAACAACAGTAGAGTGCAAATAATGTTCCGTGTGCATTATAAAATACTTATGAAAATTGTTGAATTCACACAGATATTTGTGTTGAATAATGGAAGATAAAAATCAACATTTTTGTTATGTTCTATTTTTTTTCCACAAATGTACACGAGCTGGAGATGCATGCAAACATTTTGTGGTGAATAATGATGATGTGCATTTACAGAAGTTGTTTCCAAAACTGCATTTATATAATTTCAGCTTTGTGATGAAAATTTAAAATACTTTATAGAAGATATAATTATTCATTACATTATACGAGGCAAGACACACACACACACACCACACACACAAAAAAAAAAAAAAAAGGGGGGGAGAGAGAGAGAGAGAGAAAGAAACCAACTGTTTTGGTGACATCATGCCACACATCTCCTCTATCCATGCGACCAGTTTCTGCTTAATTGACATCATTGAGTGAACATGATCAACTGCATTTTGCCGAAAAAATGTCTGATATAAAAATCGAAGAGCGAATCAACATCAAGTTTCTTGTGAAATTCAAGACATCAGCCACAGAGGAAACATTTTAAATGTTAACCGAGGTTTATGGAGGTGAAACTTTGTCTCATGCACGCGTGTTTGAATGGCATAAGTGGTTTTCAGGGAAAAGGGACATGCTGGGATAATGAACATATAATGAACATGCTGGGAGCCTCCTTGGGCTTTCATCATGATTGAATGGGTTCCCAGTGGTCAGACTGTTAATCAATACCACTACATCGAAGTACTAAAAAGACTTCTTCAAAAAATTGGGGAAAAGGCCACAGTTAGGGAGCGATGGGTGGCTGTTGCACCAGGACAATGCACCCGCTAACATGGCCCTATCTGTCAAGCAGTTTCTGACTGGCAAAAACATTACTGTGATGGAGCATCCTCCTTATTCACCTGATTTGGCTCCATGAGACTTTTTTAATTCCTAAAGTTAAATCTTACTTAAAGGGACCCATTTTACCTCAGCTGAAGAGGTTCAGACACAGAAGACACAGAGCCTTCCAAAAGCCTCTTTCCAGAACTGTTACCAGCAATGGCAGCACCAAATGCAGAAGTGTGTGAATGATGAAGGGATTTGCCTTGATCATGATAATGTCACAGAGAACTGTTTCTTTAAGTACATTGATTTATTAGAACAGTCCTCTTTTTTTTTTTTTTTTTTTTTTTTGTCAAACCTTATATTTTATATAAGTTTATTGAGAATCTAAAATCATCCAAAGCATTCACAATGTTTATCAGACCATTTGAAAAAATTATTATGGGGGGGGGAACTAATGTTTAAAACACATGTGAATTTAATTAATTTAACACAATATATCAACTTATGTTTTTTTTAAATATATAAATATTACCAAAATAATCATTTCTGAAATATCTAATAACTGTTGGTAAGAAATGACTTGTTGACAGTAACCCTGAATATAAAATATTCAAGAATGGTGAATGAACTCAAATAACATCAGAAGTTGATATTCATCAAAAAAAGGTCATATTATTAGTTTGAAGGAATTATAAGGAAATTGTTTCTACAGTGAATAGAATGAGGAATTCTAATAACGAAAACTGAAAGAAGTTTTCCAACACAAACATTCAGACTTCATGATCTGTTGTTTTCCATCATGCCAAACCATATCCATTTTTAGCGATTCATCAAAAACATCGGGAACATGATTGGAATGTGTTGCCACATGCACCATGTAGTCATTTTGAACCCTCCCACTGAAATCCACATTAATACGGCCATTGAAATGGCTGTCATGTAATTTTGTTGACTTGCAGCTCGGTGTTATCATGGAACATGATAAAAAAAAAAGAGCGTTATCAATGGCAAAAAATTTGAATAAATGGTAGCTGCATTTTCCAGTGATCTGGCAGGAAAAAGTTTTGACAAAGATATATTCATCTTCTAGTATAGCCTCTATTGTACTGCCATTATTACCTACGTGGGAAAATAGCACAAGGGATGTACTTTTATAATAGCAAGATACTACTGACCTAACTTCCTTTCTTTTTTTCAAATTTGTCACTTGTGCTGCCTGCCATCTAAAATAGTTATTATAAAAAAGAAATAATTTATAATGATATTAATGAGTCCAGCCATTATTATTTCATGGGCCCAGCTAGTAATTAATAACACACTGTTTTATTGCTTTTAAATCACTGTTTTATTGCTTTTAAATCACTTTGTTGATCAAACTTTCATTAAGTTCGCCAGAAGGCACATGTTTGACTATGTGTTTGGTTGATGACTCTAGGTGCTGCCATTTTTTCATAATGTTAGAAACATGCACACACATGCACATGTTTATGTATATACAGATTCATTATTATTTAATAATAGAGATAACTAAATTGACAGTATTTTCAGGATGAATTTCAGTTATTTAAATACTCTTAATCAGCGGTCGTCAACCCTTAGAACTTCACGGACCACTACATATATAATTTTAGATTTTGCGGACCACTAATGTGAATTTAAAAAAAAAACCCTTAAATCAGACCTTTAAAACAACATATTAATATGCAAAAATATATTCAGCTTTTCAGTACGTGTAATTGTAATTTTCATTTGTTAATATAATTTTCGAAACATTTGGTGTTCAGCAACATGCCTTTATGGAAATTCAGATTACACCCCTGATTATGAATAACAATTAAAACACTATTAACATCTCACTGATACACATATTTCGTTCACATTGAATATATGAAAAGTACAAAAATCTTACCTTCTTGTACAGAAAGCTTCTCATTTCCATATCACTGAAAAGGAACTTCACGAAAAGCAAGAACAAACCGGCAAACGCAAAGCAATATCAATAAACTGAAAGTGTTATGCCACCAATTTTTAATTATTGTAATCATTATAATCATCGCTTACTGAGCAATGATGCCATCGATCAACAATTAGACAAAACAAAAATGGAAACTTCCAGTGATGCAATTAAAAACAAGAATGTAGATGGTTCTCATAAAATCTATTAAATTGCCTATTGACATGGAGAAAAACTGCCTTATTAATGACTGCAATAGTATATATTTGTAATTCAAAAGGAAAGAGAATTCCAGTTTGCACTATTATTGACAACAGCAGCATATCCAGGGATGCCAACTCTCACTTTCAAATGTCGCTGGGTACACCTGCAAAAGTAGCTAAAATATCACTAAATTCAGAAGGAATTTCGCTAAAAGTAGTAACTAAAATTTAAAAAAAAAAAGTATAATCCATATTCCATAATAGGTTTTGTTACTCATCATTTTTTTAACTGAATTTTCATAAGAATATAAATAGTGCCCCAATTTTTCTGCGGACCATCAAAACGTTTTCGCGGACCACTGCTCTTAATGATTCATTTATTATGATGCAATGATTTGTATATTTTCCATGAAGGAATGCCTCAGAAATGTATTTTAGTTAAACACTGGCTAATCACTAGTGTGAGGGCAAAACAGGTTTGCCGAGCATTTTTTTTAAAGTCATTTCATTAATATGAGTCTTACTTAGTTATTTAGATAATTTTCAAATTATTAATACTTAAGTTTTTAGAATTAAATTGATTTAATTATCTAAAACATTTATTGTAAAATTTGATATTTGTGTATTTACTATTACATGCAGTATTAAAAAAAATTAATTAAAAATTTAGCGAATGCTGATACAGTGTTTGCAGTCTGGTTTGGTGTCAAGAAGTGCAAAGATCTGCATGGAAGGGCTGACATTATGCACTTTAGAAATGCAAAATTCTATGATTAAACTTCTTCCTGATGTGCTACTTAAGCTGTCAAAAATTTCAGCTACGGTAGGAGTGTCAGTTTCTGTCTTAGAATTTTTATCAAGTAAGTCCATTTTGTTCTTGATTATATATGGTTTTTTGCTTCTTCATTTTACTTACATTTTCATTACAAATAACTTCACTGTGGTATTGTAATTAGTGTAGATGTAGTAAAAAAGTTCCACAATTTTTTTTCTGTTTGTTTTGCTTTATTAAACAAGAGCTTATGTTTTCCACATGGGATTAATTCATAATGAAATACAGTCGTAGAAAATTTTTTCCCTCCCATTTAATTTTGCCATTTTGATCAACTCACATTAATTATAAGAATGGAATAACAGTTTTGAAAGACTAAGCTTTGTTCCATGTTTATCACCCTAAAACTCAGAACTCAAGTAAAAACCAAAGATATTAGACATATTTCAAAAGTTTGTGTTACAAAAAATTTAAAAATTCGAAGCAAGCAGTTTAATTGTATCAGTGAATATCGTCAATAAGTTTATGCTAATATATGTTTCATCTATGTATTAATTGTGATGCAAATGAGTAAATTTTATTCAAGTTGGGTTTCTTGTGATAGTTTTTACAAAGCTTCTCATTTTCAAGCAATATTTTAACTGTCTTATGTTTTCTTTGATTGACCAGATTGACCCTGACATTATGTGTAATGTAAGGTACTATTAAAAATGTCCGTTTTTATGAATAATTTTACTTTTTATGAATTTAAATTTGCAGTCTTCTTGCTCTTATTGAATTAATTTTAATACCTCTGTTATATTTTTATGTACAGTGTGGGAGGAAAAAATGGGACAGTTTTATCTCTCCAACTATATTGGGCCGATTGATGAAATTTAAATTGCATTTTTCATGTCTTGAAAGTGCGACTTAGGATATATATTACATTTATATAGCATTGTTCTAATAAATATTTTGACACAAAATGGGAATTTTTTCTGAAATAACACAAATTTTTTCCAATATTTCGATTCTACAACTCAGATTATGCCTAAATATTAAATTTGGTGCGAAATATACGGAGAAATTCACAAATTTTTCTTACCATCTTTTTTCCAGTTTGTGCCAAGAATAATTCACTTAGCGAAATTCTTAATATATGGCAACCTATTTTCCTTTCTCTTCCATTGTGAAGGACTGGAAAAAGAGTCACATCGTTCCTACCATTGGGAAAAAAGTCACATCGTTCTCCTTTCAAATAATTTTACAAAGTGCCTAAACCACATTTGATGTTATTATCCCTTTCAATAAATATGCCAACTTTCAAAACACGCCAAAATATGAATTCACGTATATCTTCGGAAATTTTGAATAAAACATTCTCATTTTTTGCAGGTGTCCTTAAAAATACATCTACTTTAAGATGAGGTAAAAATTTTATAGATTATAATTCAAAAATTTGTTTGAAAAATTTATAAAAATTATTTTAAAATACAAATTTTTAAAATAAATCATAAAAAATGGTTGAATTTTATTTGGAATGAACCTGAATTTCAAAATGTGAAAGGAAGAATCAAATAAGTTTAATAAAAAAAGATATATTAATGAATATGTACCAAATTCAATTAACATTGAGGAGCTAAAATTTTGAGAGCTAATTTTTGAAAAACTACTCGTGCAATTTTTACAACACCTGGCAGTTTGGCATAATTTGAGTTGTAGAAAATATGGGAAAAAAATTGGCATGTCGTTTCAGAAAAAAAATTTCAAGAATTTTGTGTGAAAACTTTAAAGAATTTTGTGTGAAAATACCTATATTAGAACAATCCAATATATAAATCTAATACATATTTTAAGTCGCGCTCTCAATATGAGAAAAAGGCAAGTTGAATTTCATCATTTGGCTCAGTAGAACTGGAGATGTGTCCCACCCCCCTTTTTTTTTGTGCAGTGTACATTCATAGCCTTGGCTCAACAGAGATCCATACATTTTCCCTGTATAGTTTAAAACTCATACTTTCTGGAAAGCGTATTATATCCCGCAAAATTGCTTCAAAATAGCTAAAGTAATATGCACACTTTATTTAATTGTTTGTGCATACGTATTTGATAAGTCTTTTTGAGAATTTTCAAATATTTACTAATAGTAAAAAATTTCATATTACTCGTAAAGCATCTATTACCCTTTACTTAGTTTAATGCAGGAAAAATAAACTACGGGAATCTAATTATGGTCTGCTTGATGGCCATTGCAATGTGTAAAATGAGACCTCTGAAAAATTGTAAGCTGCAATTATTCCATGCTGTGAGTTTATAGAGATCTTCATAAATAATTATGCCAGATGAATATGAAGATTTCAGGATTTATTGCAAAGAATAGCATCTCTCAAAAGTAAAATAAACAGCTATAAATGAAATAGGACTAAATAGAAATGCATCAAAGTTCTCCTTAATATGTGAGGAATATTGCAGATGACCAAAACTGTTCATAAGGCATTAATCTCTGAACTGACTATGCACTCTCACATTTGTAGCCTTCCTCAAGGAAGAGGATAAATACTTCTAGAATTTAAAAAAAAAATCATACCTAGGGATTCAAAAATATGGCTTCTGGGGAGTTCCAAAGTGTCGTAAAAAAAGGTTCCAAATTGTCGAGAAATTGCCAAATATCGCCAAGACTTGGTAAAAGGGTTTTTGCTCATATCTCTGGTTTCACTTAAGCTAGCCTCACAATTCCAACATTAGTCAATTCAAAATTAAATAATACACAACATGGTACGTTGGCTAAGAATATACAAACAGAGAAAATGACCGTTAATTCAAAGTAAAATACACAATAAACGAAATAAAATCGAATAGTATATTAAATGAATAATTAAAGACAAATATAAAAATTCTTTAAAGACAATAAATATGTAAATAATATATATGAAAATTTACAATAATAATATGTTTTTACTCATAATAAGCCAGTTTTCTATAGAAAGTCCTCTCTGAAAGCATCTTTTAATTAGCAAACATCCAAGGTTGTATTATAATCCAGCAGCTACCATCTGCGTCTTTGAGATCTGATTATTTCATAACATCTGCAATAAAATGGACAAAACAGAACAAATTCCAATAAATTTAATTATTAAAATGGATTTAAGTTTTTCTTAGTTCATATTTTGATTTCAATTTCTTGAGATTTTTTTGTACACAAAAAAATTAACATTATCTTTGAGAATCATATATTCTTTCTGAGACATATTGTCAATTTGAGGAGTAACAAATCTACTTCCCTTTACCTTTTGATTAATTCTATTTGTCTTGGACTTTGCAGGCATTATTATGCATGACACAGATTAGAAAAACTTCAGTTGAGTGAGCGTGGAGTTAAATTTTCCAATTCAACAATTTTTTTTTTTCAACTGGAGGACCAATGAAAAGGCTGTTTGGTTCATTTACCAAATGAATGCTGCTGTTCTCTTTGACATAGATTAGGAAATCATTAATATTAAATTAATTACTGCCTACTAGAATATTAAATTAGTAACTGCCTACTAGAACATTAAATTAGTTACTGCCTTAAATAAATTACTTGTATAGCAGTAATTGTTCACAGTGTCTCCCATTACTATTTCACAATACAGGCTCACATTACTGTATATATAATTATAATGGATAGTGTGAAAGACGCTTGATCTTTAGTATCCAGGTGGATATAAACACTGATAATTCCACTTGAGTTTAAATACTGTCAGATATGGTATATGGTAGTTATATGTACATTTTAATGGTTTTGTATAATATGAATAATAGCCTTTGCTGTAATTGATTAATAGTGAGGAAGACTTACACAGTAGAATGTACTAACATTTATAATTTGCAATTTTAATGGGTCTGTGTAAATTTTTGAAAAATATTAGTAATGTGAATATTTTTTTTCTTTTTAGATTTAATACGATTACCTCATCTGTATGTCAGCTTTGTTGAAGATCAGTATATGAGCATATTTGCTATTGCACTTCCTTATACCAATCCATTTAAGTACAAAATGTTTCTTGTTATTTTTCTGTTTTACTGCTGTCCTTAATCGTTATCTAAATTTCATGATCTTTGTTTTTACTAGGTTTAGTCAATATACAGTTGCTTTGGCACATCATGTCATTGCTATGTGGTTTCTGAAATGTCGTATACCATTTCGCAGGGATTTTGCAAAATTCATCACAAAGGTATCAATAACTACACTTTTATTGAAATTAATATGTTCTTATATATTTTCCTGATCTGAAAGATTTATGTTTCATGCTAAATCATTTGTAGTGAGATTGATTTAAATTCAGTTTTAAGCTCTTTCATATTTTAAAAACTTCAAGTGAGAATTTCCAGCATTTAATTTTTATAATAACATGTGACTTTACATGAGATATTCATTTGGGAATGAATTTCTTATTACCTTTCAGGGTTTACGAAGTAATTTGAATGTGCCTCGGGATGACAGTAGTCGTCCTACTTCTTCTAGTCGAAATGATGAATTGGCTCGAAATAGTGAAGATAAATCTTCGTAAGTTTTACAGATTTATAACTTTTATAGCTTCATTATGTATATGATGGCAGAATAGTTAATACATGCATGTATGTGCGGTATAAGAATCTAAAATATATCTTTAGTTATTTGGTGCCTGCCAATACACCGTGGAGTGGTATTTTTTTTTTTTTTTTTAAATACCTGGCAGGTATTATTTGGCAATTCAATTGTCATACGAATTAGCATTAAACAGGTTGTTATGCTCTGCAGCCTGTTTTTGCCTTCATATGAACTCTGAAGACAAATGCCACCAGTTATTCTTTCATATTACTGATTCCCCATGTGCATTCCCCTTTTGGGTGTCAACACTAGTCTCGAGAATGTTCTCATTGAAATAAGAAAATGAATCTATCCCTACCCTTCCTTATCATTAAAAACTATTATGCATTAAAAAAAAAAAAGACTGTTAACAAGACAGGCAAGAGAAATAACCAACATTAGAATTAATAGAGGAATACTATTAAGAATTTATCTGCATTTTCAAACACTATAATCTGGTTTATTTAATTACTAAGTTTGTTTAATTACATAAATTAAATGACTGAATTATAAATAATTACATAAATTAAATCAATATGTAAAGCATAAAGGAAACACATGATAGATAAGGGAAAAGTAAACATTAGCAGAAATGAAGAAATTAACTTACAAAAAGCATTACATAATAATATTTCGAAGATACTTGAAAAATGTCATTAGTTTAAACTCGCATAAAAAGTCAGGGTTTCTTTCTTTCTTTCTTTCTTTTCTTTTTTTTTTTTTAAATTGGCAGAGATTTATGATCTTATCTTGTTGTGAAGTGTCATCATATCACTCAGAAGACTGTTATCTTGCCCTTCCAAGTAATCGTGAAAGCCGTTTACTGGGTGAAATGTACGCCATGCATCAGTTTGTTGTTGGCTGATTGTTCCTTATTTCCTTCACCATATTTTTCTTCAATATTACTTTATTCTTCTTTCCCTTTTATGCAGGTCCCAATTTGTTTTGAGTTAGAGTTTCGAATTGGTTTATTTATGATTATACTCTAGTTATTCTGAAATGTTTCCTTTGCCTAATTTTCATCATTAGGCATACCGCTTGCAATCTCCACGTGATCTGCTGCCGATAATTTCTGTGTATCTGTTATTGCACTCTGAAAAACCTTTTATTTTTTCATTCAGCAGACTTTACTTCCAAGATTTCATAAGAGTTGATGGCCTAACATTTTGTTATGTGGCAGCACTATCATAGAATGTATCTATGACTGAAAATTTTATAAAATTTTAGACTATTTCATTGGATTTACATAAAATTGTTAAATGGTAGTCTATAGGTTGTATTAGGGCTGTCACGTTAAGGGAAAGTATTTTATGAATTTTTTTTTTTTTTTTTTTTTTTTTTTTATCTTGGTAACTTATTTGAGTGGAATGGTGTACTTGTCTAAAACTAATATTTCTTTTCAGGAAGTTCTTGTAACTTCAACAAACCTTTTCATCTGAAACTTTTTTTTCAAACTCTTGCTGGAAAGTGTTTTTATACACCCCTTATTCTGATTGAAATAATAAACAGATAGATTGGTTGCCTTTTCCCCTGTAAGAGACCTTCAGATTTCCACTTTTAGAATGATGGCCAGCTTTGGTTAATGACTTCCTGGATATCAGAGCACTCTCATAGATCATAGATAATCATAATTGTTGGTGTGGTTTAACAGTCGTGATCAAAAGTGCCTCACACACACACACATGGTGAAATTTTTGCTGGCAGGTATTTGCATTGACCAGATTCGTCTGCATTGAATATTTGCTGTGAAAACAATCTTTCGGCCACAATTAACTTCATAAACTTGCTACAAAAATCCTCTGCTGTACCTTGATTGCCATTCATCACACATTTCAAATTTCAAGCTCTCGAATGCCTTGCCATTTTTGAACCGAGTAAGCCTTCTTGACAGCGCTCTGAACTTAACTTCAAAATCTAGTTGTCTCCCGCCCTCCCCAAAATTTATTTTCTGAATAAGTAATTTCATTTGTAGGGTTTCCTTGTGCTCTTTTGTGACTAAATCATTCCAATGTGGCTTTATTCAAGTCCTTGTACCCTGATGTTTTCATAGTTTTATTATTATTATTTCTGCAGCTGAATCAAGTGCACAGATAAATTGCATGGCTCTTTTTTTTTTTTTTTTAATACTAAAGCAACTCCTTGAAGTGCAATGAAAGGCCTCTGGTCAGGGGAGCCTCCTTGTTGATTAAGGCGTCCCAGTGCCCATTACACATAATATACTCTCCTGCTATATAGCAATTTTTCACTTGCCCCTCTTACTATTGTAAAGATTTTCAGACAGATACCACGTAGAGCTAAGTTGCTAGAAATAATCACACACATGCACGTGCATAAAAAAACTTGACCATGAAGTAATTAAAGGCAAAATTAATATGCATAAGTAACATGGTTTTTATAAAAAGCTGAAGGAATGGAATAAAATGCGGCATAAATAGCAAACCAGGAGTTAGGAAGCCAGTTACTGTGAAACCTACTGTTACTTACAAGAATAGTATTTCAATTATGGAAAGTGTTTTGTGAACTTCATAGTGGCCACCATTTCCTCCTATGAAGGGACAGACTACTTTACATCCATGCCCTGTCCAGTATTCGAACCTGGGCCCTTTATGCCTATTGGTATCACAATAGGCTCCTCTAACCATTATACTGTCTGGGTGGCTGTAGTAAAAATAACTTTTTAGTAACATAATGGAGATTATTTGAATTTTTTAAGTCCTCACTAGTGGAAAATTGAAAGATAATTTCCACAATTAAGTGTAATGTTGTTATTTATTATATTTTGGAAAGCTAAGCAGTATTGTCCATTGTTTCATGTCTTTCATTTTGCATTCTTAAAAATGGCTTCCCCCCTTTAAGTCAAAACAGAAGATTAGTAGCTTTACATTTATTTTTACAGTGGATAGTTTACTTTTAACAGATTATTAACATGTTGAGTGGTACGTCAGCCATCTGTGGCTGACACTAGACTTTCCGTTTAGGCCGCCATTCTTGGTTCATGCCATTCTCCAACAATCTCCTCCTCCTTGTCGGAAGATGATAAAAATACATCCACTCTGGGCCATTTTCTAGCAAGAATAATTTCACTGTTGCTATTGCTTTCACAATCTTGGGCAGACATTTTGATGCTCAGAGCTAAAGAAAATTTCTGTCTGCATGAGGCTAAGAACTGCAATGAACTGGTTTATCGTAAAGGGAACACCGGCCACAAATCCATTTTGATAAAATTTTATCTATTTGGCTAAACGATAAAGAAAACAAAACAGTCTTGGTGCGTAACATGTTGAATGAATGCCTATAGGAATCACGTTCCAAACGTAAACTATCTTCTACTGCAATAAGATTCACTGGCCCTACAATACAACCACTTTCAAGCGATGCACATGGGCAGAACAGGATTGCCTAAGAAATACGCGTGGCATTCAACGTTTTAAACAATGTTTGTATATTCCAGATTATAAACAGTTGTGAATAAAAACTAAGTATTAAAGCATCTCTTTTGATTGCTGTTATTCCATACATTCATTTTGTTTTTCTTTAAACAACTTTGTTTTACACTGTTAGTTTGTTATAGTAATTTTTGTGTAATGTTCCCGTTATTCATCAGGAAAGAAATATAAACTTTTTCAGATGGTTCCATGGTTAATCTCCCCTGATTGATTGGGAGTCTATTGTATATAAGTGAAATAAATATTCATTTAATTTATAATATCAATAATAAAACTTTTTTTTTTTTTTTTTACTTAACAGAGAAAAACAAGAAATGTCAAGCAGTGCCATAATTGCCCTACACACTGAACTTATGGAAACAGGTCTTGATTTAATGGCTCGATTTACATTTGGCATGTCATCCAATGTTCCAAAGAGGTAAGAAAGCAATTTTTAATGAGTTTTTGTTATTTAATTTTAATTATATATCATAATAATGATTTTTTTTCTATGGTGGACACTAGAATTTTTAGGCTTTTGCCATTACAGAGTCCGGAATTGGTGGTCATTTTATTATAGATGCACCTAATAGGTGGCCACCATTTCCTCCTATGAAGGGACAGACTACTTTACATCCATGCCTTCTCCAGTATTCGAACCTGGGCCCTTTGGTATCACAATAGGCTTCCCTAACCATTATACTGTCTGGGTGGCTGTAGTAAAAATAACTTTTTAGTAACATAATGGAGCTTATTTGAATTTTTTAAGTCCTCACTAGTGGAAAATTGTAAGATAATTTCCACAATTAAGTGTAATGTTGTTATTTATTATATTTTGGAAAGCTAAGCAGTATTGTCCATTGTTTCATGTCTTTCATTTTGCATTCTTAAAAATGACTTCCCCCCTTTAAATCATTATACAAAGGAGTCTCTGATTTTAAAATTAAAAATCTGAAAAACAAAGATCGATAATGGAATACAAGTGGTATATTTATTTTAAAAGTTACAAGATTGTATTACTGAAGTTTTCAAATCATAGTTACAAAAGCTATAAACAAATGGCTCTGTAATCACAATATATAGCGTGTATAAATAGTGCACCAAAAGATGTAAGATCAATCAGTTCCACCCTTGAAATATGAAAGGAGGTTAACATATGCAAGAAACAAGATGAAATTATGAATTCCACTGAACAGTGTGTACTGAAATACCAGAGTTAGATCACAGTCCTATGGCAACAAGGCATAGTATTCAAACACAACTGAATGTTCTCAAGGACCTGATCTGAAAACTATTCACAAGCTCTTCGTTCAATGTCTAATGGACAGGCAGCATGGCCGATGATCTGGTAGAGAGTTTTGGTCGCAGGCAAACTGTAGTTACTCCTGAAAATGTCGCAACTGTTTCTGTAATTATTCAGCAGCATCCAAGGAAGCCTGCCCAATGAATTTCAGCAGTGGCTGATTTGAAACTTTTCACCATGCAGAAAATAACATGTTTCCATTCAAAATCTAAAGGTTACCATGCACCAGTGTCTGCCATTAACTGTTTGCGGATTTTATAACCATTATTTAGAAATTCTGTATAACGGTCTTAGAGCTTTCACAATAAATATACCACTTGCTGTATTCTTCTATTGATCTTTGTTTTCAAGATTTTTAATTTTTAAATCAGGGACTCCTTTGATAGACATCCTATATATATATATACATACACACTATTTCCTTGCATCTTTTCTCCTTAATATTTTAATACCAGGTTCTGAAAATTAAAAAAATGTTTGCATAATTTTCTCCTTCCTCAGTGTGTTCAAAGAATGAGCTGCCCTAAATTTTAGAATGAATTTATCCACATAGGCATTGTTTTCATCTTACCATCAAAGACAAATCCTCCTAAACTACCCACAGTAGGTTATGCTGAAGCTTTCCCTTCTAACTGTGGAATTTTATTCCAGGCTAATACAGGAACTGACAATCACAGCAAAGCAAACATGAACTGACATTCAGTCTATGATTTCACTGAGTCAGCTGCATATTTAACATCTCTGATTATTTATGAATGGTTTGAGGCCTAAGAAGTTACAGAGACAACAGTAAAAATGGTCAAGATTCAAGTTGCAGGAAAATAGAAATAAAGATACACTCTGTAACATAAAAAGCAGCATATGAAGAGGGAGTTATCCAAATGGTATGAAAATCTGTAAATATAATGTATTTTGTATTGAAAATGCAATCCTAACAGCATCATAGGAATTGAATGTTTTATTCAGGAAATACAGCTAGAAGAGTCCCCTCCCCCCAAAAAAAAATAATACTTTGGCCTACCTTTGGCTCTGACACAAGCTGGGGTTCAACTTATAGAATTTGCATGTCCTTCTGCAAGATTGCTTATACACATTCCAGTCAGCAAGTTAGATCAGCATAACCCAAGGGTGATCAGAGACACGTGTTCATCAGTGTTTAAATCCGATCTGTTGGGAAGAGATCTGGCAATCATGCCAGCCAGGGAGGTGTTGGAAAAGCATGAAGACAAGTGTGTTGTGTGGCTGGTCAGTATCCTAATGAAATATAATCCTAGGGATCCTTGAAGGAAAGGGCAGCAATGCAGAGCATAGAATCTCATTGGCATATTGCAATGCTTAGGTGCCACAGTTAACAACCAGAGGGGTCCAGCTATTAAATGAAATGGTACCCTTTACCACAACTCCTGTTTATGAGGTTATGTTGCCGATGACAGTAGGTAAGTATCCTGCTGTTGTTCTGGGCATCTGCAGAAACATTTTCACTGATCATTGGGACTTAGTTCGAAGCAGGACTCATTACTGGAAGCAAATGTACTCCAGTCTGTGAGAACCCAGGTCGAATGCACACGACGCCATTGCAAATGTGCCTGATGGAGTGTAGTGGTGCATGAGGAGAAGTCGTTGCTGTGGCCATTGTGACCCCCAACCCCCATTTATTGAGTCACCTATCAATTGTCATTGCAGTCACTAGTGTCCTAGTTACATGTCAAATCATTGATAATGACACAGCGGTATGTCTAATGTTAGTATTACAATATATTCTTATTAGAATGTAGGTTTCTCTTAAAGAAATAATATTGTTATAGTCACCTCTAGTTTATCCATGACTACTTTTCATTTGTTATATTTTTACTGTAACCCCATCCTTCAGAAATTAAATTGTTTTGTCAATTTCCAGACAATAAAATTAAAAAAAGGGGGTGGAATATGGTACATATCCTGATGAAATATGTAGAATTCTTATATATAAATGTATAAAACAATTTTTTTGATAACTAAAGTAGTAATTTTAGTGCTGGGGAGGGGGAGTTAGACTTGTGAGAAAAGTAATGAAATTTCATAATTTGTTTCCCAGTTTGGAATATGTACTGCAGTTTTGTCAAAAACAATTTAAAGAGGGAACAAAAAATTACAGGAATAAAAGAACTCATGCAGATTATTAGCCTGTAATTAATTAAACTTTATATAACACATTTTTTAAATCGAAATTGGATGGGAACAGCATTGTGACTTATACATAACAATTCTCATATATCCATATCAGTGAATTTGCATATCTTTTAAAACAATGTAAAACATGTAAAAATAATATAACAAATGCATGTAAGTGAGAAGACAACAAACTTTTGATATGTTGCCAATGATTTATAAATTTCAGGAAAAGGCATCTGGATATATTATGCTGTATACGTGCAGATTTCCATCCTTAAATTGCATGTCTTTAAATTTAGAAAAAGAATTGTTGAGCATAAGTAATATTTATCAGTATTATCAGCTAATGAAGAGCAAGTATCCATATTTTATTCATTTGAAATACATTTTAATGTCTCTTTGTGTGTTGGCCGTTTTTGATTTTGAAATAAGACTGCAAAATATAAAACATATGCCATTTTATCATTAATGCACACCTCAACTTTAATTTCTACAAAAGAAGACAACTATGACATTTTACAAAACCTGTTAACCTTTGCTTATCAGTCCAGAAAAAACAATATTTATATTATCCAAAAACGTTTGACTGATACTGCCTAAATTATCTAATGTTTCTGAAAGAAAGTTACAGTATTTCATTTTTCTTAATAGGGGCTAATTTTTGTACAGAGTTATAATGAGACATGTAAAATCTTTACTGGTAACTTAAAATTTTGTAGTAATCTTTAAATGAATAAAATGTTTTGAGGTTTCGCATTGCTTAGAGGTTAGTTATTATATAACATCATAATAAGACAGATTAAAGTGATTATCAATTATTTAACTTCTAAAATCTCATCCTTTTAATGACTTGTAGTAATTAATATTTTATAGTTGATTAGAAAATTTCTTTAAACTTTTTACTCTCACAGTCATATTAATATCGTACAATTCTGGATTCGTACGATTTTGTGAATAATACTGATATTCTTTTGAGTTTTCTAATTATCTTAGTAAACTTGGAATTCTTGTAGATTTTTTCTTTATTTTAGCAAACTTGATAACTAAAGTGCAATTAATAAATAAAAGACTTGATTACACATAGAGTGTAAGTTAGCATTTTCTAATGTTTTATTCTTAAATTGATGATTTTAATGTGGATTTTTTTAATTAGTTATTTGAAATAACTTTAAAAAAAGGAGGTTGTAAAATTGAAAAGAATATTTTTCTCCTGGAAAAAGAGGTCACTATGTCAATAACCTTGAACTTTGATAGATCTTTTGCATAAAATGTATGAATTTAAAGTTCACTGCCTCCTAATTGTATATGAAACTTTATGTTGAGGTGGGAGACAGAAGTATAAGGTTTGATTTGAAATTATTTGTTTTATTTTCAAACAACAAGTTACAACAACAACTTTTGTCATTTTTTCTTTTTCTATTTTTAAAGGTCTCCAGTTTCAGAATTTTTATTAGAAAAAGGCCAGAAAAGCAGTTGGCTAGTTGGAAATAAAATCATAACCATCACCACTAGTGGTTGTGGTACAAAGTCTTTTAAGCATGGTCTTTGTGAACAGTGCTATTCATCTTGTCATGACAAATGTAAAAGTATAGAATCTGGTAAGAAAATTCCTTTTTCTTTAAAATTTAGTTGTTGTAGTAATTAATTTTCACTTCATAATATTTTATTTTGAACCATAATTATAATAAACAGTCAGATTATTATCCTTTATATTTAAACATTGGCATATATACTGTGTGTGCAAATTAATTGCGACAAAGTGATATTTTTCATAATTTATATACATACCTTCATATACAATGATAATAACAAAATTAATAGAAAATATATCCTAATTTAGCAGAAATTACCTCTAGAATGTATTTTAGCATTTAGCATTGACATTGCATATATATTATATATATATATATATTTAAACTTTTTTATCATGGAACAATGCTTTTATAGCATTCTTTAACATGTGCTCTGTCATGATCTAGCCCTTCAGGGGCTCGCTTTTGTGAGTACTTGTGTAGCAATCCTGAGGTACCCAAGCCCTTCAGGGAATCATCTTCTTGGTGAGACAGATGTCACGATCCTGGAGCTCCAGTAATCTATCCTCTTTTCCATCTCCCCTTCTCTGAGTTGAAATATTTTTCCTTGCCTTCTGTCTCGTGATTTTCCTCTTCGGAGTTTGGGGCTCATCACGAGAAACTGGAGCAGCCCTTGTCTCTAATTTTCGAATGGCGAGAAAGTGGTATAATATATAGCTGTAATAATTTTAAAATTTCATTGATGGCCCTTATATTGAGGAGTATTATAAAAATGCCTGAAGTCATACATACTTGATACAGTACAAAGTCTCTAATCTGGACCTCCATTATCTGGAATGATCTGTAATCCGAATCTCAAAGCCACAAACTTATGCATGCACGTTTTAAGCGTGCATCCGCTACGTGTGCGCGTAAAGCCAGTAAAGCGTTTACCCATGCTCGCTTCCAATAGTGAAGAAAGTAACAGAGAACGTTATTGAAAATGAAAAAATTTCGTTTTACAAGTTAGTCGATATTGTCGACACAGCAATTACAGGACTTGAACAGTGGAACAATTACAGGACAAGAACTTATGTCTGTTTATAGAGTTAAAGAGAAAGTATTAGCATAAAAAATGAAGCAACTTAAATAACTTACATTGATAGAAATGTTTACTAAAGTAAACAAATAAATATTAAGCTTTTTTGTGTGTGTGTGTGTAAATTTTGATACCCTTTAGATCATAATTGCTCTTTATTTCATAAATTACGGTTTCGTATTTTTAATTGTATAATTTCTGCATGCCATCTTACCATATTTAAATTGATAATCTATAATCCTGAAAAAACCCTAACCAGGAATCGCCAAAGTCCTGACAAGTCCGGATTATGGACTTTGTACTATACTTTGTAAAAGCAGAATGAATAATTTGCCAGTGAAGCCAGATTTAAATCCTCTCCCAAGTTGACAAACATTTCAGTAAGTCGATACAAATAAATTGCGTACGATATGTAGTCCTACTTTAAGACTTTTTTTTTTTCATTTTGAAAGCAAAAAACAATGTAGTTAAGCCAAGGAGCAGAAAGCAACTGCAATGTGTTCGAGACAAACTCTTAATTGAGAAGAAATTAGTTTTGATGTCATTATCATTTGACTAGCTAATAAATAACTTAAAATTATTATTGGCTGGTTGAGTTTCTTTTCACAAAACATCACCAACATTACGCAAAAGTCCTGTGAATTAATGTGCAACTGACATGGTCCAGAGAGGTTTAGTATAAGCAGTTTTTATTTTTAGAACACAAAGGAAAAATACTAAAATTAAAATGAAGAGTTAAGGGGCTAATGCAAATTTAAGTTTGAATTTTAATTTATATGATTTTTTATGTAAGTGTGTGTGTATCTACATATGTATGAAATCATAGCAATATCTGTCAATATTCCAAATTATTTCATACATATATACACATCCACCCACAATGGGTTGCACCATTTGATGTGATCATTGTTAATATCAACAGATTAGAGTGATAAGGCTAGTTTCTATACCAAGTGTGTAATTAAGTCATTGGTAATTGTAATAATTTTTCAGCTTGCAGTTATCAGTTTGAAGATTTGCATTATAGAAGGAAGTTTATGAGGAAAGCTGAAGTTGAATCAGCTTTTAAAATTAGTTTAAGAATGTTTATGATAGACGTAAGTATTAATGTGGTGGTCCAAAGCAATTTTATGTGGCCCATGAATACATTTATGTATTTATTGCAAAAATTTAAAGATTTTAGTTCTTTGAAGTCTGAGTTTATGTTATTTTCATTTCCATCAAAAATAAACATAAATAACTTGACAAAAAATCTGTAAATGGAACTAATTAATTAACAGTGTGGTATAAATCTTATTTGGACTTCAAGGTACAGATTTTCTTAACTTTTACTAATACTTGTCAAAAAATAACTAAGTGACAAATCTTTTTACTAAGAATAATTTCTTTCTTTGGGAATACATTTGTATGTATGCAACTTTTTTGAATCGAAAATTAATAAGGAAAGAAACACATTGACTGATGAGTGTCTACAATCAATGATGAAGATAATTTCTAGCAATCTCTCTCCAACACCACAAATTCTATCAGAATTGAAATGCCATTGTCATGTTGTAATAAGAAATAAAATAGTTAATAATTATTTACATGCAAACATATGTATTTTTATTTATACGCGAAAAAAATTTAATAAATAAGAGAAAGACTAAATTGTTTTTATTCTCAAATTTTGTCCCACAGGGTAATTTTTTCATATTCTATTTATTTTTAGTTTAAATTAAAGTTATTTAATGATTAATTAAATGTGTTAGAATTATTTGAAAGAAATGCTAGTCTAAGAATTTAACGTTTAGCTCTCGGCCCACAAGCGGCCGAGCGGTAAAGTCGCTGAACACTGGTAGTTTCGGTCCGAGGTACGAATCTCATGAATGGGCTGGCTGCGTGTGCGTTTTCGTGTTTTCCCATGTGTGATGTGTATACGAGCCAATTTCCCTTAAAAAGTCCTCTACGAAGGCATCCCTTCCCCTAGGCAGATAGCCCTAGTGTGCTTTGCCATAATTAAATAAACTAAACCAAACATTTAGCTCTCAGTATATTTAAATTACAAAGTGTACCCCAAAAAAAATTTCTGTGAATACGAAATCTGAGATTTCAGATAGAAAATAACTATAAACTTGAATTTTTCCCTTAGTGGAGTAACCAAAAAAGTCGAGTGTAACCAAGAAAATTTCTTGCAAGTACTAGACTTTAGATTTCAGATAAAAAATAACTATAAAACTAAATTTTTTCACTTAATGATAATATTACTATTGTTTGTGTATTTTTTGACAAATAATTAGTAAGTGAAATTTAAAATTTATGTAAAATATTTTTTATTTTGTTGATAAAATTTTTCAGTTTCAAAAATAAATAAAATAAAAATTCTGGCCTGTTAGCTGGTTTCAGGTTGTGCATTTGGCCTGCTTGATAGATTATGCTGCCCAGTGCAATATCTGCAATTCATAAATTTGCTGTTCAGTGCCTGCCTAAGTTTTAAATGTTTTGCCACCTCTATAATCTCCCACCCGGTGAAGCTACATTGGGTACCCCTGCTGTAGAGCAGACCAGGATTTAAAACTACTGCATTGATGCATCAAAGGGGAAAGAACCTATTAAAATGTATAGATATTATAAATAGTTGGTATTAAAGATAGTTCATTTGCTAGAGAAAAGGAGAAATTGTTGTTTGCAAATGAACATGAGAAAAATTATCCAGAATTTATTATAACAGAAACAGGAACTACAGAAAAACAGCCTTGAATAATTTATATTTATCTGAAATTATATACAGTTCTGATTATATTATTGTTGTTTAGTATTATAAATATTATTATTATTTATTATCAAAAGTGAGACATTCATATGTGTTTAAGAACTACTTTTTACACAGTGTGAAATTCTAAAATATCATGCTAACTGTTTAGTATTCTATTAATATGATTAGAAAAACATTGATAGTTGTCACTGGCAATAATAAATGCTGCTCATTAATAATAATTCGAACTCTAAAGCACAATTACAATGTTTTTTTAAAGTCTATTATAAATGCCCTTCCCTCCTGTTTCTTTATTGACTAATACATTGTATCACAATATAAGAATATTTAACAAAGTACGGTTTTTTATTTTATCTGATAATGTTGTCATATCTGCAAAATGACATTTTCTGTATCTGAGATATTTGTAATGAAAGAAAAAATATTTTTAATGGTAGTAAATGATAATATTTATTGAAACATATAATTTTTTAAAGTAACCTATATATTATTGTAATATTTTTTATTCAAAAATTTATTTAAAAGTAAAATAATGATTATTTTAAAATTTTGTTTCAGATGAAAATGATTCCATATTTTTAGAGCATCCAATTCATGAAAGCCAACAAGAAATTTCTAGTAAAAGAGAATCAGAAAACTCCTTTTTTGAAAGGAAGCGCCATCGTTCTGCCATTCAAAGGAGGAGTACAACTCTATCTAGAGAATTGCTTACCAGTACAAAGCAAACCAAAGATGACATCCTTTTACATTACCAGAGGTTTGAATCATCAGATCCAAACAACCGGTATTAATTGTAATTTTTAAATTAATTGAACTAGTATTATGAAAACATTGTTGATTCACAAATTGTAGGATAGTGAAAGCATGGATTTAAATTTATGTATAATAAGATACAAATCATGTTTTAAAAGGTTATAAATCAAAATAATTTTTAGTAAAATTTTCATTAAATTTATGTATAATAAGATAATGTTTCAAAAGGTTCTAAGTCAAAATAATTTTCACCAAAATCATTGAAAGAGCAGTTAATCATCTTGAGCAACCTAAGAAATCATGTTGCTGTTTAATCTTAATTCCAAATGTATTAAAGTTATTTAAAAGGAAGAATGAAAATGTGTTTTTATTAATATTTTCTCTTCACAAAGATTGGGAAGATTATTAGAACATCTTCTGAGAAAACAGGACAATAAAATAGTAGTTGAAAACTTACGTATGCAGAATGGACAAACATAATTCATACTTGGGTCCTTTCATATATGTAGTGTATGTATACACATACTTGCTGCTTGCATGTCCGGCCTTGTAAAAAAGGAAAATTGTGTAATAATTTTAATGAGTCCAGTTAATATAATTTCTCCGCTACTGCTAGTAGAAGAGAGCTGTGTTTATTGCTTTTCAATGACTTCATTTGTTAATTATTAACAGATAAAATTTGAAAGACGAATACATCATCATTTGGCATGTGAAAACGCATTTTTTTTTTTTTTTTTTTTAAATAACTGAGATTTCTGATTAAATTTGAAGCATAAATATCGTATGCTTACCTGAGTGGCAACATGTTGCTCAATTTGTTGATCAAAATTTGCATTTCTCTCAAAATATGGAACAAAAAACTTGTTCAAAATTTGGTCTTGAATACACATTTTCTGGTGGAATGCTATACATGTTCAAAATTTGGTGGTTGTAGGTTTTTTTTTTGGGGGGGGGCAGTACAAGGAACCTACATACATATGTATTCTTCATTAAGGTTAAAATTCCATGCCAAACAAATATTAATTTAGAAGCCAAACAACAAAAATCAGCATTATATTTGCAAATTCTCACAGGACTAGTTACGATGCTTTTACTGAACCATTATCCTCCAATGATGATGATGGTTTGGTAAAACCATTGAAACTAATCCTAGAAAAATTTGCAAATATAATGCGGATTTTTGTTGTTTGACTTCTAAATTAATGTACTTTATTGTTTAATAACTAACACACACATATATATATATATGCACCATGGATTCCAAAAGTTAAGCATGCGGCGCAAATTGGCAATTTTCGAAAGTTTGCGTCAAGTTTGCTTTCAATTACACCATCAGGTCATGCAAAAACGAGGACTAAATATAAACTTTTTGACTGTTGGAAAGCTTTTGATTATCTTAAGAAATCAGAAAGGAAAAATTCAAATCTTGAAAAAAATTTTGATTAGGTAGTTCTAATTTATATATAGCGTATATTTTTGTGTATAAACCAAAATTTTTCGGAACTTTTGCCGAAGTTAAATTATGGAGTACATATACACAGTACATGCTTACAGTATATGGACATAGCCGTATTTTGACTTAATAAGGCCCTAATCTATTTGAGATATGGGGCTCTTTATATGTCTGTTATACTATGTTTTAATTTCCCCCCCCTCTTCCCCAGGAAAGTGAAGGCCCTAAGCTATAGCTTGTGTGGTCTTATACGTAAATCCTGCACTGTATGCGGATCCACTAATATTGCAAAAATTGTTATTACTTTACGCTAGTCAGACAAAGTGATAAATCATCAAATATAGCACATTTTTATTTTAGTTTATTTGAATTTACTGTTGAACAGAGCTGAATTTGTATAATAACTTAGTTTGCTTTTCTTGTCCTGCAGCCTTCTAGTCATTAGGATAATATCTATATCCTAAAGAAATTTTTTTTTTTTTTTTTTTTTTTTTTTTTTTTTTATATGTTAGATAGCAAAATAAGATAGACAAGTAATAAATCTGATTAGATGAAAGCCATCATGGTGATTAGAACTATAAATATTGTGTGTGCAGGTATCACAGACCTGTGTGTATGTTTTAAAATTTTAATCTAGATCACTCTTTGCCTATTGTTTTAAACTGTGATATAAGGTTTAGAAATAGTACTTTATTAAAACCTTTCAGGAAAAGGTGTAGAATTATGGATATTTAAATCAACAAACTGAAAAGCAAATTTTTAATGTAATAATTTTCATTCTATGTAGGTCCAAATATTTTTCTCTGCAGTAGATAGTTTCTTAAAAAAAGTAAGAACTGTAGTGCATTTGAAGAATCAGAATTATCTAACATGAAAACCCGATGTAATAAATTATAATGCATTCCATAATAAGCATTCCATGGGGGGAGACTTGCATAATATTCTGATTTAATTCATTCCTGCTTTCTCGCCACTTTGTTCTGAATAAATTGTTTTTCTGTAAATATGATAATGTATTAAATTTAATAATTCTGATAAATAAAGAAGGAAAATTTTTGTTATCAAAATAAAATGAGGAAAGCTTAAAATATTTCTAAAAATTGATATTAAGAAGTTTTTGTTATATGAATTCTAGGAATTTTTGTTTTGAAATAAATGCAGATGGAAATCATTTTCAAAGACATTCTTTGAACTGTGCTTGATTAGATTGAATTTTGAAGAAGCAGAAATAAGTGTAAACTCTGAAATTATTGAAAATTAAATTTTATAATAGAAGTATTTGAAATTTTGTTTAATCCTGTTATTTTTTAAGTTAGAATTATTAGATGTTTTACATATGTCTTTCTTTGCAGTTTTCAGACTTCATATTTAAATACCGATGAAAATCACTTAAGTCATTTTCAAGCAGACTGGACTTCAGAAAGTTAGTATGTTTATTGCATTTCATAATTGAATTTGGCATTATTGTTGTTATTTTTTCATATCTCATAGTTTATAAATGCAATGCTATATTTATACTGGAAATATATTTCTCATTGACTAGTATTAGTCTTCTTTAATAAACTTTTTAGAATGTATTATTAAATTTTGCATAATTTAGAGATATTTATTTTCACAGAAAATTTTAGTCCATATAAATATGACCTCATGTTTTATCATTAAATTGTCATTGAATAATGCATTGAAAGTTTGTTATTTTGGGAGAGAAAGAAAGCAATTCTTAAATGCTTAAAAATGTCCCATTGTATATAATTACTATGTTTTTTACCTTGATAACATGAAATAATGCACATACAAACTGTGTTATTTGGCTTCATTCATGTGGATATTGCATTGTCACTAACAGTAAAGTGGCTGCTAAATACTAGAGCAACGGTTATCAAACATAAGTTTGTGGAAATGTTTCTCTAATTCAAGCAATTTTCATAGCTGAATCCTTCAAATAACTTTGGGATAAGTTGCTTTGTAAGGTTCCTTTAGGTTGATTAACCAGTTATTTTATATTTTTGATCTTTACTGTCACTTCTCCTTTCTGTTTTCCCACCAGAATGCAAATTAGTTTGCATGTATTTAAAATTAGCGATCTGGATTAAGACAGAATGTGTTCTACCTCTTGAGGCCACATTACTAGGATTGCTAGATAAGATTTTTAGTCTTTGGCCTTGCATTATGATTTTTGATAGTTGACAACCACGCTGGTTAAGTTTTGACCAGCTTCACATTAACTGATCTGAATAGCTTTTGGCTAATAGTTTATTTACTAGTTTATTAATTACTAGTTACTAATTTGTTAATTTATATATTGCATTTGAACTTACTGTTACTTTAAGTTATCTTCCCACAACTCAGCCAGCAGAAGAACAGAAGAGCAAAGTGCACCTTCTGTTCTTATTTAATTTTAAATAAAGGTTTTTTACACCCTTCTCAAATTTCAGTTGTTGCTTTAGACTTAGCAATAATTTGCTAAACATCTGGACACTTTAGGTAATTGCAAAATACACCAGTCTATATAGGTTTTATGCTTTTGTGATATACTGTGGAGTTAATTCACTGTACATGTCAGAATTTTGAATACCCATAGAAATGGTGTAATTACATTAGAACTTTTTATGGTGCAAAAATATCATATTTATTCCTGTATTTTCCGTTTTTGAACAACTTACAGCTTTTTGTATTAATTTTATTATGTGAAAATTAAGAGGGGAAAATTGCATGATTTCTAAAGGGCATGATAAAAGCATGTATTAAAAGTATTAATGGATAATTGCCAACACAATATTATTTATTTAAAGGAAGCCTACATTCCAGTAAGAATGTTTAGTAATATTAATGTTACAATTGCTGATAAGATATCTTCATTTCTACTTCCACAGCTTTTAACATACAGATCTTTTCCTGTGCAATGATCTTCAAAACCATTGAGAGAATTAAATATCCATATGTTCTTGAAACTCTTGACTATTACTGCTTTATTAATCAGAGCCCATATACCCAGAATTCACTAGCAAACCAATTAAATGGAAGTTCTTTGAATTTTTTTATGTTCTAGTAAAATTGTGTGACCCACCTGACATACTCACTGTAAAACTTTTGGAGATTGTCTTTTAATGGTTTATTCACTGATATGTCAAACAGTTGCAAAAGTGAGTAAGTCATCCTGAAATAATAACAGGAATGGTGTTTGATTTGTTACTTTTTTAATTCTATGTTTTTAATATATCCTATTATATGCCCGCAAAAGCTGTCTTTCATAGCAGTAACTTCTTATCTAGAAGAGCCAATGGGTGTTTGTAATTTCAAGCCGTTTTTTTCATTACATCCTATAACATCCAGCCTTTCTCGTGAACCTTAACTACAATATCATTAGGGAATTTTTAGTTTTGCTAGTGTCTTCTGACAATTTTTTACATCAGCAGTCACTTAATATTACTGTGGAGCACATCTTTTCAATTGTACTTTTTATGAACACGGAAGATGCTTTCGTTTGGTTTAATGTAATGTTTCTAAACATGTAAAAAATATAAGAGTTTGATCCACGTTTCCAGTATGGCCAAATCATAGTCATAATCTTTTCTTTCTTGGATCACAGACTTATGAAAGTCTAATATCTTTTCATCATAATACTTTGGTAAGCCGTTGTGCAAGTATTGTTCTTCTCCTTCATGTAAGTCTGAGTGGTCTATTCTGTGCTTGTTTTTAAATTGTTGTACTGTTTGTAAAATTTAATGCTCTTGGCTATCATCCAATGTTAAACTTTATGTAGACGATAAGTAACCATTACTAAGTCTAAAGAACAACAGAAACTTGAGAGGAATGAAAAAGACCCTTTATTTAAAACTGAACAAGAAGGCACTCCTGGTGCTTACAACTTCACCAGCATTTATGACAAGAAACTTAAAGAAGTAGATAAAATTTAAAGCTTAAATTTAAATAAACACATAGCCAAAAGCTACACAGAGCAATTTAACACAGAGTTGGCTCGAACTTAACCAGCATTCATTTCAACTGTCGGCAGTTATAGTGCAAGGCTGAAGATGGGAATTCTTATCTAAAGTAGCAAACCTAGTAATGTGACCTCAAGAAGATGCTCTATCAACAGTCTCAAAACCTCATTATAAACACACGTGAACTAATCTGCATTTTGGTAGGAAAACGGAAAGACAGAAGTGTCGATTCAAAATGTAAAATAACTGGTAATTCAAATTAAAGGAATGTCACAAATGTAATATCACATTTCTTCAGTTTATCACTTGCTTTGGTTTGCATCATCTCATGTGACATGGCTGTGCCATTATTTTGTTATTCTGTCATGTAATTTGGCACTTCACTATCAATTCCTGGAAGCTCCCCAGTTTTTGGTCTCTGAAATGTTCTTTGCTTTAATTTATCTTTATTAGTACCTCCTTTAGTTTTCTTCAATGTTGAAGAATGAAATTAGCTACAATGCCAAACTGTCAACTGTAGTAATTCAGAAGTCAACCAACAAAATGAATTAGTATTTATTCGGCGTGTTATTGTGTCTTAATTGTCTACTGTAGGTTTGACACAATTAACCTCAATGAATTTTAAAACTAACTATTAATTTTGTCATGTAGCTATAATTATTTTCTTTCATTGTGATTCTTAAAATTTGCACTATGCTGAGTTCATTGTGCATACACCTCAAAAGAAATTTCTTTGAATTATATTTTTTTATCTCAAATAAAAGTACTGTTGGGAAGCATTTACATGATGGTTTAGTCATCAGTATTGTTTTAGTTATAAGAAGTAAATGTTATTAGCTGCATTCACACTTGTGGAATAGGCTTAAGCTGTATTGGAAAAAGTAAAGCAGCACATATGTGAATATGTAGCTAATTCTGTGAAATCACCGATCGAATGTCAGTACCACTTTGCTGTGTTGGTTGGTTCTTCTAGGCATAAAGTTCAGCTGTTAGAACATTCAGACAAATTCTTTATATAAGTTTCCGTGATGTAGCAAGATTTTGTAATCTAGCACTGAGTGTTTTGAGTAAAGAAAAAAATTGCATAAATATTTTAAAAAATCTTTAGAATCTTTAAACTAGGGGGATACATGTGTAAATATGGTAATTATGCAGCTCTTTTTAAATGCATTAAAGCTTGTTATTATTTACTCCTACTCACAATTTTGTCTGTTGAAAATAAAATCTAAGTGTCATTAGATTTCCTAGTTCGTGCAGTTGCAAATGATTAATAAGTTAATCTAGAAGTTTTTTTTTTTTTTTTTTTTTTTTTTTTCTAATTGCTATTTTCTATTAGATTTCTTTTAAACTCTCTTTAAAATGGAAGTAACAGAAATTTCTTTTTAATTGTATTGGCCATTGTATCATGATGAATTTGAAATAGATATGATATATGAGAAAAAATTCCCCATTTGCTTTTATTATTGAACTATTAACACCCCCCTTGATTCTCTAATGAATCAAATAATGCTTTAAAATAAAATAATCGATCAAGGTACTTGTGCCCTGTCCAATGTTCAACTCCTTTCGATTCTCCAATGATCTGTCTCCAATAATTTTTTGGTGTGTTAATACTGAAGTTAACTCTCACTGAGTATAGATTCACTGAGTTTTGATAGAATTGAATTTTGATTGCTCATTGTTGATGTTAACTCCCTGGGCACACAGCAAGAACTAAGATTTTTTATGCTCAGTGATTTCTCTCTGATTGTTTTAGATTACTTTCATTTTCAAAAACATTACTTATAAACATACACATTAATTAGACTGCATCTGTAGTGATTTAAAATCAAAATGTCAATTTTAATTTTTTTACCAACATAAATACAAACTTTTATTTTATGTTTGTGATATTTTCTGTAATCAGAAGTTAAAGAACAAACACTTAAAATAATATGTTGTATTAAATACATAATTATTATTATTGGATTACTACCAGCTCCAGCTACAGGTCCATACATAACCACACACCCTTTTTTTTTTTTTTTTTTCCCTTTCTGAATCATATTAACTGAGATGCTGTTGTAACTGCTAACACTAGGAATTCTAACTAAAGTGACAGTTAATAACATCTAGAAGGGACAGTTAATATCATCTTTCTAACATCTTATCCTCATGCTGTGAAACTCTATCATCACGTAATATCTTAAAACTAACATCAAAAGAGTTCACAAAATGCAAATAATCAAATTAGATCATAATAAAAAGCCGTGTACCATCCTATGGGTTGTACTGTTGGAATCTTAAAATTTGCAAATTAAATATATACATCTTACCTGTTTTCCAAAATAAAATTCTCAAAACTTTGGATTATATTTTAAATTCCTGTACAGTTTGTTGCTATCCACAACTTCAAACCAAAGAATAATTAGATTAAACATTTTGATATTTTCTAGTGTTTATAGATACAGACATAGTATTTTTGTGTGTTAGCAGCTTGTATCAACTTTGAGAATAAACTTGCCAGAAGAACTAGAAAATTAAACAATTTTAGAAGAGAAGGTCAGCATCCAAATGCTGAGTGGTTCAAAAATGGTAACAGCCATATCCATTCTAATATATGTCGTTACAAAACCTTATACAGTGGCAAAAAGCATGTAAAAACACAATCGACTCTAAACGTATTCATGAGAGCCTGCTGACGCCAGTGTTAAAGTGGCAACTCAGACGACCTCCTCTACTCTCCTACTTCAACGCTGAGCAGAGTAAAAGTTGCTAAAGTATAGCATTCATTTTAACCATACTCCTTTTATGGCAACTTTCCCATTACAGAGCCAGATTAATTGTCACAAGAATTTTTTATTTTAAAAGTTTTGTTTGAGCTTGCTTTTATATTCTTTTCGATATTTTTCATATTTTCATTTTCAAGAAAACTGGTACTGCTTGATGTTTCATTTATAAAGTAATGTTGTGTAAATAATATATGTATGTATGTTTGTTCATACATGCATGTAATAAATACTGCAGCTTCCTACAATGTTACAGCCAAGTAATTTACAAATTCAACTTGCATTAAATTCAAGTTATCTAAGCGTATGTGGATCATATTACTTATATAACTCAGGAGGTTACTGTAATTGAAAGCATATGTCTATGAATAGCAGCTGCAGAAAAAAAGGTCAGTTAAGGACTTTAGTGAACATTATGTATATTAATAGGATATAAGGATTTATATTTATTTTGACTAACCAGTTAAGTGTATGCTTTCTTTCCTGTAAGCCTTCATTTCCCTAGTTGTCAATGTCAGAATATATAAATTTGGTAGCGCACATGAAGGAATGCAAATTCTATCAGTAGAAGAAAGGTTTAAATTCTAAGCTCTAGAAGGGAAAGTTAGAGAGAGTGGGCAAGTACTTTATCTCTGTAGCAGGAGCTTCTGATTTTGTATTTATTGCTTGTTAAAGTGGCGCAACTGCTAATATTCTGCTGCTACTAGACCCAGTTGTAGGTAACAGAATTATCTGAGCCCTGGGGAAAATTCTAATATCTTTGAATTTTAAGTTTAGTTCTTGTTAGTTGAGTTACTGCCCGAGCAAGGCACAGTTTGTTAAAGGGTTCTCTTAACCCTTATCCTGTCTGGTTCCTGCACTTACTTCAACTGTCGCACTGAAAGTTTAGCACCTAGATATTACAAGGAAAAATGTTTTGAATGTACTATGGGGAGTATTTTTACTTGATTTATTCATCATCTTTCAGGTTATAATTCACATGTACCATTTTTTAGAAAATGTTCAAATAATGAAATTATAATTAATAAATTTGTGATTTTAAAATTATTCTGATTCATTTACAGAAAAGGCTCTAAATTTTAAAGAATTTTTTTCTTTCAAAAAGAAGTTTAAAGTGAAGTATTGGAACAGTCAAATATCAATTTATGAAGTTTGACTTGGTAGCATAAACTAGGTCCAAACTCCTGACTGACTTGGAGCGAATTATCACTTCATCTGAAAAGAACTACAAAGTCTTAAGAAGGTTTTAAAACAAACCTTTTATTAAAACAGAACTAGAACGTAAATGCACCTTAACAGGATTTCATCCAACAACTTGTATTTAACAGCATATCATCCAACCAGTGACGAGATAACTTAAAATAACAGTCAATTAAAAACTTTAAGTAAGCTAGTAGCCAAAGACTACATTATTTAGTTTGATGCGATATTGGCTCACAAACCTAACCGACACAGATATTCAAATATCGACAGCAAATAATGCAAAATCGAGAAATTCAGGCTATCAGAACTGGGAGAAATGTAATGTGCATGCACACAGGCAGAAACTCGCTCTGTTTAAGATCTAACAACCTCAGTTTAAATACTCAGTCTAATTTGCATTCTGGTGAGGAAACAGAAGGGAGAAGTGACATTAAAGATCTAAATAATAAAATAACTGGTTAATGAAAAGTAATAGTAATTTTATAAATTTGATCTCTTATCTAAGTTTTTGGTTTTTATCCAAGTATCATACACAGTGAATATTTTCCAGTGTTATTCTTTTATTAATTCTTTTATCAGACAAAGGCAGAGAAGATAAAAGTAACCACCTCTGTAGCTGCTGGTGCTCAAGTTGGGCAGAAGTCCACATACGTAGACCAACAGGAAACACTTCATGGATGATGAAAATGCAGAATCATCTGTTTTTGCCGTCAGTTGTTCCAGTAAGTTATGTAATGTATATATACATCATAGATATAAAACATTAAATTGCAATAGTATACATAATTTTCTAAAAACCCATGTAAAAAGTTGTAATTTTTATATACTGCAGTCTTTCGACTTGGCCGTAGTTAAACCACAGAAAACGATAGAAGATTAATCTTAATCAGAATCTTTATATCTTGTTATGAAGCTTATACATCCTCCTATACACCAGCGGCCGAGCAGTAAAATCGCTGATCACTGGTAGTTCGGTTCGAGGTTCGAATCCCGCGAGCGGGCTGGCTCCATGGGCGTTTTCGTGTTTTTCCCCATGTGTAACTTGTATATGAGCCAGTTTCCCTTAGCATGTCCTCCATGAAGGCATCCCTACCCTTAGGCAGATAGCCCTAGTGTGCTTTGCCGTAATCTCAATAAACCAACCCAAACCAAACCTCCCATCCCCAGAGTTTAGATATACATGCCAGTATATATGTACTTTGTGATGCAGCAATATTTATGTGGAGTAAAATACATATTGCTATCATTCACATTAAGTGTACGCTACATAAATATTACTGTGATTCATACTCATATTAAAGTTGAAAATATGAAAAAAATGTGTTAATTAATGCTCCTGTAAATCAGTTTTTTCCCTGTTTCCTTACGTGCAGTATTGAAATGTAAAAGCCTTAAAACAAAAGTCATTCTGTTTTATAGATCTGCTTTATACTTGTATATCAATTTAGCTTTATTTTTCTGTGAAAAAATTCGGCCAGCTTGATAAAAATCTTCTGGAAAATGCATATTAGTTTATTATATCAAAGCCTAAACTACTTCATAATTTTTTTTCTTTTCTTTTTCCTTTTCTTTTTTTCTTTTTTTTTTTTTTTTTTACTTTCCAGGAACTCCCTTTCCGATATAAATGTTTTCTGCATGCAGTTATTAGTATTAAATGATATTTTGAAGATTCTGACTATGGCTGACTTTTAAATATTAACAGGATTTTTAAACCGAAGCATTCAGCTGCAGTTTAAACATGTCTTGAAGCTTAAAGGATGCTAACATTGTCACTATGCAGTTATTCACACTAATAGCAACAGATTTGAAACTTGTTGGATAAAAGGGATTGGGTTAAAAAGACCTATATTATAATACTAAAATGGAAGAAGCAAAACCAAATTCTACTGGTAAACTTTTTTTAGTCTAATAATCATGTTGGGTTGGATTTATAAAGTGAATGACCTAGAGGAGCTTGATATGTTAAAGGTTCCTTCAAGAAAGGTATAGATAATGCATAAGGCCAATACAGCATTTTAACAAAAACGAAAGAATTGTAAATGAAATTTTAGCCTTGCACATTTTTAGTAAAATGCTCTAGAAAGTATTAAAATATGTTTTTCAGCTGATGTCTTTTATTTTATAGCAGAAGCATTCACTTTTTATGAATATGATCAATGTATTGAGAGTTGCATAAAATAAATAAATAAATAATTTTGAATTAAAGAAATTAAACTTTGTTATTTACCTAACAAGCGTTGCAACTAGTTTAAAAAAAAAAAAAAAATGAATCTTAGAATCTGTCTGTTTTTCATGATTGATGTTAAAATCTATCAGTTTATAAAAATAAATTATAAATTCAACTCGTAAATTTCCATGTATTAAAGGTAAAATACTTATTCTTTTCTAGTGCTTTGGAATTAGTATTGAAATGATTTAAAATTGCATATGTATTGGAAAATATTTTAATTTTAATGTATTTTGAGCTAATTTTTAAGAACTTTCAAAAACTAAGAATTAAATGCTAAGGGAAAATCCCCATCTTTAACTGCAGGGAAATTCCTTTATAGTCCACTGTTAAGACAACTGCCATTGTATTTCCATTGACAAAGCAGTGTATCCGCAGAAAACTAATGTTTCATTCATTGTAGAGGAAAAACAAGTTTGACCCCCACCCCAAATCTTAATTGGTGGAAAACGCAAAAAACTGTTTTCTCACATGACCACGGAAGCTGACTTCTCGCAGCACACTGACTAGAAGCCTTTTATCTCCTTTCTCCCCTCAAGCCAGTTGTAGACAGATTCCCCTATCTCTGTCTATAGCTTCACCCTACTTCTTAGCTCTGTCAATCAACAAAAGACTGAAGTTACAGTTAGACTGAAGAATTGTACTTAGGGTTATTAGAACTTTAAACCTTCATTTTCTTTAAATTCCTTGGTCACTTAATACAGCAATTAAATTCTTTAATACTATTAAATAATTTTAATGCATGATGTAAGACCAAGTTATACACTATGTGTATAAAAGTCATGGCCTTTATTTTTGCAACTGTTGAAATGAGGCTGTATACTTTAAGTTATAGTACAGTCAAAAGTCGTTAATTCGGACACCCATAATCTGGAATGATCTATAATCCGGACCTCAAAGCTAAAAACTGTTTGCACATGCACCGCATTGACACATGCGCATAGGCATATATGCGTGCGCGTAAGACCTTTATGACTGCGCATATACGTGTGCGCAAGCGCAGAATGTGTTTTCACGTGCACGTTTAATGTATAACGGACAGTATAAGCTAAAATTATCTAATTATCTATTTCAGTTAATGCTATGATGATAGCGTTGTTCCTTAATCTTCGAAGTGGATCCAGCTTATTATTTTTTTCAAACTGTAAGAGCAATTTTAGAAAAGTAAACTTGAACTTTCGATTATGTCAAATAGAATTTCCGATGCTGAAGCTCCCAAAGGATCTACAAAACGAAAGTATGTTTCGATGTCCATCAAACAAAAAGTGGAATTGCTGCAAAAAATGGATAAAGACATGAAGAAAGTGACAGAGAGGTTAGTGAAAACGAAAAAATTTCGATTGACAAGTTAGTCGGTATTCTCGGCACGGCAATTACGGGACTTGAACAGTGGAACTTTGTAACTTAACAAGAAATTATGTCTGTTTATATAATTAAAGAGAAAGTATTATCACATAAAACAGACACTTAAACAACTTACATTGAAAGAAATGTTTAATCAAGTAAACAAATAATATTAAGCTTTTTTTTTTTTTTTTTTTTTTTTTGTAAATTTTGATACCCTTTAGATCATAATTGTTCTTTATTTCATAAATTAAGGTTTCATATTTTTAATTTTAGAATTTCTGCATGCCATCTTATGAGATTTAAACTGATGATCGATAATTCGGAATCGCCGAAGTCCCGACGAGTCCGGATTAATGACTTTTGACTGTACTTAAATTTGTATGTAACTAAAAATAAAATAACTTAGAAAAATGTCTCTGATGTTAGCGTGCAAAACTTTTAGAGATATTGTTCACTAGGGTTTTTTAATTGTAGACAATTTCTTATTACAAGAATAGCTTATAGGCTTACACACACGTATACAGCGATAGCCCAGATGGTACTATCATTGGGTTTCGGCATGTGTTTGGCTTCTCTTTGACAGATGGCAGGTGAAATGTGGCAGTTGCGTAACGGAAAAGTACAAAATTTATGGAAAATTTCACAAACAGAAACAGTATAATGGGAAAGTAAAAAAAATTGAGCTAATTGCAAAGCAGTTCTTTAAGTAAAATAATCACTCCATGTATTCTTTTGAATAGAAAGAAAAATTTAAGGTGGAAAGGTATTTTTTAGTAATCAAAACATTTTATTTTAGAAACTGATAGGAAAAAAAATCTTTTATTCATTAGAAGATCAGCTGATAAAAATATCGGCAACAACAGAAAATAACAACATAACGATGCTGAACAAGATGTCGCCTTTCTTTCAGTGTATAATATCAAGTCAAACCCAACTTGATAAATTCCTTTTAGTTTATTCTCATATAGACATCTTATTTGTGCAATAATATATATAACTGTTCTTCAAACAAAGTTAAACAAAAAGTATATATTGTTTCAAACTATTGTAGTTAGGCATTCTGTTAATAACTATATAAAAAGAAACTAAAATTCACACTCCATACCTCACTAGCTTCTTCTCCATGACTCTCAGTGAGCTCATTGGCTAAAAGTGGAAAAATGTATGACACAGTGCCATTTATATATCTATGATAATTGTAATTTAAAAATGCATTATTATTATCAACTGCATTTTTGTTGTTAATGGTCCATTAACTGATTTTGGAAGAATCACCAAAAATTAACAAATTAAATTACAGTAGTGTTTTTGTAAAAAAAAAAAAAAAAAAAAAAAAAAAAAAAAGTAAGTAGGGGACCTTTACTTGTAAAATTTTCATCTATTTGATAGTGCAAAATTTGGATGTAATCTGATCATTAAATAAGGAACCTTGTGTAACTGTAAAAAGTGAAACTTCATTAAAGTGGTACAAGTAACCTGTATTGAATTTTGAAAAATTTACTTTGGAATGTTGCATATATGTAGGCATGCAAGATTTAAAGAAAATCAATACTTTAAAAGTGGATTAAAAATTGATTTTGGAATTTGACTCATGCAGAGAAACCAAGTTAAATAAAACATTGTAAATACATTATCAGGTTAATATTGTAGTTTAATTTTTAACTGAATTTGTGTTCCTTTTTTATTTATGTTTTTAATTAAAATTTTCAGGACATTCCTTTGTCTGTTCTTACTTCCTTGGTGTTGCCTCAAAAGATTGAAGATCAAGATGCAGATGACTACTTTCTGTCATCAACTGAAGATGATGTTTTGGCAGCAGAATCTGAACTCAGTAATTTTTTCCCACTTTATTACTTGTATTATAATTTAAATAAAAATTAAAATATAACTTTTTCGTTGTATGTTTTCTACATATCATAGCCAAAATTTCTTTGTTATGTATTTTTAGTTTTTTTTGGGGGGGGGGAGGATAAGAAAAATGCATTTATGAGAATTTTAATGGTGAAAGAAAGGAAGCTATTGAAATTATGATGAAAAAGAGAAGGAAGCTACCAAATAACACCTACTAATGTGTAATATTATAACTTGCAATAATCATTTATTTTGATTAATTTTTTTATATATTAAATATATTTTATGGAAATTATGTGTGAAATATGACATTAGATAAATGTCCACCATTTTTCTCGATACAGAGATTGGCTCTTTTTAACATGTTTTCCATTACACCACATAATGTTTCAGGTTAGGATTTTGCTCTGCCATTAGCTGCAAAAAGTTTTCAATCATTGTTCTGTAAGAAGCTCCGAAAATTTTTTCCGGTGTTCCATCCTCATTCTTGAAGAAATATGAGCCAATAACTCTATTGGCCATAACACCGCACCAAACAGTACACTTGAATTAAAATATTGCCATTATTTATCCTGTGTCATAACAATTAATCATTGACAAGAATAGAAAAACTTCGATAATTTTAACGCATTGTTTTGTACTGTGCGGTTCCATAATAAATTTCCAAGAATTCACTTATAACCTACAAAAAGAAGAAAAAAAAAAAAAAAATTATATCAAAAAATAAAACAGTTATTTGTGTTTAACATTGGTAAGTCTTATTTGGCCCAAACTGTATATACATAAGCACTCTACCAAGGTACTTTGAACATGACCTTTTTGTTGTTGTAAAGCTCTCCAAATCTGCCAAGTCGACACTGTATTCGATGTAGCATTTTTTTGAGTAATAAATGTTATTTAGATACTACGAATTGAATATTTCGCCTTGATTTTAGCTTCTGTGTTTGTGATTGCAATGTTTATATTTTAATTATGTATCGGTTTTCCTTAGAAGTTTCCTGTGATAGAGGTGGCATAGAAATATGTCCCAAATCTAATCCTCCAATGCGACGCACAAATTCCAGTCCTGATATGAATACTAGTTGGTCTAATTTTCAACCTTTAATGCAAGAAGAAAGAAAGGAAAGCTTTGAAAGTTCTGTGGAATCAAATCAAGATCAACTTGAAAATTTAACAATAGGCAATACGACAGAGTTTCCATCTAAAAAGGATGGTATGTTGATTCCTTATTTATATAAATTTTCATTTATCTTGCTTTTACTAACATATAAACTAAGTTTAAATTCACAAATTTATACAAATTGTTATGGCATGTGTGTTAAACCTATTTGTTGATCTTAAGAAATATTACATCATTATTTTGATTTTTCATGCATGATATGTATCCATGAAAACGTCCCTCCTCGTAGGCAGATGGCTGTCATCGCTTTACCCTATTCAAATAACCTAATCTAACATAACCTCAGACAGCTGGAAAATTCCTTTTTTTTTTTTAAATTGTTAGTTTTATTTCTCATTACTTGATTATGTTATATCTATATTTTGGAATATTGTAACTTATTCCGTGTGAGATATTAAAGCCCTTCCCTTTTTTCCCTTGTAAGATTGTTTTGTTAATCCAAGATTTCCAGTTAAAAAAAGTGGATTCATTCAACAATAAACTCCTAGTGTCAAATGGCAGAGAGAATGCCATTGTGAAATTAAAAATTAGGAATAAGTTTTTACTCCTGAAGAAGAGGGACCTGTATCAGATTGTCTTGAAATCAATGCAGTTTTATTCAAAATCTGCACAAAACTAAGGATGCTTTTTTGCTTAATTTTGAATTCATGGCAGTTAACAATACTGGCCAATGCTAATTATGAACAAATCTTTTCACAACAAAATTTTATTGTCTTGAAAAGTTAATGCTGTTGATGCTTGTCATAATGATTCCTTGTGTTTTAAAGAAAAAGGCTTTTATAAGGAGATGTCACTATGATGAAGATGGTTTTGATATACTGTAATTAGTTGGCAATGTTTTGCACCAGTTTTTATAACAGAATAGTACAGTAATGAATAGTTGTTGTAATGAGCGATGATTGTTATAATTCTTTACTTAACATTTTGAAGATACTTTTTAACAGCGTGAGAAGAAACAGATCTGTGCATCCCATTTTTAATTCCCTTTGAGAAAATCTGTATATTTCAAAGAGATAAGTCTCAGTATAAGTTTTTTTGAGTCGAAATCACAAAGTGTTTTAACAGACTTTATTTTTTAATATTGGGTCATCTAAAAGCGTCTAGAATTTCTTTATGATAAATGCAAATGAATTGGTACAAAAACATAATTTCATTGAATAAGTGCTCTTTTATTCTATGACTTTTCACCATCTCTCAGGCAGCTGGATCCCCAGCAGTGGCCGATTGGTTAAGGTTGCTGAGCATTGCTAATTTGATCCCAGATGAGCAGGCTGTCTGTATGGTTGCTTTTCATGGGTTTTCCCATATATAACATGAATACAAGACAGTTTTCCTCAGAAAGACATCCATGAAAGCAATCCTCCTCATAGACAAATGGATGTCGTTGCTTTACTCTAGTCAAATAACCAAACCTAACCTAACCTTAGACAGCTGAAAAGTTCCTTTTTTTAAAAATCATTAGTTTTATATGTAAAGAAGTTATCAACAGGATGTATGAATATGTCCAAAAAAGGGAACTCCAGGTCATTCAGATAATTTTGAAGTGACCTAAAAGGAATAAAATTCAATAGAGAAAAATATAGCAAATAAAGACATTGAAAATTGCTCGTGCCATAAAAAATTAAGTGGTTTAAAGATAGCAATAATTATAATCAGTATTTTACTCAAGCTCAGGTACTTATTCATGATCTTATTCTTGACTTATTCATTTTTCATAGTAAAAATATTATAACCATCAATTTTTATATCTTCAGTATATGCAAATGAAGGCTATACATTAGTTAATAAATATCATCAAAATATTTCATGTAAGAAACATACAAAAATCTTAATGACAAAAAACCTAAATTCCAACGTTTATATTTAAAAATGAGATAGTAACCTAAAAAACAACATACATGACTTCAATTTAAAAAATATGCAATGTTTGAAAGTATAAATACCAAAAGAAAATAATAGAACTGCAGTTTGAAATTAATAAAAAAAATTATTTACTTTTTTTTTACAATTAAAATGTAATAATTGATTAGAATAATTAATAGTAATGCTGATGTTTCCTTAACACATCTCTTTCAACCATATGTAAATATATATACTTATTTTTACTTCATTGCACAAATTAAAGAAAGTATTATAATTAAGAAAAATTTTAGGTATCAATATTTCAAGAGAAGTATCATTTTTGGACATTTCTGAAACCATTTGCACAATTTTTATGTGCAACATTTGTACATATGCACAGAATAAAGAACTCTTCTCCAACCCCCCAAAACAGATTGTAAAGCCCCGTTCACAAGAGCAAATTCGACCGGTAACGACAACTGGTTCTTCCAAAGTGTTCCATTCACATGATGAACAATCATTAACTGTTTCTCCGAATTGGAGGTAGAATTTGGTAGAACATTTCTACCTCTCGGGAGCAGGGCAAATGGAGAGATTTCCCATACTGCACTGCACGATTGTGCAGTTCACTTAATTTTAACAAACAACATGGCTGACCTGCATGCAACTGACTGCTCGCTGGACTATCAGCAAAACAATCGCATTGGCAGATATCCGGGGATGCGATATCATCCAAAAAAATTACATAGAACCATACGAAATGCTGGCTATTCCAGAAATACCGTTCAAATTAAAACTAAAGACACGCATATCAGCTTCAAAGCAACTCGGTACTTTTTGAATTATTTTTTTTATTTAAGAACTTTTATTTTGCTTACGTTGTAACATCTCACATTTTCCTTAATTTGAAAGTACATGTAGTATGGAATTTTTAATTATTTCTACATGAATATTTTTAGACGATTTCTAAATAGTAGAATATTAAAGAGGGGCGAATATTCTTTTTACACGGTCTATTTTGATTTAACACAATTCTAACAGAATATTTTTTTAATCTTATGAAATGAAATACTTATGAGATATCCAAAATTGTTGCATTACTTAAATGAATTCTGAATACGACAATTAAAAATATCTGACTAATAAATAAATTATTGCATTTTTTCATTACTTTTGTATTCTTTCATTTCTTTTGTATTTTGTAAGACAAAATGATTTTAAATTGGAAAAAAAAAAAAAAAAAAATTGCCATTAATTTTTTTAGTTAAAATTTTTGTAAGAAAAGTTTAACAATTAAAATATCTTATTATATATCTCCTGATGCGTATGATTTATGGTTATCCTTGATATCCCTGAAGTTGTTGTTTAGAACTTCTAATATATCATCTTAAGAACAAATTTAATTTATTTTTACCTTTCAACTTATGATTAATTTAAGGGAACTGAAATGTGAAACACCTTCAAAGAAACTAACTTTTTCAATTTGGAGCTTACAAAATAGGAAATTTTGCTGATTACAAATATATATATATGTATATGTATTAGTAGAAAAAGTTTTTCATATATTATCTCCAAGGAAAAGAAATTCAATTAAAGCCAGGAATTTTTATAAGAAGAAAATTTTTGTCAATATTCTAGTTAGCATTCTCAATCAGTATAATCTAGTCCTCTATTGCAGTAAAAACTATATAAAATCGTCTTTAACGAAAATCGTGAATTGCAGAAATACAAAATTCAAAAGTAAAAATTTGAAGTACTGAAAAAAGTAGTTAATGTCATTGATCGCCGATTGACTTGTCAAGGGGAACAAACCAACCTATTATCAATTAACACTAATGCAATTAAGTGAGAGTGCTTCGTCTTTTTTCCAAGTAAGGACTAAATTATTATTTTCTTAGAGATAGATCATAAGTTATGACCAATACTCAATTAGTAGAAACATTTAAATTATCATTAAGAATGGAACTAAATGAGATTCTTACTTAAGAAAAAATATTCCCCATTACTCTCATATTCGAACTCAAAAATCAAAAGTAAAAGCAAAAATTATACATTTTTTAATATTAAAATTCAAAATCACAAGGTGATCGAACTTTACATAATCTTTTAAATTTAAGTTTAATCAAAAAGTTACTTAGTTATTTATATATTTTAAGAACAATATCAGGAATGAAATTAAAATAAACTTACTTATTTGCAAAATTTAAAACGAAATGTCTGGAATTGTACTCAGTGATGGAATATAAGAAGGTTGTCTTAAAAAGTGTTTTCTGTATTTTAGATAGGTTAGCTTTAAACTGGTGAGAAAATCTTATTTTAAATCTCAGAGTTTCTTGGAGGTAATATATTTAAAGTAGGCTATATATATCTTTCATATTGACTGCTGCTGATATTTAAAAATGTAAACAAATTTTGATTGTCCAGTCAGCAATAATGCCAATCTACCTTATTGATAAGAAACTTCTGGATAACCCTTGCATATGTATTTTTAAACAATGAAAATTTTAATTGTTATTCGTGGGGATGGATAATTAAAACAAAATGTGCAAGCTTTAGGACTCAATACTAGTGTAATATATTATGTTATTTGCACTAATATACAAAATTTTCAATGATGAGTACATTATGTTACTATATTTGTAGCAATTATATGTTGTTAAAAGTTTTCCCTCCCTTAACTAGAAAAAGAAGGTGTCCAGAGCTCTAAGCCTAGTTTGAAACTGGATTTGAGTCGTACAAAGACTGGTAAATTAAAATCTCTTAACTTTCGAAGCGATAGCCTGAATAGTGCTCCTATAGAAAAACTGCTGAACAATAACAGTAAGTTTTTCATACATTTAAATTAATATTAAGGTATTTATACTAATTTTATATTATTATATGTGTGTAACATAAAATTCTAACTTTTATTAATTATTAATAGCTTCATAAGTCTTCTTTTTAATTTTCCTCTTAAAAATAGTAAAATGCTAGCAATTATCTTTCTTCAGTGCATTATTTCAAAATTAATCCATGCCCTATGATTCTTGCTTTATACAACCGAGGCATGCATTTACTTAATGAAAAAATGAAAGTGAAATCTTTTATGCAGTTATAATTAAATCAAAATCATGCTTCCTTTCGGAAACTGTTTTAGTAACACCAGCATAATTCATTTTAATAGCGTGTGTCATGTGTTTTGACTTTGATTATGAATGTTGAGTAAATTGACTTTTACCACAATAGGGAAGGTGAGTGTTTTTCCAAGTCAGTGTCTGTTACATTTTTTTCAAGTGGAGACCACTTTTATAAAACAATGAAGTGTGGATTACCTTACTCTTGTCCCCTTTGAAAGCAGTTTTTTAGCATATGTTGCTATCAGTATATTTATATTTTTTAAATGGAATTAGTCAAAAATTAATTAAATTTTTTAATGATTGTTCTTCATATCATTGTGAGCAGTGACCTTTGTTAGAGCAGAAGTTCAATTCTGTTCTCCAGAAATCATTCTCAGATTTGTTTTTGTGTAACCTTTGTGCTAGCACTGATTTAAGATGTCCTTTTTTAGGACATCTGGCATTGAGTACCTGTATGAATCTACCGATTCTAACTGTTCTGCAGTTTCTGAATGTTTGTCAAATGAATGCTGTGCTGATGAGTTCCGAAAAATGTTCAGGGGTGAAGGGAAAATAACAAAATAAAAATGCTCCAAGAAGAATAAGGCTGAAAAGAAAACAATCATCCCAGATTAGAAGCACCTACCCTAGCTGAAGTAATGGGAAATTGTTTAAATGGTGTAGTATCAGAAATCAAAATTATAATCTTATGCAGTTTAATAGTGAATATGGGAAAAAGTGCCTCATAAAAAGAAACGTCACCATTTTTGATAAGTTTCAGTTTATGCGCAAATAAAAGGGGGAAAGAAAATTATGAAAAAGAATCATTTTACTTCATAGAGCTAAATCAAACAAATGAAAGGCCATGTATGTCAGTAATATTCTCAGTGTCAGTGTTCATATTGAACAATTTAAAATTAGTGTATTGATACTAAAGGAACGTGTTTTTTGTGACTCACCAACTGCATGCCCAAATCTAGCTGTAACGGCAACGGAGATTTTCGGGCGCACTAAAATGACTTCATGCTTTGTTGCAGTCGTGCTCGGTTATATTTGTCCTCCGATGCAAGTCACATTAGTGCTAATGTAATAAGTAGTTATGTGGTAATTGGTGTATTGAAATGTTTATTATTTGAAATTAACCATCTCTATGTATGTTAATCCATCATGTAGTGAAACCTAGCCAGGCCTCTACAGATATTAATTGTCACATTCCGCACACCGTGACATTAGAAAATGCTCCGTGCAGTGCCTTTAGATGTCAATGTTTTGCACATATACAACACCTATGTCATAATTAAAAGCACTGTATGAATGCAGATTAGGCCATAGAAATTCAGTCTGTAATCTCAAACCGGATGAGAAACCATCATGCATCTTTTATCATGGAGAACGTATGAATTGATTCAGAGATTGCCCTGAATATCTAAAGAAGTTTCAGCGACAAAAGAAAATTATAGCAGCAATGAAGAAATCTTCTTTCATTCTCTAAGCAAAGACTTACTAATCATGAATTAGAAAAATTATCAGTGGTAAATACAGTCAAAAGTCTTTAATACAGATGTCCATAATCTGGAATGATCTATAATCCGGACCTCAAAGTTACAATTTTTCTGCGCATGCGTAAACGCATTGCACAATATCTTTAGGCATGCGCATAATACGTTTACACATGCTCGTTTAATGTATAACAGACGGTATAAGCTAAGCTAAAATTATCCAATTATCTATTTCAGTTAATGTTGCAGATTGCCTTGTTCCTTAATCTTTGAATTGGATCTCGCTTATTATTTTTTGCAGACTGTTGGAGCAATTTTATAAAAGTAAGCTTGAAATTTGATTATGTCAAATAGAATTTCCGATTCTGGAGCTGCCAAAGGATCTACAAAGCGAAAGCATGTTTCGATGTCCATCAAACAAAAAGTGGAATTGCTGCAAAAAATGGATAAAGGCATGAAGAAAGTGACAGAGAGGTGATTTGTTTCTCTAACCATTCCGAAATCTGTTTATCAATTTCACGCTGCCCCTGCGGGGAAGGGGGAACGTCACAGCGCGCAATGAACTGAAAGTTGATCTGTTAGCACTATCCTCATCTTCAGCACAGATGTTTTTATTTTATTCGACTTTTAATTCTTTACTAAATGTAGTGTTTCATCTCGGTGATCTCCGATATGATTTAAATCAATTTCCTCGTCATGATAAATATCACGAATACATATCCAATAGTTTTCTGGTTGCAATTTTCTAATTTCGACTGTGCGTAATATATGCTTTACGCATGCGCGCCTTAAAAGAAATGTTTAATAATGTAAACAAATAAATATTAAGCTTTTTTTGTGAATTTTGATACCCTTTAGATCACAATTGCTCTTTACTTCATAAATTACGATTTCATACTTTTAATTGTATAATTTTCTGCATGCCATCTTATCAGATTTAAACTGATGATCTATAATCCGGAAAAACCGATAATCCGGAATCGCCGATGTCCCGACGAGTCCGGATTAAAGACTTTTGACTGTAGTACTTATAGCAGCAAACTAAAACACACCTTATCTCAAATTAAGAATCATACAAGCTCAATAGTCTTTTTTTTGACCAGGAACTTCTGTAATTTTTTAATGAAAAATATCCAAGAAATCAAGAAAGTTAAAATTCTCGCTAATAAATTCGAAGCTGGATTAAGAGCCATAGAAACCATAATTTGCTTTGAACAAATTTTTACATTACGATAAAATGGGTAATTATGTGATGGTTCCGAATAAATTGAGATATTAGGCTAAATTTCAAAAATTTAAAAATAATTTCATTGCATGGATATTGCAGTTGTTTAGGTATCTCTTCACTTAGCATTCCTTCATTCTGTACCCTGTCTTTCTTTCCTTAATATGAAACATTATTGACCTGTGTAACATTATATAGAAGTACAGTCAAAAGTCGATAATCCGGACTCGTCGGGACTTTGGCGATTCTGGATTATCGATTTTTCCGGATTATAAATCATCAGTTTAAATCTCATAAGATGGCATGCAGAAATTACAAAATTAAAAATATGAAACCATAATTTATGAAATAAAGAACAATTATGATCTAAAAGGTATCAAAATTTACAAAAAGAAAAAGCTTAATATTTATTTGTTTACTTTATTAAACATTTCTTTCAATGTAAGTTGTTTAAGTTGCTTCGTTTTATGTGATAATACTTTCTCTTTAATTCTATAAACAGACATAATTTGTTGTTCAGTTACAAAGTTCCGCTGTTCAAGTCCCGTAATTGCTGTGTCGAGAATACCGACTGTCTTGTCAATCGAAATTTTTTCATTTTCACTAACCTCTCTGTCACCTTCTTCATGTCTTTATCCATTTTTTGCAGCAATTCCACTTTTTGTTTGATGAACATCGAAACATACTTTCGTTTTGTAGATCCTTTGGGAGCTCCAGCATCGGAAATTCTATTTGACATAATCGAAAGTTCAAGTTTACTTTTATAAAATTGTTCTTACAGTCTGCAAAAAATAATGAGCCACATCCAATTCGAAGATTAAGGAACAACGCAATCATCAACATTAACTGAAATAGATAATTAGATAACTTTAGCTTATACCGTTCGTTATACATTACACGTGCACGCGAAAACGTATTCTGCGCTTGTGCGCACGCATATACGCAGTCGTAAAGGTCTTATGCGCACGTGTTAACGCCTTTGCGCATGTGTCAACGCGGTGCATGGGCAGAAAGTTTTTAGCTTTGAGGTCCGGATTATAGATCATTCCGGATTATGAGTGTCCGAATTAACGACTTTTGACTGTACTTCTAAACACTATAGAGTAGGCTTAGTACGAGGCTTTACCATAGAAGGTGATTTTATGAAAGGCTGCACGAGGTCAAATAGTTTAAGAACCTCTGGGTAAGCTAATCTCTTGTTGATTTTCAATCTTTCTCTGAATTATCAAGCTATCTATATATTATATGATATGAATGATCTCTTATTTATGTGATGAGAAGTTAAAAGTTTCAGAAGATTTCACTTGGCTTTCAAGCTGATTCAGCAAGAGAAATAGTGCATTAATTAGTCATTAGATTACAGTAATTAATTAACCAATAAAATTAGTCAGTATGTACTTATCAATGTATGTATGCAGTTTGCATATGCCATTTAACTTTCAAATCCTACAATAGAGAAAATTACTAGAATTCTGATAAAATACCATGTTAAAGAAATTACTAAGTAATGTATACTATGTGAAAGAAGCCTCATCTACAATGAGTTATTTTTGCCCAAACATAAAATGCCTACTTAACAAATGCATTATAAATCATTGTTTTCTGTCTCAGTGCTGTCAATAATTCTTAAGTTGTTTATTAACTATTCTGTTACTTTTATTAAGATTTTTCCTTTTAAAAAGTCTTCCCATTTAAGAATTTCTAATCCTTCGGCCCTTGAAAAGTTCCTTAAGATACTGTTGTACTTATCTAGCTGTGTGTCACTTGATTTTTTCACTATTATTGAAAATTGTATTTTAATGTAAAGCATGGCTCTGATAAAAATAGAAAAAACATATATGATAGCTTCAAAAAATTTTATGTGTACTTGTTCACTAGATTTAATTATAATACATTCCTTATAATGGTGAGAGCCAGTTTAGAGTATTAAATTTCCATTTCTAATTTGCACCTGCTAAAATTTCTCAATTCTCCCAGAACCCATATTTGCAGCATTTGAAATATTTTGCACTTTTAATATTTTGAATCTATGTGATTGTACTTAGACTAGGATGTAATGTGGGGTTTTTTTATGTGAAGGAATACATTTAATATCTATATGAAGATCCTATAATTTTCAATCTTGTTCATATGAAACTATATCAGATGTTTCTTCATTGTTTTTTAATGCTTCAGGTGAACCACAAAATGTTGTATCTGGGTCATTTAGAGACAGAGGTCATACTATATCAGTTATGAGCCCCATTCGCCCCGTTGGATGTGAAAAGTCGGTTATGAAGCCAGATGTAAATCGACGTAGCGGCATGAGTCCCAGGTTTGTTCATTTTTGAAATTTTTAAAGTGTTTTTTTGTCAGGGTTTTAATAATTTTAATCAAAATTGTGTTCCCTCATGTTATGATTAAAACCTAATTAAATATTAATTGTGAAAAGCTGTGATTTCTGTGTATATTTTATGTATTAAAGACATTATGTTTCATATTTTTTATCTGTTTCAAGGAATTCCTTGTTATAGATATTTTTTGTTAATTTTCCTCAAGTGCTATTATAAGGGTTAGCCAAAATGTTTAGTTGCACTTGCAGGAACAAAAACTCATACTAAACATATATGACAGTTCTTTTATGTACATGAACATATACTACCAAACTACTTTTATGATCACCAGAAACATATATTATTGCTTGACACAGACATCTTTATGTAGTCTTGTTTAAAGGATTCACATCTGCTTACAATAACCGTTAATGCTAGAAATACAGAACCAGTCATTTTGACAGCAAACAAATACATTTTTCATATTTTTCTTTTTTAATATTTGTTTATTTTTTATTTTTTTAAGTATGTACCATGATGACAAAATAATTCATTTCTCTTGTTTTAAATTATGTTTCTTTATGTAACTATGTATACCTAGAATTACAGCTAGCGGTCATTTTGCGGTCATCTTCTCTGTTTAGTAGAAGGCTAACTCTTCTTGGTGTAGTGATATCTCGATCCTATTTGTTTGGGTTTCCTTTTTATTTTCATGCCAGATGTTATTTGATAGTTGGTTGAAACTGAAATGAGGCTTCTGCTTTCCAAAGTTGTAATATCCCAAATGGGTTTCATGTTTCTTCCCTGAATGCTTAAGTTCTTCACCTTCTTTTGTGTTGCACAACACTCATCATTTTGCTTATAATTCAAGGAAATAGTCACAGCTCAAAAAGACTAAAAAGGCATGGAGCAATAAAAAAACAAAAACAAATTACATATTTTGAAAATGAAGAAAATCAAGCAAAAAGCAAAGAAATAACAAATGATGATACAGATTAGAAAAAAGAAATTCTTTCAGTAAATTCATGTAAAATACTTCCTCTTTAAAATGTTTTGCAAGCATGTGGGCTAGCTTAATTTTGCTAAGAGAAAACTAGTTAAGAGGAATGCAAGTAGTGCATAGAGACTTTAAATCAACGAAAAAATATTATATCATATACAGCAATGCACTAAAGCCACGTTAAAAATCAGGAAATCTAAATTGAAGCTTGTCATTTGGAGAGGTAGTTGCTTTTATTACTCTATTATTTGGTGCTTTTGTTGCCAAAATACTTTCTGTTTTGAGTTTATCATCCAAATTTGGGGCTCAGAATTCTTCAGCGACACAATTCCTTGGGACAAATTTTTGGAAATAATGAATTATTTTTGCTTTAACTTAAAATCATCTAATTACAAGAATTACAAACTGATCCAGTTACTCTTGTTTCAAAGATACAGAATACTTTTATTGAGATTTGTGTATTATGTTATAAACGAGGTGAAAACATTACAATTGAGATTATACATCCTCTTACATCATATCAGGGAAGAAAGAGCAAAAATATCCTCATGGGTTCATTTCATCCAACTCTGGAAGTTGCATCAAATGAGAAAAACACCCCAGGTTGTGAGATTTTACAATGCAACCAAATAAAGAATAGGTATTTTGGATCAAATGGCTCAAAAATATTCTGTTAAGTCTTCAAGCTGACATTGGCCAATATGAGCAAAAGGTTCTATTTAAATAAAAAAATTGTTTTAGAACCTTTGTAATACTTTGTTCGTCTTATAAACTGTTAGTATTTCTGAATTATTAATAAAAATAAATAAAAATATATTAAAAATTGGCAGTAGTCAAAAAATTTTATAATTATTTATATAAAATATTGTTACCATTTTTCTGCTCTTCTATGTGTGTATGCATATATAATATTTTATGGAAATGAATTTATTTCAATTTTTTTTAATTTAGTTTTAAAATATAAAACTTTGGTAAAGAACCACAGTACTTGATCCTAATAAGCTGATTTGTTTAATTTTTTAATTTTTTCCCTTCTTCATATTCTTCTTTATTCCCCCCTTCCCCCAGATATCATATAATCACATTATCTTTTGCACCTGCTCAAGTTCACTTTAGGGAAAATGTCCTGTAATCTCAGTGCTTCCTGGGGCCATCTTATCTTTTTAAGAAGCTCTGTCCAGCCATTAAAACTTGCAGTCATCACTTAAATCAGTAGTTCCTAAATGTAATGATGATCAAATCTTACTTTTGTGATTATCAGTTCAGTGTATTTGCTGGTGTGCATGAAGTTAAGATTTTTCAACTAGGAAATCGTAGCTCTAGTTATCAAAAAATGGTTCCCTACCCTTAATCTGTGCTTCTTATGACATCTGTCTCTCTTAATTTAGGTAGAACCCAATGCGGTCTGCCATTTATAGGCCATGCAGTATAGACTTTTTTTAGCAGAATTATGTCTTCATTGTAAATTCTTTTTTCTTAAGCTAGGTCAGATTGAGATAATGGATAATGGGGTTCTCACACCTGCACATCCATTTTCAAATAATACACATCATTTTGTGATTGCTTGATATGAAATTGCTTTATCACCCACACTTCATGCGACTGACATGTCTACAGAAAATGAGTACAAGTTACACTTTTAATACAGATGCCATTTCCTGATATCACTATTGGTAACAACCAGTTTACAACTAACAGGATGTAACTATTACTCCACCTTTTCAAATGGAACTGTGGGCAGTGATAATTTTCTTGTTAAGTACAACTTACTTTTTGACTTATCTTTGTAAGCCCTATGGCAGTGATCCTCCAGTTTCAGTAAAATTCCTTATATGTAAATTTGGGGTGGAGGTGAATTTGAGGCAGCTTTGTCATCCATCCAAACAATGATTTTAATGTGCATTTGAAGGATATAATTGTTTTCCACTGATGAAACTATATTAACACTAGAAAAATTAAAAACCAAAATTTGTATACAGAATATGTGGCATTAGAAACGTAGGTTATTATTTAATATAATGTTGCACAATTTACCACTCTCTGCTGAGTACTTGCTGTAAAGGGTTATTTAAATACAGCAAAGCATACAAGAACTACCTGCATAAGAGGAAGGAGGCCTTCTTGGAGGACTTTCTAAAGGGAAATGGCTCACATTTACGTTACAGAGGGGAAAACCAAGTCAGCTCATTCTTCTGGGCTTAAGCCCATATCTAACTACCAGTATGCGGTAATCGTAAGTCACTCAGTCCCTGGTGGAGCACACTGCTGTAAAAAATTTAGAATAAGTCAATATAGAACATTGTAAAATCAAAAAATGCAGATGAAATTCTGTAATGAGTATTGCAATCTTCTGTATTTATTTATTTCTTATTTTGTTCAGATAGTGATGTCCTTTATAGCCTAATTTTTTTCTGTTTTGTAATGGGGGGGGGGATAAGATACATTAACAAATATTTTTACTTTTAAAATTCATATTCCTTTTTAATTGATTTTGTTTTTATGAGTAAGCAACAATATATATTTTTATTTAACAATGAAAACAAAATTTTCTTAAAATATCTTAAAATGTTATATTTGTTTAAATGTGTGTAAAATTCTTTAGTGGCTGGTAACTCATCTTTAAAGTTTTAGAATATAACTTGAAGGTTTTTAACTATTTAACTGTATTGTTATATTGTTTAACTTAAGTTTTTGAATTATTATTATTATTTTTTTTTTTTTTTTCCTTTCCAGTTTTGTTTTCTTGCAGTTATTTCATGACAGCTATTTTGGTCCACCAGCTCATAAACCACTTCTTTTGCTTCCAACTGAAGTAAGTTAATTTGTATTAACCTTAAGCAGATTAAATATAGTCTTCATCCATTTATGATCTTTATTTTGATTTATTTGGTATTTTCTCTTCAAGAAGTACTTATATATTGTTGTTCTGTTTCAGACTAATAACAGAGCTTTAAATGTATTAGACCATACACCACCTTATGATACACACAAAATAGGAGTTGTTTATGTTGGCCCAGGACAAGTAAGTAGTTTGTGCTTTCTCATTTAAATTATTTCAGTTGTTCACGAAAAGTAACCAAAGAAAATGCATCCTTATACTTTTATATTAATTTTTCAAAGCTATATACAGCAGTTATGGGAAAAAAAAACAACTGTAAATAAAAAAAGAAAAGGAAATCTAATTATCCAAAAATTGGCAAATTAATAATCAATTATATATGCTAGCTAAATTTAAGTCATCCATTTAATAAGTTATCCAGTTAGTTTTAAGTGTTTCCTTTCTTCTGCAATCTCTGAATTCATTCACACTGGTACATCATTAGTAAACAAAGTGAAATAGGATGGAGTTAAATTTTTCAGATTTTGCCTCTTTTCCAAACACTTAATGTGAGTTAAGCTGTTAAACATTTTGAATATATCTGAAACAAAGAAAGATGTGTGGCATGCTATTCCATTAATAAAAAAGTAAGCAACATAATCATAGAAATATTTGAAATGTTTCCTTGGGTTTGAAATGTATGGCATGCTTGTGTGATTATTATACATTTGTATAAATTGACAATTTCTGTTGGCACCACAAAACTTTAAATTTGCAATATTTTGAAAATTTTTGTAAGTATAATAAATAATGGTTGGTGACATTTCACAAAGGTTGTTTGTATCAAACTTGCCTAGATAATGCATTTCTATTTTCATTTTTCTCATTTGTTAGTTAGAATTATGGAATCATTAACTTACACAGCAATTCTGATACATTCATCTGTTCTTTCCTGTACATAGACACAGTTGTAGACTGTTAATTTTTGTGAATATAAGTTTATGCTTTGTAGGCAAAAATTTGCCTGCTGACGTTGCAGTGTGGAAAATAGGATCATAAAGTCCAACAAAATTGAATAGTTAGCAATTATATTGTTAATATCTTTAATTACTTGTGTTGTAGCTGACGAATGTATACTAGTTGCTCAGTTGAATAACTGAAAGGGTAATGTGATTAAACAAAATTTAATTACAATTTTAATTTAAACTCCATGCTGATTTAAATAAATTAAAAGAGCATGTAAATCTGTTGATCAGTGTAACTGCAATGAATGAGCAATTGTGATTATACTTCAATAATATAATCAGTTTCAGTCTTAACTCTGTGAGAATTCATTGAAATTTTTGTTACTGTAGTTTAATATTCATTGGCCAATCTGAGAAAGTTTTAGAATTTCACATTACAATGAACAAATTTCATGCCAGAAAGGAAAATATATGTCTAATCATTTGTTGCTTTTTTCTTTTAACTTTAGTTCCATTAAATTCATCAGAAAGACTTCATCAATTTCAAATCTTTGAAACTCTTACCATTTGTTAAAATTTTTCAACTTCAATTATTGATTTAAATTTCAATCAATTTTTAAAAGCCTTAAATCCCAATTTATTCCTCCAGTTTCTCTTTTGCTTGTTTGAAGGTGCTACGATTGTTGCTTCTTTTAAATTGATTTTATTTGATTTCACTTAACTTAAATGAATAATATTCAATTTATATTGGCAGAATATTTATTATTCTTAAAGAAGACAGGTTGTTCATCAGACTCCCTCAAAATGCAGAGCATTTTCTAATAAAACCAGCATAAGTTTAATTTTGCCCAGTGATAAATTACCCTAAATTATATCACATGCTAATTTTCCTTTAAATCAGGTTAAGCACAAGTATTATAAAATATGCTTTATTATATTTCTGTAATTTTTACAGTTTTTATTTTGCCTCTTAGGTTGATAAAGAAGTGGCTATCCTAAGCAATGTATATGGTTCTGCTAGGTATGTTAACTTTTTGCATGGTTTAGGGTCTATGGTTCGTTTGACAGATGTTGATCCCCATACTACATATCTTGGAGGGCTTGACACAAAGGGTGAAGATGGAAAGTTTGCATTGATTTGGCATGATGATGTTATGCAAGGTCAGTTTCTGTTTCAAATTTAGAATTTAATCTCATTCTGTCAAATAACTGAAAAAATTGATAGGATTTTTGCTGCTTTAATCATGATTTATAAAAGAATAACATTTGAAGCAAATGTTAAGAGTTTATTGCAGTGTTATTTTTCTCAGTTCAGAATGTTTTTCTTGGCAACAGAAATACGCATGATCATTTCAGCTTTTAAAGTACATTCATTTTTACAGTATATTTTCATTTAGTCAGATATGTAGAAAGTCTCTAACTACAGTGCAATGTGCAGAGCTGTATTTTTATTTATTTTTCGTAATTTTGAAAAGCATTGAAACAATGGAAAATTTTGTGAAGCTTTATATTTGTTAAAAAAACCTCTTTAAATTAGTTCTGCTTGCTTATTAAAAGTAATAAGAGAAAAAGAAAAACATTTTAAAATAAAACAAATCTTTATTTATTTTTGTTTTAAGTGTTACATTAGCTTAAATACAAGAATTTGACATTAGGAAACTTTGTAGCTGAGTCTTTCCACTTTTCATTTATTATTATGTTTTCCTTCTGCAGCACTGATCATCTATACAGTTATCTGACAATTTGCTGTTCTCACAATATGTGCATTTCTTAATATTCTTCATTTTATATTTTATTTTGCAAAATATAAGTTTAGCCCCAAAAAGATGCTTCTGCCATCATAAGTAATATACTTGGCAGAAAAATGGCAGTTCTGTACTTTAAAACGTTCTCTTAAAAACTGAATTTGTTATACAAATTAACATTTAAAAGGGGAAAAAAAGTGTAATTTCTCACTTAATCATCAGTTCTTTGATGTAAGAGGTATTCATGCTTTTCCTTTTACTTGAGGGTTTTTATAATCCTTGAATGTCTTTAATTTTACCTGGATTTTACTTATTGTTAACAATTACCTTTAATGTTACAGTTTGCTTCTGAAGTAAGAGGTTGAATCGAGATTTTTTAAATAAATATTAGGACAATGCTTTGATAATTTGCAGTAATATTAAAAAAAAATAGCTGACAAACCTTGTACTCGCAAATATAAAAAATCTTTAAAAATTAAGTACATTATGGATGTTTAAAATGTATGCAGTACTAACCTATTTTGCCATTTACTGCTGTGAAATTAAAACAAATCTATTATGAAAAGATCAAAAATTTTCCAAGCTGTAAGCATGTAAACAAGTGTGGTCACTAGTCATGGTGTCACTAGTGGGTAGAGAAGTGCTAGAAGTAAAGATAAGTCATACTTGCCTAAGAGTAATATATATGTATATTTGTGTATAATGATTTCACAACCACCTCCTGTTTGCTAGTACTATGGTGAGCTAGAATCTTGCATGTGTTTTGTTGAAAGTGCCATATGATATTGATCATCTCTGTTGAAAAATTTGTCAGTCATGCGAACAGTCCACATTTTAGTAAAATGTTTTCTGCAGGTCTTAATTACTAATGTTACAGATCTCAAGTAATGTCAGTACATACATATAAATGTCTTTTGGAATGTTGAAATTACTTCCAAGCAGAAAAAAGTGTAATATGAAAATTGCTTGCTACATACTAGAGAATTTTTTAATGCAACTACATTCCTAGAAATCTTCATGAATATGAATGTAATACTATACGACATAAAATTTTTTATGCTTATTGTGATGTTTTATTTGTGTATAGAATTTCATATTTCAAAATATGAATAGCAATTGCATTTCCCTTCAATTGTGTAGCTTCTGTTTTATTATAAATACATAAATCTTTAAGCCTATAAATAAAGATTTAGCTTATTTTATTGTATGAACACAGCATATTTTATATAGAGAGCAGGAAAATTGTGTGTGAGTATTTGCATTATTGGTAAGATTTTTGATCAACACCAGGATAATGATAACTTAAGCAAAAATTACACAGGTGTGAATAGAAGCTAGTCCAGCACCTCTATAGTACCATAGATGATTGAGGTATTGCTGTATCTAGCAATCTGTTAAGCTTCCAATGCCAGTTTTGTGCAAGAACACCCTGCGAGCATTTTGAGCATCTCCCATCCCTTTTCCCATATCACCAAACTCCCAAGAAGACGTTTGGCACACCATGTATTTTGAGTGCCCCCTTGCTGCACAGACACTATACGCTTATAAGCATCCATGCTTTCTCTGGGATTTGAACTTGGGTCCATTGGCTTAGCAATCAGCATCATTAACCACTATACTGGCTGGGTGGTTAACAAAAATTATATGTAAATGTTCAGCTGTGTTGTAATCCTGCTGTTTGACAGCCCTACTTAATTTAAGAGTCAGTTGTATTTTATTTATTTATTTATTTTTTAATGACACTTCATGCTTCTCACTTCTTTGGGCAGATTTCAATTTGAAAATAAATATGTGCACTAAAATATAATTACTTTTCAAATTATTTTTTTAAAAAATTATCTTTTTTTCCTCGCAAGATGTTAACGGTAATTTAATTACCAGAAAAATTGAAATGCTTTGAAATTCTGTTATATATATCTATATATTTTAAATATTCAGAGTAAATTTATTTCAGTAGGTTATGGAGGAAAAAATCACATATGTTCTTTTATATGCAGTTTTTTATAGGGATTATCCTGCCATCGACTTCATATATTTTATCTTAAAAATTGATTGCAATGTATTATGATGCAAAATAGGAAAAAATATATATTAATATGTTTTCAGTCATAAACTTGGTGTTTAGTAATTCTAATATATTTTTCAAAACAGCTTTATTGTGATTCTTTTCTGTATCTTACATAACATGATTAAATTATTATCTTTGTTATTTGAACAGTATTCATACAAACTATCTTATGAGCTGGATTGGGTAGAGGGTAACTGTATAATTTTCTATACAAATGCCTTAAATCATAAAATCATAAAATATTTCTCCTTACACATTTGCATTTTCTTAAATGTATTTAGCAGACATAAAGATTACATGAAAATTCATTACTATTCATCCATTGAAATAAAAGTAAGCATTTTCTGTGAAGTTTGATGTGAAGACTTCCTTCACTTTCTTTTTTAGGCATATAAACCTCATCTGCTTTTCTTTAATTATTTAATTTATCATGTAATAAACTGGGCTTTTGTTAAATAAATTAAATAACCTTCACTTTTTTCCCTTCTTTTCCTACCATTTCAGTTTTTTGGTATTGTATTTTTCCTGAAATTGTTAATTCTGTTTGAGAGTACTTTAAATGATAAATTTCAAAAATGGTAGTTTTTTAAATTATACTTAAATTACAAGTTACATTTGGATACACTTTTTCCTTAATTCTAATTAATCATATGAATATTCTAATTTCTTTCAGTGGTGTTTCATGTTGCAACACTGATGCTTAATAAAGAATCAGACAAAATGAGAAATGAGAAGAAGAAACATATTGCAAATGATAATGTGATTATTGTATATAATGAAAGTGGAGAAGATTACAAATTGTCTACCATCAAAGTAAGAATTTCATCTTCTTCCATGTATTATGTCTTTATATCCTAGACTACCTTAGGTTAAGTTTTGAAATTTTCAATTTGTGTTAGTTAAAAATGTACAAATGTACTTAATTTGTAAGGATTTTAATGATTTTAACCTTTACTATAACTTCTTTCTGTATAATCCTCAAAGAATGCAAATTAATTGTGTGAGTATTTAAGCTGAGGGTTTGAATGTTTTCAAGGTAGAGCTTTTGGCAGCCTTGCTTGCTTCTGCCAAAGATTGTTTTCATTTTATCCATTTTGCTAGTCGACATAAAAAGCACAACATTAAATACAAAGTTCATCCAGAAAGTAAGTACTGTTGGGTATTAAAAAAGATTAGCAATTTGTTTTAATGTGTATTTAATAATGGAAAAATCTACATACTTTAAACTACTTTTCAACTTATTTGATATGCAAATTCAGAATGCACTAATTGCATACCTGTTTCATACAATTTGGACATCTGTGACCGGAACCAGTTATGGACACTTACCTTGACTTCATCATCACTTTCAAAGTGCTAGCTGGCAAGAAATTTCTTGATATGAGAAAGCAAATGGAAGTTGGATGGGACTAGGTCTGATCTATAAGGAGGCTAAATAAATTTTTCCAAGCAAAATAAATCAAGCAGTGTCATCATTACCCATGTAGTATGTGATCACATGTCGTCGTGCATAAACACAGCACCGGAAGTCAGAAGTCCATGCCTTTTGTTCCGTACCATGTGACACCTCTTCACTGTCTCACAGTAAGCTGTAGCGATGATTGTTCTGCTCGTTCCATCCAGTCCACTAACAAAATTGACTGTTCCAAAACGGAATACACATAATTTTTCTTGAAGGAAGAGGTGACTTTTCTTTCTTGGGTTTCAGGAAACCAGTATGATGCCATTCCAGTGACTGTCATTTGATTTCAAGTATCTTGTAACAAATCCATGTTTCAATGCCTTTGACAATACTTTTCAAAAGACCTTCTGTCTGCAAAAACTCCAAGGGAACTCCCATGCATTTCTGTTTTCGAACGTCCATCAGTGTTTTCAGTACCCATCGCAAATGTAGATTTTTGACAAATCAGAAATCGTGAATCACGTATTGGAGCAAACTTTTCCACTGATGCTGCACTCAAATTCTTCAGTGATCAGCAATGACATCCACAACGTTCCATGTCATAGACATTTTCCTTCCTTCAATGAATATCCTAACCCACTTTTGCACCATACTTTCACTCAATGTGTTTGCTGCATAAGTTTCACTTATCTGACAATAAATTTCAAAAGGTTGCACATTTTGTGCATTCAAAAACTTGACAACAGTTCTTATTTCACAGCTGCCAATCGGTTGTTTTAATTTTGATTATTGACAAACAGTGCCTTCAAACATTAACTTAAACAAACAAAATGGCAGCAAATTCATTCTCAGGTTGAACTATGTAACTATACATGCATAACTTTGTGTTGTCAGATGCTGGGAATATAACCCTAAACTGTACTTACTTTCTGGATCAATTTAGTATTTTAATCAGCATAAATAGACCAGTTTATATACTCTCTGACTTCATTATTTAAAATTGATTTTCAATTTATATTATTTTATATACTTGCAAATGGTGGAGTTTTTGTTGTAAACACTAATGGTGCTGCTTTCTGTCAAATTAAAGAGTTAATAGATTATTTTAAATTTCATAGGGCTTTGTAATTCAGACTGGAGCATAACTAATTTTTCATATTTAAGGTTGTACATAATAAGAACCCTACAAGTTTGTAACAAAATTATCCAGTATTTTATAGGAGCTACTAAATATGATGACAATTTTGTATATAAATGGAAAATCATATGTACTTTAATTTCACACACTAAATCACATAACAGAACACAGAAATAAAATAAAGAGAAAACACTAAAATATAAAATATATTAATCATTGTTGCCTTCATTTAAAAATACAGTGAAGTTCCGCTCACTTTCTAATGCAGTTGTTGCCATTCAATTATGCACAAGTAACTATATAAATAATATTTAAATTTTAACAAATAAAACATTCAAAATGTGCAGTGTTTAAAATAATTTCAAGTATTGATGAAATTATGTTGCATAAAAGAGTCGTTCAAATGAAAAGTTATATTGAATTGCATACTTGTCAATTTCATGACGTTGATAAGTGTGTAATTCGTTCAAAAATTCTGTCTGAACTTCATCATGACATAAAAGTTCAGTGGCAGAATTTTTCTATGGCCAATGTGAGGATAAAAATGGGACTGCTGTTGTTAAATAAATTAAACATAGATAATTTGTGAAGTGCGGCATGGTAGAATTAAGGGGTTGAAAAAGTGGTATTTCAAGTTAATAAAATTACAAAGTAATAATTTTGAGCTGTATTGAGTGTATTTGAGTTGAAAGTGAGCAATCTGTGAGAATCCCTGAAAAATACTGCTGCAGGAAACTGTGTATTGCTTTGAACAGTTAAAAAGTAGCCTAAGTATTCTTCTGAAGGTTTATGAATTTTTAAAAACAATGCATACAAGTATTCTTCTGAAGGTTTATGAATTTTTAAAAACAATGCATACAAGTATTCTTCTGAAGGTTTATGAATTTTTAAAAACAATGCACACTCTCTGTAGAGTATGCTGAAAATTATTATCCATTTGATTGTGACCATTTATAGGTTTCTTCTGATCTACCATCACGTAACAGAACCTTTACAACTCTTACTTATAATCTCATGCTGAAGAAATACAATAATAAATATTTCAAGTAACAGTTTCATCTTAAGACAGAGATTCAATTAGTTCAATGCACAGTGTAAAAAATTTTTATAAAGAAAAGCTATCCGTTGCTGCTTTATTTAAAAGGTTACGTGTCTTATAAGTATAGTGAATATTTTTGAAAATCATAATACCATAACGGCCCACCAGCGGCCGAGCGGTAAAGACGCTGAACACTGGTAGTTCGGTCCGAGGTTCGAATCCCGCGAACGGGCTGGCTGCATGGGCGTTTTCGTGGTTTTCCCCATGTGTAACGTGTATACGAGCCAGTTTCCCTTAGAAAGTCCTCCACGAAAGGCATCCCTCCCCTTAGGCAGATAGCCCTAGTGTGCTTTGCCATAATTAAATACACCACCATAATACCATAAAAGGCTTTGCAGTTTGGTACCTTTTCATTTGAATAGCCCTTATATTGTTAATATAAAAATTCTGCATTCTTTAATATATATTTATTATACTAAGCAATATTAAGCATAACAAACTATTTATAGGGTCATGTGACGAATGCCTGTGTGGTTATTCATCCTGAAGATTTTAATAGTAATGTTGTGTTAGTGAAACTTAAGACTAAAGGTAATATTTATTTTTTAATTTTTGCATGTAGGATTATATTTTATACAAAAGCTTTATATAATAATATTTTATAAATACAGGGGTTGGACAAAAATATGGAAACACCTTTAAAAAAACATGTTTCTTTGCTTAATATGGTGTAGGAAACCCGTTGGCATCCAAAACAGCTTGCAGTCTTCTCGGAATGAATAAATACAGTTCCTGTATTTTGCCAAGGGAATATTATACCATTCTTCCTGCAAAACGATGGCAAGTTCAGATAACGATGTTGGCGGTGGATAATGAGAACGCACGTTCCGTTCCAATGTAGACCACAAAGGTTCGATAATATTCAGGTCTGGTGACTGTGGTGGCCAGGGGAGATGGGAGAACTCATCCTCGTACTCAGAAAACCAGTCCTGGACAATGTGAGCTGTGTGAACAGGGGCTTTGTCGTCTTGGAAGACACATTCACCATCGGGGAACAAAGGTTGTACCATGGGATGAACTTGATCGGCCAAAATGTTCACATAAGTCTTGGCAGTCATGTGCCCTGACATAGTTATCATGGGGCTAGCAGAGAACCACGATATGGCTGCCCAAACCATAACAGAACCCCCGCCATGTTTCACTCTTGGCAATAAGCAGTCTGTATTATAGGCTTGAGATGGCGTTCTCCAGCCGTAAACTCGGCCAGAAGTGGGAAACAATGTGAAAGAAGACTCGTCAGACCATATTACTCGCTTCCACTGCTCTATAGTCCAGGCTTTGTGACTTAAACACCACCTTTTCCTGTTACGGGCATTAGCATCACTGATGAGTGGCTTCTCAATTGCAGCACGGCCAGCAATTCCCTGTTTATGAAGCTCCCTTCTAATTGTTTTGGTACTCACAGGGTTCGGTAACACAACATTCATTTCAGCAGTAACTTTTGCAGCTGTGGTCTTCTTATTTTTCGTCACAATTGCCTTTAATGATCGTCTGTCACGATCACTCAGGACACACTTTCGTCCGCGCTGTGATTTAGCAGATGATGTTTTTCCGCTTTTCAAATATGCGGAATAAATCTTCGATACAGTACCTCTTGAAACACTGTCTGTTAACTCTGACATAATGCAATGACAACCTCACATAACAGTACTCCGACAACAAACTGAACTGTTTAGCACATTTACGAAGTTGTATAGGTGGCGTCAGTAGTCAAAAACACCAGCGCCACCTACATATTTCATTAAAATCAATCTTTCTTTTCAAACGTGCATTTCACAAGGTGTTTCCATATTTTTGTCCATCCACTGTATATGTTTTTGCTCTCTTTATAGAATAAAATTAATATCAGAATTGTAGAGTCTCACATTATCTGATGGATTTCAAATAGCTCTCGTTGAAATTTTTTATAAAAATTGGAATTGTGTTTTAGTATTAGCATGTATTTAAGTTGGGAGAATGGTTTTAGATCCACATAGGCATTAAATCTGGAAAATTTAGTTAAAATAAAAAAAGTAATTTTAAAATCATCATATACTATAACAAGAGAAAGTGGGAGGGGGATATAAAAATCAAAATGAGAAATAAAATTTTCCTTAGAGTGCTTTTGTTTACATTTCTGAGTCTAAACATTGTATGCATCATAATTACTGAATTTAAGTTTTCAAACAAATAGTACTTATATTTAAAAATATAGTAACAACATATAGTACTTATATTTAAACATATAGTAACAACTAATTTACTAATGATTCACTGTTTTGTAGCAAATTAAAATGTGTAGTACAATGAAAATAATTTAGCTGTTTTATGCATTGATAAATATTTCCACTTTTGAAGTAACTGATTATTTTTAGCTCTTTTGGCATCTGAAACATTGTCGATAATTTGATCGGTGGTACCGAAATATGACATTTTTTGCTCATAGGAGGAGAGATTTTCGAGGTCATGTTGTGTTATTTAGTCTGAAGATTTAAATACAATCAAATGTGCGTCCATTGTTCATTCATGATCACTTATTTTTATAAAACTTGTTTCGGCTGAAGCATTGCCAAAAGTGATTCTGAAATCCTTACACAATTTGTACTTCTGTTGACATTCTGAATATCTGTCAGACTGAGACTTTTTTTTAAATTGGTTCTCTGCAATTAAATGAAATGCCTAGAGTTTCTTCTACTTGCGTAACAATCATTCATCTATCTAACAACAAATTTTTTCTACTTTGGAAATCATTTCCTTTGTGACTAACACAGATAGAAAACTGGAGCATTGATCGTGTTCTTCCACAGCAAAATTCTGCTGCTCATTTGACTGTAAAGGAATAAGATAGAACATTATCTCCTAATGTCTTGGTTAATTCCTTATGAATGCCCTGCTTGACAAATGCTAAACATGAATAATTTATCATAATTTGAAGTTCAGTTTAATCTATATTTGGTTTCAGATTTGTGTTTTGAGATTTGGGTTCAGATAAGCTTTCAGATTTTGCATTATACCAAAGGGGCATTTTTTTAACGTTTTCTGTGTTACCTTTATTTATTAAATATCATGTTCTTCCCACTTAAACCATAAAATTCAATTCAACAGCAATATTGCAAAATAATTTTAAAATGAGCATATCTTTAGAATTTCCGATACGGTCTCACACACATGAGGGTTTCCCCCTCTCCTGTGCAGTGTTGTCATTGCTCGCTTTAAAATCTTTCAGTTTCTTAATCAAAAACTCATAAATGCATTACAAAATATGAAATAGATAATAAAAAAATCCAAAATTAAGGCTTCCAGATGCCTATATTCAGAGGAGGATTACGTTATTCAAAATTTTATGGCTCTAGGTACTGTTGTTTAATCACAATGCGAAAAAACGTACATACATTTATACAGATTCATCATTATTTAATATCTTTAAATATAACACAGGGTGGTAATATTTGGTGGCATCAGTTTGAAAGTGAATCGATGCAAAACACCAAAACGAAATTAATAGCCCTTCTGAGCTAACGCTCCTTTGGGCTAATAAACAAATAATAAGCTATAACCATTAAATTTGATATTAAATCTTATCTAGAAATTTCCAGCAAAATCTACCAACTCTACAATTCTTCTGCTTGACCCTCCTGAGTGAACTCTGCGCATTTCAGGGGTTGGCGGATTTTAGGTCGGCAGATTTTCGGTATTTGACTGTATTAACTTATTTTTAAATATTTGCTTCATTATCATAATTTATAGTAAAATATTTTTCTAATGCTGTATATCATCTATCTTGCTACATAATAATAATTTGCATGTCACTTGTAATTAGTTATTTTCTAAAGTTTAAAACACTAAAAAGTAAAGTTCTTCTAAAGTTTAAAACACTGGTTTCTAAAAAAATATTTTACATTTAAAGGATTTTTATTTCTTTTTTATGCTTGTGTGATATCAAAGAATAATCTTAAACATTTTTTACTATGTATTTTCTTATATTAGAATTACAAGATATGTTTGGACATACAGAATCATACATAGTATCTGATGAAAGTCTACCTGTGTTTGTTAGGCAGTTGGCTCTGCATGCTAATGTAAGTAGTCATATGTATCACATATAATGCATTTGTTCTCATAAAAAATTTGCTTATCATTTTTGTAGATCAGTGACAAATACTATTAAAAGTATTTGCTTAAAATAAAGAACTTATTTCAGCTGTAAATTTATATGTTTCTTATGAAAAAGCTTTTCTGTTGTTGTTTTTGTTAGAAGCACAAACATTTCGCTTTTTTACACAAAAAACAAAGTATCTGAGTAATAGTTAATATATATACAAGTGGCAAATTTAGCAAGTTGGTGATGTGTGTGTTTTTCGTTTGTGCTGTATGTAAGCTAATAGACCCAGAGCTATGAAATTTGGTACATAGGTGCATCTAGAAGAGAGCCAGTGCACCTCAAAGCGATTTTTTTTTTTTTTTTTTTTTTTTTTTCAAAATTCGAATCAAGTTTTTTTAATCTTTTTTAATGAAATTGCATCATTTTGAATAGTTTCATTCTTTTAGAAATGTGGTTTTGGACAACAGTTTTTCATTCAGTGCTTTTGTATACTAGACTACTGACTGTTGAAAATATGAGATAAAATATCTATTGCTTATTTGACTGTTTTTAAGATACTGAAAAATTTAGCATGATTTTTTTTCAATGGAAATTTGGTTAATTTATTTATTAGGATAATTAATATTTGTATTAAGGGATATTGCTTATTTCCTTTTGATTTTTGGGTATGCAACACGCACATCGCAATCTTCTTATTCTGACGCTTGTCTCACGAGACACAACAGAAAGAATTTCCTTTTTCCCCTCCTCTCTCTCTTTATTAGCTAATGGCATAGAGGTTTGTATATTTTGAATTATGTCATCCACAAAGCACAATTTTGATTGGTTATTGCTTTCTGATGATAGTTTCGTTCTTTTAGAAATGTGGTTTTAGCAACAGGTTTTCATTCACTGCAGTGGATACTGGACTGCTGAATGCTTCTATTGAAAATATAATATTTATTGCTTATTTCATTGTAATTTTTTATATTTTTTAATTATATATAATTTTAATTATATAAAAAGTTTTGCATGGCTTTCTAGGAAACAAAAGTTTTTAACTTCCTTTATATGATAAGATTTTGTAACGGGAAGTTGGTTAATTTATTTATTAGGATAATTAATATTTTTATTAAGGGATATTGCTTATTTAATTATAATTTTTTTAATATGTGATACATTTTATTGAATTTTATATATATATAAACTTGCTCCACAGAGTAAAATTCTGTGCAGTTTTTAAATTTACTGTTGGGTGTTCCCTTCAGGCAATTTTACGGTACATGTAAAAGCCAGACGAAAGCTGGCCGTGTAGTGGCTAACATACAATAAAAAATTAGTCGTTAGCAGTTTATGCTATGCTGACAGGTATTAAGAAATTAAAAAGCAGGTTTTAAAAATTAAAAACTAATTTTAATATTATTAATGACTTTAATACATAGATCAATCCAAAAAGAAGTTTAGTTGTAATTATTGAAAATAAATTAAGTAATTAGCTGAAAAGTAGTTCTTGTAGAGAGAAGACTTCTTCCCCAGAGTGTAGACAACCAGTTGTCTAGCAGTTGTTGTGTGGGTAGGTAGAGTACGTTCGCAGATGTATCAGAACGATTGAAATAGCAAGACATTTAGAAAAATGGTCTCGCTTAGAGGTGTGCACCATGATTTGTTATCCTGATCGAGTATATGGAGTGCTGCCATGCCATCACTGCCGATCAGTATTGTGCCACTTTAACAAGTTTATGAGAAGCCATCTGACGTAAGAGCCCTGCCATGTTGAGTGATGGTGTTGTCCGCCTGCATGATGGTGCCCCCAGCACCCACTTTCTTGACAAACTCAAGAACTGCTGCAAATGTTTAAGTGGGAAGTCTGGAGTCACTTTCTATATATCCCATTTAATCTTTTATTACCCATTGATTATTTCCTTCAAACAGTGATGTGAAAACAACTACCAAGAAATGGGTCAATGGGCAGAGACTCTACAAAGTCAGTTTAAATAAGTTGATCCTACATTCAGATAATTGCCAAAATAGATATGGTGATTAGGTGGGAAAATTATAGGCAAATACACCTCTCAATTCCCTTTTGCATTTTATGTCTATAATTAACAAATAATTTTTATTATCATTGTAACCTTTTTCTTTGGATCTATCCTCATATTTTCATATCCTTGATTGTTAAAGTAAATATGTAACAGCTAATAGTTCACATATTCTATTTTCTTATTAGCTTGCATCACTGATTATGAGTAGAAGGCAACATTCTGCAAAATATTCACACGTGTCCAATTGGTTAGAACGGCTCAGGACTATCAAAAGACTCCGTACTAAAGTGGTAGAGGAATTGAAAAGCAAAGCAGAAAATTTAGGATTTGAAAGTTTTAATGATTCTTCAAATTTTGATGATTTCACAGACTATGTATAATCATCAGATTCATGTCCATAAACTTGTAATATATGTAATCAGTCTCACAAAAAAAATCTGCATCTTGAAATCTTATATTGTACAAATATTGTAAATTTTAACATTTTTTGATTGTACAGTTTTATGATTATAATAAAAAGCTTATTTATCTCTTTTTGTAAGAAGAATATGTATTTCGATATGGAAGTGTTTCTTTAATTTTGGAAGAGTTTTTTTTCCCCTTACAAATATTTTATAAATAATTTTTCTGTGTTTCCTTTTTTGACATTAAAATTCGGTGTTCATGATTCATATTAGCATAAGTAAAATCAGTATGAAATGCTGTCCCATTTCTACACAAGATCTACAGGAAAATAGATGCATAGTTTCAAAAGAACTTTCTATTTATTGCACAATAGAAATATATCTTTCTTAGATAATAATTTTTAACATTAAATTTCATATTTAACATTTCTAATAATATGCTTTTCTTTTAACTTAAGATTATTTTGTATTTGTGCTTTTTTAAGTAAGCATATCAAATATTACTGGAGTATTAACTGCATTTGAAATTGAAATTTCACATTGCTTATTATGATTTAAAATAGTTTCACAAAATGCCAACAGTTTGGGGACTAGAAGAACAGCTTTAATTTTCTAGGTTTCATAACTATATAAAATTTGTAGACAAATTTAAGTGAAAAATTTATGTAAAATGTTGTTTTTAAAGAATACGGATGCTGGACAAACTAGAATCAGTTTGATTTTAAAATGTTATGAATATGTAAATTTTAAAAGAAATTCATGTTCTGTTCTAATATTCACATCTTTATTTATTTAAATTCTAATTTGAACAGAAATAACCCTTTGCAACCTAAGCACTTTTTTTAAAAAAGAAATTTCCAGTGGAAATTTTAAAAACAAATTTAATTTTGTAAAACTAAAAATTAGGAATATTTATAATTTTTGTACATTTTCTATTCTTAGTTTGCTTTTTCACCATTGTTAAAATTTGAATTTCACATTTCAAAGTTAAGTTCTTGGTGGTATGGTACCTATTTTCATATACACATTTTTTGGCATCTTTAGACAGGAGTTACAGTAATTACTCATTTTATAATGCTCACCCATTTGCTATGTTGCTGAAACAAGTGACAGCATTATTATATACCTTTTTCACTATGTGAAGTTTAATCTGTACTTGAAATACCTTTTTTCACTAAAAACGAAACACAATAATAATTAGCATTTATGGTTATTGAAGTAGCACAGCTTAAATACATAAATACACTGTGAAAGCTGCTGCCAGAGGTTCATAATATTGGAGTATAATGTAAATTGTGTATTGGTGTAGCTGAACTAGCAGAGTTTTGGCATATGTTATTAATGTCACTGTAGTAGCATTTAAATTATTATTAATTATTAATCAATTATTTTTATTTGATAACAGATGTATTGTTTTCAGTTGGCAGTTAGAGGTATTGATTTGGTTTAAGAGAAGGTAAATATTTAGTCCAGTTTTATAATATTTCTGCCGTTTTTTAACATAAAATGCTATAAATAAGAAGGTAAGAAAATAACAGCCCCCCCCAAAAAAATTAAGACCTTATATCAAGTAAGAAAATATTTCTATAAATTTTTATATTTTTAGAACTTTAAAATGCTAAGATAACTTTTAAATTGTTATAGACTGTAATCTAGTTTGTTATTGTATTTTTATTGTCATCGTTTTCTGTGTGGAAGACTTTGGCTTTGATTGCCTGTCATTAATTAATGACAGTATTCTACACACATATATAATCATATCCCATTGAATTATTATTTGCTTTCTTCGTTCATTTTGCATTATAAGTGATTTTACATTAATTATATTAGTAAAATTTCATGTTTCTTTTGGTGCACATGGAAGATGAGGCTTTTCAATATTCTTAAATTTTGTCATGCAACTCTTGAGCCCTTTGCTCTAGCTTTTCAAAAACATTGTGTACATTAAGAAGACAATGATTAGTGACTCGAAAAATATGAAAATGATCTCCATGTGTCACAAAATAATTTTATGCTGACCTTAACTGCTAGAGATTGTTTTGAGAGTGGCGAGAGAAATATGCTTTGCAATAAAATCTGGAAGTATTTATTTCCTCGTGCTATACACATATTAAACATTTGGTAAGTAAACAAGGAAGCAATAGGGAGCTCTCGGAGGTTTGTACAAGCCAATTACAAAAATTGTGTTTGATTTAAAAGCTCTTATTATTATTTACCTGTTCTAAGAAAAATACAAGTTTTGATAGACACAATTACCAACAAAACAATGCATGAAATGGGTCAAGTGATGTTGTTTAAATTTGCAAATATCATAAATCACATGCTACTCCTCAGCTATTTCCTGAAACAATGGAAGACTGCAGTGACAATTCCCATTCCCAAGCTAAATTAGCCAGCAGCAGACCCAGCCTCGTACAGACCAGTGAGTCTTCTCTCCACCCTCAGTAAAATAGCAGAGGCATTGATATACAATAGAATATTGGAATATATCAGTGAAAAAACATCTTTATACCCTAGCAATATGGGTTTCAAAGGAAGCACTTGACAAATCACCAGCTTTATTAAGTAACAGAGTTCATTGCAGAAGCTCAACAGAACGGTGAAAGCACAGCTGCACTATTTCTCGACATAGAAATCTTTCGATCATGATGGCAGTCGGCTTGATGGGCTACTGTACAAACTCGTAAGCCTGGGTTTCCCAGGATGCATTATTAACATCACCAAATCTTATCTCTTTGGCAGATGCTTTATCATTCACTACAAAAATTTTACTACTTTCTATAGAGAGGAATACCTATGCTGGGGTCCCTCAGGGTTCGCTCCTCGGCCCAATTTACTTTTTACTTTATGCGAATGATATATCACAGACACCTTTCACTACACTAGCCATGTATGCAGATGACACGGTGATCCTTGCAAAAAATGCATCCTTAGACCATGTTACTCAAGCATTACAGATACACATACATGCACTGGAGTCTTGGCTCCAAAAATGGAAAATTAAAATTAATGTGGAGAAATCAGAAGCAATTATCTTCACAAGGAAAATAAAAATCTAGCAAAATATCTATATGGAATGCACATCCCATGGGATAAAAGTGTCAAATACCTTGGAGTTATGCTTGATAAAAAATTAACATAGACGCCCCACACTACACATGTAATTAATAAGTTCCGAGCAGCTAAAGGTAAACTCACCTCCCTAATTTCTCGGAACTCCGTTTTATCTTTAGACAATAAGTTACTCCTCTATAAATCTATGTTGCGTCCCATCATAAACTATACTTATCCTGTTTGGGGCTTTGCCAGTAATATACGTATGAAAAAATTGCAAATTTTGCAAAATACTACTCTTAGACAGATTACTAGATGCAGATGGTTCATAAGGAACTCCATGATTCATGAAGACAACTAAAAGAATTCAAGGCAAAAATTGCAAAATGATTCTTTCAAAATATTTACTAATAGTATTCCTGAAATGGAGTATGATTATAACTTATTAAACAACATCAGAAGACCTGGTAATTGTATATGTTTCATTGCCTAATTCTACAGCATTTTATTCTATTTTAATAATAATTTTCTTTAATTTCTAGTTAATTTGTAACTAATCCCCAACTGAATTTTGACCCCCTCCCCTGTTTTGGCTAGACCTATCACTAAATTTATGTATGTCTGTGAATTCCACCCATCCTTTTATGCTTGTAAATAGTCAAATTGTGCATAGACTCCAACTACTACGGATTCTCCGTAGTTTCTACAGAAATTCATGAAAAACTACGAGCTACGAAAAGTATGGAAAAAACTACGGATTTTACAGAAACAAGAGCAGGAGAACCAGTACGCAAAACGGAACCAACTAATTCATCCGATGATTGGCTGAATACTCGTGTTATCATATATCACGTGTTGAGTGCGTTCCTAGTTTTGAAGAATTAGCCAATCGTAGATCAGTAACTCCAACCGTTAACGACTTATCAATAGTTCCACCAAATTGTCTGTCTCCCAGGTTCCTCGCTGATGCGTGTTTAGGCTGCATTCGGCTGCATTGTGTAGTTTACGGCGAGAGCTTAGCGTGTGTCTTGTGAACTGTGAAAGATTTTTAATCATAATGCTGCCTCGAACGAAGAAGCCAAAATTATCAAAGCAGAAGTTTAAAGATTCATATTCTTCAGAATTTCCATGCATTAAAGCGTCCGAAATTTCTGTGAATCACGCACACTGCAGTGTATGCAACAAAGACTTCTCGGTTGCTCATGGCGGAAAAGATGACTGTAAACGGCATGTGTTTTCTCAAAAGCATATAGAACTTGGCACCGTTAAATCTAAAGAAATAACAAATTCTTAATAAAAGATGATGAAACAGATCCTATAAAACGAACAAAATAAATATAAAAAAACAAATAGCATTCGGCTATAAAAGCCGAATGCTATTTTGTTCGTTTTTTAATTGAACATAATCTACCGCTTTCTGTTTCGGATCATTCCAAAGAGCTTTTCAAAGCAATGTTTTCCGGATTCTGCCATAGCAAAAAATTTAGCTGCGGTCATACCAAAACTGCTGCTATTGTGAAAACGCTTGCAGAAAATACTGTTGCTGATATTATAAAATCAGTGTGCAAGTACATCATTTTCTCTTAAGTACTGATGGAAGTAATGATAACAATGATAACAAACTGTACCCATTGGATTATAACATATTACAGTAAAGGAAAAGGGAGTGATAATTACTTCATTGATTTCTATTTTAGAATGCACGAATAATACCGGAGAAGGTATTTTTAATTGTATAAATGAAAACCTTTAAAAGCATAGGTTTAGAATGGAAAACTTGCTTATCATTTTCTTCAGATAATGCTAGTAATATGATTCTGGAAAGTTTAAAGGTGTAGCATCATTTATCAAAATGCATCAACCAAGTATAATCAACCCGAGGTTGTCCGTGCCACCTCTTGCATTATAGCTGCAAAAAAAAAGCTACTGAAAAATTAATTGGCTCAGAAATTGAAATGTTGATAATAGATATATATTTTTACTTGGAGAAAAGTTCGAAACGGAAGCATAGCTTCAAAGTTGCTCAACAAATTTTGGGACAGAATGCTAAATCTCAAATTTTGAAATATTGCAGTACGAGATGGTTGTCTCTTTAGAATCTATAACAAGGATTTTGGAACAGTGGGATGCTGTGATAAATTTTTTTGGAGATAAACCAGATAACAGTGAGAATGAAGGAAAGAGATTGCAAAACATTGCAAAAAAAAAAATTTACAGTCACCGACCACCAAATTGTACTTGTTATTTTTGAAAAATACTTTGCCTTTGTTTATAACAGTAAATATTAATTTGCAACAACAAGCTCCTTATATACATAAATTGAGAAGAAAACTTTTTGAACTTTTAATGAATTTATTTGTTAGATTCGTAAAACCATCAGTAATTTCTAAAGAAAATGAAGATGTTACTCTAACGTCTATTCCATTTCAGAAGTATAGTAAACAAAAAGAAAATGAAAATTTAGTGATTGGTGCGGAAACAAGACTATATTTAAAAAATGCCAAGTTGAATGAAAGTGAAGTGAAATCATTTTTCAATTCTGTGCGAGCTTTTTTGTAACTGCATGTTCATATATAATTGATAAATTTCCACTGAGTGATCCATTTCTAAAACATGCTGAAGTTGCTGACATCAACTTGAGAAACTGAAGTCTCATTTTCATCTGTTCTTTACTTGATGAATACTTTTCCATCCATTATTGATGAAAAATGTCTTAATCAAGTAGAAATTGAATTTTTCCATGTATCAAGTAGATGATTTGAAAGAAATTGTAGATTTGTGTATTGATATAGATCATGGGGAGAAAATTGCCAAATTAAAAAATATGAATGGGTGTATTAAATACAAAGTATTGCCTTCTGTAATGCTTGCTGTCTTAATAATACCCTCATTCAAATGCAGCTTGCGAAAGAATTTTTTTCTATTGTTAAAAAAAATCAGACGGAATTTCGACCAAATTTAGGTCTTAAAACTCTTGAAGCAGTTTTGATTGAAAAAATAAATATGCAGGCAAATGAAGAACTGTGTTATAAAAAAACATTCTCAAAATCAGAACTTAAGCTTGCTAAGCATGCTACATATAAATCTTTGCATTCATAATTATGCGTATTTTGTTTAATACTTATATGTATCATTCTTCGGTTATTTAAATTTTATTTCCCTGTAGAAATCATATCCAGAATAAAGATATGATTTTATAGCTTCTGATTTTTTCTATGATTAGTAGTGATTTGAAGTACTTTTTATTAGTGAATGCTTGAGGAGTTAAAAGAAAATTTCTAATTAAATGTGCATATAATTTACAAGGTATATTTTTAATTATTCAGTTTTATAGTTATGGATTTTAAATGTAATAAAATTGATTACAATTAATTATTAATTTAAAATTAATGAATGGTTAATTACAACATACGCTACGCGCACATTTTTAAAGTTGTAAAAATGTTGTTCGCGCGTTGACTACTGACAAGGTTTGCTGAAGGTTGGAGTCTATGAATTGTGCTTTGTGTTTGCTCCACCAATCTCATTTCAGCTACAGTTCACCTGAACGTGCTCCCTCCTCCACTCTACTCTCTGGCTACAACAGTGATGAATTCAGACTCTCAGCGGGCATCATGCAGCTAGCAGTGTAGCCGACTCTCCAAAGTTATAGAAGAAGGAATTGTCATGTGTGTTCAAGCTCGCTAAGCAGATGGATGTGCTACCCAAGGAACTCTCGATATTTTCTACTCCACTGCTTTACATACATACATCAATAATTGCTTTTGCTACTAAAACAGGTTAAAAACTTCAATTGCTTATCATTCCAATGCTATGCCTACAAAAGATATGTCTAGAATATTTCTTCACATGATAAAACGCAGGATAGGGCGATGCCCTGGAGAAGTGACTTTCACCTAATTTGGCTCGAATTTTATTGGAGTTGTTTGATGAGCATAAGGATGAATTTCAATTAGTGTCCTAGCCACCTAAATCGCTGTATCTTAATCCGATGCAGCACATTTGAGATTTCATATAGTGATAGCTCAGAGCTCAAACACCACCACGTGGAATATCTCAACTTTGCATGACTGCTGCTTAGATATTTAATATAACCTGTCTCCAGTCATCTACCAAGAACTTGTGACATCAATGCCAAGGTGAGTTGCAACTGTTTTGCAGGCCAAAGGTCACACGATACATTATTGAGTAAGTAATCATAATGTTTTGGCTCTTCAGTGTATATACAGTAGCAGTACACAATTGCTTAAGATCAATAGTTGATCTTAAGCAATCTGTAAGATGCTTAAGATCTTGCAGATTAGCAATCTGTAAGATGATAGTCAGAAAAGCTATATAGATGTGAAAGAAATCATTCTTTCACATCTATATAGCTTTTTTGTTTTATCTGTAAGAAAAAATCTGATAAATTTTGTTTGCTTTGGGGAAATTAGATATGGCAATGTAATCTTTCTTTTTCAAAAAAGTTTGGGATGAAAAACTATATTTTGCCAAATGATGTTATGTGAAAGTTTTTGCACAAATTTTAAATACAAATGCATCATTGCAATTTTATTCATGCTTAACTTTCAGTATCAACAATCCATAATATATATAATAAAAATTAACATTTTCTATTGCAAAATATATGGTAAATATAAGCTCCTTAAATATAATGGAAATACTACATTTTAAATAAGTACTATGAATTAACATCACCGGTTATTTTTATACAACCTATAAAATCTTTAAACATTCATAAACAGTTATTTACAAATGTAAATAATGAATCTTCAAAATTCGTATCTCATATAATTAAAAATAAGTCTTAATACTATGCATAATACAGCATCACATCAAAACCACAAATTTTTTTAGGGTTATTTTTTATATTAGGCTAGACGAGGAAAATGCAAGTGAAAGAATTAAAAATGATATACTGGTTCTTCCTAAAATGTTCCCTAATGTACTTGGAAGTTTCTAAAGTACTAAAATGCACTTTCCCCAAAAAATTACTGTATATTAAATTTGTGGTTTTCCCATGATGCCAAAAATAATTTTGATTCAATCCTTTTATAGAAATAGGCCAACATCATAAAATTTATAAATACATAATTACTAACTTGCATAAAATGAACTTTTCACAAATGAACAAACAGACATTACAGCATAGTATAAGCATGAATACTACATACAACAATAACTTATTTGCTTTATACAGTTTGAAAGATAAGAGAATATGGGTGATTTTACAACGAACATGTGATTTTATTGCTTTCAAAGATAATATTTTTAACAATGGAATAAATTAACATTTAGCCTAATATTGAGCTACATTCAGAGACAATATAAATAAATAATGCAATTGATATACACCTAAGACTAGAGAGAACACATCATGATCCCTGCATTAAAAGGCACTTTACAATACAAAAATTAAGTAGATACATGAGATTCATAAACAAAAAAAGGAAAGCGTAACAACCATGAGTATTAATATGAACAAGTATATATAGGTTTCAATATTTGCTTATTTCTAAATAGCAATAAATATAAGTACTATAAAAATAATAATTGATTCAATAAAACACAAGATTGTCATTTCAACATTTTATCTTTAAAACTGAGCATATTTTGATATTTTGCATGTAAAGATGTGAAGAGAAATTATTTATCTCTTCACTGTACTTGTATTAAAAGTGAAATTGTAAAATAATTATCACTATCCTAAAGCATTAATATGAATTTCCAAAAACAATTCTACTTTTTATAACAGTAAATATGCTTGTTTGTGACTTAATTTTATTAAGGGCATAAATTTCCTCTTTGTAATCTTTCTACACTCATTTCTCTGACAAGTGAGTGTTTAACAACATTAAATTGCAATATTTTCTAACCATCAGATAGTTATTAGCTAACAATATCAATATTTTTATAAAATTTTTACTTGCTGTCTATATTTTATAAATGCAGAAGTTATCAAAAGATAACCATTTCCAGTTATTATTGTTTTGGGGGGGAGCAATGCATCATGCCATGCTACCAGATCATTTATCATTCAAACAACTTGCCAAACACTGCCACTGCATGACATGTAAGTTCTTTAATTTATCTTTCATGTGACCAGTTCCCAGAATGTTGTTGGATGTGGCATTAAAATCTTTGATTTAGCTTTCAGATCAATAATATTTAACTTCCATATAATATAACATAAGTAAATTAGGTATTTAAATATATTTCATACTTGAAATTCAACACGTTTTCACAAAATTTCACTCATAATTAAAATTTAGTTTTCAGCCTTCTACACTTATATAAACAATTTTACTAGTATTTCAAATCTTTCATTATTATTTTTGAGGGGGGGGAGAAAAGAGCAAATGAAATTTGAATAATTTATCTCAGTATTTACATGAACATATTTTATAAATAGTAAAAAAAAATACAGGAATTTTAACTGAAAAATAATTAATACATTCAAAATCTCCATTTAAAAGACACAGTTACAAATAAAAACTACTATATAACATTAATTTAAATGTTATGCTGTCGATTTCTTGTTTAAAATTCATAAAAATGAAAATTAAATACTTAATAATGCATAAAAAGACAGGCAGTGATTTAAATAATTTCATTTCAGTTCTTCCATATTATGCTTCACTTACATTAAATTATTAAACCTCCAAATTCCTGCATGAATTTTCATAGAAAACCTAAAAGTTTCTTACAGATAGTTATTTTTCAGTTTTATTTGGAACTGTTATTGTTACATTATTGCAGAGTCACCTAAAGTACAGAAGATCTTATTAATAAATGATATCTGCTTAAGATGGGTTTTAAATACTATAAGGAATTTGCATTGTGCTAACTCAAATTCAAATTTACATGAGTAAGAAGCTACAGACTTAACTACTATACCTTTTTTTTTTTTCTAAAGAGGGTAAAAAAAGTTCAACTAAAAATTAACAAATGTTTATGAAATTATAAAACAATTAAAAGTTTAAAATCATAATTATGAAAGTAAAAAAAACTAAATAACAGAAAATTTTTAGAAAATTACACTATGCATAAATTTAAAACATGCACATTTGGAAATTGCTACAGCATAACTTTTAAAAAAATAGCATATAATACTTTTAATATGATAAAATAGTTTTAATTTGTTATTTTATATTAAATAAAAATTGAAACAAAAGCATCATAAAATAAGTCCAGTATAATACTGAACTTCAAAAAGACACACTAAAACACAAACGTTCTTCTACACATTATTAATAATATGTAAAAAATTACATATGGGTGGATCTATGCATTTAATAGACAATGCTTGGCAACAGCCTTAGGACATTAAAAACAGTCCTTAAAATTCCAGAATTTTTCTTAAATAACAACTGGAATAATTCTGCTATCAATAAAACAAATTTTAAACGCAAAAATTTAATGGTTTGAGGAAGGGGAGAGAAAGAATATTCATCACTTTTGCCACAAAAATAATCTGAAATGTAGAAGCAAGGAATGTTTATACCACTACACAGAAATCTATGCTCATAATTTTTAAGAAGCTTATTTTTATGAAGGAAATTATCCTGTGGAATTTTGACAACTAAAAATATATTTATATATATAAATCCACTAATAATATATCCAACAAGATATACAATGTATTAAATATTGCAAATTGGAACACTAAAAAAATAGAACGAATCTTTATTAAATATCTACTGCCACTTGTAACCATTCACTCAGGTGAAAAGAATGACAATGACTTTTTAAATTATTTTCAGCAAGTAATTTTCTGAAAATACAGCAAAACCACTGATAACTGCTGTTTATCCTGTCATTTCCATTATCAGCAGGAACTTTAATAACTGCTACTAACAGCAGCTTTTATTTAAACTTGTTGACTAAATATACTTTGTTTCTTTGGTATCTTGAACACTTGAAATAGGCACAAAAAAAAGTTTAAAAAGAAAGAAAAAAAATTAAATATGTTCCAAAAATTAGTAAATTTCTTCAGAAAACAGTAAATAATTACTTTTTTAAAGGAACCAGTACCAATATTTTCATACACAACATAGCTCAAAAGTAAATATTTTGCAATCACATAATGAATAAAAATGTTTGTGCTGAAGTGACTATATGTATTTTTTATACTACTTAATATTAAAATACCTGAAACTTAACATTTATCACAGATCAATACTTTTTCACCAAAATTAATTTTATTTTCACAATTGCAGTAATTTTCTTTTTGAGTTTGTAATTCCAAACGAACCTAAAAAGAGAAAAATGTAAAAAATATATCTATATTAAATATGCATAAATACAAAAGTATACATATAAGTGCCATAAAAATATACGTGGATAGATTTAAAAACCTATCTATGTAGTGAATATATATGCCAGCTACCAATTTATATAATTTTAATTTATAGCCACTGTAAGTTATCATAAATACTTAAAAACTTTGGAATGAATTTTTGAAAGCATTTAAATAAATATTTGTTAGATGGTAAATTAAATAAAATACTGTTAAAATTTGAATGCAGAAAATAACACTCACATATTTAATATGCATATCCTGTGGAATTTTGACATAAAAATTTTTGACATGTGACAAAAGCTATTTAATAAGAAAATTTCTAATGTATTTGCAGTTTCTTTTTTTCGAATTTCACAAGTATGTATTACAAATTTAGGGAAGTTAACTGATTTTTTTTTTTTAACTTTAAAATTGACTTCTTTCTATCAAATAAGAATTAGTGCCATTTAGTCAATTAAATTATTATACTTTCACTATTTTTGCAATCTTATGAATTATTTCAAAGAAATAAAAATATGTGTAACATATTTTTATATAATATGTTACACATATTTTCTGAGAACAAATAAATAATTTGGTACTTATGTATTATTTTATCAACCATAAAAACTGTCTACAAGCAGCAAGATTTAATACCAATTATGGATAAAAGCATGACACAATGAAGAAACATTTTGTTTTTCCTTTAGATATGTATTTGGAAAAATTTTTCAACTTAAAGCCAAACTCCCAATTTTACCTAGGTAGCTTTAGATATTGAAAAAGTCATGGCTTTCATAGCATATTTTGATAAGTGGATATGAATAATTTTTTTCAAAAGGAGCACAAACATAGCCTAGCATCCATTGCTTCTTTAAAAGCGCCATTTTGCATGAAAACAAAACTGTCAAGTAGCAAACAAAAAAAATTCCAAGCAGACTACTTTTTTAATAGCAAAGCAAAGTCCTCTAAAAAATGTAGGAACAGCCTCTGTTCACTCAATATGCACCATATACGATAAATATGTAACATTATAAATAAATATGATATTTATTATGGCTACAAAAACATTGAAAAGGTATATGACTAGTTAATACAAAAAAAGAATTTGGCTATTTCGGAGGCAATTTGAAATGCTTTATGTAGCTTAAATTGGGCAGAAGTATTTGTTACGAAATTGTCACACCAGTAAAGAATGCCATCTATGGATGGAAGTTTTAAATGAAAACTATTTCTAAATTGACAACTAAATGCATAATGCTCAGATATGACCAGTGCACCAAAAACATAGTTGTTTGTATCTCTCAGTCCAAACCTGTGCAGATATGGCAAGAAGGGACCATGTCCAGTGAAGAAATATGTTACTTGTATTGGTGAGTCTTTTTGAATTTGAATTTTCGGAAGGATTTATAGGTCAGTCATCCAGTTTCTGCATATGCCCATTCTTATTGCCACGGATTTATGAGTTGACAGTAACTGCTTGTTTAATAGAGGAATATAAATTAATCTATCAGCAGTGTTTTAATACTGCTAACTTGCCAAGTTGATCAGCTAGTTCATTACCTATTTTTGTCCCATATAGGCAAAAGTAAATTATGTGTGAATGTAGGCTAAGTGGAGTTTCTTGCTCAGTTATAAAGTTTATTACTATAATTTTAAAGTAATGGTTCCCAAACGTTTTGGCTAGCACAACTTTTTAAATTATATTTTAACATGTTAATGATTAAGATAATGTCAACATTATGTTTGATACATTAAAATTATGTTTTAAGTGAAAATTATTTTTAAAAATTAACTTAAGTAACTTTAATTATTTCTTGTAAAACATAATCTTAACTTAAAGCATTTAGTTTAGATTATATTTGATTACTTAATGAGAATTCTCCACATGGTAATGAAACTTTTCTTGCTCAGTTACAAAGTTTCATTACCATGTTGAGAATTATCATTAAGTAATCAAATATAATCATTTTATTACAGTCAAAAGTCTTTAATCCGGACTCGTCGGGACTTCGGTGATTCCGGATTATAGATCATAAGTTTAAATCTGGTAAGATGGCATGCAGAAATTATAAAATTAAAAATATGAAACCGTAATTTATAAAATAATGAGCAATTATGATCTAAAAGGTATCAAAATTTACAAAAAAAAAAAAAAAAAAAAAAAAAGATTAATATTTATTTGTTTATTAAACATTTCTTTCAACGCGCACATGCGTAGAGCATACATTATGCATAGCCGAAATTAGAAAATTGCAACCAGAAAACTATTTGATTTGTATTCGTGATATTTATAATGACGAGGAATTTGATTTAAATCATATCAAAGAAGTACATCAAGATGAAATACTACATTTAATAAGGAATTATAGCCGAATAAAATAAAAACATCTGCCCTGAAGATAATGATAGTGTTGACAAATCAACTTCCAGTTCATTGCGCGCCACCAAGTTCCCCCTCACCCCCCGCGCAGAGCAGCGTGAAATTGATAAACAGATTTCGGAACGGTTAGATAAACAAAGGATATGCCTTTATCCATTTTTTGGAGCAATTCCACTTTTTGTTTGATGGACATCGAAACATACTTTCGTTTTCGTAGATCCTTTGGGAGCTCCAGCATCGGAAATTCTATTTGACATAATTGAAAGTTCAAGCTTACTTTTATAAAATTGCTCTTACAGTCTGCAAAAAATAATAAGCCAGATCCAATTCGAAGATTAAGGAAAATGCAATCATCAACATTAACTGAAATAGACAATTAGATCATTTTAGCTTATACCGTCCGTTATACATTAATTGCGCAGTGAAAGCGTATTCTGTGCTCGTGCACACGCAAATGCGCAGTCATAAAGGTCTTACGTGCACGCTTAAATGCCTATGCGCATGCGTCAACGCGGCGCATGCGCAGAAAGGTTTTAGCTTTGAGGTCCGGATTATAGATCATTCTGGATTATGGGTGTCCGAATTAACGACTTTTGACTGTATAACCTCTTTACAGGGCCACCATTTAAAAAAATACATGATAATAAATTTTTATTCAAGACTGTTAATTAAGAAGCAAAATTTTACTATGCAGACCATCACTCGATTAAGGTGCAAGTTTTGTTAGTCTTTGCAAGTCATCAAACATGTCGAAATATTACTTTAAACAAAACTTTTAAACACTATTATGGTAAAAGTATATTACTACAGAGGATGGAATCTGCAAGAAATGGCATATTATTTAATTTCTGTGCAGGGAAAAAAAATGTTTGAATAATAAAAAAAATCAACCTGTAATAAAGAAAACTAATGTTATATTAGTCATAAGCACAATAGAGTTACATAACTCTTTTTAGAAAGAAAAAATTTTAAACTCTTATGATCAATTAGCTTCAGCACTGAATTCAGGCAGTGCTAATACTGATATTCATATTTTATATAAACAGATATGGGTATTATCAAGCTAATCATACTAACTTTTTCAGTCATAATTAATATCCGACCTTCAACTTTTGGTTCCAATTTGCACTGATCTCTCTCGATTTCATCAACAATTGGAGGCACAGGAAGATGAGAATCAACTGCTGTTTGTCGAGCTTCTGATTTGTGTACTTGGAATCTGCCTACTTCTTCAAGAATCTTCACAGCACTGTGTCTAAATAACAAAACATTAATGCATATGTATCATGAAACCAAAATGTGCAATGACCATTTCAATATGATTTAAATGAAATTATGTGTACCATATATCTACACAAGTTTTGTTTTAAATTTGTAGTTTTTTTTTTTTTAATTTTTATTTTGGATATGCTATGAGCATGTTATAATTCTCTAGAGATGCAGAGATGACACTGTTAGTGTCCGCCACAGTTACAACCTCAGATGATTATGTAGACTGTGTGCAAAGTTAGTCATAAAATAGCTTTTCAGTTCAACAAATGGAGATATAACAGCAGGTAAATCAGTTTGCTTGTTTTATTAATCTCAAACGGACACATCATGAATAAATGCAACCAACTGAGTATGTCAAGCATTTGGCATAATCCAGAGAATGACAAGATGCATTTCATTGGTTTGCAATATTTCAGAGTGGAAACTCTGGGAGATAACCAGTGCAATGGCACACCAATAACTATTCATGTTGACACTTCAAGGAGAACAGTCAAATATGTCTGGAGGTAACATAACTAAAACCCAACTGCAACAATGGCAAAACAAATGCTGTCAACAAACATTCAAAATTTATGAAAAAACAGCTGTGAAATGCTGTTTCAAAAGCTAGAAAGTGACATTATGATAGTAAAAGGTGATGGCATCGTTTATTATTTTCCTGAATAATTTGCATTTTACAGAATCTATGGTATTAATTTAGAAATCAAACAACATAAATCAGCATTATACTTTAAAAATTTCATAGCATTATATTTATTGTGAAAATCTGCAAATATATTGTGAAAATCTGCTGATTTTTGTTGTTTGGCTTCTAAATTAATATTTGTTCGCCATGTTATTTTAACCTAGAATCTATGGTAATTTGTTCCTATGCCCAAAATCATAAAATATTTATAGTTACCAGATATTCTAATTTATATACACTCATTGCCACAAAAAATCTGTCTACAAAGAAAGATTTGCGAGAATCGAATGGAATTTTATAAATGTGAGTGTAACAGTGATATAAATAAGTGATTATGAAATCAAAGCAAAAGGATATTTTATAAAAGAAGAAAACTACAAACTAATGGAGCTTCTAGTACCTTGTTGGACCACCTTTAGCATGAATACATGCCACTGAGGCATACAGGCCCTAACATGTATCCTCTATTGTCTCATTCCACAGTTGCTGAAAGCATGCCTCTAATTTGAACAAAGTGCAAGGCAACTCATTATCCTAAGTGATCCATGACCAACCTGTTGATTGGGCAGATCAAGGAAGGGAGATAATGCATCAGAGGGATTCCTGTGATATCCTAGCTGTGTGTGGCCCAGCACTGTCCTGTTGAAAAATGCCTCCTGGGATCTCTGTCATGATTGACAACACATGTAGCTGAAGGATATCATGAATGTAAAGCTAGGCTGTTATGCAGCAATACTGAAAGTGGCCCAATGTCGTATGCGAGAGCGCTCATACCATCACATCAACTATGGAAATAGTCAACTGTGTTGAAGTATTCATGCCAAATAAATGCAACAGTAGGTGGGTGTTGTTGGCACCACATATAAAGGACATAGTTATACCAAATATCTTTCAGCCAGGCACCTTGCAGACAGACTTGAAACTGCTGCCTATGTCTGGATGGCAGGCAAACCACGTGTGCATGTCAAGTGATGCGACTGTCCTCTCTGCTATTGGTCTGCTGAGGGTGTACTATGCTTGACTGATTTGTATGTGATATATCTGTCATCCACTGGTTTCAAGACTCCTCACAGTAAAGTCAGAAGGGCCTATATAGTGAACTAATCACCAAGCTGTCCTCCTGGCTTCCTCTATTCAGTGATTCTTTATCTCTCAAACTCTGAAAGCTGATCATAATGATGTCAATGTCATACCAAGTAAACAGCCACAAATTAATTATAGCCACAAATTAATTATAGGCAAATGTATCTGTATATCTTTCTTATGCATCAAAGACAACAAAGTCCAATGAGCACTGATAGCATTATGCAGTTCATGATCAGGGTATATTTCTGATCATTTGCATAGATGCTTGACAAGTACTTTCATGTGCTTGGTGCACAAATTTGTGTGTCACTGAATGTACACCAAGTCAAAAATAAATGGGACAATTTTATATCTCCTGTTCTACAGGGCAGATTGACAAAATTCAACTTGTGTTTTTCATGGCTCGAAAGCGCAACTTAAATTTATATATAGTATTGTTCTAACATGCATATTTTGGCCCAGAGTCAGACTTTTTTCTGAAATGACACGGCAATTGTTTTTCATATTTTTATTGTGCAACTCAAATTATGCCTAAAAACCAAATTTTGTAAAATTTTGTGTGAAATTTAATCAGCATTCAGAAATTTATTTTGGTGTACGTTTTTTACTTTGTGCCAAGAATAATTCACTTACCAAACTTCTCAGTTTATGGAAACCTATTTCATTTTCCACAAGCAGGAAAAAAGTATAGTTTTTCTTTCTTTCACATATTTTTAAATCACAGTTGTTATTTTTAGACCTTTTTTTATTTTCAGTATTTCATTTTAATTATTTGTGTGGCTGAATTCTCCAAATAGTTATTTTTAAAAACTGTATTGATTTATTTGTATTATGTAATTTAAACATGTTTATTCATAAATTTTTTTTTTCTAAATTTAATTTATTTTAATAACATTTCTTTCGAAAGAATACTTTGTCACCTAGCATTCATCATGATGCCTTTGAAAACTGCATTCTGCATTAAAACAGAAAATGTCATAAAGTACAGTTAACTAATTTAACTACCATAAAGTACATGAACTAATTTAGCAGAACAGCATTTAAATGAAAACTATTTGGTCATCCTTATTTAGTGTAACTTAAAAAAATGACATTAATTTCAATAAATAGTAAAATAGTACCTTCTTGATAAGCAAATAAGGCTCTGTCTATGCTTTGTTTTATTACCTATAGCACCCGTCAAAACTTTAATGGCATGGAAATGATTTTGAACAATTGTGCACAACTCTGGGCACTCTTCTTCAGTGAGCTAAGTAATGAAATCGTTGAAATTTATATTCGTATAAGATCATCATCACAAAACATGGCAAGTGTATTTTTTATTACAAAACTAATAAACTTACCAATGTTTTACTATTTTTTAAGCAATCATAACCATCTTTTCCTTGACACAGGTAAGACTTTGTAACTAACCTGTAATTCTTAAAAAAGGAAAAAATAAAATTAATTAATCTTTAAAATATTCAAAATGCATATAAAAATAACAAAATATAACTATGGACATATTAATTATGCAATATTTGTCTAAAGTTAGCTTCCCAACCAATGCTGTCAGTTCACTATTTGAAATGCAATCTTTACACATCTTTAGTATTAGCAGAACTGGATGAAAAGTCCATAATACAAACATACTTTTCAGATGTTTATCATATAAGAATAAAGACTCAGTTCCAAAGTATTCTTGTTCTGCATCCACACAATGGACTTCATAAGAAATCATGTGAGTAGAATTTGGCTACAGGAAAACATCTGTATGATCAAAGAAACTGGTGCAAATGGCAATAATAATAATAATAAATAAAATGATAACGGGCAATAAAAAATTCATAAATGGCAATAAAAAAGAACAATTAGAAAATATGGAAGTACTTACATTGGAATTCATGAAATTCACAGAATTTTCACCCTTTTGTAAAATATAAAAGTGCATATTGTGTGCTTACATATTGTATTTAAAAATAAAGAAGAAGCTACCATAATTTTAAGTCAATTGCAGATTGGAATAATATGTTAATTTACTACTTGCAATACTGTAGAATACTGATGTGTCATATCTGAAGAAAGATATGTTAAGTAATTCCAGATAGAGATCATATACAAGACATTACTTTACAGGAATAAAGAGCTAACCCATGACAGCCTTATTGCTCTACCCTACATACTTATTACTTAAACTCATTGAGCCTCATTGCTACTGGATGCAGATTTCGACTTCAAAATATTGCACAGATATTGTACTTTTTATCACACTTTACAGTATGATGTATAATGATAATAATTTTCATGTACTATTTTAATTTGATAATATAGAAAAGGTTAATGAAAGTAGAAAGATAACTACAGATAAAGATGATGCTGGGAGATGTAAAATCTATTTGCCATTATTTCTCTTGTGTATGAGAATTATGAATTTATATGAATTTTGTTTATGCATTGTGATGGTTTGTCTGTGAATTTTGGAACAGCTCTCATTTTGTAATTGTTTGTTTTTTACACTGGCTATTGGAATTAGCATTATTTTTTCTTTTTTGTCTAGTCATTATTCCCAACTGAGTATGATACCTGAATTTGCTTAGATTATATTTTCATTTTAATATATATATATACACACATACAATAGTACACATTAAACTCTCTCATAGTGATTGCCTACCTGAGTAACCACATCTGAAATTGACAAATATTTTTCAGAATAAACAAACACTGGCTCTAAATACCATCTCTCTAGGTTTATTTGATTATGGCAAAACATGTGAGAGCAACCTGCCATTCACAAAAGTCCAAAAATTTGTTTAATTTTGTGTATTACAATAAACTGTACCATAAGATATGCAGTATGGCTTATAAAATATGAAATAAGGCTTATACAATAAAGGCCTCATTGTACAGAGGTTGTTTGCACATTTTTTAGATGCCTTTGCTTTGCTATAAAAAAATCGCCTGCTTGGAAAAATATTTTTTAACTTCAACAATATTTTTGAATGTGTAAATTATCATCTGCTACTTGATAATGTTTTTCATGCAAAATGGCACTTTTAAAGAAGCAACAGGCAGAAGGCTATGTTTGTGCTCTTTCCAAAGAAAAGTATTCGTATTAGTTATTAAAAAATGTTGTAAAAGCCATGATTTTTCCAGTATATAAAGGAAAGACAGATATTATTGTCAATACGAAAGGGAAAAAACGTCAAAATTTAGCTTCAAAGGAGAAAAATTGTTAAATATACATACCCAAAGGAAAAAGCGAATCTTGCAAAGGTACATAGTTTAAAAGAAAATCTGCGAAGTCGGAGGACAGATGCATAAACATTAAAATACTCAGTGTCAACCACAAAGAAAGAGACTAATGCTGATTTTAATCTTAAAAAGGTGAAAAAACTTAATGCACATCGTCTTTCTCCACTGCATATCGTCGAAAGCAGAACCTACTGCAGAATTCTCTATGAGAAACAATTATTTGGACAAAAATGGAAATTGTTGTCACAGTAGATGAATCAAGGGTGTATTTAAATGACTGCAGTAAAAGAGATCCATTTTTTATCATCATTAAAGAGAAGAAAAAATCCCAGAACATGGTTTAAAGTATCTAAAGAACGTTTTTCAAAGTATTTATGATTGTTGTCAGCTTTTGATATAACGACAAATAAAAATTAAAGAGCGTGCAGGAACTCTTAAGAACAACTCCACAGATTATAAGGAATACATTTTACACCCAATTTTCAAATATGAAATACCTTCTCTTTACCCACACTGCCATCAGTCAGTAGAACTGCATCAAGACAAAGCAAGCAGCCACATGTCAAAATCCACTATTAAAAAGTCTAAAAATTAAAGGTCTAACTTTTGTTTATTTATGAGCAAGATAATTACCCTATATTGATACCCCTAGACAAACACCTAGGTTCACCTACTGATAAACACTGGCCCTGTATTTTACTACATGAATGAAGAACTCTTTAATTAAGTCATGAAATCATATTTCTGTTACCCATTATAATATAACATGGAAGAAAAAGTACCTTAAAACAGTAAAAAAACATTAAGTTATTATGACATGATTGCAAATGTGCAACTTTATGAGAAAGAAGTCAAAATACATTATAAAAGTTGCTCTTGTATGCCTGGTTCAAAACATCAATTACATAGGCAATTGCCTAAGGCACCCATTATTGAGGGCATTCACTAAATACTTCTCTCTCTGTTGTACAGTATGGATACAATATATGAATGCTCAGGCTATTTATTTCTTTAAAGATGTATTGTTTCTTATGTCTCACCTTTATAGTTTCATCAGTCTTAGTTCAACTTTTAACTAAACTATTACAGTCAAAAGTCATTAATTTGGACACCCATAATCCGGAATGATCTATAATCTGGACCTCAAAGCTACAAACTTTCTGCGCTTGCGTCACGTTGGCACATGCGCATAGGTGATTACATGCACGCGTAAGACCTTTAAGGCAGTGAATTCGCTTGTGCACGTGCGCATAAAACGTTTACGCATGCGTGTTTAATGTATAACCGACGGTATAAGCTAAGCTAAAATTATCTAATTCAGTTAATGTTGCAGATTGCGTTGTTCCTTAATTTTCGAATTGGATCCTGCTTATTATTTTTTGCAGACTGTTAGAGCAATTTTATAAAAGTAAGCTTGAACTTTCGATTATATCAAATAGAATTTCCGATATATATTTGTTAATACGTAAAGGATCTAAAGCGAAAGTATGTTTCGAAATCCGAAATCTGTTTATCAATTTAATGCTGCTCGGCGGGGGGAACGCCGCGGCGCACAATGAATTGGAAGTTGATCTGTCAGCACTATCCTTATCTTCAGGGAAGATGTTTTTATTTTATTTGGCTTATAATTTCTTACTAAATGTAGTATTTCATCTCGATGTACTCCGTCTTTGATATGATTTGCTTTTCAGCATTTCCAAAGCATCAAAAAAGTGCCAAAGGAAGTTGCTTCTTATACTCACACATAATCTTTACAAGAGAAATTAACCTTATGAATTTTTTTGACAATAATTGTATCAGTATCTGCAGCACAGAGGAGTGTTTCTATGCTGAAATTGATAAAAGCTTATTTAAGGTTGAGTTTAAGAAATATTGAATTCCTTTGTTCTGTCAAAAGTAAATAATACTGAAAAAAATTAAAGCCTGGAAACATTAAAGATAATTTTCGTATGAAGCTCACAGAGTTCAGTTATTTTCATGATAGTTGCAACAGCAATTAGTATTGCACAATATCAATATAGTCTTAGTTTCCCTCCAGATATACGTATATATGGATTTAGACAGCATATTTTACATGTGAAATTACCTTGAATTGGTTCCAATGGATGTTAACATGAGTACTGACTGAAGGATGATTATGGAAATGGAGCTAGGAATGGAAGGAGCTAGGAATGGAAATTATGGAAATGGAGCTATGGATTATGGAGCTAGGAAAATATGATAAGCAACACAGCTAAATGATAACTGCACATGGTGGCTGATTAAGTAGAAATTACAAATGGCAGATTATTGAACTTTTTTTTTTTTTTTTTTTTTTTCTTTCAAATTTTCTACTTTGTGACATGAGGCACTGTATTGAAAGGCATGAAAAGCACATCCTCTGCTGGAAAACACGAATGTAAATGTTGCCTAGAAGAGAATGTTGAAATTTAAGTTGCAATTTTAGCCTGCAAATGCTAAATGTATTATATTTTTAATTAACTAAATAAAAGTATATTTTGATTTGAAATATTAATATTTTTAATTTATATGAAAGTTAACTGCAGTGATTGTTTAAGGTACCAAAAATGCTGAAGCTGTGCATGCTACAGTGAAATGCATATTATATGCTAAAACTGCACTGCATATATTACTCATAAGTAAAGCACTTCAAAAACAGACTATGAATTCATATTCACGTACTATCTGAAAAATGCATTTTCTCTTAGAACTGGAAATTAAACATCCAGAAAAATTTTGGATATATATATATTAAATTTGCTACATAAAGAAAAGAAACAATAATCTTTCATGTAACAGACAATTAGTTTATCAAATAAATAACTCCCTAACTTCCCCCCTTGCGGACTCAAAACCAACGAAGAAAAAGTCAAAATGATACCTTGCAAATACTGGCAAATATTCCAAGCAAGATAGAGGAAATATTTTTAAAAAATCATAGCGAAGTTATTTAAAAATGATAATCTTAAAAATCATTCAAACAATGAAAATAAAAACACCATTAAATGGTTTACCTTGAGAAGTAATATTAGTTGTACAGCAAAAATTATTGCATTGAGAGATAAAAATTAAAAATAAAGATTCTTTCAATGCAAATAATGATTTAATTGAAGACAGCGTACAGCAGAAAGTACGAACACATGTACTTACATAAAACAATATGAAAATATTGGAAAGAAAAAGAAGTGATACAATTTCCAAATAAATGAACTAAAAAGAAACCTCTTTGATGGAGCAACCTCAGAAAAAAAAAAGAGTATTCTAAAACAGTTTATAAGGAAATTGAGAGGATTACTTTAATTTAGTTTTAAATTCACTGTTACTTTAAGAATATGTAAATATTCACTTAACCTCTTTCTGCTTTTGTTTTAATATAAGATCTATCAGAAAAGTTCTGTCCAATAATGTTATTTCAAGTTTCAATACGCATACAGGTGTTCATTCAAGACATGTATGATTGCCTCTCCTTATCACTACATTTACAGCTCTTCTAAATTTACTGAAATAAAAGAGTCTCATATCATTATTGAGAGCAATCGTGTTAACATACCTACTGATAAAATTCATTTATGACACTATATTTTGTATAAATTCCAACAGTGGAAAATACTATAGAAGTGTGTCAAAATTTGGTGACACTTCTCGGTGAAGATGCATTTCAGACAGAATGTGCATTAGATGGTTTGAAAAATTTGAAGCAGCTGATTTTGACTTTAATGATAAGCCACACCTAGGCGGCCATCTGTGATCGATGACAATATTCTCAAGATCATGATAGAGCAAGATCCTTTTTTGACAACACCGGCAATTGCAGAAAAGCTTAATTTAGCTCAACAAAATTTCGGAGAATATTTGGAAACCAGAATTGGTCTATAAATACTCCAGATGAGTGCATCATGAGTTAAGTGAGAAAAATCTGAAGGGTCAGTCATCATATGCACCTCTCTGCTTCCTTGGAACAAAAACGAACCCTTTTGAACAGGTTGATAACTGGGAATGAAATACTCATGAAACTGGGAATAATACTTATGAAAACATCATTAGGAAGGTAGCACACTGTGAACCCAGATAACCTGCCCCCTCTACCTCTAAACCGAGTCTGAGCTTTAACAAGAGAATGCTGTGTATATGGTGGAATGCCCAAAGACCAATGCATTATGATCTTTTGAAATCTACAGGTAGACTAGTTCAAAGAGATACTATCAGCAAATGGATGATTCAAACAAAGCAATCAAAGAAAAGAGGCTAGCGATGTTTAATAGGAAGCACATCACATTGTATCATGACAATACCAAACCACATGCTACTTTGGTGAACTTTCAGAAAATTGTACAGCTAGACTAGGAAGTTCTGCTGCATCCACCATACCCCACCCCCCACACACACACACTTAGAACCCTCTGACCATTTCTTGTTTCTCTTCTTGCAAAAATTTATTAAGGGGAAAATATTCAAAACTGAAGCAGGTGTCATCCAAGCACTACTTGATATCTTCCCCTTTAAAGACATTTTTAAAAAAATAAATACTAGTATTATAAACTAGTATTTTATTTAAAGTGTATTTTATTCAACTGTTTCATCTAACAATCCGGCTATACAAGTTTAATTTCTTATAAAAATTATCAGAAATGTTCAAATTTTCACTAGTCAACAACTTGCTGTTCATACATATGCAAGTTTTCATAACAGCTAATTTTTTTCCCTTTCAACAAACCAGGCCTTCTTTAGCAATTACACCTTGTCTTATAAAGTTGCATAAATATTTAACAATCAATACCTTTTCAACATATTTTATGAAATCATAGCAATATATTTTAGTGGTTCTGTTATTACATATGTGTTTACATTGCAAAATTTCATCAGCAAAAATTATTTGCACTTGAAATTAATAAAAAAATAGCACTAATGAGAATGAAACTACACTCCTCTCTTTAAAGTAAAGTTTAAATCTTAATGTAGGTTAAAACTTTTATTTGGTTTTAAACTGTTATATCTTGACTAACTGAAAATCATTTCAACATAATAGTGCAAAATGCAAAATCTCATATTAAAAAAGAAAACAAACTGTGAAATTATGGGTCATACTTGTGAAAAATCCAGGTATTCATCTCCAACTTTTATGTACTGTGGATCAATTCGTTGTCCAGGTGGTTTTGTTGGATCAAATGCAAACTGAATTCCTGCTACTTGAGGAAATCTACCCTCTAATTTAGGATACTGAGAGACACCATTTTCTAAAGCTTTATATAACTGTTCACCTAAAAAGGATATCAAATCAAAAATTATGATCTGTATATAATGCTACACATACATATTTCATGTTGCAAAACTTAAAAAGAAAAAAAAAATTTTTTTATATAAAACTAACTAAAGAATGTATGTTAATTTAAAATTCCTTTCTAAACAAAATTATCACACCCTCAAAAATTTAACAGATCACATAAAACAAGCACATAAACCTCTGAAAATATAAATAAGTAATATACATTATTTGTTTATATTTTCAGAGGTTTATATATTTAATACAAACAGTTGTATTCATTCATTTGCTGATGAACTGAGCTTTCAAAAGAAATGAAACCTTCAAAAGTATTTGTCTAACTGTACAATAGTACATCAGTATGTAATAAAGCAATATTTATTAATGAATGACAGATAAAATAAAATGGAATAAAAATAGTTTTTATTTTAAGTTTAATAAACTTCATTTAGCTTATAATTTTGAATAAATTTTTTTACGACCAAAATATATATATATATATATATATAAATAGATAGATAAGTAAAAATAGAACAATTGTCCAAGATCCCACTTTTCATTTTTCAGAAATAGTGTATAAAAATACATCAAACTCATGGTAAGTAAGAGGAAACACCCTGTAACACAGTGTACATAAGACAGAGTTTTAAAGGTATATTTTATCAACTGCATTAAAAATATTAATGATAAAAGTTTAGTTTTATTATAAATTACATTAAACTGATACATTATTGAAAAACAAAAATCATTAAGTATGTAAACTCTTTTAATCATCTAATTTTGTAGCTAATATGTGTAACATATTATTACAATTAAACAGATAAATTAATGGTCTTCTTCCTCAAAAAACACAACAGCAATCTGCTATTCCTACCATTTGATTGAAACCCAACAAGCAACCTGCTATTCCTAACATTTCCTCAAGAAACATAACAACAATCTGTTATTCCTAACATCTGTGCTACTACAACACTGATTAATGTTGCAGTAGCACAGGTTAACATGATGTGAGAAGTGGAAAGTCATTTTATCTAATATCAGCAAAATCACAGCTGTTAAAAATTTAAGATAACAATGGCACCATAAATATTCTCATGACTGATCAAGCAATTATTAGTTGAATAAAATAAGAATCAATGTGATCTTGTTACTTCTAAAGATATCTAAACTTGCATATGCATATGCACATCCATTACACTTTGTTAAACATCATGAATTTTTTCCAATTTCAGATTGAATTTAAATATTACATCACAATATAAAATTGTAAACTACTTGATTTTTAGAGATGATTATCATCCAAATACTGAAATTGCAATTTATACAATAACATAGTACAATGTTATATATCGATAAGATGAAACCAGCTAAAGAAATAATTATCAATGACAGATAAACATAACTGAAGTTATGACTGCAATCTGCTTTCGCAAACATCATAAAATGACTATATTAAGCACAATGAAATTACTAATTGAAATGAAAGAGTAAAAATTATATTGCACCATGTAGTTTCACAGCAAATATGACTATTATTAATGTTCGTTTCATTATTGATACATACAAAAGACTTAAAGAAAAAAAAAGAGAGGAAAATAGTGATAAATTAAATAATACAATGTAAAAATGAGCACTAAAGATAACTATATTTATTTTATAACTGTATTACTTTTATGAATCTAAAATTTATGATCTATTTATTTTTATAAACCACTACTTTGGTTCTAAAAGGTTTAAGTTGTTTCTAAAGACATTCGTTTAATTTTTTTTTTTCCTTATTTTACAAATATTTTTTTAGGTCTATTCAAGACAAACAGTACTGACAACCCAACCCCAGCTTCCTTTCTGCTAGTTTTAGAAAAATGAAAAGTCCTTACCGTTTATTTCTAAAGGTCCCGTATTTTCAAATATCTCTAAAACTAAAAACTCTTTTAATTACACTACATATATTTTCAGTCCAAAAAAGGAAAGTCAGTCATTGATTCTATTTATTATTAATATCAGCATTTAATAAAAGAAAAATAAACATTTATTCTAGCTTGAAATCATGACAAAAAGACTGATTGATCATGTAATTTTAAATGATATATTATACAGTATATATGCGAACACACAGTAATTAAAAAATATCTGACTAAAATGTAAAGGACTGAAATAAGAAGATTTTGTAGTGAAATGTGTGCACAGATATTTTGCTTTGAGGTGATACAGCACAATGTTGAATGATCGGTAAAAATGCTGTCCTGCTGTAAATTGTCATTTCCCTTGTGGATTTCAAGCAGTATGCATCACTGCAAGAATGTGAAACTCACCAATATGCAATTTTATCCATGGAGCTGCAGACAGTAACAGAGCAGATTCTCGAAGGAGGAACGGAGATTTTTTTTTTTTTTTTTGGTCCTTCGAGGAGTTTCTCTATTTCTGTTTTCATCTTCATACATAAAATGTATGTCGGTGAGTTCCACATTCATGTAGAAATAAATAATATTTGAAACTCACATGGGAAATGACATTTTGTACCAACAGATTACTTTTTTTATCTACTGCTCAACAACACTCTGTATGCTTTTCCTGCATGCATATTCTATTACAAAATCTGCTTATTTGGGTCCCCTCTACTGGCCTTTTCATTTTCGCCAGATTTTTTTTAGTCATCTTATATATGTATGTGATATGAGCATTTACATATGTATTTTATGCAAATATATATAATAAAAATGAAATGCTGTTCATTTTCTTAGGAATAATAAATATATTGTGTGCATTGAAACAGTTTTTATGTTTTTGACGGTACTTTGCATTAATGCTACATTTAGCTTTCTTTGGAAAGTGTGATGATAGCTTGACCTTTACACATTACACGTTTCAGGTCATTGATCTTGATAATTTTTAATGCTCCTCCCATCATCTTAGAGTCAAACAGCGGCCAAGCAGTAAAATCACTGAACACTAGTAGTTTGGTCCGAGGTTCGAATCCTGTGAACAGGTTGGCTGCATGGGCATTTTTGTAGTTTTTCCTATGTGTATATGATCCAGTTTCCCTTAGAAAGTCCTCCATGAAGGCATCCTTCCCCTTAGGCAGATGGCCCTCAGGGCTTTGCTGTAATTAAATAAAGAAAACCAAACCAACCCTTGATATTTGCTTCAGTCTATTACAGATTTATCTACCATTTCTAATTCCCAGTAAACATTCTCAGAGTTTGTCTACATTTACTGATGCTCCATTTGATGGAAGTTAGTGCATTCTTAACTATTTGCCAGAATTTTCATTTCATCATTTTCGAAAACTTAGACTGCTTCAGCTTCATTTCTAGGTAAGTCCAAATATCCATAATTATACAAAATACCACAAAATACAGTTCAAATTAAGTACAACTTCAGTAGAATCAAATATATGGCCTACACAAGTTTCAGAAAACACATCCAAACGCCAGTCATCTGCAAGGCAAAACTGAATGTGCATGGTCTATACAAGCTTGTAAGAAACTGGCAATAAAAGTGCTAAACATTTTTATTACCATCTTTTCTACAAACTTGTATGATATCACATTATTTGGTGATGGAGACATTCAGTCTCGAAATTTAGCTAAGATATCATTTAATACATAAATATCTTTTTAATTTCTTGTACTTGCATTTAGTTTAAATATCATATTCATTCAATATACCTGACACACTTATAACCAGTAGTGAATCCATCATAGGCAGAATGGTAACTAAATCTCTCATTCTGAAAGGACACTTAGGATGAATTCGGTCTGATCTCAAAGTTCCTGAGTTTAGTAAGGCTACATCGGAATGTGTAGCAGATAGCATAATATCACAAATGAAATTTCCTGGAAAATTAAATGAATATAAAATTTAATATCACAAATGATTAGATTTAATATCATTTTAATAAGTAATAACATATGCATATATAAATGCTATTGAAATAGAATGAATGTGTAAACAATAAATGCTGGAAAAGAACTCAACCTGTGTGCTTTTAAGAAATGCTGCAAATTTTCACTTTTACAATACATATATGGAACCAGTTTACCTTTAACTTTTCGAAAAATTACATTAATTTTATTTCAAATTAAGACAAAATGGAATGCAAAACTATTAATACAATAAAAACTAGGATCACACTGATAAATATCACACATGTTTTCTGTTAGTTATTTTAAGTTCTTATTTTTTATTTTAAATGTAAATAAAATCATTTTGGAGAACATGCCCCTAAACACCAAATTTTTAAGAAATTACATTGATGAATGGATGTTAGAAATATATGTATTTGAAATCTGGTAAAAATATACTGTTAAACATAGCATACCATATAAAATAACACATAGCAAAAAAATTTTAATTTACTAGATATACGATTTGAAATGAAAATTGTTTCTGGTAAGATCTGTAAAGAGCAAAGTAAAATCATTGTAGGTATTGTAGAATAATAACTAAATTTTTCTTGTTTTTTTAATTGCACTATAATGTATTTTTAACTACATCTGGGAAATCGATAATATTAATAAATTATTGATTCATCTCAGTGCCTAATAAAAGTTTGCAAAGGGTTTCACTTTTAAACTAATCAGTTATTATGATTTGGATCTGCACTTTTTCTTTCTGTATTCATCATATGAATGCATAGTTGTCTGTGTATTTAAGAAGAGAAAGACTTTGAGAGAAAGAGTTCCTGGCACTAGCACAGTATGCTTAGTTTTTGCCAACTCTAGCAATTATAATATATCTTGTCATCATATTCTCTTGTCACTGATATATTATAATAATAACGGTAATTTGTTGAGCCAACTCACAGCTTAGTATTTTATTGTGCAGTCCTCAACTACTCATCAATGCTTATTTTAAATTCACTGTTCTTATTTATTTGCGTGACCACAGGCTGTGGTTATTGTAGCACAAATTCATGGCTTTATGTTCAAAGTTCTGTTTAAATAAAAGGTTACTTTATAACATTTGTAAGACTTTGTTGTTTTATCTCAGACATAGCAATAACTTGCTACATGTCTGTGAGGGTTATAAGACTAAAGTAGCAGTACTAGACTGAGTATAATCTTGCAAATTATACACTAATGCAATTAATGCCAATGTTGGCAAAATGAGTGATTCAATCTTTTTAAGTTTTACTTACCATATTATATTTACTGTACATTAAGGTTCATCTTTTTTTAAAAGTAATTTTTTTTTTAAATTTTTCAGAGGATGAGCAAAATTTAAATATATGTTAAGCCCTTTAAACGACTGTTTCATTTCAATCATGGTTCAAATTTCTAAAAAAGATACTTCACATAATATTACAGTCTTAACATATTATCATGTGGAATAAGCCCACAAATAAAAGTATGGCAACTTTAACTGTACAGTAGAATGCAAACTTTTAAACAGAAAACTTGCTTCTGTCTTAGCTAAAATGTTACAAATTGCTTCAAACTCAACGGCAAACAACTAATACTCATTTCTCAATGCATGCAATAACTACTTGCAGTTATGGAAAAATCTGCCCATTTTACTAAAAAAAAAAAAAAAAAAAAGGAAAGGAAGACATAGGAGAAATTCCTTCTGTTCATGTAAAATATTACTACTTTGTTAATTGATGCTGTATCAGGACAACATGCAGGGACAGAATCAGAGAATATATGATAGCATGTAGCTCATTTTGTTTTAAATTTCTGAGTCCAGATAAAATCAATGATTCAATGCAAAAGCTACATATTTAAAGCAATTAATAAGAATTTTACTATACATTTACAGGCTCTTATGATACCCATTTCAAAGTTTCTTTGCATACTAGCACATGATCAAAATGATACAATACTTTTATGGTGTTAATAAGATAAATATATGAAATAATTATTTGAAAATCAATTATATATGCATAAAAAAGTAAGCTAAATTACCTAAATTAGTTTCTTTGGTTCTAATACTAGAAAATCTTCCATCCAAATCAACAGAAAACTCTCCTAATACCTCATCCATTTTTCCTTCTACAACTCCTACCAAAGTAAATTTGAGAACAAAAACTATATTTTAGTTTTCATATATCCAACCAAACTAAAAACAAGAATTATCAGTATTTTCTGATTATCCACATCCCCACCCCCTCCCCAACAAAAAGTGAAAATACTCAGAAGGCAAAGCAGTATATAGCCAAAATAGTTTGGTGTGATCCAATGATATTGGTTAAGTGATGATGTATATGTTTAACTAATGATGTTTATGTTTTTTCAACTTTATTGCTTGACTGCTCTTGTATGGAATTGTTAGTGCACTGCCATTTTGAAAATGGCTACTGCCTTTTGTATATTAACTTGTCAAAAAGTTACTCAGCAACAAATTCGCAAATGTTCTTCAAAGTCACCAAAGAGTTTATTATTTTTTCGGTGGAGGATGCATATAATCAGAATGTACTAAATTTTCTTTCAGAAATATAAAATATAGCTATTAATAACTCTAACATAAATTCTAATATTTTACCATCACAAATGCATAATATATTTTGTTACAGCAAACTCCCAATTTACTAGGGTAATATTAGAAATGAGTTCATGACTAACTAGACAACAGTGAAAACAACAACAACAAAAAAAAAAAAAAAAAAAAAAAAAAACTTATACTACAGTTAGCAGAAAATACTATCAACAATTTACCTGCACTTTTGAGCAATTTAATTAAGTTATTAGTGATAGCAGTGATGATGATGAAGTAACTGCAAGTACCTCCGATGACGATATTACTGATGAGTTTTTACCCGTGGATACAATTTTTTCGAACGAATCAAATATTTTTTCTGAAGTACCTGGACCAAAGCATGCCCCTCCTTCTGATGTGAAAGCAATTGAATATTTTATTATTATTATTATTTTTTTTTCAATTTTCAATATTTTTTTTTTTTTTTTTTTTTCAAGTATACTAACCAATAGCAGCGTCTTCGCATTCTTGATACAAAACAAGAGAAGCACTATCGCGCTGCGCCGTATTTTGGGCATACAAGTGAAGCGCGCGCCGGACTCAAACAGTTAATATGTATCTCTTCCACAAACAAACAAGAAACTGGTAACGAAAGTTTTTTTGCATCTAAAAAGATATTCTTCATTCATCTCATACAAGAAGAGAGTCATGCCACCAGAGTTTAACACTTGAGGCAAATCATAAAACTGCATCCTCTTTATAACTTTCTAGGATTTTATGTTAATTAACCAGTTACTATGATTTAAACACCTTTACTTAAATTCTTTCCATAGCCCCCACCAGAATGCAAATTTAGTTACTGGGTATTTAAGCCAAGGGTTTGAATGTGTTAGAGCTTCAGGCAGCCTTCACCAGTTCTGACAAAGCTATTCCAACTTTAGCAATCTTACTGGCCAATGTTTAAATATGGACCATTAATTACTTGATCCAGTTTAAGTAGTCTATTTTGTGTAGTTCTTAGTCTACATTACTTTACTATCAGCTTATGTTACCTTAAATACCGCCCTGACTGGAAAGTGGTTAGTGACTCTGATTGTTGTACCGAAGGACCCAGGTTTGAATCCTGGAGAAGCCATGGATGTAAACTGTCTGTTCCTTCACATGAGATAATGTGGTTCACCTATTAGATGCCTGCAAATAAAATGACCACTGCTTCCTACCTCAGTAGTGGCCAACACCTATAATAACTAGTGCCCGCCTTTGGGAAAGAAATGTTATTTTAAATACCTGCTAGTTGCAGAGTTATATTCTGAAGCATAAGTGATGCCGTTTATTAATTTAATCTCTTCAATAAAAATGATATTTTAACCTTTCTAAGACTGTCATCTTATTCCACATTATAACTCATTTGTCAGTCTAGTAAAATCTGAAGGATACTCAGTTAAGAACTACCCTAAAATCTTTTTATCAATCTTTCACATTAATATTTGTTTTATCATAATTTTACATTCTCTCTCAGGATACTGAGTCAATAACTACCCTAAAATCCTTTTATCCCTCTTTCACATTAATATTTGTTTTATCATAATTTTACATTCTCTCTCATTTTTCACCATAATCAAATAACTCATTTGTCTTATTTTTGGCAATAGTTATGTAAGAGACATACAAATATAACCATTACAAAATCTTTCTTTTTAATCAGACATCAAATCTACAAATTTCTTTTCTTTTAATCAGGAAACAAACCTACAAATTTATTGTGTTTAGACTAGAAGAGAAACACGCTAATGTGACAATCAAAATCGTAAAAAACAACCTTATATTTAGCGTAGGTATAATGAAACACTCAATCGATTTCGAGGGCAGCTAAAGGTCCCTCCTCATCAGGAGAAAGAAATACATAGAAAGAAGAAAATAGGAATCACAGAAACACGTGGTGCTTATCAGCACTGCACGTGGTTATAACTAGATTTTTAATCAGAGTTGCACTGGCCGCCTACTTTTACTGAGCCAGGCTGTCTGATCAAGCATAAAGAAATATTAGCGAAGTTAAAATAGGGAGCGAGGGGCAAATGCACATTACGCTCAAAATCTGTACTTCAAATAATGGAAAGCAACCACTGAACGGATTTTTATACCCTCTGGTAGTACCAAGTGCGAGGAGGTAACGCCAATTATCGGCAAAAATAATTGAATTAAGACAGTAGAATTTTAAAGGCATTAGGAAGGACTGGATTGGACTTCAAATCATTAACTAAACTTTCTAAATCTTTGTGAATGTGAAAAGCTCAAGAAAATCCAATTCGCCTATGAAGTTTCGTATCAAGGAAAATGAATCTTATGTCAAAAAAAGGGAAATTAACAAGTCTTCAATAGCGTATCATAGCTGGACTTTTAACCATAATTTTGATTTTGGGTCTGCAAAAATCATCCAAAAGGCTTCTTCCATAGGCGAATTGGATTTTCTTGAGGCTTTTCACATTCACAAAGATTTAGAAAGTTTAGTTAATGATTTGAAGTCCAATCCAGTCCTTCCTAATGCCTTTAAAATTCTACTGTCTTAATTCAATTATTTTTGCCGATAATTGGCGTTACCTCCTCGCACTTGGTACTACCAGAGGGTATAAAAATCCGTTCAGTGGTTGCTTTCCATTATTTGAAGTTCAGATTTTGAGCGTAATGTGCATTTGCCCCTCGCTCCCTATTTTTTAACTTCGCTAATATTTCTTTATGCTTGATCAGACAGCCTGGCTCAGTAAAAGTAGGCGGCCAGTGCAACTCTGATTAAAAATCTAGTTATAACCACATGCAGTGCTGATAAGCACCACGTGTTTCTGTGATTCCTATTTTCTTCTTTCTATGTATTTCTTTCTCCTGATGAGGAGGGACCTTTAGTTGCCCTCGAAATCGATTGAGTGTTTCATTATACCTACGCTAAATATAAGGTTGTTTTTTACGATTTTGATTGTCACATTAGCGTGTTTCTCTTCTAGTCTAGTTTGTGCTATCAACCGGCATTTTCGAGAATATTTTCTGTTTATTGTTTTACCACGTGCACCATTTTATTTACTTCTTTCCACATGGCCATCATTTTTTCGGATTTGGTTTATGCTATCAACCGGCATTTTCGAGGTAATTCTATATTTTTTCGGTTTACCATGTGCACGATTTTGACTTTCGTTGCTTCTTTCCACGTGGCTATTGGTTTTCAGTATTGGATGTTTCTCTCCTTTTGGAATGTTTTTGTCATTTGTTGATAAAAATTGTCTTTATTATTTATTGGTGTTTTTTCATGTTATAAGTAATTACTTGTTTGGACTTTCGGAATTACATTTCTTTTGTTCACTTGTTTCTTGCTTGTGCCCTTTTCACAATATGTCCACTGACAGGAACCGATTTTGTAAGTTACGCCTTAAGCATACGAAATTCTTGAATCATCTACAGTTTCTACTTAAATGCAAACATCAAAATTTCATTCCCAAATTTATACATGTGAAATGTAGCCTTAAAGCTTCTGTTCACGTTTCAAAAATTTTGCATAAATTCAAATTGGCACTTCTTCGTCACATTATAAGGGACACACGCAAACGTTTATTTAAAATTGAATTTGAATTATATTACCTCCATTTAAAAATTGCTAATTCCACTGAAAATTTTTTCTCATTTGAACATACATCCTGGTCTAGAACCGATATCGTTTGTCAACGGCATAAAAATGTGCTCATTTCTAAATTCCAAAAACTCACACACCAGTCGGATAGTCCCAATTATCTAGCTGATCTTCCCACTGTAAACGTTAACTCCATCGTTAATATCTCCAATAGGAATCTTTCGGAGGATCAGTTAAAAGTATTAAAATATAATTTCAACTTTTCCAAGACATCTAAACCTTCAATTCCTCAAATCATCGCCCCTATAGAGAAAGCCTTTAAATTCTCCAAAATTTCGGAAACGCAGAAGGATACAATCCGCCACCTAATTGCTCATAACGTTAATTTTAACAATAAATCTTTGGGTTCTAATCTTAGCAAAAAGGAAAAATGAGATCTTACGTGAAATTCATTCTGATACTAATATCATTATCTCTAAAGCTGATAAGGGCGGACAGATCGTTGTTATGGACAAACACACATATACGAGTATTACTGGAGTCTCTAAATTGATAAATGAAGGCCCATACTGCTCGATCCCTAAAGATCCTTCAACTTCGGACCTCATGAAAGTAAAAGTGCTATTAAATCTTCCCACATTCTGCCAACTCAGTTGAAGAAATCACTTATTCCGCCTATTACTAATTGCGCTAGACTTTATGCTCTTCCAAAAGTCCACAAAACCGGTATTCCTTTTCGACCAATTGTTTCCAACATAGGTACTGCTTCATATCCTTTGGCCAAATATTTAGTTTCCAGATTTTCTCCTCTACTTGATAACAATATTCACACTGTAAAAAATTCTGTTGAAGTCATTGATAAACTTAAAAATATTTCCCCACAACGTTCCATTATGGTTTCATTTGATGTCAAATCATTGTTTACTAATGTTCCGGTCGAAGGAGCACTAAATTGTCTTGAAACTAGGCTTCGGGAATTTCACTTCACACATACTGAAATTAATGAGTTGGTTTCGCTTACTAAAGTTTCTCTAAGTCAAACCCACTTTGTTTTCCAAAATGCATATTTTCGTCAAGTTGAAAGATTGGCTATGGGTAATCCTCTCAGTCCGATACTTGCTGACATTTATATGCACTATTTTGAGATGAAATTATTTGATAAATTATCTTTTCGTCTTTGGATTCGGTATGTTGACGACACTTTCGCACTTTTTGACGGTTATAAAGAGGATTTATCCGAGATTCTATCTATTATGAATTCAATTGATCTAGCCATCCAATTCACTCTTGAAATTGAATCCAACAATTCCCCCCCCTTCCTCGATATTCTTATAATCCGCAATGAAACCGATTTTAGCACCACTGTGTACCGTAAACCCTTTGCAGTTTGTTTACCACCCCATGCCAAGTCATGCCACCCTGTTAAGCATAAAATGGCTTCTTTTTACTATTATGTTTTCCGCGCGCTAAAAGTTTGTTCGTCTGAATCTTTGCTTACCAATGAAGTTAATTATTTGAGAGCAGTTGCGATTGACCGTGGATTTTCTCCCGTGATTATTGATAAAGCTGTCAAAAAATTTTCAGATTCCCATCAAAGAAGACATTCTACTGTTAGAAATAATATCAATGACCTTGTCGTGCTTCCATTTTATCCTTCTGTTAGCTATAAAAGTTGCACGGATTCTCCAGAAATTCAATTTTCAAAGTCGGTTTCTTCCCCTTATTAATAAAATTCACCCTTCGATTCTAAAAGATTGCGTTTCTGACTTTGAATTCTTGGGGAATTTATAGTATATCATGTCAGTGTGGTTTAAGATATATTGGCCAAACAAAAGAGCGTTGAAGTTTCGTATCAAGGAACATGGAATCTTATGTCCAAAAAAGGTGAAATTAACAAGTCTTCAATAGCGTATCATAGCTGGAAATCGAATCATAATTTTGACTTTGAATCTGCAAAAATTATCTAAAAAGCTTCTTCCATTGGTGAATTCGATTTTCGTGAGGCTTTTCATATTCACAAAGATTTAGCATGTTTAGTGAAATATTTTAAGTCCAATCCAGTCCTTCCTAACGTTTTTAAAATTCTATTAACATAATTCTTGGTTATTATTTTTGCCGATTTTGGGTCTCCATCCATTCACGCTTGGATTTAGAAAGTTTAGTTAATGATTTGAAGTCCAATCCGTCCTTCCTAATCCTTCTTGTCTTAAAATTTTTTTAATTAATTTCGTTGGTACTTTGGACTACCAGAGGGTTATAAAAATCCGTTCGTGGTTGCTTTCCATTATTGAAGTTCAGATTTTGAGCGTAATGTGCATTTGCCCCTCGCTCCCTATTTTAACTTCGCTAATATTTCTTTATGCTTGATCAGACAGCCTGGCTCAGTAAAAGTAGGCGGCCAGTGCAGTGCAACTCTGATTAAAAATCTAGTTATAACCACGTGCAGTGCTGATAAGCACCACGTGTTTCTGTGATTCCTATTTTCTTCTTTCTATGTATTTCTTTCTCCTGATGAGGAGGGACCTTTAGCTGCCCTCGAAATCGATTGAGTGTTTCATTATACCTACGCTAAATATAAGGTTGTTTTTTACGATTTTGATTATTGTGTTTATTCTGGAAGTATAATATTAAAAGAATACACATAGTATTAAATTATAAACACAGTTTTGAATAAATGAATACATTTTTAAACTTCAATAGAAATATTTTTTAATTATCAAAACAATAAAACAATGACAAATACAGAAGAACCTTGTTTATCCAAATAATTAAAAAATAAATGTGCTTCAGATAATTAAAAATTGAGTCAATCAGGGTTCCCAAAAAACAACTTTATAAATCTTACCTAAGGTTTCAGCTGTTTTATTTTTATTACCTAAGAATAACTAATAATTAAACTAAGCATCCTACCTATTTTTTATTTATATTAATAAAAAAATTAATGCACATTAATGTAAATCAATAATATTATGTAATCAAGTCTAATTATTATGAGGAAGTTATGCAGATTTATTTGGTTAAATTCGGACTGTTTGAACTTGTCAAATCATGCAATGTTTGCAGAATAAGCAACCCTTTGGAACATACTCAGTTTGTTTTTCATACCAAAGGGTTTCAGTTCCTTCTTTGGCCATAGTAAACTAAAGAGTGATGTTCCTTCTTTGGCATTATATTCATTTATTTAAGTATTTCCATCAGTGTTAATGATTAATCAACAACCAGATCACTATATCCAACATCAAGACTATCAATTCTCAACAATTATTTAAATATTATCTAAATTACAATCTTAACAAATTGAAAGCATTTCCATTTATTCCAATCAAGCTTCTACTGAATGTCACTAGACAGTTTTCCTCTTTATCATATAGGTAGTTTTACTTTTGCTTTATTTCAACAAATTTCATTAGCTGTTGGTTTAAAAAAAACTAAAGCTTTGTCCATAATGTAAGAATATTATTGTCATTAAGTTAAGCAGATTTGTTTTTACTCGTAATCAACATTAAGACCAACTCAGCGAGAACTTATTACAATACCCAAGTTAAACAAAAGCTGTGCAAAGTTTTCTTAATTCTGTACATGACAAAAAAGCATTATACTTAGTATATAGTTAAACCTTGTGGATTGCTTAAAATATTCTGTGTTCAAATGTGATTAGTCAACAATCAGTGCAAATGTAAATGTCTCAGTTTGCATTCAGTATACATATGTTGCGCTAAATACCGATTGTATAAAATCTTATATGCTATTGTTTTCCCAAAACTTTCTTTTTAAAACTGGTATTTTGACTTGGAAAATCCAACCAAGCCTAGCTCTGGCTTTATAATATGAAGCAACACTGGAAACTAACCTAATTTTTTTTCACTATATTTAATGAACAGCACAAGTTCTCAGATGGGGACAAATGATCCCTAGGGAAGGGAATGAGGTCAGCCTTTTATTTACCTGTTAAGTTCGGTTTATAAGTACAAACTGAAATACAGGAATTTCAGATATTAATTCAGTTCCTGTATTTCAGTTTTCAGTAACTGCTTTTGTACAAGTTTTGGTATTTACCAACATTTTCATACTTTTCCTTATTTAATTCACATACTTGGCAACCTATGACACTCAAAAATCAGGAAATTTTTCTCAACAACAAAAAGAATTTTAAATGATAAAAATATATTTTTTAATAATGAATTAACTTTAAATAGTTACTAATTAATATCTGAAAAATTAGTCACTAATTCTTAAATACAAACAATACATTCTGCATTAATAACACTTTGGTCCTTTGCTTCCCCGAGAGAAATTAATTTTTTCTTTTTTTCAATAGCACTCATGTTATCCTTTTTTTTTTTTTTTGTATGTATATGTTTGAGAACAATGGCCCTCCCACCGTGCAAAATCGAAAAATCGCAATGACAAACGGTACACATTGCAAATGTATTTCATTTCCTTGAGGAAATAATAGAAGAAAAATCATCTTTGTACGATTTATGAAAAGTCATGAGTATTTTACCTTTTTCGCACACATAACTAAAAGCAAAGAACGTAATTTCTTACACTATTTCTCAAAAGCATGTGCACTCACACCACTCAGCAACAAGATGAATTAAATAACAACCTCGATCCTGCTTCGTGCTCACTGGTTAATATATGCCAGATAGTTGCCAACTCTGAATTTATAAAACACATTACAAAATAATCTAAATTTAAATAAATCTATGTTGTATATTTTGAGTTTTGGAAAGGAAGGGAAGAATGATGAAAGGGGCACTTGAGATAAAAGAAGTTGAGAAACCTTGATATATATATATTATATAATGGATTGGATATTTAGGTTCTGTTGTATTACATATATGAAAGATAATTTCTTGATAGTTATATTTATACTACTAAAAGAATTTTTTTTATTTAAATATTATAGAAATAAATAAGTTGAATTATATCACAAGAATATATTTTACAAATTTAATTTTCAATACAAATATACCTTTATATTTGAGCAGTTCATTATCCAATGCAGGATCAGGTTCAAATTGTCTAGTTACAGCTTGTTTTTCTACAGCTACATCTACTGACTTTGAATTGAAGGATAAAGTTATTTTTGAGAAATGTTGAAAATCAGTTCCACTTTTGATGATACATTTTCCATTAATCTAAAAGATACACACATAATAGTGTCAATACAGAATACGGGGATATTATGACACAATTTGTCAAAATATTAGTAAATTTGAAAAAAAAAATTCAATAGCAGGAAAGAAGCAAAGCATAATTATGCAAGCTGCTGAGTGTTAGAAAGCAGGATGTTAAGTTCCTTCATAAAAATTTCCATAATTTAATTTAAAAAAATTAAAGCAAATTACCCAAGGTACATTAAAATATCTCATTTCTTATCAAATTATAAAATATCATGACACAATGACCAATTTCCTGGAAGACTAGTCTGCAATTTCTGAATGCAATGATTCTGGTTTGGTTGAACTCAGAAATGTGCTCAAATGATGCTTGTGTTTTTACACGATTAATACTGCGGTTGCTTACACAAAAATATAAGAGAACAATGCACATTATTCAATGGCAATCTTTCCTCCCTTTACATATGAATTGTAAGGAGTGCTGCAGTCGTCCATGATGCGTGTGTGCAATGAAATCATAATTATCTGCATATTCCATTGTGGTACACACATGATGCAAGTTTCATGCTGTTGGGATACTTCTTTCATGGTGTTGTATTTTGGATGGCTGGCAGTATGAAAGAAAACTACTAACTTTAATTTCGCAACAGTCCCCCTTTTATTCTTCATTTAAATTTAGCCACTTTCCTTTCCTGTTCTAAAAAAACTAATTGTTTATAATATCTGACTCTAAAGTGCATCATCTTAAAATTAACCTACATCGTGCCATCTCATGTAAAGCATAGTAATGCAGATATCTTTTGCCCATCAAACAAAGATCAAGCTTTCAAGTGACTCTACATCTTTTGCTGCTGCTGAATGAATACTTACTTTCCACTTTGCTTTTTCCCTTGCTAACACACACCACCCGTCTCTCTGCTGGCTATTGCTCATTGTCTGAAAAGGTAAGCTTCCAGAACTTGTAGGGTGCATATCACACATATATATACACATATAGGATGTGTGAAGAAAAATATGTGTATCCAGAATTATCTGTCCAAAATAAATTATGTCTTGTCTTCAGCCATGTCTGTCTGCAATATTGTCATTGCCTCTGTGCAATAAACTTCTCTAATTCTATTACAATTATCATACAATCATCAAGAATTTACAGATTATATATATATGTTTCCCACAATGGCAGATTGTGAACAGTTACAGCGTAACACAGTCCATTAATCTTTACAAGGCCAGATGTGGTGGTCTCTTTATTATGGAGGCACCTAATGGGTGGGCCACCATCGCCTCCTGTGAAGGAACGGATAGTTACAACCATGCCTTCTCCGTGATTCAAAACCAGGCTCTTCGGTATCGCAGTCAGGCTTCCCTAACCACTATACCATCTGGACAGCATTTACAGATTATATTACATACATATAATTGTTTATAATACAAATTTTGTTTAATATATAATTTGTCTTATTTAGTTTTACTAACAGTTATTTTAATTTTAGCCTTTCCTGAATTCTCTTATTTTCCCTCGCATTTTCTCATCAGGACGTAAATGAAGTAGGTGAACAAGAGTATTTGACAGGTGGAAAAGATGGTTAGGCAAAAAGTGATTTTACTATTGAAGCTATTTTGTGCTCCAGCTGCTAATCTTAGTAGCAGCTACGCATTCTGGCCATCTAGTTAACATATCACCGGTGCAGGTTTCTGAGTCAGCCTGTTATAGATTAACTTGAATTGTGTAGTCTAGCGCTACATTTAAATTTATTGTTAATTTAACTTATAAGTTTTCAAAACAAGCAGTTGGTGTTTTTTGAAAGCATATAAGTCCGTGCCTACTACTATACAACTTGTGACAAATAAGAAACAATTTTTACGTAGATCTAGTTATCATTTCATGATTGCAAAGAGCCCTATATCTCACAAATAAAAATTGAAAGTTTATTTAAAATTTTTTATGATATTACAACAATATTTTCTTCATCATTGAAGTTACACAAACTAAAAATTCATTTTTCTCGAAATTCATGTCCAAAAAATACAAATGGTTTTCCTCCTTCAGTATTCAAATATTGTGCACAAATACATAAATGTAATTGCTTTTAAAAAGTATATTTTTAATTCTACACAAATATAAATTAAAAATTTATTTTTATTTTTAAATTACCATTTTTTAAATTTTAAATGAACAGAAACCTTATCACTAGTCATTTTGTATAGTATTTTATAATAAAAGAAAAAGCTGTTTTGTTCTAGTTTTTAATAATATTTATGGAAATGGCATTTGTCTGAAATGTGAAAAGGTTAGGATTTTGAAAAGGTTAGGAAACCAATTAAAAAAAGCACAACATTTGAGATTTTGAAAATGAATGGAAACTTTAAGTTAATAATTAAAAACAATGTCTTTTTAACATGGCTGATTATCATATTTAAATAAAATCCAAATAAAAAATCAGACTTTTATACTTGTACCTTTGTAACTTCATAAACATGGTCATGTCCTCCAAGGATTAAATCTATTTCTTCTACATTTTCAGCAAGACGAATATCATTTGGTGTTCTCATGTGGGTCAAAGCAATCACATAGTCAACATTTTCCTAGTCAAAAATTAGAGTTTTTGATAAATCACTCAATGTTTTCATATTTCGAGATCATACATTTTATTAGAAATCGCTATGTAATGAAAAATAATATAAGTCTTAAAAAATTACATTCTGTAAATATAAGAAATGATAGAAGTAATGATTTCCTCTTTTTTATATAATTTCATATTCAAGAGACACATAAGTATATTTCTGCAATCACAAGCATTCCACTCATTATATAAAATCTGTCATTAAAAAGTATTTTCAGCAAATATGGTTTGTAATTCGTAAATATGGTTTCTTCCTGCTTAGTGCATGTCTTCATGGTGTAAATTGAAAGCAGTCTGACGAGTAACCGCGAGGTTCAGAGTTTAAACTACAGCAAGATATCACTAATTCTTCATGTTTCTTGCTTCAATAAACCTAACTATTTTCCAAGTTTATATTTATTCATTTATTTTAAAAACAATAAAATATAATACCTAAGAATCTTATATTGTATTTTTTATAATATATATGTTTTTTTAATAAACATGTTTTCTCAAACCATATTTTGAAAAAAAGACAAAGAGATGAATTACTTTTTCCTTCAACTGTATTGCTAGCTTTCGTCCTTCAGTGACAAAATCAATGTAAGTCACTTCATCTGCTTCTATGGTAGAAAGAGTTGCTAACCACTCTTCTTCAACAAGACCGATGATTCCAAACTAGAAAAATTTAAATTACTAATTATGAAAACAATGGAGAGAATATTGTGTTTTTTTATAAAATTCCTATTAGTTGTTCAACAATAATATCATATCACATAAGAACAAAAAATAGTTATAGTGTTGTATTGACAAATTTGTTAGCTCATCATATTAACATTTGCATACAACAGCATAAAACATAATGATACTTAAAATAAATCATAACAAGTAACAGTTCCATGTCATTGGATATTGTATACTGCCAAATCCAATGACATGGAACTGTTTCAAGGCCATGCACCTTAAAAATAGGTCCTTTATATTTATATCCTTGAGTCAATATTTATACACATGTTCACATTATTTCTGGAGCCGAATGTAAGTAATTTGTTTCATAAGGCCTCTAATCTGCCATAGCATAACTCTATTTCACATCACCTTCAGATAGAATTTTGACATTTGGGGAAGAGGTGAATTTGTTATTGCTTCTGAAGAAAAAAAAGAAAATCATGTCTGATTCAAATCTGTTCTGAACTAAGGTTGCTTTTATGCCTAATCTCAAACTTCATGTTAATATGCTTCTCGACAACTTGATAACAACTCTTGATAACATAAGAATATTCCACTAAATGAACTATAACAATAGCAGACTATTCTCTCTACTCCATGCTATAATGATATAACTACAATGATTCGTATAATAAATAACATTAAAACATTTGTATTTTGAACTGGATTTGATGGAGCTTCGAAAATAAAATAGTATAAAGAGCTTTAACTTTACGCCAACTTAAAAGAACAGAGCAAAAAATACTGCTCAGTCACTCTGCTTGTTACAATTATCCTGCAAACATGATAAAACAAATAATTAACTTTATGATTCAAAACTTTTTATTTTGTATATACTATCAAAAATATATACAGTCAAAAGTCGTTAATCCAGACTCGTTGGGACTTTGGCGATTCCGGATTATAGATCATCAGTTTAAATCTGGTAAGATGGCATGCAGAAATTATAAAATTAAAAATATGAAACCGTTAATTTATGAAATAAAGAAAAAAATTATGATCTAAAGGGTATCAAAATTTACAAAAAAAAAAAAGCTTATTATTTATTTGTTTACTTTATTAAACATTTCTTTCAATGTAAGTTGTTTAAGTTGCTTCGTTTTTTATGTGATAATACATTCTCTTTAATTCTTTAAACAGACATAATTTCTTGTTCAGTTACAAAGTTCCACTGTTCAAGTCCTATAATTGCTGTGTCAAGAATACTGACTAATTTTTCAATTGAAATTTTTTCGTTTTCAATAACCTCTGTCACTTTCTTCGCTATCGGAAGCGAATTATAATGACGAGGAATTTGATTTAAATCATATCAAAGATGAAGTACATCGAGATAAAATACTACATTTAATAAGGAATTATAAGTCAAATAAAATAAAATCATCTGCCCTGAAGATAAGGATAGTGCTGACAGATCAACTTCCAATTCATTGCGCGGCGCCGCGGCGTTAAAGATAAAAAAAGTTTACATAAACAAAGATATGCCTTTATCCATTTTTTGTAGCAATTCCACTTTTTGTTTAATGAACTTCGAAACATACTTTCGCTTTGTAGATCATTTACATATTAATAAATATATATCAGAAATTCTATTTGACATAATCGAAAGTTCAAGCCTACTTTTTTTATAAAATTGCTCTAACAGTCTGCAAAAAATAATAAGCCGGATCCAATTCGAAGATTAAGGAACAACGCAATCTGCAACATTAACTGATTAATGAAATAGCATTAAATAATTTTAGCTTAGCTTATACCGTCTGTTATACATTAAACGTGTACTCGTAAATGTATTTTGCGCTCGCACAAGCATATTCTCAGCCGTAAAGGCCTTACGCGTATGCATCAACGCGACGCATGTGCAGAAAGTTTGAAGCTTTGAGGTCCGGATTATAGATCATTCCGGATTATGGGTGTCCGAATTAACGACTTTTGACTGTACAGAATAAATAGACATGTATTTACACATATATATTCTATATGTAGTTATATCTATATGAATCAAAAAATTCTTTAAAAAAGTAAAAAAAGGCAAAGAAAAATATTACCCTTTTTCCTTTATTCTCTAATACAAATGTTATTAGACCATTAGCTAAAGGTTTTCCAGTCTCATTGTCTACAACATTGCTTATCAGCCATGGAAAATTTGTCTGTGAAGCAAAATCCATCAAGATATCCACACCAAAATCTACAGCAATAAAAATTATTAAACAGCAAATACATAAACTAAGTAATCAAGCAAGGAAAAGATTTCCATGGGTAAATAAATTTGAATAAAAATTACTATTGTTTATAGCTCAAATATGAAAAGGTTCTTAGGAATAAATATTAAATTAAATAAATGCTAAAACTATAACGTTGGAATAAATATATCAAATGGAGAAACAGTTAATTCCAAAACTATACAATTAATGCTTTAAATTTTTTGATATAAATATACATATATCATTGGATTATATATATAAAATTCTGCATGGATATTACTTCTTAAGCTGCTTACAAATTTAAAATTTCATATTACATTAGAAATAAAATAATTTATCTAATTTAACTTTCAAACAAAATTTTGTATGATGAAGATAAAAGGCAAAGCAAAGAACACATTGAAAAAATAATTCTTAAAAGCTTCACAAATTTTTAAAAATTTTTCTCACCTGGTCATCATATCATTAGTCTGTACGAAAAGAAAATGTATTTAAGGGTACTCCCATGTTGCCCCATTGACCATGAAACTGTCATCAAGTAAAGCAATTTAGCACCAATTATGGATAACTATGACATCATAACACACTCATAATATCTGCCTTTTTGTCTGATGTAAACCTCATTGATTCTCAATAAGTCACATTTTGTTCTTATGAATAAGGATATAAATTAACTGTTACTGCTGTATTTTCCTCTGGCATTTTGTAAGAAATAATTAAAATTCAGTACTTGCATTCTACAGAAGAGCAAGTAGTGAAGTATTTTCAAACAAAATCTTACCATCATCACCAAAAAATATGTATCATTAAACATAATATGGTACTTTATTTGAAAACAGATAAACAATGGTGTTGACACATGACAAATTATGACAACAGAATATCCATTTGAAAAAGAACATGGTTCAAGGACTGTAGAATTGCATTTGCATCTGCAATCCAATTTTTATATAGTTGGTCAAGAGAACTAACATTTGCTGAATGAAAAAAAATTACAGCTGGATATGGCTGACAAAACAGTAATAGACTGGAACCTGAATAAAATTTGTACTCATAGCATTCTAAACAAATCTTCTAGTAAAATTGGAGGGCATAACAAAATAATTAGTAAATAAGTGGTGATAGGTGACAGTTTATTAGGTAAAGACTCATTAGTTCCTTCAGAATTCTACAGGAAGGACTGGTACAGTTTCAGCAGGATCTCTGGCAGCTTCCATGGTTTGATGATAGTCACCTTATGAATAAATTTATTCCAAGAGTAACAATGTCCAGCATGCTAACCATAATGTCCAGCATGCTAACCATAATGTCCAGCATGCTAACCAATGTCCAGCATGCATGTCCAGCAGCAATGGAAATAGTGTCCAGCATGCTAACCAAGGAATAGATTACATTTGGTATGAAAGGCACTGCTCTAATAAAAATCTTTAATTTAATACTCTTTGATGATAATCTAACTACTGTTTTAAACTAATGGCCTCTAGGAACGTACAAAATCTCTCAAAAATGTGTATTTCGAGAAATGAGTGGTATCATAGTTTACGAGCACTGTAAATAAGAAAGAAAAAAAAATTACATAGAAAAAGCACGTTCAAGTTGAAATGATAAATTCAATTGTTGTCACTGGGTATACAGACTGGGGGGGGAACTAATGAAAATTGAAATAATGTGTTTAATATTGTAGTAATGACACCAAAATTTTGAATTATGTACACCCACTCAAAAAAAAGAAAAAAAAAGAAGTAGTTCTGTGTCTCCTTTTCTACTGGGCCAATTGATGAAATTTAATTTGTGTTTTACATGTCTTGAAAGCACTTTCTGAAGTGAAGCCAAAAAAATGAAATTATTTTGACTATTTGATTACTTTCCCTTTATTTAAGACATTCCGAATATTATTCCTTAGAAAGCTAATCTGTGTTAAAACACAACCATTTTTGAAGGTTTACTATACTTCAGCAGTTACTGCAGCTATGTTATTATAAACATTCATACATATACTCATAATATAAGCATAACGATCATAATAAACATGAATGTGAACTGACCAAGCGGAACGAGAATGCAAATTATTAAGATCGTGATAGAAATTCAAACGTGTGTAGTATTTGGGTGGGAGGAAAAGAATGCCGAATGTACCGGAATTTTCTACTGCTTTCGCAATTCTTTGACCAACAGAACGACGGGCACCTGTCTATACTCTCCGCGCACACCAAAGGTTATGTTAATGCAAAGAAAGGGGCAAAAGCTATTTCCAAGAGTATGATTCACCATCTGACATTCCATATTAGGAAGAAAAGTTGTTTATTTAGTTTTGGCTTTGGTACGGGGAAAAATTGCGCGTTCATTTAAAAAAAAAGCACTAAAAGCAAAAAATAAGCATTAAAAAAAAAAAAAAGGGCTTTAAAGAAAAAGTAAGCACCTATAAGGGCCTTTATATTTTATTTTCAAATATAAGGACTTACAAGCACTTATAAGGACTGCTACGAACCGTTTTCTTTATGTGTACATGTGTGTACGTTGTATGTATGTATGTGCACTTTTGATTTGCTTGTGTTCCATCTAATATATTTTTTCAAGGTTGCAAACAAAAAGGTCAGTACTATTGCATAGAAGAACCTCAAGTGATATTTGAAATTGTGTCAAATTAGGTAAAAAAGAAAAATGTCGGTATTGTCAGAATAAAATTTCCTCCTCTTTGGGATCTGCCTCTAATCTACAAATTAATTTTTATACTGTGCTCTGGCACAGTTCTGAGCTTATCTGAATAACAAATCAGTTATTCTCAATTCAAACAGGACTAAATGTAATACTTCTGCCTATCAGTATCACTTACAAAATTTATTTTTTTGCATATGGAAAGAAATGTGTGTTAAATTTCTCCTTAATACTTAGCTTTATGTATCACTGTCAAGCATAATATCGATACAGAAGCTTATCGTGCTCTTTGGTATCCAATTATAAAAAAGATATTAAAAATGAAAAAATAATAAATTGCTTGGACATATTTGCCTGAGTCATTTCTCAAGCTGCAGTGTGTTGATACTTATGTTTTATTATGAAAATAAGCAACAACATTAAAAAAAAGATCCTGGTAATCCAGAAGTCCAGATTTTAAATCATACCATAATGTTGGATAGCTATATTTTGGACTGAATCATTTTAATTAATCAATTACTTTTTAAAATTACATTATCAAAACTTTCTCAGTTTTAGAAAACTTGATTTAAATGAAATTACGATAAAAATAGCAGACATAACACAGCAAACAAAAATTTAACAAACAAAAAAAAAAAAAAAAAAAAAAAGAGAGAAATACATTAAAAATACTGTTTAATACTCATTATAAATTTAAAAACTTCCTTTCATGTATTATTAATAAATGTTTACTTTGCATCACTACTAAATTTGAGAAAAAAAATTATATATGATTAATTTTCCATAAAAATTTGTTTGGAAATTTAAAATTCAAAATAACTGTGGCAATTCACTGGAGATTGGAACAAAATCTGTAAACCACATCTGACATTATATATCTTCAAACAAAGATGCCAAATTTCAAAATGCACCAATATCATATATTTTAGGAATACCATGAGTGTCTTAGGAAATATATATCTTAACAATTCATGTATATTTAGGGAATTTTGAAGAAAATATTCAAACTTATTTTAGAAATGCCTAGAAATACTAAAACAGATAATACTTTGAGACAATACTAAAACTTTTATAGGCTATAATTCAAAATGTTTTTAAAAAATTCATAAAAATTACTAAACATATTAAATTTAAAAAATAAATCATAAAAAATGCACAAATTTTATAGGGATTGAACTTAAATTTTGAATTTTGAAAGTAAATGAATCTAAAATTAAACATTAGAACAATGCTACACATGAATCTAATATATATCCTAGGTCAGATTTTTTAAGACATGAAAAATGCAAGTTGAATTTTGTCAACCAGTCTAGAATAGGAGATATAGAACAGTTCCACTTTTATTTTCGAGTTGGTGAATATGGAAGAAATAAGATTACTCCATCATGAATGTCAATAGTGTTGTAGAGACATTAGGTATTTTTGAAGCAGGACTAGTGAAAAATGAGTAACGCCTTTGCCGGGAATCGAACCCCAGACCTCTGGAATACGTGCCCAGTGTGTAGACCACCACACCACGAAGGCATGCTAAGAAGGCGGGGGAAATACCTTATATACTCCCCCTTTTAAAGGGTGATTGGGGTTTTAGGGGACCGCCAAATCCTGGATGTGAAGAATCATCATCCACCAACCGTTTTTAGTTTGGGCGTCACTGTAGAGATATTAAGTATTTTTTGGAAGCATGAGTGATGAAAACTAAGCAACAAATTTACAGAGAATCAAACCATGGACCTCTGGAATATGCACCCAGCATGCAGACCACTACACTACGAAGGTGGGAGAAATGCCTTATATACTCCTCCTTTTAAAGGGCAACTGACGTTTTAAGGGACCCAATCGCCAAATCCTGGGTGTGGAGAATCATGATCCATCACCCTTTTAGTTTGGGTGCCATTGTAGAAACATTAATATTTTTGGAAGCATGGAAGATGAAAAATGAGCAACGCCTTAGCTGGAAATCGAACCATGGACCTCTGGAATACGCACCCAGCATACAGACCACCATACCACAAAGGCATGCTAAGAAGACGGGAGAAATACCTTATAGTGTAATAAGGAAGAATAACTTGAAGGACAGAAAAATAACATTTATAATTTTACCTCATAGAATATGTTTGGAGGAAAAAACACAAAAATGTAATGTATCTATTTTTTAGATTTTGTCATTAATTCATCTCACAGATACTAAAAAAGTATACACAAATTTCATACATTTTCAGTATGCATGAAGTTTTATACATAAGAACCATCCATAAGAACTAACTGCAAAATCTAAGCAATAGTACTATATTTCCTTACTGTTTAATTAATTTTAAAATGCTAATATAAGTAAGTTAATAACAAACAAGCTAACGTATTTGCTATGAAATCAAAATACAATAATCCACAATACACCACAAGCTGTTAGATATGACTGTTAGGTGAATTTATGCAGTTAAAGTTTTATTCACAACACACAGAAGAGTAGTAGCATCTTTAAATTTGTGCTGATTTATATTCAGCACTTATGATATACTGCAGGTTTTTACATGCTGATTAACAGCTGTTTGATAGTCAGTCATCAAAATATTTTACAAAAGTCAGAAATGAAGTACAAAAAATTTAGCAATACATTATGGAAAATAAGTTACCAAAGTCATGATTTCCAAATACAGCACAATGTACTCCAAATGAATTCAGTACAGGTACCATCTGTTCTCCTTTTGTGAAAGTACTCACTAAAAATAAAATCATTTAAAAATATGATGAATATAAAAATATAAAGTAAAAAAAAAAAAAAAATAACAATTAATTTTATAGTATATAACAATTACATTCATCAGTTCCCAGTGTCAACAGCAACAGAATACAGTCAAAAGTCGTTAATCCGGACTCGTCGGGACTTCGGCGATTCCGGATTATCGATTTTTCTGGATTATAGATCATCAGTTTAAATCTGGTAAAATGGCATGAAGAAATTATAAAATTAAAAATATGAAACCGTAATTTACGAAATAAAGAACAATTATGATCTAAAGTGTATCAAAATTTACAAAAAAAAAGCTTAATATTTATTTGTTTACTTTATTAAACATTTCTTTCAATGTAAGTTGTTTAAGTTGCTTCGTTTTTTATGTGATAATACATTCTCTTTAATTCTACAAACATACATAATTTCTTGTTCAGTCACAAAGTTCCACTGTTCAAGTCCTATAATTGCTGTGTCGAGAATACCGACTAATTTGTCAATCGAAATTTTTTCGTTTTCAATAACCTCTGTCAATTTTTTCCCTATCGGAAGCGAATTATAATGACGAGGAATTTGATTTAAATCATATCAAAGACAGAAATATCGAAATAAAATACTACATTTAGTAAGCAATTATAAGCCAAATAAAATAAAAACATCTGCCCTGAAGATAAGGATAGTGCTGACAGATCAACTTCCAATTCATTGCGCGCCCCCCGCAGTGTTAAAGATAAACGAAGTTTAGATAAACAAACGTTAAAGTTTAGATAAACAAAGGATATGCCTTTATCCATTTTTTGCAGCAATTCCACTTTTTGTTTAATGGACTCCGAAACATACTTTCGCTTTGTAGATCCGTTACATATTAGTAAATATAAATCGGAAATTCTATTTGACATAATCGAAAGTTCAAGCTTACTTTTATAAAATTGCTCTAACAGTCTGCAAAGAATAATAAGCCGGATCCAATTCGAGGATTAAGGAACAACACAATCTGCAACATTTACTGAAATAGATAATTAGAGCTTAGCTTATACAGTCCGTTATACATTAAACGCGCATTCGTAAACGTATTTTGCGCACGCGCGAATTCGCAGCCGTAAAGGTCATACGTCAACGCGACGCATGCGCAGAAAGTTTGTAACTTTGAAGTCTGGATTATGGGTGTCCGAATTAATGACTTTTGACTGTATAAAACTTAATCTTAGCATGCAATAACACTTAACTTTTATAACAATAAAGACTAACCAAAAAAAGTACTATGATTAATATTTAAGTCTCATCAGTTCAAATCAATGAACATAAAGATACTGTTCTATATATGACCTTATCTCCTTACTACATGCTATGTCATATATTACATACAATGAAAAATTTGCCTGCTTAAAAATGTTTTGTTAATAAAGTTTTTAGATTAATGTTGAACATTAAATACATTAAATATATCAGTAATAACAGCAAATGTGATATTAACAGAATACCCAAAAACATAGCTAGTATAATTTTCAATAGTCAGTCATAAAAATCTGGCAGATATGCCTCTTCAGCTTTTAATTCCAAGTAAATAAAAAAATGGTTACAGTAGATTTAAGGGTGCAACTTGGATTATTGCTAAGCTGCTGTTTCATTTATCGCCAAGTTGTTGTTTCATTTATGGTAACCTGAGTAGTTGAATGCTATGGAAACCCTATTATGACGTTATTGGTTGCGTGATTGCCGTGAATTTGAATGATGGGAAAAGGTTTGAAAAGGCTTGTTTGTTTGTCAGATTTTGGATAAGATGTATGTTGTTATTTTGTGGTTTACATGGTACAATGGCTGAATGTGGTAAGATTAATTTGAAGTTTCTGTACGATTTGGAATGAAATGGAAAAAAGCATTAATTGCCTAGTGTGTAAATGAAGGTTTACATAGCAGTAATTATAAGTGTCCTGTTTGTTGGTAGGAAATACGTATGGTCGAACGCCGGAAGACACCGGCACTACAAAGGATATTTCTTACTCTTATTTTTGTGAATTTATGTGGCAATGCCAGTATATAGATTCCAATTCAGATAATTTTAGGAAGTTTTTGGATGCTGTTAAGAAATTTTGTTTAACTTAAGATATGGAAATTTCTAAATAATATAAGTGGATATTTCCTTTGTGTAGTTGCTAAGATGAATTTCTTTTTTTTTTTTTTTATGTTATTTCATTGTTTGATTTAAAATGTAGTTTATTGAGATTATATATTTTTTATTGGCTGCTGCTTTTAAGTAAATATAGATTGTTGTGTACATGGACAAAGTCAAGGGAATGCACAATGCCTAGTTTGTGAAATTCTCTGATTTATTTATTTATTTTTTAGTGAAAATAGGTTGATCTGCACATGGATACCAAGTTTGTACAATTCTTTGACTCGTTATTTTTGGATTTCTGTAGCGGAGGCTTTTGGATCGCTGCTACTGCTATAATAGTAAAATTGAGAAGCTGTAAAATTCTTTAATTTAAAAACTACATTTCTTTAGATAATTAAATACTTGTTTATGTTATGAAAAGCAGATATGACTCAAATATTATTTTATTTAATTTCAAAATTGTTCTCATCTTGTATTCTGGCAAGTTTTTCTTCCTTTTCAGAATGAGTAATTCACGATGAAATAATTCTATGCTAAAAGAGGATCAGATATGGCATCAAGGTAATCATGTAGGATGTGATCTACCAATTTAAGTTAGTTTCTTATTTTTTAGATGGCACCACTAAAACTGGTTATTAGCCCAATGGGGCAGTTTGTCCAGAAGGGCTACTAATTTCGTTTTATCATTGCATTGGTTCACTATAAACAATGCTTCACTTTTCAAATTGTTGCCACCAAATATTAGAGCCCTGCATTATATTTAAAGAAATTAAATAACGAAGAATCTGCATGAATGTATGCATGTCTCTCGCACTGTGAAAAAACAACGGTACCTAGAGACATCAAATTCTGAATAATGTGGTCTTCCACTCGAATATGGTCATCTGGAAGCCAGAAATTGTTTTATTACCTATTTCATATTTTGTAAAACTTTTATGAATTTTTGATCAACAAACTCAAAGATTTCGAAGCAAGCAATGGCAAAAAAAATTTCTTTTTATCTCCAGTGTGCGAGACTGTGTATCGGAAATTCTAAAGTTATGCTCTTAAATTATTTTGTGATATTTGTGTTGAATTAAATTTTATGGTTTAAGTGGAAAGAACATGTTACTTAAAAAATAAATGTTCAAAAAAAAGGCGGTTGATCTTTACAATATGGTAACTGGTAGTTTGGCGACATTTTGGAGGCGATAAAGGTTACTTACTACGTGGGACTTTGGTAATAATGTGAGCAGTACTCAGTTCCGATTACGCATTATTTTGTGTGAGGGAAATGAGAGATCATGGGATATGTCATGTGATATTAATGGACGAATTACGGTTCTTTAATCGGAAAAGGGGGGAAATCGGGAAAAAAAAAATCTGGAAGTTTTGTATTTGGCTTTTCTGGTGTGTGTGAAACAGTGTTCGTGAATTTTTGGATCCCATGGCCGTAACTAAAGTGAATTCGAAATGGGTATTTATCTATGTATTAATTTAATGTATGTGCTCATTTATATTTTAAGTAGTGTTTTTGAATTTAATTATATTTTAATTAAATGATAGTTATTTTGTGAATTTTATGTTTGTAGGAATTTGGTATACGTTTTAGTTGAAGTAAACGTGCATGGAAATAATTTAAATATCTGACACTAAGTATTTGTAATGGTTGCGGGTATGAATTCGTTGGTGATGTGTATAATGTAATAGATGATTTAGAGGTAAAAGTTTTTGGATATTTTATTATTTTATATGTGGAAATGTTCATATTTGGAAAGGGTAAATACTTTTCGCGATCAGGTAAATTTCATATATGTTCTTTTTACCGGGTTTTAAAGATTGAGAAAATTGTCATGTATTTTCGTGAAATTTTTCTAATTTATGAGAAAAAAAAGCAGTGTACATGGATATAGTGAAGAATGTGCGCAATGCCATTTTTGTGCAATTCTGGGATGTTTTTTTAAGTAAAAATAAGTCGACGTGTACATGGTTTAGTATGATTTTAATTAAATGTTAGTTATTTTGTGAATTTTATGTTTGTAGGAATTTGGTACACGTTTAAGTTGAAGTAAACGTGCATGGAATAATTTAAATTTTTGATACTAAGTATTTGTAATGCTTGCGGTATGAATTCGTTGGTGACGTGTATAATGTAATAGATGATTTAGAGGTTTTTGGATATTTTATTTATTTTATATGTGGAAATGTTCATATTTGGAAAGGGTAAATACTTTTTCGCGATCAGGTAATTTCATATATGTTCTTTTTACCGGGTTTAAAGATTGAGAAAATTGTCATGTATTTTCGTGAAATTTTTCTAATTTATGAGAAAAAAGCAGTGTACATGGATATAGTGAAGAGTGTGAGCAATGCCATTTTTGTGCAATTCTGGAATGTTTTTTTAAGTAAAAATAAGTTGGCGTGTACATGGTTTATGTATATGTGTTATTTTGAAAAACGCGTAAGGAGTATGGTATTGTGCACTTTTTCCCAATTTTGCAGTGAATATTTGTCATGATTAAGCAGTTTTGTTAGATAAAATTTCTAGCATAAGTGTAATTCGGCTAGTAGATTGTTGGAAGAAGTGTTCAGTAGATAAAAAGAAAAGAAACATGTCTTTACTTCATGAAGACAAAATGGCGGCGGGAAAAAAAAATAGAGGGTTGCTGTAGGAGAGTTGGTCGCCAAATTTTCGCCAAAAAAACGCCAAGTTACCATAATGTAAAGATCAACCAAAAAGGCTTTTTAGGCATAATATAACATCTGAAAACTATCAGATGACTTTTATTATTTTTTATTTTATAATACTTATTTGTACTCTTCTGTTATCAGGACCGGAATCAATCTCTTTTGAGAATTTGCAAAGGGACATAAAGAGGATTAATTGAAAAAGAAGCCCAAAAATATTTAAATGAGCACAGCATTTAATTAAATACAGCAAATAATACAATAAATATAGTATTAATAACAAAAATTAATTAACTTACTGATGGATGGAGCAAAAATATCTCCACTGAATAATATTAGAGGATCTAAATCAGTAAAGCTTTTTAGAGCTGTGCAGAATCTTGCAGCTCCTCCAACAGGCTCATACATTTGACTTTCAACATTGTAGCAATCATTAAAATGCAAAATAGTAACAGCCATTTCAAATTTAATCTATAAATAAAAAACATTTATTAATGAACTCTAAACACAGATATCAGTAATACATTAGAAATGCTCAAATTTTCATGATTTATATTATGCATTTTATCAAAATAATTACAAATAAAATAATTACAAAACATATATTTACAACATGTGAAATGAAGGAATGTAACTGATGATCATAGCAACCAAACATGCTTAGGGCAATTTCATAATTTTAATATATATTTCAATGTAAATAATTACAATTACTTTTAACAATTCAATTCATATGCATAGAATCCAAAATGAATACTTAATTATGTTTAATTATTCTAATAAAATTCAATTTTCTAGTTTCATAATATCTTACACTGGAGTTTGTTCTATATATGCATGCTTGTTATAAAGCATTTTGGTCTCATATTTAAGCATATATAAATCCATCAAACTAAAAATTATACTATTATTTACTTGTATGAAAAAAATAACAAATAAAGAAAAATGTGTTTTTCCTTGAATTACAATAAAACATAAATTTAAAATCACTCATAATGTCTATAGCTTACATAATTACACTGTTTACATAGTTACTATTAAAAATAGAAATTTTCCATTTTACTACAGTAATAATTTTGCTAATAAAATGTGGTAACTTTTCAGTAAGAATTAACTAGTAATTTTAGTGCAAAATAAACATGAGAAAATTAACAATAAGACTTCATAAATTATAAGTAAAAATATTACTACCATCATTCAGACTTACTGCAGCAGTTTATTATTTAAAAGGTTCACTCTAACCGGAATTCGATATCTACATATCCATTGAAATTAGCACTTATTTCTTTATTAAATTTGCATGCATATCGATTGCAATTAAAACGAGCGAAGACTTCATGTAACATGGATTTTAATAATAGGTTCCAAGAAATCTTAGTTTTCCTCGCATCTGCCAAGCACAAATTCCTACATCTTTGAATCGCTAAAAATTTTCTGGCCTTTATTAATTTATCAAAAATCAGAAGAAGCAGAAGTCCTTTAATAAAGCTGCAGAAGCCCTTTAATATCAATTTCAGTGATTGAAAATTCCAAAAGATTTAACCCTCCCTCTCACCCTAAAAAAACAGAAAGGTAGAAAAGAAAAGATACTTCTCGCACTCGTATTCTCTCGTACAACAGAATTAGTTTATTAACAAATCATAGATTAAAAAAAAAAAAAAAAAACAATATTAAGTCACATTTACATTTACAGATAGTAGATGCGTTTATCTTTCACTTCATTTAAATGGGAGCTTTAAAACAATTAATATACGATTTTTCCTTATTTTTTTTTTATTGATACGCACACGAAGTACATCTCCGCTCTGTTAACGCAGTTAAAAATACTGCCTCATCCTGGTACAACAGGAAAGTGGAAAAAAAAAAAAAATCATTCTCCTTCCCGTCCCAAAAACAAAACAAATGACACAATTCATAGGAATCCGATCTTTCGGAAAGCCAATGAATGCTGCCAATATCTTCACGATAATAAAAATTTTCCCGGATCTTTTTTTTCCCAGCTGCATATTTCTCAATTTTACACGAAAATGCAATATAAGCTGAATTGTAACGCCCATATTAAAATTTTATATTTTTACGATAACAAAACATTAAGTGTGTAACAGTGTTTACTCGAAATAAAAAAAAAAATAGTAAACGTCTAGATTTCAAACGTTAATTTACAGGAAATACAGTTTATAATACAAGCGTTGGGAAATAGTTACTAACTCGACATTCCTATTTTGTGATTTTAATTATTTAATAAACTATAAAGCATTTAAGTTAAGATTCTACAAAAGTGACTTGAATTTCCTCCCGTAAGGCCTACATTGTCTGTTTTCTTTCTTATGATATATATAAAGAGAGAGAGAGATATGCGTATATAAAACTGAAATGAAAAGAATCAAAATGGAAGATCAAATCGCAAAATAAAATGAGCAAAATATGTTTGTTTTGATTTTAAATATATATTATATATGCTATTTGGAAAACATTTTCTGAGATTGGTGGCAATACTTCTGTGAAAGAAGTTTTCTGAGTTTTGTCATTATTGTTGAAAACCTAAACATATCGCTTACAAAATGCCTGAACGAATCGCAGGTTAGTAAATTTGTATAATAATCTTCGAATGCATAATTCTTGTAAAAATATTCTGTCAGACTGAATGCAATTGATGGTTAAACAAGTGTGTATTGCCTTGACACAAAAATACATGTTTCTGCTGTCCATGTATACATGATAAAATGTATACAGGCTGCATATTTTTTGTTTTAAGTAAATCTTGTTATGATAATGTGTTATTTAATTGATTAGGTATGTACGTAAAAGTGTGAAGAATTTGTGAACCTTGCAAATGCTTACGCGATTTTTTTTTTTTTTAAATTTTCGAATCTTTTTCAGTGTTGTTTATTTTTATGTCTCCTGCGGATTTTATGTGCAGTGCTTTTCCGATTTACAGTGTAATTGTTATATTCGGTTTTTATTCTTCTTTATCATTATATAGCTTGGAACTTAATTGTATTATTCAAATTAAAGGACATATTTATGCATATGAATGCTCTCTTCAAAGGTTTGTTACAGTATTCTATGATCAGCCTGTTTGGTTTAGGAATTAGTCAAATGCATCGATGAATGTAGCCATTTTAAAGACTGGTTTTCTCAGCAGTTTATTCCTTTTGTTAGATAAGCTTCTAAAATAAAAAATTAGGAAAGCAATTGTCTTTCTTGACAATGCTTCATCTTATCTTGATGCGAAACAGTCATGTTACGAAGGCGCAAGAGCAATGTTTTCCCTCCTGATGTGACTTCGGTATATCAACCAATGGATATGGAAGTATTGTAGAAGAAATACAGATGCAAACTTCTTTCATCTCATGTCTTAGTCATGGAGGAAGGATGTGATATGATTAATAAACTTAAAATAAATAAAAGGATGTGTTGGACACGTAGTAAGTGGATATCTAAATTGTGAAATGAAAGTGAGCATATAAACCTTATTTGTTCCTATAGGAAATTGCTGGACCATTCAGAAACTGAGTTGAAAAAAAAAAAAGGAGATTTGAGAAAATTGTGAAATAATGAACATTTTAAAAACGGTTATTGATGGTGATGTTGAAGGCTAGACAGGGCAGGAGGAAAACTGTACACTCTTAGGTGACATGTTTACACTAGTGCAAGAGAACAAGGATAAAAATGAATATATAGATAGAATTCAGTATGAAAGTTAAAAAGCTAATTCTCAGCGAAGATTTATTGGTTGTGGAAGAAGTACTGCATTAATTGGAGCAGCAAGGTCCATTTGCTATGGACATTTTGTTCCTCTCGCCTACACAAGCTGCGTGGAGTTAAATGAATGCGAGAGACAATCTATCATCACAATATATTTTTCTGCTGAGTCACTAGTCATTTCTCAATTTTGCAATTATTTTTTTTTTTTAACTCTCAATAATTTTTAAAGATATGTTATATTTTTTCTGTGGCCTATATTGTGCTAGAACTTCCATTAGAATACTATGTAGTAAAATAGTATTAATTGTGGTAAAAATATATTTCAGGTGCCCCTTAGCAATTGGCCAGCAGGGCACAATTTCAAGATGCTTGCTACACAAAACAAAATAGCAAATCAAAGAATAGCACAAACTTTGTGTCCATGTATACATCCTTCTATGAGAGAATCGCACAAACTCGGCATTGTGCACTCCCTTGACTTTTTCCATGTACACATTAATACATTTTCACTTTAAAAAAATCAGGAGAATGATGACGTCATATAATGTTAAAATAAAGTTACTCATCACCAAAATTGAACAAAATTTGTAGCCAATTGAAGCTCAATAAACTGCATTTTAAATCACACAATGAAATAACATAATAAAAGAAAATACAGTCAAAAGTCGTTAATCCGGACTCGTCGGGACTTCGGCGATTCCGGATTATTGATTTTTCCGGATTATAGATCATCAGTTTAAATCCGGTAAGATGGCATGCAGAAATTATAAAATTAAAAATATGAAACGCAATTTATGAAATAAAGAACAATTATGATCTAAAGGGTATCAAAATTTACAGAAAAAAAAAAGCTTAATATTTATTTGGTTGATCTTTACGTTATGGTAACTTGGCGATTTTTTGGCGAAAATTTGGCGACCAACTCTCCTACAGCAACCCTCTATTTTTTTTTTCCCCGCCGCCATTTTGTCTTCACGAAGTAAAGACATGTTTCTTTTCTTTTTATCTCCTGAACACTTCTTCCAACAATCTACTAGCCGAATTACACTTATGCTAGAAATTTTATCAAACAAAACTGCTTAATCATGACAAATATTCACTGCAAAATTAGGAAAAACTGCACAATACCATTCTCCTTACGCATTTTTCAAAATAACACATACACATAAACCATGTACACGCCGACTTATTTTTACTTAAAAAAACATCCCAGAATTGCACAAAAATGGCATTGCCCACACTCTTCACTATATCCATGTACACTGCTTTTTTCTCATAAATTACAAAAATTTCACGAAAATACATGACAATTTTCTCAATCTTTAAACCCGGTAAAAAGAACATATATGAAATTACCTGATCGCGAAAAAGTATTTACCCTTTACGAATATGAACATTTCCACATATAAAATAAATAGAATATCCAAAAACTTTTACTTCTAAATCATCTATTACATTATACACGTCACCAACGAATTCATACCGCAAGCATTACAAATACTTATCAAATATTTAAATTATTTCCATGCACGTTTATTTCAACTTAAACGTATAACAAATTCCTACAAGCATAAAATTCACAAAATAACTATCATTTCATTAAAATATCACTAAACCATGTACACGTCGACTTATTTTTACTTAAAAAAACATCCCAGAATTGCACAAAAATGGCATTGCGCACACTCTTCACACTATATACTGCTTTTTTTTCTCATAAATTAAAAAAATTTCACGAAAATACATGACAATTTCTCAATCTTTAAACCCGGTAAAAAGAACATATATGAAATTACATGATCGCGAAAAAGTATTTACCCTTTACAAAAAAAAATATCAACATTTCCACATATAAAATAAATAGAATATCCAAAAAAACTTTTTACCTCTAAATCATCTATTACATTATACAACGTCACCAACGAATTCATACCTCAAGCATTACAAATACTTAATATCAAATATTTAAATTATTTCCATGCACGTTTATTTCAACTTAAACGTATACCAAATTCCTACAAACATAAAATTCACAAAATAACTATCATTTTATTAAAATATAATTAAATTCAAAAACACTACTTAAAATATAAATGAGCACATACATTAAATTAATAAAAATTACCTTACAATCCTAATTACTTTAAACTAAATCATTGCTAATAACAATTTTCCCAATAATACTAGATCCCTTTCCACCTTACATTTACAACAATGCATAAAAATAATATCCTTAAATAATTAAAAATACTAACTTACCTAATCTTCTTCAGAATCTTGATTACGTGGCGGATACACTTTTCTTACTTCTGTTTCAGAATCTTTAAAATCATACTTATCTTTCAAAGCAAGATACCAGGTAAAATAAATAACATAATAAAACATCTTTATTTCTCTCTCGCACAACCTTAAAAAACATTTATTACTATCCTTTTCAATACCACTAAATACCCCATTTCGAATTCACTTTAGTTACGGCCATGGGATCCAAAAATTCACAAACACTATTTCACACAACACAGAATAAAGCCAAATACAAAATTGCCAGATTTTTTCCCGATTAAAGAAAGAACAGTAATTCGTCCATTAATATCACATAACATATCCCCATGATCTCTCATTTCCCTCACACAAAATAATGCGTAATCAGAAACTGAATACTACTCACATTCTTAACAAAGTCTAACTAACCTAATCTTCTTCCGATTCTTCCTTACATGGTGGTGGATACACTTTTATTATGGATTCAATAAAATTACTGAACGCTTTTTTTTTTTTCCGAATTTGAGAGAATTTGATAAAAAAAAAAATCTCTTTATCACATCTACAATTCACTTTAGACAGCGCCATACAATCCCAAAATTATTCAACCCTACTTCACACAACACACAATGAAGCTTAATACAAAATAATATACATCCACAGATACTTGTCCAAATTCCCCCCTTTTCCGATTAAAGAACCGTAATTCGTCCATTAATATCACATGACGTATCCCATGATCTCTCATTTCCCCCCCACACAAAATAATGCGTAATCGGAGCTGAGTACTGCTCACATTATTACCAAAGTCCCAGGTAGTAACCTTTATCGCCTCCAAAATGTTGCCAAACTACCAGTTACCATATTGTAAAGATCAACCATTTATTTGTTTACTTTATTAAACATTTCTTTCAATGTAAGTTGTTTAAGTTGCTTCGTTTTATGTGATTTACTTTCTCTTTAATTCTATAAACAGACATAATTTCTTGTTCAGTTACAAAGTTCCGCTGTTCAAGTCCTATAATTGCTGTGTCAAAAATACCGACTAATTTGTCAATCGAAATGTTTTCACTTTCTTCACTATCGGAAGTGAATCATAATGATGAGGAATTTGCTTTAAATCATATCAAAGATGGAGTACATGGAGATGAAATACTACATTTAGTAAATTATAAGCCAAATAAAATTATAAGCCATTAGAATTATAAGCCAAATAAAATAAAAACATCTTCCCTGAAGATAAGGATAGTGCTGACAGATCAACTTCCAATTCATTGCGCGCCTCAGTGTCCTCCCCTTCCCCGTCGCAGAGCAGCGGGAAATTGATAAACAGATTTCGGAATGGTTAGAGAAACGAAGGATATGCCTTTGTTTAAAAGACTAGTTTTAATAGAAACATACTTTCGCTTTGTAGATCCTTTACATTTTAGTAAATATATATTGCAAATTCTATTTGACATAATCGAAAGTTCAAGCTTACTTTTATAAAATTGCTCTAACAATCTGCAAAAAATAATAAGCCCAATCCAATTCAAAGATTAAGGAACAATGCAATCTGCAACATTAATTGAATTAGATCATTTTAGCTTAGCTTATACCGTCTGTTATGTATTAAACGTGTATCATGCGCACACGCATATTCGCAGCCATAAAAGTCTTACGCGCATGTGTCAAACCAACGCATGCGCAGAAAGTTTGTAGCTTTGAGGTCCGGATTATGGGTGTCCGAATTAACGACTTTTGACTGTACATGTTATCGCATATACATACTACAAAAAGGAAATATCGGCTTACCATATTTATAAATTTTTGTGACTTCAGTCTGTGACACACAAAATTCCTTAACAGCATCCAAAACTTCTCTAAAATAATCTGAACCAATTCACACATAAGTTCACAAAAGTAAGAGTAAAAAATGTCCTCCATAGTGCCAGACTGTCGGCGGCATTTCTTGCATGAACCTTTCTTACGACAAACCATTTCAGAGCCATCTAAATTATCTTTACATTCAACCATATGTATTTCCTTCATACAAACAGGACATTTATAATGACTACTAAGTAAACCTTCATTTACACACCAGTTAATTAATGCTTTTTTCCCCTCTTCAGATTAATCTCATCACATACAGCCATTTTACGGTGTACAGCACAAAATAAGCAACATATTTCCTAACTGACATCCAATGCAGAAATAAGACCTTACGACCTTACAAATATTTTCCCATCAGTCAAATTCACCACAATCACGTCATAATAGGGTTTCCATAACATTCAACTACTCAGTTACCATAAATGAAACAACAATTTGGGGATAAATGCAACAACTTGGTGATAATCCAAGGGGCACCCTAAAATATAGACTAACCTTAGTTGTTAACAACTGGCCCCTTATTCTATAAAACTTTAAAACATTTTGATTAATTTATCGCTCCTCAGTCCACATGATTCTATTGCAGGGGTTTTGAACCGGTAGTACGCAAGAAGAAAATAGGTGGTATGCAAAGTAGCAAGATATTTTTAACTATTAAATTCAGAAATTAAAACCCCAACATCCTGATTGGAATCTGTGCATATAGTTAAGCATATGTTGTCATGAAGTTATGTGTAAAAGAGATAGGCCTGCATTAGTTAAAACCATGAAATATTGGTCTTCATTCTCAGTGGTCGAACAGGCTTCCTTTGTAAGGTTTTCATGGTTTTCATGTGCGAAAACAAACATTGGGCAGTTTCTCTTCAAAAATCCTTCCATGAAAACATCTTTCCGTATAAGCAGCTAATCAATATAATATAAGCAGCTAATAATAATAATAATAATATAAGCAGCTAATCCGTATAAGCAGCTGCTATGTAGCGATAGAGGTATAATCTTAGTTAGCATTGCCATAATTAAATAACTTGAATGTTGGTAGGCAACCGAATTTCCTATTATATTCTCAGTGATGCTTCGTAATTAATATACTTTTCGATTTTTTATTAACAGTCCAAATATATCAGGAAAGTTCTAATATTGTGTTCTTAAAAATTTTATCATAAAGAACATTCTTGGATCAATGTACTAATAAACACATGAGTAATATAATTAATGTGAATTTAACCATATAAAAATATTTAGTTCTTATTGTATATGTGTATGAATGTTGTTGCTTAAAGCTTTACTTAAAAAGACAAAATAACTCTTTGATGCTTTTATTACAGATCGAGAACATGAACCATTTTCTAATCCTTTACCTCCTACTGATTTGAATGCTCGAAATGAAGAACATTCGTGAGTATCTGTTAAATTTTATTAAATGCTTAAACAATTCTATAATTCTCACTTTAGCCCTATCTTATTTATTTATATAATTTTGTTAAAACAGCTTTAGTTTACTGTAATCAAATAGAAATATTTAATTGAATATTTATTTATATTTGTTTATCATATTCATTAATTTACTTCATATTGCTCTGTTATTAGTTTAAAATATACATCTGAGTTTTACATTTTTCAGAAGTCACCATCCCATGACAAATGAAGATTTTCGGAAGCTCTTAATGACACCCCGAGCTCCGCCTCATACACCAGCACCTGCAGTTGCAGAAGAAGTTCAGTTTCATCCTCCGTATGAGTATTTCCTATTTAAAAAAAAAACTGAAATGTTCTCAAAAGTACTGAATGGATTGTTTTCATATGTATATATATATGTAAGATATAATAAAATACTATGGCTGTGTTAAGAAATAATTGGCAACCTCAAAATTAACTGTTCTAGATTTTATGTTCTCTTCTTAAGTTCATCTGTTTTCCCAATTTCAAGATCCTTCTATGTTACATAACAACTTAAGATTAACTCCTGGCAACCCATAGTATTTTATTATATTTTATATATATATTTTGCTTTTGAAAGGTTTGATACATTTTCATTTTATTTTGGATTATTTTTTATTTATTTATTTATTTATTTTGTATTTTGCTTGAATTTGACTTTTTGGTTAAAGATTTTGGTTTTCAGGGTTGCATTCACAGAGGGAACTTAATTTATAAGATTTATTTGGAATTTACTATGTTTCTGAATACAAGTCAAGAAAGGGATTAAGTCAAGGTCATCTAACTTAAATAGCCTCATCAGATGAGGTGAATGGAATGTTAATTCACCTTCAGCTTCCAGTTGAAAAATAGGGCAAGAGCTTTCTAGAACGAAAGTGGATTTTTGGTGCTGATAGTCTGTTTCACCATTCTCCCAATTTCTATACATACAAATTCATTTGCAAGCAGTTGCAAGATTTTCCCCTCCACTAGCACTCTTGCTTTTCTGAGTAAAATATGCTTTGTTTCTGCTATGTAGCGATAGAGGATTGTCTAAAAAAAGACTGCATATTCTGTTAGTTTTAACTAAGTCACCAATTCATTGGCATTTCTTTGGTTAAATTTTTTAAGTGATGCAGCAAACTGCATGAAAGGCAACACTAAAATTATATAAAGTACTTTATCAACTTTATTTAATATTCTTCATCTACTTCTAAGACTCTTTTTATTGTGTTATGAATAACTGTAAAGTCACAAGTAGCTGAGTAAACAGGTAGATCCAAGTATTTTCCCTCCGACATTTTTCAGTTTATTAAGCAATTGAATTGCTGTTGCCAATTCATTAATCACAAACATAATGTCAGTTTTAAAATTATAGGTAAATTAAAGTTACTTTGCTGGCTAGATATTTACTTGAACCGTGAAACGACTATTTGCTACGTTCAGTTGTATCAGTGAAATCACATGGGAAGAGTGGAAAGACCATTTTATTTAACTCAAGAAAAGTGTTTACGGTTGGCACTCCTGGTACTTCCGGGTCCATGCCAATACTTTTGGTTACAACTCAAAATAGAAATGTAAAATTAGAACTAAAACTAAATTGAATAATCAGCCGACGCTGCACAGAGACATTTTAACATGTAGTTAGCTTTGGCACTACCACTGATGTAGACTTAATTGGCAATTAATATGCACAGTCGGGAAATAGCAAGCTTAGGTAGCAGAGGAACAACCTGGTTGAAAGGAAAAACACGCTATGTCTGAAGTAACTCGAACACCAACTTAAATAGAAGCTTTCTATCCTGCTTTGCATAATGCATGAAACTGAAATCTCATTCTGGCAAAAATACGTTGGTTGAAAACAGAAGCTATAGAAAAGGTTGCTTCCAAAATAAAATTAAGTGTTAATTAAATTAAATAAAGCCCTACTTCTTCCCCACAAGAATTGAATTTAAATAATTGAATACAAAGGTCTAAACTTACTTGTTGAGATTTTAAATTCTAAGTTTAAGAGCCAACTTTTACATTCAAAAGCTAAATCTAAACTAATATGTAAGTATTGTACATTGCACAAAAGAAAGAGGGGGAAGGTCAGTTCTATATATCCTATTCTGCTGGGCTAATTGACAAAATTCAACTTGTGTTTTTCATGTCTCGAAAGCGCGACTTAGGATATGTATAAGATTTATATATAGCATTGTTTTAATATAGGGTATTTTGACCCCCCCGCAGTGTTCCAGGCCTCTAGAAGGAAAATACATGGTACAGTACGAAGTCTGTAATCCAGATGCCTATTATCCGGAATGGTCTATAATCCGGACCTCAAAGCAACAAACTTTTTTTGTATGTTTTACACATGCACATAATGCGTTTATGCATGCGCGTTTAATGTTACGCGTGCGCATTTAATGTTACGCATGCGTGTTAATGTTTGCGCATGCGCATTTAGCACTAAAAACGAAGCAACTTTAACAACTTACATTGAAAGAAATGTTTAATAAAATAACCAAATAAATATTAAGCTTTTTTTTTTTTTTTTTTTTTTTTTTTTTTTTTTTTTTTTTTTTTTTTTTTTTTTTGTAAATTTTGATACCCTTTAGATCATAATTGTTCTTTATTTCATAAATTACGGTTTCATATTTTTAATTGTATATTTTCTGCATGCCATCTTACCAGATTTAAATTGATTATCTATAATCCGGAATCTCCGAAGTCCTGACCAGTCCGGATTACGGACTTTGTACTCTATTTCTACTAGACGTGGTTCACAGTGATTAGTAGTGAACGATAACTAAATTTTATGATCATAGCTGTGAATTTTAAAGGTTTTCGGATATCGCAAACCAAAGGTGAAATTTTCGAATTGAAGGATTTTGTAAAGAAATGTGGAAAAGCAGTGATAAATGAAGATGGTATAAAAGAAGTTTTTCATTGTGATGGCAATGCTCCTCAATCATCAATCGATGGATGGCAAAATCTGTAGTATGGTTCTAGATCCAGAAAATAACACTACTGATAGTAAAGAAAGTGACAGAGTGTTTACTGAAAATGAAAAAATTTCGAGTCACAAGTTAGTCGGAATTCTCGACACGGCAATTACAGGAATTCAGCAATGTAACTGAACAAGAAATTATATCTGTTTGAAAAATTAAAGAGAAAGTATTAGCACAAAAAACAAAGCAACTTAAACAACTTAAACTGAAAGAAATGCTTAATAAGTAAATAAATAAATACTAAGTTTTTTTTTTTTTTTAATTTTTGAAGTATTTAAGATTTTGATCATAAATGTTTCATTATTTCATAAATTAATTTATAATTTCTACATGCCATCTTACTAGATTTAAACTGATGATCTAATATCCGAAATCGCGGGAATCCCGACGAGTCCGGATCTTGGACTTTGTACTGTATATGTTTGTGTAATTTCTAAACTATGACTCCAACTATATATTTAAATTTTTTTAACAAGGAATAATTTCCATTTTCATGTATGTGACTATTTTATTATCTTTTATTTATATATTTATTTATTTTTTTTTTGTTTTTTTTTTTTTTTTTTAAGTACCAAAAGACAACAAGATAGTGACTCAGATGATGAAGGTGGAGATACCTCAGATGACAGAGCTGAAAAAAGGAAAAGAAAGAAGAAGTATAAATATATTCTTTCTTGATATCTTGCATAATAATTGTATGGTAAAATGTATTAACTACATAAACATCTTGTATATTTATTTTACAACATAAAAATTATTTTAATTACCATAATGTATAAGTTTAAAATCTGAAGTAATATATATTTTTATAGCTGCTTTTATTAATTGCTATTTATTTTATATAATTTTCTTGCTATTTCAGATACTATGCCACTTTAAATCGACAACAGGAAGATAAGTTAGCTGAACTAGCTCAAAAATACAGAGATCGGGTAAATATCTAAATTAATGTGATTTAGTTTGTGAGGAATAAAGGATAAACTTATGCATATTTTATTTTGAGTTTTAATTAAAAAAATAATCATACATTTTATTTTTTAGAGAAAAGTAAATTTTGGCTTTAAAAAGTAACAATTTCTAAGTTTTTTTTTTTTTGGGGTAAATGTTTTTTTTTTTTTTTTTTTTTTTTTTTTTTTTTTTATTTTTTTTTTTTTTTTTGTTTTTTTTTTTTTTTTTTTTTTTTTTTTTTTTTTTTTTTTTTTTTTTTTTTTTTTTTTTTTTTTTTTGAGGTTTTTTTTTTTTTTTTTTTTTTTTTTTTTAAAGAGCATTTTAAAAATATACTGCTGTAAATTCTAAATTTTATGAAAATAATTTAAATTGAGCCTAAACTGCTAAAGTTACTTTTAATTGACAAGGTACTTGATTCCTGATCTTAATAATCTAGAAATATATTTAAGATCTGTTCAGATCCAAATATTGTCTTAAATTTTGCAGTAGTTATTTTGAAGAGAAACTCATTAAAATGTCTGTCTGTGTTTTGTACAAGCTTTAGCTATTCAGTTAAATTCTTGATTTAATGGAATAATGTTAAGAATTTTCTCTTTATGAGTAAAATTTTCTTATGTGATTAAAGTGTTATTATGTAATTTGTTTTAATTTTCTATAATGCTTTTTGGATTCATCCAGAGGAAATTAGAGAAATGGGATGCCTAAATTTCATAAAATCTGGAATATTGTTAAAGCATATAGCAGAAATTTGAATAAATAAAATTAATATTTTGAAAATCAAATTAGCAAGATAGTTGTTAAAAGCAAACTAGCAAGATACTTTTTTTTTATATATTATATAGAACTAGAACTGTTGTTTAATCTGAGTATTTAATAAATTAGGTCTGGTTCTTTTAGTTAAAGAAATTAAGTAATCCATGTTTAAAATCTTTTTGAAGTGACAACGCTAAATCACTGTAGATTGACACATTTAAAATTTATTGCAATAGTTTTCTGTTTGCGATTTAATGATGGGGCATTATTGAAATGATATTCATCTTTGAACATAAAATACGAGGGCTGTTCAGAAAGTAAGGAACGTTTCCATCTGAGGTCGCTAGGCGCATGCCGATCACATATATTTTGGTGTCTGTGCGCTCGGCATCCAGCCATCACAACGGGAACATTTCCACGCTCCCCGTTTTTTCGATATTCAAATTTGAAACGTGCGCTGCAATTGAAAATCCCGCCAGTTGTGAGGTGCAGTCTGCGATACGGTTTTTGTTGGCAAAATACCTAAAACCTATGGAAATTTATCGGCAAGTGTGTGAAGTATTCGGAAACAATGTAATGAATGAAAGTTCAATCCGGAAATGGTGCATTCAGTTTAAAAATGGCTGAACTAATGTTCACGATGACGAGAAGAGTGGACGTGCTAGCATTGTGACTGACGAACTGGTAGCTAAAGTTGATGAAAAGATTCATGAAAACCGAAGTTTCACAATAGCGGAGCTTTCGCATAGTTTTCCACAAGTTTCACAGACTTTGTTGTATGAAATTGTCACACAAAAGCTAGGCTACCACAAATTTTGTGCAAGATGGGTGCTGAAATTGCTTACAGACCACCATAAAGGTCAGCGAATGGGGGCATCTTTGACATTTCTGGAGGCGTACGGCAGGCAGGGTGATTCATTACTGGAACTAATTGTAACTGGTGACGAGACATGGGTGAGACACGTGAATTGCGAGACAAAATTACAGTCCATGCAATGGGGGCACACAAGTTCTCTCAAAAGACCAAGAAAATGTTTGCAAACCTTGTCACCAAAGAAGATTATGGCAACTGTGTTTGGGGATAGGCAAGGTGTGCTTCTGATTGATTTTCTCTAATGTGGTGCCACAATAAACTCTGAGCAGTATTGTCAAACTTTGCGCAACCTTAGGAGAGCAGTTCAAAACAAGCGCTGAGAAAAGTTGATGTCCAAATTTTGTTTATGAACGACAATGCCTGACCTCACATGTAAAACCGTACTCCTTAAGCCATTACCTAGTGATTTTCACTTGTTTTCAAGAATGAAGAACTGGTAGAAACACAGCGATTTGACGACGACAAGGAGCTGTGGGTGCGTGTCACTGAGTGGCTGAGAATCGCAGGCGGCAGAATTCTGTGACGAAGGAATTTCAAAGCTTGTGCATCGCTATGATAAGTGCCTCAGTTTGTTTGGTGGCTGTGTACAAAAGTAGAATTTTAGTTGGTCTTTCTGATGTATATAATATTTTTGTTTTTCTTGTACTTAGTTTCTTTTTAATTCCAAAACATTCATTACTTTCTGAATAGCCTACGTATCATCCATTCAACCTTATAGTATAAAATGTGCATCAAATATCATTTTAGTTACTTTAAATAAAATACAAGCTTAATATGCTTTATTCTAAGGTTTTTGCTTGGTTATTTATTTATTATATGTAGGCAAAGGAAAGAAGAGATGGTGCAAATCCAGATTACCAAAATGAAGATCCAATTACTTCAGCAGCTGGTTACCGTGCTGTTGCTCCTGATGCTAAATCGTAAGTATTGCTGTTGAAAATTCACTAAAAAAAAAGGCTAATAAGCTAAGTTTTTAATTCTTCCCTTTTTTAATTGATTCTGATAAAAAAATTGTACTCCGAGCTGGCTTTACGAAATTATGATAGTTGTGTATTTTAGTAAAATGCCTAGCACTAAAATCACTAGTACATTTTCTGGTTCATTTATTCCACAATATTTATTGTGGAATATTTGCACTCTTGCTAATATTTATAAAGCTATCAGAATGCTAATGTTTTAAATGTTGCTCTAAGTAGATTTAAGATTCTGGTATAAAACTAAGAAGATTGATCTACAATAAAGTGTAATGTAGTGGTTTAAAATCAGGTTCCATCTTTTTTGCAGACACTGTATTTTTTTTTTCCATATATATATAAAAAAAAATCAAATTTTATTTATTAAGTACCAGATTTTTAAAATTGTCATTTGGCATCAAATTTCTGAGCCAGTACTCATAGCCAGTAAAAGGCAGTTTTATGTAGCTTATGAAATTTACTTTTGTCATATTCGTAAATCTGAAAAATTAAAAGTTATTCAAAATTGAAAGCTCTGGCTTAGATTTTTGGAGATAACTCTTTTTTTTTTTTTTTTTTTTTTTTTTACATAAATGCTATTGGAAGACGTAAGAATACATGGTTTTAGTAATAGTTTCTTGCTTAAATTCTGTTGAAATAAATATGAATGATAATGGAACAATTTTAATAAGAGTAGAGATGCAAAAACTGAAATTTGTGAATTTATTCAGCATGAGCCAAAAATATGATGTGTGTGAAATTTCAGAAAAAAATCATCTAAATTCACTAAGCAATAAAATTGCATCCTCATTTTAAATGTTATATTTATTGTTACTTATGAATCACATTTCAAAATCAGGTGTTCTTATATTTAAAACACATAGCTGTACATATCCATAAGACTGAATATACTTGGTTATTGTTCAAGGAAATTTAATTATGTGTATAATGATCTTTATCATTTTATAGCAACATTTTCGTTTTGTGTTCTTATTTGCTGCTAAGAGTTATAATTTTATCAGCATCAAGATCTTTATTTCTGTAAAATTAATCAAGAAGTTAATAATTTCATTTATATGTAATTCTGTATTGTCATTTGTAGTATTTGGTAGTATGTAGTCAAAAATCATTAAGCTTGTTTGTTACTTTTTTGTTGAAGCCATATCACATATTTTCAAAACGGCATTTGCACATTTTGCTTCCCCCCCCCTTTTTTTCCCTATGCCTTTGGATCATTGCTAATGTCCCGTCCCCAGATTTTTTATTTATTTATTTTTTTCCTAAGTTTTTCTCACCATTTTGTAAAATTTTTGCTTATATATTTTTTTTTCTCCTCTTGACTTCTGTTAGCAGTACCCTCTTCCAGGAAAGAAGGCATATGAAAGAATAAATAAGGAAAAAATATTTATCGTTTCTTAAGTAAACAATAAAGTATGCAAAATAAGCAAATAATTAATAAATGTTGCATTAAAAAAAGAACCATATAAATACTAGACAGCAAGAATAAAATTAAATATGGCATTTAGTATAATAAAGAATATTTCTTCTTTGGATTGCATATGACGCCACATGAATTCAGTTAGTTGACTCTTAACTGTTGGTTGGCAGTGCCTCTTTGGCATTTATTTTATCATGTTGAACTATCCCACGAGCACTCTATATTGAGTGTGACATTTGGTGTTTTGATCAATGCAATCATAAGAATAATTTACTGTGGAATATTCCAAATTCCAAATGTTGACTGTGAAATATTCCAAACATGGAAATCCATCACAATTTAAAAAGAAAGAAAGACTGAATAAATAAAAAAACTTGCTTGTGTAAAAAATTGATTATAAAATCTTGTATTGAAAGGCTAGAAGCCAAACCAAATTAGCAACATTTGGCACCGAGTAAATACACCAAAACAAATATTTAAAAAAGAAAGAAACCAGATGAACAAAAAAGAATTGAATAATCCTGTAGCGAAAGGTTAAATATTTATATTGTCTGTCAATTTTCAGGTAATATTATATATAATGCCTGGATGAGAAAGCTATATTCGGATCAGACATCTTACATGTGGTACAAATTTTTTAATCATAACAAATGTTTGTAAGACAGAATATTACAATGCTGATTTAAAATGCAATGAAATTTAGAATTATATATTTTTTTAATTATTATTAAGTGGCATGGATGCAGCTGAACGTCGACGACAAATGATCCAAGAGTCTAAATTTTTGGGTGGTGACATGGAACATACTCACTTGGTGAAAGGTCTTGATTATGCTCTTCTGCAAAAGGTATATATATTTCCCCCTTGCAGTAAATATCTTCTTTTATAAAATTAACTCCGTGCATAGCCTATTCATTTTCTTCCAATTATACAATGTCTTTATAGTTATTATTTTGTTATGTAAAATGTTTTACTCTCTTATTTTCTTTAATGAAATTCTAAATTTATTTTCTAGAAAAACCTTTTTTTTTTTTTTTTTTTTTTTTTTTTTTTTTTTTTTTTTTTTTTTTTTTTTTTTTTTTTTTTTTTTTTTTTTTTTTTTTTTTTTTTTTTTTTTTTTTTTTTTTTTTTTTGTTTTTTTTTTTTTTTTTTTTTTTTTTCTTTTTTTTTTTTTTTTTTTTTTTTTTTTTTTTTGTTTTTTTTGTTTTTGTGTGTGTGTGTGTGTATTTTTTATTTAGCAATATACCATATTTACTTGCATATTTCTTCTCCTAGCTTTTTCAAGATATAAAATTAGAATTTTTAGTTTGTGGTAGCAACATAAATTGTACACACAGATAGAAACGTCCATATGTAAGGGTGACGGGGGGAGATACTGAACTTATTGCGTAACTTTTTTGAGAAATACAATATAATAGTGCATATCTTCATGCCTTCATTTTAATGTGCTGTGTTCTTCATTTAAACTTCACCTCAAAAGGGAGGGTATGCTGAGTTTTCTCTTATCAGTTTTCAAAAAAATAAATTATTAAAAAAGCATGAAATACACAAATAAATATGCTAAAATCAAAAGAATGAATTATTAAAAAAGCATGAAATACACAAATATGCTAAAATCAGGGAAGAGATATTATAAGTAACATTTGTATAGTAAGTAATGGTCAAAATCTTTCCTGATTATTGTGTAATTTCTGACGCTGATAATGCTTTAGTTATGTAAAATAAATAAAATAATGTTACAGTAGACAGTTATAATAATAAACAGTTATAATAAATAAATAAAATAATGTTACAGTATTTCTTATTCATTTTTACTTTAACCTGCCCTATTTTTGTCAAGTTTTATATATTTATTTTTTAGGTTATAGATCTTTAAGTTATTCCTTAGTACTTATCTGTGCCTTTCATATTGTAATTCTTTGCACACACACTGTAATATTCTAGCTAATTTAATAGTCCTTGAAAGCTAGAATACTTAAGAACTGTATAATGAATAAATGCAGATTTTTAATACTTTAATGACAAGTTTAAAGAAAGGTTAAATTTGTCCTTTTTATTCCATCTCAAGATGAATCACAGATGGCCCCTTCTCAGGCTTACAGTAAGCCTCCACTTGGGCTTTAACTTAAGATAGAAAATAAAAAAACTAATTTAATACTAAGTAAACTAAAATCAGCAAAAGCTGCACAGAAATAACTAAGAGAGTCAGCCCTTATTAAAGACTACCGGCTAATACTATAGCAGACTTGTAAAAATACAGCTGAAAAGTCACAATAATTAGATTTAAAGCAATGATGTGGCCAAAAGGCAGAACATGCTCTACTAGAAACTTCTAAGCTCTTCTACTGAAGTAACCAAGATTTCAACTTAATTACTGGTTCCTACCTCATTTACATAAAATCCTGAAAACTCATTTTGGTAGATAACTGTAGAGAGTAACCAAGAGAGTAAACAAAAGGTTTGTTCAAAAATAAAAATAACTATTAGGAAAATTAAAATAAGCCCCCTACAACACTTTTTCTTTTCTTGAAAAGAAAAATGTATATTTAACTTAATTTGGAGTAATGAGTTCAGTTTAGCCAAGAGACATGAAAAGAAAGTGATAAGGAAAAGAAAGTACTAAGAGAAGTGAAGAGGGCTGAATGAACTATATTTTCAGGATTTAAGTATTCTCAAAAATAGTCAAAACAGGCTTAAGGCTGTAGGGAGAAATGTTGTTATTAATGTTTTCTTAATGTCAGGAAAACCATTATAAATGTTTTTTTGTGTGAAATAAAGTATTAAATCATACATAAATGACAGCACTGTTCTTGTATAAAAGTGCCAACATCTGAATATATATATTTAATTTATATTATTTTCTTTAAAATGTATAGGTAACATGAAAGTAAAAGACTTGAAAGTGCTTTCTTTTTCACCCTTCTTTTCATATGTCTCATATATAAATGCCATCATAAAAGGTCTTGGAAACAAGTGAGCTTTGTGTTCATCTGGTGGTTGTTGATAGATTTAGGTCTTTTGTGCATTTTAAAATTTATATTCCTTTCTAAGCATCATTAAAGTGGATAAAAAAGAAAAACAATTTTTAATGAAGTGCTTTGCTATAGTTTTTGAAACATGTATATTTTATCATTTTGCTATATTAATTTACTTAAGTTCTAGTATTAATTATATTATATAATATATAAAAAATTTATATTATGTTTAGGTACGGAGTGAAATCAATTACAAAGAAAAAGAGGAAGAAGAGATGGAAAATATGCTAGCAAAACATAAGTAAGCTGATACGTAAAAGTACTTATTCTGCTTATTATGTCCGTTTTCTTTTCTTTTATTTACCTTGAGTGATATTTTTTCAAGGAAATTCAAAGAGTGTAAGTGGTGGTTTTGATTGATTTTAATGTTTTCTATCAGAGATGCGCAACTCTTGAATGATTGCAAATATTTAAAAATTGATGATAATGATATGATAGTCATATATTTGTCTGCTTTATTTTACATTTTAAGGAAGCTAAATTATTAATTTTTGTTAGTGTAATTTTGAAAAGCCAAAATTTCATACATAAATAACAGCACATTCATATATAAATAAAATAAAGAAACATCGTGATTTTTAAATTGGTAAAACAAAACAAAAAAAAAAAAAAAAAACATTAGATCTCAATGCAGTTTTAAATTTTCAGTATCTTATTATTTTGTGTTTTACACTGCTGGCCATTAAAATTGCAACACCAGGGAAGAATGATCTGACGAACGTCAAAATCACATGAAAGGAAGAAGAGGTTGGCATATGCAAAAATAATTAGTATTTCAGAGCATTTAGATGACACGGGAGGGAGGAACGACATCTGTGGCACTGCAGGAAAAAAAAATTGTGTAGTGGATTTCTCATTTGGAAAGTGCTTTGTAAGGTTGGAGTTTGCTCAGAATATTGTGTTATGCTTCGAATAAGGAGACGAAATGCTTACCAGGAAGTTCTAAAATTCAATAGGGGCTGGATCGTTACCAATCGAAAGTGTAGATTATCGTTCCGTGATATAGCCGGTCGCACTGCTCGACATCCAACCACTGTCATAACCAATATGGAATCAATGGATTTTTGAGGGTCATACTGAACGGCATGCAGGGTTTCAACGCCCTCTCATGACTAACACCAGAGAAGACAGACATATTGTGAGGTCAACCCTGCAAAACCGTACGACCACATCGCGGAGCATTAGTCTGGAAATGCGCATGCTTGCAGCACGCCCAGTATAAGCTCATAAGGTGCGTCGACGTTTGCAGCAGCATGGACTATTAGTAGGGTGACCATTACTTCAGCTTCCCTTGACAATGCAGCATAGAGAGAGACTGCGACTCTGATGTGGCAGATGACAAAGCGGGGGTACAAGAGTGGCACGATGTCACCTTTTCAAACGAGTCTTGGTTCTACGTTCATATTTCGATGGCCGTATACGTGTGTGGAGTGCCCGAGGAGACCGCACGTCGCCTGCTTGCATTCCATATCGGCATAGGGGTCCCGCACCTTTTGTGATGGTTTGGGCAGTGATTGGGTATATGACATGCACATCTCTAGTTAGGATCAACAGTAATTTGAACACAGATGGGTACATTTCTGACGTGTTACATTCAATGGTTGTGCCTTATCTTCAACGCTCCCAAACACCATGTCCCAAGAAGATAATGCAACACCACATGTTGCACATTGTGTTCTGACCTTCCTAGATACTCAGGGTATTCAATCGCTGCCCTGGCCTGCACAGTCTCCAGATCTGTCACCCATTGAAAACATCTGGTCATGGGTCGCTGAGAAACTAGCCCGGCACCCCTCACCAGCTAATAGGGTTGACGAAGTGTGGCATAGACTTGCAGCATGGAATGAGTTAGTTGCCCATTTCTGTCATCCAATCCCAGTTTGATTTTATGCCTAATGGGATAAAGGCTGTTTTAGCTGCCAGAGGTGGCAGCTGTTTCTACTAATTTCGCACCCCTGTAAACCTTCAAAATGCTTACAAATTTAATCAATTTGTCTTCACGCCATATTATTTACGTGCAATAAATATCTTTTTTGTATTTGCATTACTTCATGGTGTTGCAATTTTGATGACCAGCAGTGTATATTGAGGAATAACTATATTCTTTGACTGGTCTGCAATATATACATTGTTCTGTCTTCTATGAACACATTTCAAGTAAAATTATGTCCATGCATGCTATTATAATAATCTAATTAGTGTAAAATTACAAAAGTTTAAAGTCTGTTTATAACATAAGTTCATGTATGTACTCAAATTTGACACACACACACACAAAACTTTGTAATATTAAATATTAGTGCAAGCTCTAGAAAATTAGCTTAAATGCCCCAAAATGCAAAAACATTCTCTTAACAGAAATCTGAATATAAGCTTCAATATTAATGTTAATGCTGTTCAATATTCTGGCATCTGGAAGTCATCCTAGAATCATAGCTAAATATTCAGTGCCATATCACTTGAGCATTGTGTAAAGAAAAAAATGTGTCAGCAATCATCAGTTGTTTGACTGGTGAACATTTTATCATATATATTTCTGCTTTGAAGCTATGTTAATGTATGCTTTCCCAGTTTGGGCAGTTTGACCAAACTGTAAAGGGAAAAAATTGTGTATCTCTGAGAATAAGATGCAATATATTATGGTAAATATGCCAGGCTACATGCACAACTCAGCCTTGCAGTGTGATTTTAAAATAACTACTACTGAAAACTTTTATCTAAATTAAGAGTGCACATAATTTTTGTGCGAGTATCAGAACCGTAGTTTTGAAGAAATAGTGGACATCATTAACTATAATGCAACAATAATAAGGGGCTTTAAATGGCCTGTAATATTTTCCATAGTACCAACTATTAAGAAATCATCTTCTGCTGTGTCAATGTCTTGCTAGATGGTGGCTCAATGACTTCTTGGTTATGCCTAAGAGTAAGTGTAATTATAATTTGAGCCAAAAACCATCACGGGCCTTTAAGTCAAAATTTTTACAAATTTAAAATTTACATCCCCCAAAAAGACTTGAAGTAGACTGATGTTCTACAAAGAAACATTACAGCAGTATAATTCTGACTTTACTTCTCTGTTAAGTAATATTGCAACTGTGTTAGCTTTTGTCTTTTGCATGTACTCAATCTTCCGTTGTGAAGCTAGGTATCTTTCGTGCACGATTTCCATATAGGATTTTGGTGCTGCAGTAGCTAAAGGCGTGGTAATGCAGATATTGATATAAAATTCTGAACTTTGTTTTAGGGCAAATGGCAAATATTATTGCAAATGTAGTGCAATTATATGTGAAATTGTTGTATTTTTCTGTGTAATGTATTCTGAAACAAATTTTAAGAGAAAGCTATGGTAGAAAAGTAAGAATATAGAATAGAAAGTAATATGTAGAGAGTAAGAAAACCCATTTAACATTGAGTAAATAGGTATCTCGATAATTTAGTAAGATATCGCCAAGCTGACAACAGTCAAAATTTTGGTCCGATCCCAGTATCACCGTAATAAGTACACTGGTTATCATAAATGAAGGAAAAATCACAAAAATAGCGATAACTCCCTCAAAAATAAGCCAAACCGTGTAAGATTTGAATATGTTGCCAAGTAAGAGTAGCTGAGTAAAACTGTGATATGCAAATTAGTGGCACTGCTTTCGGAATACGTCATCTGCAAGGAGGATAAAAGTCCATGTTTGAGAGAAAGCCCACGTATTTCACTATGACAGCAGCATCAGAAATCTGAGATAGCCAATTCGTAACAATGACCCCCAGGCATCATTTGTCTGCAGAACTGCGATCGAGAGCCATTGGGAGACTAGAGGCAGGACAAAGTCAAACAGAAGTGGCCAGATGGCTAAATGTGAGTCCTTCTGTGGTTCTTAGACTTTGGAGGCAATTTCAAACCACAGATTCGGCATCTAGGAGGTTCAGCCAAGGACGGCCAACTGCTACGACGAGTGCCGATCACCGATATTTGATATTATGTGCACGCCGGAACAGAACCGCTACTCCGACTCTTCTTAGATCCTCCCTTGCTGCAGCCACCGGAAGGTTTGTGTCAACATCAACTGTGCGTAGAAGGCTTTACAAAGGTGGTCTGTATGCGAGACGACCAGCCGTCTGTGTGCCGCTCACGTCACGCCATAGGAGGGACCGTTTTCAGTGGGCACGACAACATGTCTGCTGGACGCCTGATCAATGGAATGCGATTCTCTTTACGGATGAGTCCAGGTTTAATCTAGAAAGCAATAGTAGGCGTTATTTGATATGGAGAGAACCTAGAACCCGTTATCATCCGTCAAACATTCGTGAAAGAGATGCATACGGAAGGGGCAGTGTCTGTGTTTAAGGTGGCATCTCTTTGGGTGAATGCACAGACCTCCATGTCTTTCCAAGGGGAACCGTGAATGTTCAGGTTTCTAGAGATGACATCCTTGATGTTTATGTGCACCCATATGCTGGGGCAATAGGTGATGCTTTCCTGTTACAGGACGACAACTCAAGACCACACAGGGCTCGCATCGTAGATGATTATCTTCAACAGGAAACAATTATGCGCATGGAGTGGTCAGCTTGTTCCCCGACTTGAATCCTATCGAGCATATTTGGGATGCTTTAGGGAGACGTCTAGCTGCTCTCAATCCGCCTCTTCAGACACTCTTCGCGCTTGCAACTGCTTTGCAAGAGCGATGGCTCTCGCTTCCTATAGAACTGATAGACCGAGTAATTAAAAGCATCACACATCGCTGTATGTGCTGTATTGCTTCTAGAGTCGATTATATTTCCATTTGAAAGGTACTTTACTTTCTATAGCAAACTGACACCTTCGATTTGTTCATTTTATACATGTGCTAATTTCTATACTACCATATTTGTCTGATAATTTCTTTTTATGTTATTTGATACTTTACTATGTGTTGTATATTGTGGGTAAGCTTCATTAAATTCTATATGTAACTTTTTCAGTAATCATGATTTTTGTGATTTTTCCTTAATTTATGATAACCAGTGTATTATAACTGAATAAATGTAATTGGCCACTGTGATTGGCTGTAACCATAATTCCATCCTCATATCGCCCTCCAGTAATGTCAAGAAGCAGAAAATACTAAGAATATCTCGGTGGCTGGTACAAACCTGTACTCTCACAACAATATCATTTGATTATGTAATATCCTATGAAATGAAGCTCAGTTTTACATAGTACATAGTTAAATGATAATAAATGAGAACTGAGTGTCATGTACATGCAACAGAAAGTTCTTAAATTAAGTAAAGAATCCCCTCTGACAGTGCTGACAGTGAGATTTTTGTCAGCTATGATCTTTGGGCCACATTTATTTTATTTATTCCCATTGATAGGCATAAGGTAAGTTCTTATGCCTATCAATGGGAAGTAATGTTGTAAAATGGTGGCAAATTCTGGCATAAGACATCTATAATGAAATAAGTGGCTTCAAGATATCATACTCGTTCAAGATGGTTTACTGCTTTACAACTATCTTTGTATTCGGTAGCTGTTAAGAAGCATTTAGCAGGCAAATAAATCATCAGCTCTTCCTTTTCAGACATCTTAGATATTGCAGTCATTAAAGCTTTATGTTTTAAAGAAGAATTTTTTGGTTGGGTGTGCTGTGTTAACCATGAGGCCGATTCTTATCGGCCAGAAGGGTTGCAGTACATTCGTATATTACATTACATTATACATTTTTGCAGAACATTTTTTGTTAATTGAGGTATTACTGAAGATATAAATTCTGTTTAGTTTAAGCACAACATTATATTTTATTTATTGGTTGCTGCATTAATATGTTAATTTTGCTGTGAAAAATTGAGAATATACTGACCTTCAAATAGTAACTGATGATTGCGTTAGAGAGAACATTACGTAATTGTGGTGGCACTATTCAAATAGCCTGTCACAAAGCACCATGTAGTAGTAGAATTTGTAAATAAATTTCCTGTAATTAACGGTGATTGAATTTTTGTAGTGTGCATTATGCTAATTTTTCTTCATTGTGAGCCTTAAAAACTTATTGCATAGCAGGAATATTTTAATTATAATAATCCTGGGGAATATGTCAGTGTATTTACTATTTCACTTTCAAACTTCCAAAATATTTCTTCCAATCATGTGTATAATGTAGTTTTTACTACACATACTAAAGCAGGGAAACTTTGGTTATATATCAGTTTGATCTTCACATTAACCCTCTCACTGCATATCCCGCGATTTCCACTGGCAAGTAAAAGTAGCAAAACTTCTGCTACTCGCGATTTCTACGGGGATGCATTTTTTCCGTCTGTTTAATTATGCAACACGCAGTTTTCCTGTTCATGGTTTCATTTCGGCTTTTCTGTGATGTTTAATTGTTTATTCCGGTCTGGGTTAACAGGTGGTATTAATTGTCCGTATTTCTGCAAAATACATAAACATATTTTGCACACTCTTTTTAAAGCTCAAAGATGTCTGCAGTTCAACTCTCAATCCCATAAAACTAAATGCATGACATTTTGGTAGCCATATACACCAAAATCCCATCAAGAAAGAGCCTCAGTAGACAGTAACTGTGTGTTGCTAAAAAAAAACTGAAACTTGCAAAAAAAAAAAAAAAAAGTTCGCAAAGGAACACAAATTTGGTGCAAAGATTGTGGGGTAAAATTTTGCTTCGAGCCTTGTTTTGAAGTTTACATTTATTAGAAATGAATACTAAATTTCATTTCTAATAAATGTTTTGCAAGTATTTTGCATATTTTTATTAGTATATATGCATTTATTTCATAAAGTAAATTATAATTTAGCCAAGATTAATTTTCAGAATTTTGTTTTTGTATGATTAGTCTTCAATTTAGTTTTTTGACAATATTTATTTATGATCCAATTCTATACTGGGGAAGAAAGTATGCAATGTTTGAATCTATTTTGATTAAAAAAAAGTTCCGCAGCGAAAGGGTTAATATTTTAACAACGAGAAGACTTTTTTTTTTTTTTTTTTGACAAAAATATAATCAAATGGTTTTGCTAAAACTTTTTTTTTATATAGAATGTAATTTATTTTTCCTTTTAGAGTGATAATTACATCTTAAGATTATTCTTTTATTTATTTATTTTTAATTTTTGACTGAAATGTTATTATTTATCTTTAGAAATAAAGTTTGGTGCTCCAAATTTTGGAATTAAAAAAGGATTTGGGGGTTTACGATTTTTCTAATTCTACATGAAAATAATAGATGATAGCTATTATGAAACAGCATGAAAAGTAAATGAAAAAATTAAATTCTAGATTTAAAAAAAATAATTCTGTAGTTTAAAGAAGGATGAAAAATTAAATTATCTAGATTAAAAAATGATGGAAAAAATTAAATTATCATGATTAAATTCTAAAGTTATTAAGGAAGATCTAAATATCAATGTAATTTTTTAACACTGCCTTAATTTTTTAATACTGTTGATTAAAAAATGATACAGTAAGAGTCACCCCTCTTACTGTATCATTTTTTAATCAACTTTAAAAGTTCCATATTAACTAGCTTTGAATATATTAAAGCTGTATATTTCTCTTGTTTAAAAATAAGTTATTTTTGTGAAAGCATTTGCAAGTTTCAGTTTTGTGTCATTAAGTAAATTTTTTTACTTAAAACGTTAAATGTATTGTACTAGTAGCTGAAATTTTCAAAAATATCCCAGGTATGTATACCATTGTTAATAACCTTGTTCAGTTTTATGTTAATGATTGTATTTGCTATGTATTTATCTTTCATATACCATTCTCTCCATGCCAAATTGTTATTTATTTTTCAGAGATAAAGGAGAAGAGGAAGAAATTCAGTTCAGAACCAAGTTAGGTACGTAAAGCATGAAAGTAGTGTAATGTGTTTATGTCTTTTTAACTATTCCAACTCTCTGTCTGTTTTGTAATAAGATTTCATTATTCTTTTTAAGGCAAAAATATTTACCGTCAAGTTTTTAAGCACAGATATCCAGAAAAAAGTGAATTATTTCTGCCAAATAGAATGGCTTATATTATAGATTTAGAAGATGAATATGCAGAAAGTGACATTCCTACTACTTTATTGAGAAGTAAAGCAGATTGTCCAAGTTTTGAGGTAATAAGCAATTAATAAACTTATTAATTCATAGCTAAATTTGAATTTTCTATGTTTTGTATTCATAATTTTGAATGGTGGTAGTCATAATGTGATGCAAACCTTTAACTTATTTCCTTGCATTTTCTTATATTTCACTAGTGTAGATTATATTGAACTAAATGTATTTTAATATCAGAAATTTGAATTGGAATTTTTAATTTTTTATATACGGGGATTAAATGGTACAAGAAATTTTTTCCTCCTTCCCCCTGCTACTGCAGTATGCTTTAATGGGAAGTTTGAGTAGCATCTACTGAAATTTAATGTATTATGCATGTATATCAAATACTTATGGAGGATATGCATATTCTTCAAGAAAATAATTTAAAATTATTGTAGAACATACTAAATATTATCTTTGTATCACAGTTCTATAACAGTTGACAGTACATAAAATACAGATATGTGTAAAATGCATAAAGTATAGTATAAAGGTAAAGACTCTAATTTAAGCAAATGCCATAGACTTCGTGCCAGTTTTGACTGAGAGCTTCCCAGAGCAGTGGTGGGGCAAGGGGGTGTATGATGCCCTGGCTCGCCAAATGGTCTCCAAACAAGATTTTCATCATATCACTATGTTTTTCTTGGGGGGGGGGCTCCAAAAAGGAATTTTGCTCCGGACACCAGTTATGCTCGCTGTTCCACTCTCCCAGAGAGTATAATCCGAGAATCTCATAGCCTTCTTGTCATTTTGATAATGTGTCTAAATTCTATATATGTAAAATGCTAAGCAATGCGCAGATAACTAACTTTTTAAAACTGTTTTTAGAATACATAATGTCATTGGTTATTGATACCAATGATAATTTATTAAAAAATGTTGATATCATTGCTAAAAAAATAATTAAGTATATTTTTTGTACTTTTTCACTACATATCAGAATTATCTTATATTTATTAAATTTATCTTATATTTATTAAATGCATATAAAATTAAATAGTTGTATAATTAATAATTTATTTTGAATATTTCCTCTTATAGTCTCAGACAACACTTACAACTAATGATATAGTAATCAAAAAGCTCACCCAGATTTTATCGTACTTGAGACAAGGCTTGCATAATAAGAAAGCTAAAAAACGAGAAAAGGGAAAGATTAAAGAAGAAGATCCTAAAAGGCCAAAACTTGCTGATGACAGGTGTGTGTGTTTTTTAATTCAATAAATACTAAATATTCTCATTAAGATTAGGTTAAATATATTACTAATTTATAACACAAAATGAGTATTTTATTTTACATCTTGAAAAATTCTTTCTAAATATATATTTATAAGCATTAACTCAGTGGTCTGGTCTCCATTATGGAAAATTTACAGTGGGTGTACAAACTATGAAAATGAAGCATAAAAAATAATAATAATAACTTATAGTAATATAAGTGAAAGGTAATGACAGTTTAGTTAAAATTTAAATGTTTTTGTCTGTATAATTTTTGGCATAACATTTCATTACTGAGAATGATATAATTTGACATTTGAAATCATGTTCCTGCTTGTAAATACTTATAGGAATGTTCATCAGCAATACACTCATTTCATGATGTAAAATAATGATTTGCATCAATAGGCAAAACTAAAAAGCAATTTGATTTTATTTGCTGTATGTTTTAAGGAAACTTTGTCATTCAGTTTCCTAACTTTCTCATCTATAACATGATTTTATAGTAATATCCAAAGCAGATCCAAAATCTGTAATTTCAGTTATTTTGTTCCAGCTTTTACAAGTTTTATAAAAGATTTGCTTAGTTCCATTTAATTATCACTAATCGTTATTGTTAATGTTATTAAGGGACATGTGTGCAGACTGCTGTACAAAAATTGTTTGGCAGGTGAAAAATAGAAATATATAATTACAATTGATACTTATCTGATTGCAATAGAAAAAGATTGATTTACTATTGAAAAAGAGGGGGAAAATACTTAATATGTTGCTTCAGAGATAACAAGGAAAGTTTTTCTAAAGGTTTTATGGTTACTACTGGATTCTCTTATAACAGAAAAGTTAAAATAAGACAAATAGAAAAAAAAAAAATTAATTAATTCATATCATCATTATAAATAGTTATTAAAATCAGATATATTTTAATAACTATTTTTAAAGAAGAAATTCCATCTCTCCTATGAATTACTGGGCATTTGGAAATTTAAAACAAGCTCTTTATCAGCGGCATCCCAAAACATTGGATGGACTCTGGAAGATTGTGAAGGAGGAATGGAATAAAATCAACCTTGATGTTTTGAGAAAAGCACTTTTATCTTAAAAATCAAGATGGCTGTCAGACTGAACATATTAGAGAATAAAATTGTAAGGTTTGTTTATATATAAATCTTCGCAAAATCATTACAAAAATATGCGAACACGTTCTGTACATGTTCATTTTTTCCCTCGTGCTTTTAAAAAGCATGAAGTTTTTTTAAATAAAAGTGTGTAAGTCTAAAATAGAATAGTATAAGTAATAAGTCTAAATAATAGTATATAAGTTCTAAAATATTTATATGTGTTTTTCTAGCATATTTGGAGAAATTGGTGATTATGTGCCTGTGCTTGAAAAGAGAAACAAAACAAAAGACAAAAGCTCTGCTGGTGAAACCGATAAGAGGAAATCATATTTTGAAAAACCCAAAAATGATGTAAGAGTCATAAGTTTAGTTTTTCATTATTATGTTTTAAGGTTAATGATAAGTGTATTCTGCCTAATTAAATTATTTAAAAAAAATATATAAAATTGTATATGATAAAAAGGAAATTTTGCTAAGAATAGAATAAATACATCTGGTACATAAAATGCATGCAGTATAAACAACTGAAAAACATTCTGTGTTGTAATAATTGTTTTAGAGGACTTAAAATGTATAATTTCTATTTTTCAAAATTTATATCATACTTTATTCAAGAAAGTGAATGTCATATTTTTTTAGAAATATTTGCATTTTTAATACTGAAATCATAATCATTGCCCTGGCTGGAAAGAAGGTTTAGGGATCAGAAAAGATTTTGACTGCTAACCCAAAATGGGTGTGGATTTGAGGCCCATGTAAGGTCTGTTTGTTTGTGTGTATCCTTCCTTTTTTGTGAAAATATATCTCACTACCCCATATAGAGCACTCTGGGCAAATTTACCATTGTCTCCTTGAACGGACGGATAGTTAACAATCATGCCTTCTCCAAAATTCGAACCCGAGCCCATCACTACAGTAGTCAGGGTCACTAACCACTATACCTGCTGGGAAGCAACCAGCCATCTAGTTAAAGCTCCAATTTTATTTCATGTACAGGAATATCAAGTTAAATACTGTAATGTGTATATTTTTAATATCCTTTAACCGCTTGCCTGATTATCCCGAGTTATCTCGGATTCGTATATATTGCAGCTAATTACTATCCCGAGAAAACTTGGGCGAAGCAAAATTTATCAATAATGTATAAAGAAGGATAGTTATGTTGAAAAAAGTTAAATAATGGTGATGATGCAAGATAGCAAAAGCGATGATTTTTCAGATAGTGATTATGAAGAGGGGGTCATTTTCCAGATGTTCTTCCTGCTACTGAAAAAAAATCAAATCCAATGAGACAGTGTACTCTGTGCTTTCGTAAAAGATTCCAGAGGTAAACCAGTAAAAAACGAGAGCAGATACCAATGTACAAAATGTCTGGTATCACTTTGTGTTGTCCCTTGTTTCAAAAACTATCATACAAAGACTAATATTTAACTTTCTTCATTTGCCCGAGTTAGCTTGGGATAGTAAACTAATATTAAAATTAAATGCTTTTACACCTGTAAAATATTAAAAATTCAACTTAAAAACTATGTGTTTTGTTTCATTTCTTTGTATTTAATAATCAAATTTTAAAAAATTTGATGGGTGTTTTTTTTTTTTTTTTTTTTTAATTATAAGGGAAGCGGTTAATTTTTACAGACATGGTCAAATTAGACTTCAAGAGGAAATTTTCTGAACTAGAAGATTTAGCATTAACTTGCTTCAATATATTAATAAATTAACACATTGTACAGAAACTTTTTCCTTTTCTGAGAAGTGTGATGTTTAGGCATCCATTTGTTTAAAATCTTATAATCTAAATAGTATATATATATTCCTGGTCTATATTTGAATAATGCTTTAGATCAGTTCATCAGTGTTATTCAAATTGTGGGTCAATCACATGGGATTTACCAAAATTTATTGTGGGATCACAAAATGTATAAAAATCATAAACAAGAAAATAAAATCTGAATTAACGGTATGCAATGAAGGGTCAACCCTTTGACTCATTTTTATGGAGTCACACTGCCGTAAAATTTTTTTACCACTGCTTTAGATTGATTGCAGTTCGTTAGTTGCTCCCTTTTTCTTCATCCTTTTCCCATGTTTAATTTCAAATTTTTTAATTTGATTCATATCTGGACTATTTCTTGAGCAATGCAATACTTTAAGAAACCAAGATTACATAAGATTAGCGACATAACAGTTATGTATTATTTTATTACGTAATATTTTTTAGGTTTATCAGAGTAAAATATATATGTATAAAAGACTACATAGTATTTAGTTAAGGGGTTATCACATCTAGCGACGGTCCCCACTAGACAGGACTTTCTGAGAATGCAATGATTATTATTTTTAACTAAAAATTGAAGCATTTTTACTTTATTTAAGAGTATTTTATGAATATCTTAACTTAAGATGAGCTTATTTCGTATGTAAAACTGATATACTAATCGGATTTCCTCTCGTTTTTTAAGGAAGAAAAAAGAAGAGAAGACAAGCATCGTGATCGCATTAATAATGTAAGTAGCACTTTTGATGAAATTTTGAAACCTTGATTTGGTTTAAATGCAAACTTTCGTTTCATGATTCATAATTTTTACATGCTTTTAAAATTATGATAAAGTTATTAAGTTTTATAGCTTTTACTTTGTAGCTAATGCATAGTCAGTTGAGTTTTGACTAATAAAATGTATTGTGTGTCCTCATGACAGTAGTTGATATAACTGAAGAAAAGGTTAATATCTGAAAGAGCTTTGATCATTTATGCGTAGTATTATTAATGATGCAGCGTGAGGAAAGTTAGCAGATATGTGTGTAGCATAATCCAGTTATATAAAGTAATATATATTAAATGTAAAGCTAAAACAGGAGGGAGAAAGAACAAAGCGAGAATTAAATTCACCTGTTAAGAAAATGATAAATTTGCAGTCTTCATGAAATATTTCAAATGTTGAATCAATGATTGAAGGATAGAAGTGAGAGGTTGCTGAAAGATTTAAAATATAAGCGCATCAAGATAAATTGGGGCAGCTCATCTTTTCATAATTGCTGCTAGTAAGAGAATTTAAAATTACAAAAAATGAAATCAACAATAAGAGTTTGTGAATAATTTGAGCTTTGTTGTTCACAAGTTTTAATTTTGGGGGGAAAGGAGTTGTATAAGCTAATAGATATCAGAAATGTGTCCCAAGATTATGAAACATGAAATAAAAAAAAATATTTTATTGGGGTGGTTAAATCTCCTTGCATTATTGAAAAGAATTATGTATTATTGGAATATGTAATAATTTTTTAGGTTTATCAGAGAAAACTATGTATGTTTAGAAGACTACATACTCAGTTAGGTTACATAAAAAAGATACAAGTTTTGTATTTGGTTTTGAAAGATAAATCTCTACTAAAAATTCAACTGCTAACTGTGATTATATAAGTTGAAGTAGGTGTGTTTTACATTTTACTTTTGCTACCTTCTCTTTTATATTTGATGAATACAGTGTATAAAATGTAAAGAAAAGGAATGAAAGACGTGATTTTTATTTTTGAAGTTTTATGTATATATTATATGTTTGATATTTGTGTACTTCCTTATTATAGCGGCTCGCTAAGATTGAATAGCGTATCAATCTTGAATGAGATATCTTATCGAAATCTTTCCGCATGTTATACCTCGTTACATGTTACATGTCAGTTGATTAACGATTAAATTTTGGAAGCCGCTATAATAACAAAGTACTAATATTTGTAATATTATATATCTTTCTTTTTTTACAACTATAACTATAACATACACACTTCATGTATTAGCTAGTCTCACATCAAAATTTTCTGTACTCCTCTCAAATTAAATGTAATTAATAAAAGAAGGGGAAAAATGAGTACATAAAACCCCAGGTACGTTAACGTATGGGACAGCAAATTCATCCAGGATACTTATTTTATGCTCTGAGTGTGGTCTTCAGCTTGTTGCCTACCAGATGTCGCTACTAGTAAAAACCAGCTTTATCCAACATTGCATGTTCTACAAGTACAAAATTGGTAGAAAACACAAGAAAAATGGTTGCCTCCTTGTCAGTTAGGTTTGGGCAGTTGATGGCAGGAAGTTCATCACAGCTCTGTATGTGTTTTTGGTGCTAATTTTTTCATATTTAAATGAAGAATATAGCTGAAGATCTTTAAATTGGCATCGAGTTTTCCGAAAATGTAACGATGCATTCACTCTTCCCAAAAATGACTTTATTTCATACTTCTGGGCAGTTGATGGCAGGAAGTTCATCACAGCTCTGTATGTGTTTTTGGTGCTAATTTTTTCATATATAAATGAAGGATACAGCTGAAGATCTTTAAATTGGCATCAAGTTTTCCGAAAACATAACGATGCATTCGTTCTTCCCAAAAATGACTTTATTTCATACTTCAGACTGCCAAAATTTATTATCATAATAATAGTTTCTGAGCTGAGAGAGTATTTATAGCCATATTCAGAAAATAGTAACGTATTGAAAGGAAGAAAGGCTGTTCATACTTTTCGGAAATGAAATATATCTTTCTTTTTACAGTATAAGAGATTACATTTTTCCAATTTTTCATAAAGTATTTTTCTACACTTTTTCGTCAATTAATAATGTAAATACATCTGAGAAGAGTCTAACTGATTTATGTACAACAAAGATTAAGTTAATTTTAAAATATAACACTTGAATGTCTTATGAAAAATGTTGTGAATCCTGTAAGTAATGCCTTTCATTATTAAGCAAAATTCACACTGCTGTAATATATATATATTGGGTCAGTCCATAAATTTGTGCACATTTTTTGGTAAATTTTTAAATAATATAAAAACACACAGTTTAACATTTTAATCAATTATATATTTTCCTTCATTATCTGCAATGTCTCGCCATCTTACAGGCAGCTTTTTTATGCCATTGCTGTAGAAAGACTGGTTTTGATGAAAAAAACTTGAAAGTTCATTGTGTACATCCTGTTTAGAATTTAATTTTTTCCCCAGTAGAAAATTTTATAAGGCACGAAATATGTGAAAATCACTTGGGGCAATATCTGGGGAGTAAGCAGGATGTGGCAAAAGCTCCCAATTAAATTCACTATTTATTTGCAGCGTTGTTCGGGCCGTATGCGGTCTAGCCTTATCATGATGAAACAACACTTTCTTGATATTCACTAATCGTGGTTGTTTTTTTATCAATTCTGAGTTTAGATGGCAAAGTTGTTCACTATGAAGTTCTGAATGAATCGTTTGGTTTGGTTCTAACAGTTCAAAATGTCCTGAACGGGGTTCATCATGCTGCTTTTTCCAACTGTAATTTTTTTAAACCATTTCTGGGCAGTCCTTACATTAATAGTGTGTTCACTATGTACACTATTAATTTTTATCGCTGCAAACCTGGCAGATTCACCACACAAAAATAAAAAAGTAGCACAGCACATTTGTACTGATTATCTACATTCATCTTCTATGGGCACTAAAATGCGTTTGATATTTACGAAAGTTGGTGATGAACTGAATAATATGCGAGTCAAACAATGACAAGTTTCAACATGTTCAAAATTGTATTGTTTTAGTAAATGCATCATAGTGAACTCCACGCATACTCTTAATGCGCACGAACTTATAGACTGATTCGATATATATATATATACGTAAGAGGATTATAAAGCTGTAAATTGTAGAACTTGTTTAATTATTATTATACTTTTATGAATTATTTTTATTGTGATTTAAAACTAATTATTGATAGTTAATATATTTTTTTAAATAAAATATTGATATTACAAGTTTAAATTAAAAGGCTGTTTATACTTTTTGCAGGGGTATAAAATAATGAATGTGTTTGGAAAACACGGTGACCAAATATTTTCATATATCACTAAGTGGTCATTGTGTCTTTCATACAGATTCAGTATTTATTAGTAGTAAATTGTTAAATAATTAAAATTTATAACAATGAGAGGGGATTGAGTTTTAAAAATTTATTGTGATCATTTGACATATATTAAATGAGACTTACTAATAGTAATGAATATCTGTGTACAAAATATTTTTATACATAATTTGTAACTGTATAACTTATTCCTAAGTATTAAGATTTTCTAGTAAAATGATACATTATTATTATTATTATTCTAATGTAACAATTTTGAAAGACTGGATGTTTCTTCATGAAATAAAATTTTTTAATTTTATGAGTATTAAAAAATAAATAATAATTGTTTATTTTCAAACAAAAAAGAGAAGAAGCTGAATTAACTGTTTATACCATCGTTATCAGTTTTTATATTATAAAGGCATATTGTTTGTTTCAGAGTTTTCTGTTATGTTGTTACATATGTATATATATATACACACACACATATATATGACATTTTAATATGTCAGAATGATAAAATACTCGTTGCTCATTTTCACTTTTTTACAGAAGTGCTGATTATCCCATACTGTGTAATATTGATAATCATATGTGTAAATGATATGTAAATTCATATGTTTGTCTTTCTATTCGTTTGGAGATCGAGAGAAAAATTTAGTAGAATTTTGCAATTAATTATTCATTGGTTAATATTTTTTTCTTTGAAAATAATGTGGCTTAGTATTTATCCGATAATTTCCTAAAATTATTCAAAAACATAAGTAGCCACATAAATGAATAATCATTAAAATGTTGTTATAAGTAAACATATTTATCTGTTAATAAATAATTCAGACAAGAAGCAGAAAAAATTCAACAATTCCCTTGTGGGGGCTTGAACCGCTGATCTTCCAGTTGTCTGTTGAATGTGCTAACCATTTACACCGCAAGAACATGTAAAGGGGAATTTGATAATTCTTTACATTTTTTCCTACATAAGGGTGACTGAGGAAAACCATTAACTCTTTGATCAAATCTGTTTCACATTTTAGTTTGGATACTGCTGTTAAGTTATATTTTTTGTCATCTCCATAATATGAGAAATCAATGGGCGTATGCTAGAATTAAAACCATATATCTTCTAGTTGCCGGCTGGATTTGATAACTACTTATTCCATGCAAAAATGCAATAATTCCTTAGAACTGTTAATATATAAGATCACATGAACAATATGTCATACAAAGAAATTTCATTAAAGTAACTTATATTTAATAAGATAGTCCTATATAATATCATCTTAAATTCATTGGACAGATCCTATATGCTTATAAAAACATCAGACAATATACCATAATATCATAATTGCTAATTGTATATAACATGTCATAAGAAATACATGGATGTCATAATTACAAGAACTTTGTGCCTTGTCTTTTTCTTTCTTGTTGATCATATCAATAGTCTATAGCAGCAGTTCTCAACCTTTTGACTAACGCGTACCATCTAAACAAAAATTGAAAACCTTCAGTTCCATCACTCTTGAACAAAGCTCAGATTGCATAAATTTTACGAGTGTTAGAGAAAAAACTCAATCAGGATGTTGGGGTTTTAATTTTTTGAATTTAATAGTTAAAAATACTTTACTTCTTTGCAAACCACCTATTTTTTTCTTGCGTACACCAGTAGTACGCGTATAACCAGTTAAAAACCCCTGGTCTATATAGCAAATGAATTTTGTCTGCCGGTCAGTCAGCCTACTGGTAGCAGAGCAGTTTCTGGTGTTATGTGGAAGGTCGGTCCTTTTCAATCCTTTTTATTGAGAACTTTTCCCACAGTAACTGTAAGCGAGTAAGACATCTGCCGTGTCATCGAGCTTTTTGAGAACAATAAATAAATAAAGGGGAATCGTACTATAAATTTAAAATGTTGGAATTAAAAATTTTTAGAAGTAAGCATTAATTTACTTTTGTGTACGTCGTTTTGACATTTTTCTAGTTTTTTGTTTATGTAACAAGAAGGATGATAAATTCGGAGACTGCCCCAGGCAGGAAAAGCTCCAGCAACACTGCTGACCTATCCGCAGCAAAACAATGGGAGAAAAATATTCCCAGAATTTTGGCCACTGTGTCATGTGTCTGTACTATTATTGGTCTGTTCCTTATCCAATCTCAGTAAAATCAAGTAAACCCGAACAGTTAAGACTGACAAGCACAAATTTGTTTTCTTGGTAAAGTTGGATGTAAGGAAGGTTACTCTTTAATTGAAGGAATTAAATATTTCTCACGATAAAGTACATTAGATCAAGTCATCATTGAATAGGCATCTAGGTAATGGGGTTATCTTTTTTTTCTCTGGCCTGCCAAATATCTACTCTGTAATGCAAGAGAGGTACTTTTAATTTTCTGTTGTATTTTGTTTCATAAAAGTGAAATAATTTAAAAAGTTATTTTTATTTTCCTCTTAAACTTGGTAATAAAAAAGTTTTATTCAATTAAATTAAACAACCAATTATTGCTAAATACTAAGAAGCTAGTAAAAATTAACTGATTTTGCTTTTGCTTCATGTTGCAAGATAATATACCATATATGAAGAGGCAATTAATTTAGTTGTAATAGAAACATTGTGGCATCTAAGCTTCTGGGCTTCTATTAAAAAACATGTAATCAAGTTAACAGTAGGCTTTATTTATCCTAGGAAAAGGAATAAGTGATTTGGATAGCTGAGTTTTACTGTACCTTCTGTATGTATACCATAAGAAATAATTCTGTGTAGCAAAATGCATTGTGTAATTATAATATATAAAAGAATTTAGTTCTTGGTAATTGTTAATGGTAGTTTAAATTTATAGCAAAATGATTAATGGTACTAATCCTTAGTTATGACCTCTTATTGTAATCTGTAACACTATGTATTTGATCTATTTATTGATCCAAAAGATGGACTAAAAAGTAAAGTTATTGGTTTATGGGCCAAAGGTGACATGAATTACGAGCAGTAACTATTTAAATGCTTTTTTGTTGTTATATTTCTTTATGAAAGTTTTTTTTTTTTTTTATCTTATTGACATTTTGTGAAAATGATACATAAAATTTTATATATTTGTTAAATTAGAAAATCTTTTTTTCAATATTTATTGTCTGTATATTTGTGTATTTATGTAGTTTAACTCTCATTATATTTTTCTGAAGGAGTGGGGAAATCTGTTATCTTCAGAGTATGGAGAACATCTGGAAGATCGTTCTAAGGATAAATTGTAAGTAATTTTAATTAAGTTTATAGTTAAGTTTATTAAACTGTAAGCAATAATTAATGCTTAGTTTAATTAACAATTTATTTTCCATAATTTATTAAATTAGACATTAGAAGTGCCTTTAATTGAGTTTCCACAAAATATTTGCAAATTCCTGTTTTATGTTACTAAATAGTTACCATCCACTGGTTTGACAAATGTTTCCTGTGAATATTGCACGGTTCTACACTGGTAACTGAAAGCTGATAATTTATCAGTGACAGTGACCCCTGATAGTCACGTAAGACCATGAATTTAATGGTCAACAGTTTAATTTTAATTATTTATCTAAATTTGTTATTTTTCCTCATGCCAATGATCTTTTAATTTCTTCACATTTACTCCACTGCATTACTTGGTGACCTATTGATTGACCTCTAGTAATCATCAATCCATAGTTCAGTGGTAACCAAGAACTTTGATGGGCTTTGTTGTGCTTCAGTTTCATTTTAATTTTAAAATTTATTTAATTTTTTATTTATTTTATTATTCTAGAGGGGCAATATGCCATGAAAGACTATTAATTTTTATTTTGGCATTTTGCATCGATTCACTGTAAATGTCCGAACCCTTTTTCATGCTGTTGCGACCAAATTTTATCGTCCTGTTTTATATTGAAAGAAATTAAATAATGAAGAATCTGCATAAATGTATGTATGTTTCTCACATTGTGATAATACCTAGAGCTACCAATTTTGAAATAACTTACGTTTCCATCCGAATATGGGCATCTGGAAGCCAAATTTGAAATTTGTTTTATTATCGATTTCATATTTTGTAATACTTCAATGAATTTTTGATTAACAAAGTAAATGATTTCGAAGCGAGCAATGGCAACACTGTGCGGTGGGGGGGGGGACATTTTTATCTCTAGCACGAAAATTCTAAATCTAGAAATTCTAAAGATATGCTCATTTTAAAATTATTTTGCGATATCGCTGTTGAACTGAATTTTTATGGTTTGAGTACATAGAACATGATATTTAATAAATAAAGGTAACACACAAAACATTGAAAAAAGTCCCTTTGGACATAATTTAAAATCTGAAACCTTTCATATTTTTGTGATTTTTTATCATTTTTTATTTAATCTATTTTAAAATCTATCTGGGGCAATGACCACACAGACAGTGACTGTCAACCTCTAGGTCAATTGTAAATAACAACCTTTCCAAGTACCATTTAACTTCCGCATAATTTTAATTTAAAACTGTCTAAATTTACTACACTGCTCAATATGAGTGATCCACCGGTAGGCTTATAAGATCTAACTCTCTTTGGCCATATAAACTAATCTAGATCCTACTAATGAACCTGGTGACTTCTCATACAGGCGTGAAATAATACGATCATAGAAGGTTGAAAATAACCCTCTATTATTTTTGACTATGAACAGAAAGGCACATGTGCTTTACAATAATACTGACAACTTGCTGTGGAAATTAAGCATTGTTACACAAATTAATCCAAGTCTAAAAAGAGTAGTGCTGGAGTAGCATTTTAAGTTATGTTTAACTATGTTCACTCAACAACTTACCAGGTGTGATAATTATTCAAATGGTCAAAAAGACATGTCAGCAGCTCCATGTAACAGCAAGATCAGAAACAAAACATACGTTGGCTAGCGAAAACATGCTCTGAATAAACTCCAAGATTCATCCATTTAAATATTCACTTCACATAACTTTACATTAGCATCCTGGCGAGGAAATATGAGGGGAAATTGAGGAGTTCAGGAAAGATAAAAAAAAAAAATTGAATAATTGGTTATTTGAGCTAAGGGAAACCCTACAGGCTGACGGCTGGATTAAGACCTCCAAGAGGTCGTAAGCACTTAAAAGATTTTGGTGCCCGTGTGTTTTTTCATTTCGTCTCTCTTTCACTTACATTCCCTGGTAAAACTGGCAATGTGAAATTTTTTGGTGCCCACTTTCCTGAATACTCTTAAGAACCTTTTATAGTGCCTTCTTTCCTTGATGTCTTAATAAGCGCATGCTTATATTGCTTAATGATTAGTCCAGCCCTGTGATAACTCTAAGTGACTCTCATTCTGTATGTCCTAGTGACTATGACAGTCTTGACAAGCAGCAATTTGTTTTATTTTTAATATGTACCTAAATTTACTGTACTTCCCTTAGTGTTGACTTTAGTTTGACCCCAAGCGATCAACACCCTGAAAATTACTGATGTGCTGTAGTTTTATTTTACTATCTGTCTAAACTTACTGCACTGACCTTGACAGGCATCATGTGCTTTAGTTTTATCTTAAATAGCTATCTAAATTTACTGCTCTGCCCTATAGTAGTAACCTATGGGTTGATGCCCAGGTGACTCTCAACCTAATGTCACCAGTGACCAACAACTATTATAGGCACTAGTGTATTCCAATTTAATTTTGAAATTTCTCTAAATTTACTGCATAGCTTCACATTGGTAAGATCCATTGCCTGATTCCAGTTGACTTTCAGGCTGTATGTCACTAGTACCAACACACAATGGGTGCAAATATTCTTCAGGTTAACTTAAAATGTTACCTTAAGCAATTGCTTTACATCAGTGACTTAATATGGGATTACTATTGATTGACAGCCTATAAGTAACTGAAGATAAATGCTCTTGACTGTCACTTTTAGTTTTAATAATCTACCTAAATCAAATATGCACAAATCATATCCAGCCTGCAGCCCATGCATTGAGCACCCTTGTCCTAAACCAAGTGTGAACTGTTTAAATATTTGTAGCTTCACTGCCATAAGCAGTAAAATATGATTTACAGTATCATTAGTAGTGTTACCTTTTTTACAAAAAATATATTTCAGGGTAACCCTTTCTGCTGTTCTTGTTTATGTGCAACACCCTTCCAAGTAAAATATCATCCAAAACCTAGTTAAAACATAAAAAAAAAATTATAATCTCAGTAAACTGCATTTTAAATCAAAATAAAACAAGGAAATATTGACTTTACCTTATTTAAAAATTTCTGTGTCTTCAGTGAACACAGAATTTCTTAACAGCATCCAAAAACTGTTTAAAATTATCTGAACTAGAATCTGTATACTGACGTCACCACATGAATTCACAAAAGTAAAAGTAAAAAGTATCCTCTGTACTGCCGAACTGTCGGTGGCAATTCTTTTGAAAATCCCTTTTTATTACACCCCACATAACTTCTATAGTGTTGTTATGAGCTCCGGTTTCCAAATCCTTAAATCTGACTGTGTAATTTACTGAGAGGTGAATGAAGCCATTTAAATCTTACACACCAGTCAATCAATCAATCAATTTACACACCAGTCAATCAATCAATCAATGTTTTCCTTCCCGTTTGTTTCAAAGCATACAGAAATTTCAGGTTAATCATACCACCAGCAGGCATTTTACAGTGTAAAGCACAAAATAGGCAATGTGAATCCTAACCAACATCCAACGCGTAAATAATTTTTTCCCCAACAGTCAAAATTACCACAATCATGCATTATAACCGATCACATCATAACAGGGTTTCCATAATATTCAATGTAAAATACTCAGATTACCATAAATGAAACAACAATTCACTGATAATCCAAGGGGTACCCTAAACGTCTTTTTTAAATCCCCATTTTACTACCCCCTTTTTTAAAACAGTGGAGTATTTCTCCATACCTCAAAGTAATGGCATGTAACTGTATACCGAAAAAGAAAGAGAACTCTTTAGTATGAACAAACAAATTCGATGATAGCTAAACATGGACTGAACAAGATAATGATTTCAAAAAGAAATGTTGCAAATTTATATAAATATGTCAAATAAAATAAGTATGTTCAAATCATGAAAGAAATTTAGTAATTAAGGTTGGCATAGTAATATAAGGATAAATATGTATTTTAAAAGATGATGTGAACTATTGATATGCTCTTTTTCTTTGCATTCACAGTTTGTGTATTCTAGTACTTATTTATAAAATATTCTGCATTTATAAATTAAACCATACATAGCTTTTTCTTAAAAAACTGAAATTATAACTCATACTGTTTAATGTGTTATCAGTTAAAGCTTTTTCTCCAGTTTCATAAATTGCTAAACTTTCTGTGCACTTGTAGGTCACTAGGTTCTGTTAAAGGTGAAGACAGCAGATTAAAAGCAAAACTGACCAGTAAACTAGAAAGAGATATGCCAGAAAGCTATGCTGAATGTTATCCAGGGTAAGTGTTTATTTTCAGATCTGTTTCATGTATTTCCAGGCAAAATGCTAAATCATTTCTGCAAATGTTTTGTCATTTTTAAGGATATGTAGGTAACTTCTTTTTAATTTTGTAATTTGATTTTTGTATGTATGAGAGAGAGAAATTTTATTGTGAAAAGCTTAAATTGTGTTACATTCAAAACTCATTCTGATAAAACATTATTTCACATAAAACTAAAGAATTTGATAGAACCAAAACTAAATTTACCCTAGTTTGATGTATTTAAAAAATTAATGAGGCTTTATATAATATGTGTTAGTGAAACATCCAGCTGTAAAATTTCTAATTTTCAATGGTATTAAAAAATTTTTACTCGTAAGTAATATATTTGTATGTGTCTTGCTGTAATCTATGGAAAGGCGGCACTGGAGAATAGAAAGCAACACTGTACATGCAGAGTTTATTGACTTTTTAAAAGTGATTTAATTTGTGCAAAAACTGTATTGAAATATTTCACTTATGAAAAGAAAGTGAAAAATTATGTATGTGGATTGTTGAAACTATTTAAAAAAATTAAAGTAAGTAATTATTGAGGAAACATGCTAGATCTTGAAAGCTGAATGAAAGAAAGTTTCTCCATCTCTCTGCTAAAAATAAATAAATAAATATGTAAATAAATTACCTATCACAGAATTATGATTTTTTCATCATGAGAATATAGAAACATAATGCAATGTATAAGCAGATATTTTTAATATTTGTAACGGTATATTCACATTGACATCATGGATGTTACAGGCAAAAAATAATTCACATTAACATTAGCTTTTAGGAATTAAATAAAAGCTGTAGCCAACTGTGCAAAGATAAGCTCATACATTTTTGATTTCATTATAAATGAATTTACTTGGAAGAAACCTAAAACGCTGCCATTTATTTCCAGTTTTACTTTGCTGTCATAAAGCAGTTCTGTATTCTCTATAATAAATAAAATTTCAATACCTTCATCGAGATTTCTCTTGTAATAGTGATGCTGATGAAGGCGGTTTTTGATGTTATGCGGAAAACTATGTGCCATTTATTCTACTGTGATTGTCAAATGCTGAGAAATGACATACCGAATGAAATTAATTAGAAATGTGTGAAAGTTAAAAAGTGGTCATATAAAAATCAAGTTTCAAGGTGGACTTTGATGGTTTTGCTATTGCTTCTTTATCAGCTGTTTATAAGAAGCTGTGCAACAAAGTACAAATTCAGAAAAAGAATATTGAAGAACTGTTTGCATTAAAATTATAGCATAATAATAAAAAAATCGAGTATCTGTTATAAGAAATCTATCAATTGATTTATTGAAATTAAAATATGAGAGGAACAACCACAGAATCAAGTTTTTAAAGAGTAAGGGTTTTTGAATTTGGATTGTTAGCAAAAACAGGAGAACAAACATGGATAGCGTCCAGAAAGTAATCTAATTCCAACCTTTTTCAAGAGGTGTTTTGATTAATTTTGACAACTGAAATGCGGAAAAAAGATTTTTTATCAATATATGGGTAAATCTTCAGTTTATGGCAACTTGGCAAAAATTTTTTGACCAACCATCTGATGCCAACCCATCCCCCCTTTTTTTTCATGTGGCAAAGATTATTATGGAAAATGCCAAATTTTAATTGCATGACTGTTATATGTGAGTAAGCAGATGTGAAAACCATATGATTGTGCTGATGTCCTGATTGATATATCATATTGATTCTATCAATTGTCATGATGTCACATATGTCAAATTGACTCAAACCATTCACTTCATTTGTTATGTAAGCTATGTCTGACTTCCATTCATTGCTTGTTAAATTTGTAGACATGTGTATTTTTATTGAACAGCGATAAATATATTTATCATGTTGCTTTCAAAGAGGCAAATCATTCTTCGAAAATACAAAGTGGCCACGTTAGCTTTCAAAATTTTCAGAAAATCAGGTGTTTTGTTTGTAGTTTGACTTTTCAGCCACTGGTATCAGTTGTAATGATTGCAGATGGCACATACAATCTAATAAATACTTGACCTGTAATAAAGTAAAATCTGCTTTGAAAGCAGTGTCTTAATTTTTTGAATGCATTTTCGAGCGTGTGTGTCATAGTAGCTGAATCAAGCATGTGCATATTGTATGTATATTGAGTAGATGCGGAGATGTACACTTTGTATTTGACCACTATTTTGCTGAATGCTATAGCTGAGCAGTATCCGCTGGCTGTAAAAATGTAAATATTATCCAAATAGATTCCCCTCTCATAAAATTCCATGTTTCTTTTTATTATAATTTATGAACAGAATAATACCTATGGAATGTACAAGCAAAAGTTTTTCGACAATGAATTAGCATTTTTTCATGTTGGTGAAGATAGAAAGTGAGATCTTTTATTCTCATCCTTTCTGGCAGATTGCAATATCCCAGCTGCATATAGCGATGATATGAATTCTTTTGATTAGTGTTATTGGTTCTACCATAACCAAAACAGTATGGGATGACTAAAGCAGCTGCTCTGATTAGGGCATGGTGGTTAAATGCAGGGTGGATTATATAAGAAATAAAATTATGCAAAAAATGAACTGTTTGCATTAATTGCCATTAGTAGTACATATTATATGAATGCACCAATTCAGTACAACAACTGAAAGTTTTGCAGCATTCTATAGATAAATCAAACTGAGTTTAAACCCATTATATTCCCAGACACATTGAATTCATTCCTTGCAGAAAGTGAAATCATTTGCGTGCGGTGTTTATTACCAATATAAATATAGCCACGAAGAGTTGGCTTCTGCAAAACATGCAACAGAACTGAAAAACAGATCGGGATGGGATATTAAAGATGGGAAGGAAGGTATATTCATTTTTTAATTTTTTTATATCTTTTGAAAAATTGTAAGTAATATTCCTGTTCTTGGTGTACAATTTAGTTTATGCTGTGGAATCCCTCCCTCCAGTCTGAGGAATACATGAGTACTGCAGTCATAATTCAGTAAATGTTACTGATAGCTCTCCTCAAAAGTTGGCTTCTGTAGCATTGTAATAAATACAGGCAAAATATGCAGCATAAGATTATGCCAAGTACCTAAATATTTTGAAGTCTTACATGTTTTTTTCTCCTTTGTGCTTTGAAGTTTTAAAAATTTCAAAATTATAAGATCAGAAGTCTGCTGGGATTAATTTAGGGCTTAGATATAAGTTTCAACTTCATTTAATCGAGCACATTAAATTTTAGGTTACTGCAATCTTTGCATGTTAATAAACCTGGATTACGGTATTACATGCTTGTTTCCCCTGCATGTTTTTTTGAAATTTTAAAAAATTCAAAATTATAGGATCAGAGGTCTGCTGGGATTAATTTCGGGCTTAGATATAAGTTTCAACTTCAATTAATCGTGCACATTAAATCTTAGGTTACTGCAATCCCTGCATGTTAATAAACCTGGATTACAGTATGAGAGTTCATTTTTAAAATCATCTTTGTTTTAGATCTCATTGTTTTCCCCTAAATATTGTGTGATAATAAAGTTAAATATATGTTTTTTTCTCCTTTGTGCTTTGAAGTTTTAAAAATTTCAAAATTATAAGATCAGAAGTCTGCTGGGATTAATTTAGGGCTTAGATATAAGTTTCAACTTCATTTAATCGAGCACATTAAATTTTAGGTTACTGCAATCTTTGCATGTTAATAAACCTGGATTACGGTATTACATGCTTGTTTCCCCTGCATGTTTTTTTGAAATTTTAAAAAATTCAAAATTATAGGATCAGAGGTCTGCTGGGATTAATTTCGGGCTTAGATATAAGTTTCAACTTCAATTAATCGTGCACATTAAATCTTAGGTTACTGCAATCCCTGCATGTTAATAAACCTGGATTACAGTATGAGAGTTCATTTTTAAAATCATCTTTGTTTTAGATCTCATTGTTTTCCCCTAAATATTGTGTGATAATAAAGTTAAATATATGTTACCAACTTAAATAGGCCCACCAGCGGGCGAGCGGAAAAGTTGCTGAACACTGGTAGTTTGGTCCAAGGTTCGAATTCCGTGAATGTGCTGGCTGCATGAGTGTTTTCGTGGTTTTCCCCATGTGTAACGTGTATACGAGCTAGGTTCTCTTAAAAAGTCCTCCACAAAGGCATCCCTACCCTTAGGCAGATAGCTCTCAAGGCTTTGCCATAATTATATAACCTAACCAAATTAAATAAATTTGATTAAACTCAAAATGGAGAAAGGAAAAGGGATGTGGATATGAAAACTTGATTAATAAATGGCAAGGTATGGAAGAAATGAAATCAAAAATTATTTTCCTTTCCACCGTCTATTTACTGAATTTTTTTCACAAAAAATGCTATTAAATTAAAAGTAGTGAAATTTACAGGAATAGTTACAATTCTTTTTAACCTAATGAAAAGTAATAGGAATATCTTTTCTGCAGCTATTTTTTTAATATAGAAACTAAATAATTGTTTCTATTTATTGAATGATATTTTTTCCAGCTGCATTAAACCACACATAACTTCCTACTCGTAAAGTACTTGTAATAAATTAATTGAAATAATGCTATTAATTTCTTGAAATGTATCTAAACAATGGGATGATTGATACAGTTAGTTGTGCTTAAATGTTCCAGAAGATCAAAGAATGCATGCAGAGCCATCTTGTCCACACAAAATTTAAATTGAAATAATTATAGTAGTAGAAAATGGTATTAAGTTCAAAATTTTTAATATAGTAAAAATGTAAGTATGGGGGGGGGCGTTGGTTAACAGCATTTCTGGGACAATATGTAAGGTGCACTTCAGCACTATCGTGCTCATCAGATTTAAAAAAAAAAAAAGAAAGAAAGAAAGAAATCAGTATTAAAGAATACTTTTTATTACTTCTCCTCAACTGATATAGCAGTTAAATTTAAAAAAAAAAAAAAAAAAAAATTATTAACAGTACTAAAAGAAGGTTTAGATAGATATAATTTATATGGCCACTGCTACTGATACTAAGCAACTGAACAAAACAAAATTTTTAATTACAGCGTAAATTTGGATCACAAACAAATAAGTCAGTAACAAATTATAACTCTAAAATGCAGTTAAGAAAATGTCTTCGGAAGAAGAGATGTTCCTAGATATTTGGCGTGTGAAATTCATGCAAAAAATTCATGAAACAATAAAGCAGTTGTAAATTGTAGCATAAATATTTGTATAAAACGTAGACAAAAGTAAATCAAAGTGGATAAATTTTTAATGGGATAAAGGCTAGTGATTCTTAAATAGAGGCAAACAGGGGTTAAGAGGAAAGGGTGTAAAAAACAGAAAGCAGCATATATCTAATATTTATACAGAATGGCATTTCCTTTTCAAACAATAACATTTTGAAAATTTGACTTCTTCCCCATTTTCTACTTACACCATCAGCTTTTTAAGCGTAGAGATACACTAAAATTCAATTTAAAGTTTCATATCTTTTATATTTATTATTATGTTAAATATTGTATATATATTAGATTTACTGAATTTTGTTGGTTTTGCATTGCAAACTGGCATACCAGTAACCATTTCAAAGCAACCATTCGGGATCTGGAAATGGATTCATTCTTATGATGAAAATTGTTCCAGTTCATGAATGTTTCAGATGACAAACTATCTTCAGGAATGAGTTAAGTTCATTCTGTATTAAAAAATAGCCAAGAGTGATAGGACATTAAATTCGAGAATTTATCAGAAATGTATAAGTGTTATTTTGTGTATCTGTAAAAAAATAAAGCGAGGCAACAGTACCACATTCGTTCAAAATAAATCTTCGGCATTAGGAAACATATAGCTCTATGTATGCATCATTGGACAGTTCACTACTGAAACTAAGGTGTGATGTCATTGATAGTATTAAATCTGAGTATTACTGTAACTACAGAATGTAAATCTCTCTTTTCAAGTTGTGAATCTCTGTCATATATTTTTCCTAATAATAATAAGCAGATATACTCATATTTATACCAACTTATATATGGAAAGTTGTTTAAAAATTTGCAAGTCCCTGTCTTGATTTAGAATGTTTTTCCCTTGTTATAGTGCTCCTGAAAATGAAGATGCTGTTGCTGATAGTGATGATGAAGTAGATTATTCCAAGATGGACATGGTAATACATTTGCCATAATAGAATGCTTCTTTTTGTATATTTACTTTTTATTCCTATTACTCTACTCGACATTAAAAATGCAACACCAAAAAAAGTGCCCCGAAAATTATGCAAATTTCAGGGTAGATGTACGTCACCAAGTTATGCGAATGACGTGAAATGTGCAGCTCTCCAGCGCACGTTGAAGAAGATATAAGAGAAGAAAACCTGTAGAATGTTTAATTTTCATGCTGTTATTTTTGCTAAGAAACCATCACAGAAAATATGTTCTTGTCTCAGGATGCATGTAGTAGCAGAGAATGCCAGGCTATTGCCATTGGAAGCAGTTTCAGCAGACAGATGATTTTATGAGGAGCATGGTGATCGGGCTGAGAAGGCAAGTTGGTTCATATGGCAAATCTCAGTTGAAACGTGCCTGGACGTGTCTACAGTGCACCGGCTGTGCCAACAATGGTTGGAACAAGGAAATGTGGCAAGTTCGAGGTGTCCCAATGCAGCCAGAGTAACGTCAGCACACATGGATCAATGCATCCTCCGACAAGTGGTGGCGCACTCGCAGACCACCTCTGTCTCCATTCTGCAGCATATTCAAGACACCCTGGATGTTCCCATGTCAACAGAACGGTTTGCCATCGATTGGTGGCTAGTGGCCTGCACTCATGGCATCTGTTAAGAAGACTGTCATTGATCCCACATCATAGACGGCAACGTCTAAAATGGTGCCGGGCTTGAGCGATGTGGATGATGGAATCGCACAGGGTCATGTTCTGAGATGAGTCATGCTTATAGTTTCTCTAGTGATAGTTGCCATATACGAGTGTTTAGATAGGTCCAATCTGGCAGCAATTGTGAAACACCCCACTGCTAAAGAATACAGCATCATGGTTTGGTGCCTAATTGCAGCCTAAATAGAGATGAATTATGTGCTGTGGTCGGTGACATTCCCCTATCTTCAAAAAGTGCCTATTGCCCTTTATCAGCAGGATAATGCCCAACGTGTTTTGCAGGGTGTACAAATGCTTCTCTGGCCACCATTCGCTCCTGATCTCTCATTAATTGAACACATTTGGAATGTGATTGGATGCCATTTTCAGACCGTGCCACTGCTGGATTCAGAAGACAAACTGTGACAAATGGTTGACAGGAAACGGAGAGCCATTTCTCAGAACACTATCCGTAGTCTTATTGACTCTACCTAGACGTGTTGCTTCGTGTATCACCATCCATGGTGGTCCTACACCATACTGAGCCAACACTGTTCTCTGTCTGTATTGTGCATATTATTACAAAATAAAGATCACTTATACTTCTTAGCTCTCTCTCCCTGTTTGCCGAGTTTCATCACTTTGCAAACAGGTGGCCACTCCTTGGTGTTGCATTTGCAATGTCGAGTAGCAAGCTTATTTCTATCCCAATCATCTAATTCTACCCAGTCATAAAATTCTATCCCAGTCATCACACACGTAGAGGTGTTTATTAGTTGCTTTTATTATACAGCTAATGAAAAAATATTGCATGGAAGTATAAAACACTGAAGATGTTCATCATTGATTCTGAATTAAACTAATTATAGTTTTTGTGTAACATAAAAAATATATAATTTTTGAACTATCTTTAGGGTTTTTTGAATTCATTTATATATTTAAAATCAGTACTTTGGATAATGTGATTACATTTATTGACTGTAAATATAAAAAAAAATTGTTTTTGTAAACTGTTTAAGCTGTTTATTAGCTGTAAGTTTTTATGGCTCAGCATCTGTTCACTAAAGTACGAAACTAAAATATTTAATTAGCAAATTTTATTATTTATGATTTTCCACCAGATTTTTGTTTTGTAATTTAAAGGAGTAAACTTTATAGTTAGTAGAGTAATATTTAATTGAAATTTTACATAAATCATTAAAATCATTAATTTATCTAGGGTAACCATTAAGACTTTATTAATGAGAGAACTAAGAAAAGCATTTGTAAATTTCTAATTCCTGTTGAACAGTTTACATTATTTTTTGACAAAGTGTGTGTTTAAGGTTGAATTATTCATGCAACATATTTTTTTTAACGTATGTATAACTTTATAATTTACATGTTCTGCTTCAGAAATGAAAGCTTTTGCATTGCAAAACTTTATTACCAAAAAATGGTATAAAAAGGCTGAACAGTTTTTCAAAATGTTTGATAAATGTAGATTATAAATTTATTGACCTTGTATGGGTGTAGATATTCTACTAATAATAAGTAATAAAAAAGTTATTCAATTTTTACATAAATTAATCATATCCGATTATATTTTATATTAAATCTATAGATATTCTAAAGTAATAGCTCATATAACTCTACCATATCTTTATGTATGAATTTCTTTGAAGATACAAAAATAAATGATAAATATTTTGCAAGCCTTTGTGGAATGATTGGTGCAAATGCTAAAATTTATAGAAATAACTTTTATTGTCACTCAGTTATTATAGTGAATTTTGTATTCAATATTCAAATATTTGCAGGGTAACAAAAAAGGTCCCATTGGTCGGTGGGATTTTGATACTGCTGAAGAATATAGTGAATATATGAGCAGCAAGGAAGCTTTGCCCAAGTAAGAAAAAAATTCTTTAACCTATATTTTGCTGCAATGTATTTTGATAAAGCAAATGCTGTATTATGTATCAATTTATTTTGTTTATTTAATTCATTAGTTATTATTCATTGCTATAGTTATTACAAATTATTCTCTACTGTAATATTTATGCAATATTGGCTCTTCAGTGACTGAAAAAAGAGTGCAGAGCACTGTACTGTATTGTCTGAGTATATCTATATGTATAAGTATGTCTGAGTCTATACTGTATGCCTAAGTCACTATACTGTATGTCTGTAAAAGTATGATTAACAAGTGCTATATACATGAAGTGTTTCATACCTTCTCATTATATAAGCAGTTCTCTTTAAGGCATTTTACTTCAAGTTTTTATTGTTACAAAATGTACAGGTGCAATAAGATGGCTTCCCCATAAAGCACTTTTAGGGTTTCCATAAAATGGCAAGTGAGAGCAGGGTAGCCACATTTTGGCAAGAAATCGCCTGTTTGGTGACAAAATTGGCGATATACCATGGATAGATGGAGAACCTTCTGGAACAAATTCTTACCAGTTTAGCCCAGAATGTTCTCGAATACAAGCCGAAAGCTTATATAAACCCTGCTAGTCCGCAGTCAGTTAGTGTGTGTGCCTCGTCTAGCGAGCTGATAGTCAGTCGTTGAGCAGTGCCAAGTTGGTCGTCGAGCGCATCATCGAGTTTTGTCTTAGACTGTGCTGAGTCGAGAGCTATACTCTTGTGTATCGTCGAGTGCATCGCTTGGAGAGTCTCAAGAGTACGTGGAGTTCCGAGAACGACGAAGCAGAGTTGGGAGCTGTACTCGGGTGCTTTGCAGTGAAGCTGTCTCCACCGTTATTGCCTGACAGTGTCGCTGAACGTGCCAGCGTGTTTATAACAGTTCGACGACTGTAAAAGTGATTTTTCCCTATGTGTAATATATATATGAGCCAGTATCTTCAGAAAGAAAGAAAAAAGAATTAGAAAGTGTTCTGTGAAGGTATCCTTTGCCTTAGGCTGATAACCTTTGAGTGCTTTACCATAAACAAATAAATCAAATTGAAATTCATCATCGCAACACTCAAAACAGTTAACATTATGTACATTTTTGATGGACTTTGACATGGCATTGTTTGCGCTTGCTTCACTTTTCAAAAGCTGCTTATTTGATTGGGTTGTTTCCTGTATCAAAAGTGTAGATGTATATTTCATCACCTTAATGCATTTTAAGAAGAATTCTTGAAAAAGCTTCTCTTGTGTTACTTAAATATGTTATTTTGCGTAAAAATTAAAGATTTTTGTAATAACTTGAGAAATCATGTGCTGAAAACTCAAGTGATCTTTTAAAATTGTTGATGGGATTCACATGATATAGGAACTTCTTCGATGACATCTTTACTTAATAAACAATGTTTGCTAAAGCACTAAATCTCTGACTCATTCGACATATTGCTGATTAGTTACAGATAGTAAATGTTCAATTGGAGTGTAATTCATCTTTCTCTTGCTTCCTGTCTGTACCATTCAGAGACATCTGTTTTTGATAAAGTGTTGTTTTCAAAAGCTTTATGCAACACTTGATACATTTTTTGGTAGCAGAAGTTCTATTACAAAAATAAAATTTAATGCGTATTCTTTGCTCAGTTATGTTCTTCATTTGGGGAAATCAGCAAAGCAAAAATTTTTTATTCGTTAAACAGGAAATCCATATGGAAATGATAGAAAAAATTAATGTGGTTTCTTGGCTGATGTCAGTGAAAGTCATAAATGCTGCAAAACTTAGAATAAGCAGTTTTTCCATTTATTTTAAATGAATCATTCCTGATATAAAATACCTATTTGTCTATTTATGTACTTGCTTATTTTCTTTCCTTTTATTTAGTGTGTAAAAAGCAAGTAATAATCATATTACCATAGTTGTCCATAGTTACATAGTCATATTTTTCTGTTCTGTTATGCTGATTATTGTTATTTCATTCATAAAATATTTAAAGTGTTTCTAAATTTTTATTTAAAATAAGTATAAAAATTATTTCAGTAGTTGAATTCATTTGTGTTAATAATTTTTGTAACTGCATTCAGTAAAATACTGTGTTGTCAGTTATTTAAGTTGAGCTGATAGGTAGCACTTGAGTAAACCGCAATCTGCTTTTAAATAAATTAATCATCTATTTGCAGAAAGGATATAAGATTTATTAATCCATGTATTCATCTCAAATTTTAGTAAAAGTTACATATTATATACATTATATTGCAGAGCTGCCTTCCAGTATGGTGTCAAAATGGCTGATGGGCGAAAAACAAGGAGAACTGGCACCGGAAAACGAGATGAAAAGACTAAATTGGACAGAGAGCTTCAAAAAATTAATCAAGTAAATTTTTTAATATTCTTTTCCATTTCTGAGGATCTTAATTATACAAAAGTACCATTGTTGTTATCCTTACACTAAATTTTAGCACTGTACTCTTAAGCCCGGATTTTACAAGACATTATTAATCTTCTTTACAAAAGTAAACTTACTGCTTTATTTTTTACTCTTATTTTATTTTTTTATCAACAAGGAAAATTTAATAAAAATTCCTGCCTGAACTTTGTCTAGAAAGCAGTTTGTTTCTGTTTATGAGAGCTTTATTTTATTGAAAACATAATTGGTATTGCTGCAAAATATCTGGCAAAAAGTTTGTGTTGCAAAATATCTGGCAAAAATTGTCCATAGTTACATAGTCATGTTTTTGTGTTCTATTATGCTGATTATTGTTAGTTCATTCATAAAATACTTAAAGTGTTTCTAAATTTTTATGTAAAATAAGTATAAAAATTATTTCAGTGTTTGAATTCGTTTGTGTTAATAATTTTTGCAACTGCATTCAGTAAAATACTGTGTTGTCAGTTATTTAAGTTGAGCCTTACATTCTTTTTAATGTTCTTTTTCATGATTTCTCAGAATTTTTCTATTCTTTTGAGGGAGGTACTTCATATGCAGTAGAATATTACTTCTATGTTATTAATGGGACCAGAATAAAAGTGCTGAAAAGGGTTTCTGGTAGGATATTTGATGCAGATATTGGCAGAATTAGTGAATGAAACTTTAATTTTTATTCATAATGTTTTGGATACTGCTCGGATTACATATGATATAGTCAGAACTCCTGATTAACCAGGTCTTGGCTAGAAAAGCTTCAGTTAGATTTTTGTAGAACAACAGAGCAAGATTTCTATGGGAAATGCAGAAAAGAGAAGAAAATGAGTGAGGTAATAGGTCTGGAATATCTAAATCAGGGTGCCATCTTAGAGCATGCAATGCATGTTTATAAATTTGAAATTAGAAAAAAGGAAGTATTATTTTTTAACTCACTCTTATGGTAAAATCCTGTTTATTATTTGAAATATACAGCTTTGCATTGTATCATCGATTTTATTTAGAATCAGAAATTTGAAACAAAATAAATTGGTGTTGTTTTCTGATTTTTCATGCTGTATGCTGAGTCTGAAGCTTAATATTGCAGATTAATGAAATAAGGCATTTTATAAGATCAAAGGGAAAAACCTTTCCCTCCCTATCTTCCCACGATGTGAAAGAGCAGCCAAAGTTTTCCCTGTCTCCATGGAGTGTGCTTATTGCTTCATGTGAAAGAGTTTGTCCATTAATGTTAAATTTTGGGCAGTTTATTAATATGTTTTAAGCATTATTCTTATGCATTTATTATTCAAGTTTTATGCTTCAATGTTTAAATTATAGTGTACAATGTTAAGTTTGAAGTTGTTTATTTAAGACCTTTTTTTTTTTTATTATTATTATTATTATTATTATTATTATTATATATATTATATATTATATATTTTAAGAAATTTAAGGCATAACTGAAATTGAAACAAAACAGTTTTTAAAGTCTAATTCAGCCGATATTTAGATTTTGATCATTCTATGAAAAATGAAAATTGTTCAAAAAGAAAGAAACTGGCATGTGCAGCAATGGAGTAATTTATTAGATAAATAAGTGAGACATATTCAAATTACATATTGCAAGAAAACTAGCTAATAATAGAATATGCTGAATAAAAGTTTCTTTAGCTATTGTTAGTTGGTATGTAATAGTTGGTAAGTATGAATTTAATAGTTTCAGGGTGTGATTAGCATCTATATATATATATATATATATATTTTTTTTTTTTTTTTTTTTTTTTTTGCTCTGATCCAGGCGTTAAATTCAACCCATGTCTGGTTTGGGTACTTTTTTTTTAAGTAAAATCTTGATTCTAGCCAGAGTGCACTGAAGCTTTAAATGATATATTTGTCTATTGTAGGCACTAATCAGAATTTGGTAAATTCATCCTTAATTCAAACATTTATTATGTCTCTGACAAACAGCTGTAAAGCGATCAATAGGAAACCTTTCTTTAGGATAATTATTAAAATTTCATAACTACTAATTGGTTAATTTTCATAATGTAGTTTGCTTCAAAATTATAAAAAAGCTAATTAGAGGAAGGAAATAAAAAGAGAGGAAAAGTTCCCTTTGTTCACGTAAAATATGTAGTTGCCAATTATCCAGGTTTTTCATCGTAGCTCCAGTTTTTAGCTTTTAGCTTTTTCTAAGGAAACTATTTCCCTTTAATAAATGAAATTTATTGAATTAATGAAACATAAATTGGGCATATTCTGTCTCCATCATCAACACAAGTAATTTTGAGAATAATTTCATGTATTAAGTTTTATATCATCTGAATTGTATTTTTTATACTACATTTTGTTTATGTTTTTCTTATTAAATTTCATTTGTTTATGTTTTTCTTATTAAATTTCATTTGATCTAATTTGTCGCAATCTAATATAAACATTTGTAGAATTTTATATGAAGCTTCAAGCAATATTTAATGCATTAATATTTATATAAAATTTTATTCTACTTCAATATATGATATTTTGTTAAATTTATCCATACAAATGCTGTACATCTTAATTATTAATTTTATTTTCATCATATATAAAGTACTTCGATAAATAAAAGTTCTCTTTCTGTACTCAGGATTTTTTTTGAGTAAAAAAAACATAAGAAAAATAGTCAAATAACATGAAAATTGAAACCTTTTAAGTAAATTCTAGTATATTTTAAATTGGAATCATATTACAAATAGTTTAAGTAGCTTAAATCTTCCATTATCTTTTGATATGGCACCGCCATGCTTCATGAAAACCTTCTGGTTTTTTTCAGATTTCTAAGCTGGCAGCTATGATAAAGTAGTGTGTATACTGATTTTTTATTCACCAACAGCATGTATATGGTGGGGGATGGGCAGAAAGATAAAGGAAGAGGCAGAGTGCAACTCATTTCATTCTGATTTTCCTGCTTTAAAATCACTGATTCAGTGCATAACTACAGATTAAAAGTAGTTAATAAAAATCTTATTATAAAGTTAGGCAATAATAAGCATGTACTGAATTCCTTGGATATATCAATAAGGAATGTGTGTAAAATTATGTGTGAAAAATTGTTATTTTTAGAGAATTATTATTTTTAATAATGTATATAAATGCCTTTTCGTCTCGCGGATTTGACAGTCAGCTGTCATTTTAAATACCTGAAATTAGATCAGTGATTTTACCTGAATTAGATCAGTGATTAACATGTAGAGTTCTAGAAGTGTAATTTATTTTTAATAGTCTTTCCAGAATTGTATAGTGTAAAGATATGGATGTGTTATATTTCATATATCAGCCGTGCAGAATGAGTTTATTTCTTTGCATGTGGTATCATCAAGGTGTGCATTTAAATATTCACATGTTAAGAAAACAATTATGTTAAATTTATTTTCTCTCTCTTAGATTATAGCTCGCAGGAAGGATTTGGATACATTTGGAAGTGGAGTGTAAGTAAAATTTTTATTTATTTTCAAAATGTGTTCTGTTGTTTTTTCATTCATTTCATGAATTATTTTACTTTTATTTCATTTTATAGGGGAACTCCTGAATTTAAAAGATTCTGAGCTGCTTTTTCAGTTTCATATAGTTTTGTTGTTAGATTTTCACATTCTATGTAGAATGCTGATTTATATGGGAATTAGTTAAAAACGTGTAAACATTTTGTATAAAGCACTTATATATTTTATATTAATTTCTTCATAAGCTTCTAAGTATATGTTTTATTGTACATATATTTATGTGACAGAAATATTGTCATGTTACATTTAATTCTATCTGTATTCAGGCCATTTCCATGCAGGTGATGCAAATTCTTCTATTACTTTGTGATTTCTTGCATTTTTTTAAGTTTTTCAAGCAGTTCTGTTAATACCTGTTAAAAGGAAACATTGTATATATTAGAATATGGGACTTATATATTCAATCTCTGTCACATTCTGTATGCATTTTTAACAACTGTAATTTTGTTGTAAATAAACATAATTTGATGTTTAGTTGCAGAGTGTCATTCTTAACATAGTAGAAGCAATTTAAATGTCACATTGCAGTTTCTGTTTTTAAAAAAATAGTGTTAAATAATATTTGGTGGTGTATGAAATATCATACCATTTGTTTTGTTAATTATGTATCTATTTATCATTGAATTACTGCAGAATTAATGCATAGTTAATTTTAATTGTATCGTCAACAAAAATATCTTGGTAAAAAAATAAAGCACCAGCAAAACATCACATGACGATAACATTGCAGACAAACATTTTCAGACCCCCCCCCCCCAGAAATTTGCATACAAGCATAATGATTGAGCACAAGAAGAAATGAGAGCTATTTTAACTTTTATATCTCATATTTTTGAATCAACTGATAAATTTTGATTAAAAAAAATTAAGCATTCAAAAACTAAAAATGAGAAGAAAAATGTTGCTAGTTTTAGTGGTTAATAGAATTTGAAATTTATGTTGTTAACTAATAAAGGTCATTAATTAATTAATCACTTTCCTAAAGTTTTATTGGGGATTTTATCATGAAATGTATAGTCTAAAAAGGATTAGAAAAAGAACTGCATGTAGTTACTTCTATTAAAATTGTTTGATTAATTATCAGGTTTTAAAATTCGCTTAACCACTTTAAGTAGCATTAATTTTCTGCTCTTTTTCAGTTTTTGAGTGCTTGAGTTCCCTTCATCATTTTTCAGCAAAATTTATTAATTTCTTGATTGAAAAATATAGAGGTAAAATTATTCCTACTTGTGCTAACAAATTATTATGTGAATTATATTTAGAACTTTTAAAGTCTGAAAATATCATATCTGCGATTATTTGTAGGTGCTTTATTTGTTTTGCTACAATATTTTTTATAATGTTCCCCCCCCCCAATAACGTTTTCTCCTTCCTTTCTTTTTTTGACAATGTTTTTGCCTTGCATTATTTTCTCCACAATGTTTTCTCTCTTAAAAGCATAGTAAGATATAGATAGTAATGCGGCATAGAGTTAAATGTATAACTTGCTCATTATTATTATATGCAATTTATATAATTATATATGCACATTATACATTTAAGCATTGCATTATTCGATTATGTATGTTTGTATTACAAATACTGAACTGTCAAAATTAAATTACTTCAATTTCATTAAATATTTGAACTGCAAAAAGTCAAAAGAGATTTAAATTATGTTAGATACAATAAATAATTAACCCCTTTAAATGCCGTGGGAAAACGTACAAGATTCATTTCCCAGTGCCACGGTTTTTCACACAGGCGCGCGTAGTTATGCGATTTATTAGGGGGAAAATAAGAGCAAGTTTTACTTTCTAAAAACTTTACTAAAAACTTTTTCACTTTCACAAAAAAAAATAAAATAAAAAAATGAATGCACAAAATTTAATGTTTTCAGTAAAAGTATAATAAAAATGATGTTTTTATAATAAAAAGATCCCTAAAATGGAGTTTCGATCAATTCATTTTTAGACCAGTAAAGTGTAATATCAGGTTTCAGTGTTATTCCTTGTAAAATCAGTATGCCTAAAAAAAAACATATTTCTTCTGAACTGGTTGAATGCACGATTTTGTTCTTGATGTTTCGTTTGCAAAATGTTGGTTCATATACTCATCTACAAAATGGTTAGTTTCAGTAGCAATATGAAGCACGAGCAGTTCATCAAAAAAAGATAAATGGGTTTGAAACATCCATTATATTTTTCTTTATTCCTGGAAACTACTACAAAAAGTAAACGAAAACAGAGGACACAGAATAAAAAAAAAATGTACGTTTTACTCAAACAACACCAGCCAATACCGCGCAGTCATTACTTTCACCGCTTTAGACACATCCCTCACTCAAATTTCTCCCCATACTTCTCTGAAATAGTATCCTCCTTCGCATACTTTGTCAAGGTCATTGTGGTCTTGCATTTCAAAAGGTCATTGTGGTCTTGCATTTCAAAGCTTTGCAAATAATTTTACAGGTAGCAGCGCAAAGTAAATGATAGTATTTTGGAAGGGCGTATATATGCCCTTGGGGCAGTTAACATATCAGCTGAGCAAAGCATATATATATGCCCGCAGCAGTTAAGGGGTTAAAACAAATACTAGAGACAGCTCTAAGGGAAATCTTATTTCTTACTTTTGGTGGCTTTTTCTTTCGTTTCTCTAAAAACTTAAGAAAAGCTTTAGTGGATGTTGAATTCAGCAATTCAATCTCCTGAAATAAAAATTAACATTGCATTTAATTTATCAGATTGTATGTATGTTGTATATTTATGTATGAAAAGAATAGGCTAAGACATAATTAACCCTGTGAGCACCATGACTGGACGAGATTTTTTTGTCGCTTGTTATATATTAGTTCGTAATTTAAGATATTTTGCTTTCTCACTTTCATTAATAATATAAATGACATCTTGATGAATGTAAGTTTAGGAAAATAGAGAATAAAATAGGTAAATATGCATATTTAGCTAATAAAGGCTCTTTAAATACAGGTCTTCATGGCAGATCCAAAAACCCGGGCTGCTCAGAGGGTTAAATGGTTTATTACAATATGCTTTATTTTGAATTAAGTACTATCCTAAATTCACTTTGAATTTTTAAAAGTAAAATATCTAAAAGCAGATGTTATTCTTTTCCTTGTGAATAAATAATGTTCACTTTCATAGTTGGGGAGGGAGAACTGCATCTTCTAAAAATAAGGAGTTGATGCCATTGCCAAGTTAGAATAAGAAGTGGGGAATGCAGTCAGCTTTTTCTGCTGTCATGTTGACAGACAACAGCCATATTTTATGCTGGCTTCACTGTAGTTGTGTAAACTTATTTCTGAATAATCTGTACTATAATATAATTAACACCTAATTTCTTTATCTATACATTTGAAGTTTAACATCTTTTACTTGTTTTATAATTTTTCTATCTTTCATGAAGCAAGAAAGCAAAAAATCTCACTAGCTATGATGGTTGAATATTTGCCATACAGTCTAAACTATATTTATCTGATTTAGGCTATTTCATGTAGTTTGTATTTCAGAAAAGCTGAGCTGTAAGGGCAGAATAATCTTTCATAATTATAATTTTTTGCTATATATATGTATTTAATAGTCACAAACTTCTTTCAAGGCAGTATTATTCAAAAGAACTTTTTTCAATTGCTATTGAATTCCATTAAAGCCATTAGCCAACTGATCAAGATCATTAGAGAGTTGTAGTTTGTTTGTCCCAGGTCCAGTTCCCAATGAATAGGCTGGTTTTTTTATGATTACTCCATAGTAACATTTAACATGAATGTAAGCCAGTTTCCCATAGAATGCTTAAGGAGATACCCCATCTAAGGCATCCTTGGAAGTTGTGCCAAAATCAGTTGATCAAACTCATCAGCAGAGTGTTAAGGTAACATAGTGATTGCTGCAGCCATCATGCATATGTCCCTTCTTACCCCTCCTCCCCAAAAAAATTCTCTTCTCTTTTCTCTCTAAAACGGTGTTTGAGACACCAGGGTGCCCGAGCCAAGGCAACCCCTTGTAGAACAGTTTGGTCATTTCAAAAGGTAGTATAGAAAAAGATAAATCGAATAGTGTTTTTTTTTTAAATAATTTTGTTAAGGTCAGATAGGAATACTTGTTAACATATTAATAACAATGGAATTGCTGTCTAAATTATTACGAGCAGAAAAGTCGAGGAACTGGTGACTTTGACAAGAATGAGGTAGTGCAAACATAGGCAAATTGATTCCATTAGCCCTCTCGTTGTGCATCCCGCGATTTCCACGGGCAACATAGAAGTAGCAAAATTTGCGCAACCCGCGATTTCCGCGGGGATGAATTTTTGCCGTGTATTTAACTGTGCAACCCGCTCTTTCCCCGTTCAAGGTTTCCTTTCGGCTTTTTCGTGATTAATTGTTTTTTTAGACGTGGGCTAACAGATGCAGTTAGTTGTCCACATTTCTGCCAAATATACAAGAATACATAATGTAGCATTTTGCGCACGCTTTTCAGAGCTCAAAGATGTCTGGCAGGAAATGTTTCGTGAGTGATATAACCTATATTCCTGACGATATTTCCGATACTGAAAGTAGTTTTGACTCTGATTTCAAGTATATTGAAGAGTGTTATAGCGAAACTGATGAGAATTTCTAGGATTCCTCGACAGATAGTGATGAATCTGAAAATTCAGTTTCTATTGAAAACATTCGACATTGGTGCAAAATATTACATTATGCAAATATTTTCATTACTATATATGTTTTACCTTTGTATTTTATAAAATAAATCAGAATTTAACCAATATTAATTTTCAGAATTTTCCTTATGTATCATTATTCTGACAATCTTTTTCTATGATCTAATTTTATATTGGAAAAAAAACTCTTTTCCAAAAACTTTTTGTATATTTTAACTCTAAAATATACAAAAATATATGTAGATTTGAAATATGTAATAAAAAATATGCAATTTTTGAACCTATTTTGATGATAATAAAAAAAACACAGTGAGAAGTTAAGAATTATCAAATACTAAGACATGAACTTGGAATAATTATATACATATACCTATAAAATACACAAAAGTGAGAATGCAGACAGAAAATTCGAAGTATAGCAGATAAGAGGAATGAAAATAAATACGTAAATAAATATATTGGGTCAAATTATTAGAGTTGCATATTACATGATCCATACATTTAGTTGAGCCATAGGTCTATCCATATTTTCCAAACTGTTATAGTCGTAATAACAGATTTTAATACTGAGATTGTCAATATTTTGCTGCCTTTCATGAAATTTTTATAATAATGAGTGCGCTCAATGCCTAACTCTTCATGTATTCTATTATTCCTTACATACCATTCAGCATTTACAATTTGTCATAGAACAGTATTTTGGCAGACTTGCAATCTTTTCCTATTAGTTTTCTTGGTATATGCTCAAAACTGGACTTGCAAAACACAAAATTGGGTGCAGAATGGACTTGTAAATGAGTAACTTGTTGTCAACAGATAATATACTGTTTCGAGCAATTAAAGGGTATAGTTTGGCTTTACGAACTCGAAACTTCTGGATAATAGATGTAATGTGTGGGAACCATGTAAGTGACTTATTGAGGATCACCCCACGATAAGGGACTTGCTTGGCCCAGGAAATATCAGTGCTATAGAACTTCAGGTTTTTCTTTTTAAAAAAAATGCTGTATGCGTCCATGTAATGTCCACACACTTTTTTATCAAAATTTGAGATAAAAAGGAGGTATGTGGGCATTGCATGCACTTTTCAGGACATACAATAGAAAAATTTACTGGTAATTGTTGTTTACATACTACACATTCTTAAATTCTTACCTTTACCAGTGCCTGTCACCAACACCAGAATAGAAAATAGAAAAGAAGATCGAGACAAAATTGTTGGAAATATTGGTAATGCCAGTATATTTTCATTAATACCAGACTCGCACTGTATGCTCTACATTCATAGTGTACTTGTCTCATTTAACTTACTTGCATCACTACACCATTCTTCTTCACTACTTTCTTATAAGTAGTCATTCGATTCCCAAATGAGGTCATCTTTGACGCTGTCAATTGCATTTCATATACTAATGACTTTAAAACTTTTGATGATGGTTTCCTTTGAGATGCTGTCTCATGCCGAGAAGATCCAGGTACACACTTCAGCAAGTGATGCTCGTGCATTGAATATCTCAAAAAGCACACGTGTCTTTCTTTGTTGTAGACAGTTTATCTTTGCTGTTTCCACCCATTATGCATGCACTTTCCTTGCACTCTGATTTCCTTCACTAACAGCATATTTCCCAACTCACAATTTGAATGCTGGTGTGTACGAGTTGTACCTCCTTATTGTGACTCACACGTGCACTAAACACTACTTGTGACCAGCAATGAGTTAAGGAAGGTAGCTTGATCATGCATGGCATGGATGGGTGCAGACATTTTATGAGTGCATTTTATAAAAAAAAAAAAAAAAAAAAAGGCTGCAGATGTTAGGCAGTTATATAGGGATGATGGTAATGCAAAAACCAAAATTTTTCTGTTAAATGACATCTTAATTTTGAAATTGGCATAAATATTATTCATTTTGTTAAAAATATAATTATAAAAGCATTCTAAACCGATGGCTTTTTTTTTAATTATTATTATTTTAAGAAGTTTACAGTCAAACCTTCTTTAACAGACATTAAAACTTTAGTGGGTGCTTTGTATATTAACAGGCAATTAATTCCTGAATCCTTAGGCCCTCAAAGTAGGATACCAGTGTCCTTCCTGCTAATGCAGAAAAGCTTTAGTCTTCTCAGTGTCCATGAAAGAAAAGTTAAACTGGACTTGAATATCAAAGCTGTATACATAAAGGGAGCAGGAGTTCTTTTTCATTTACGTACTATGTCAAAATATAACTTTTAATCCTCTAATAATATAGTATTTTAATGCTTAATATTTTTTCTTATTTAATGTAAATATTGATAATATCAGAATATCTTACCTCGGAACTCATCACTACAGTTTGTTTTTTTGAAGGAAACCATGCATGTACTGGTAAGTAGTAACCTTGTTTTAAACGTTCTTTTAATTTTTCTTGCTTGGTGTCATCCTGTACATATTTTTAAAAAAAATAGTCTGTTAATTTCAAAATATTAAAAAGTATTTCAAAATTCACCCTATTAATTGACATAAAATTAATGTTGTAGCATAGGAATAACACAATGCATTCAAATCAGACTCTGTGCAAAATACATTTATAATTTAGCTAAGAATTGTCTTATGATTATAGTTGCTGTTTAAATGATTGGGTTTGGAAGTTATAAAGTTTTTATAATTTTCTCTGTCTTTACAGTTTCTGGTAAAACTTATTTCAAAGAAATTAAGTTAAAACTCTATTAGAAATCATTATCTATATTATCTTGATTTATGAAATTTTCTGATTAACTTTTTAAATGTAACCCTTGCACCAAAAAAAAAAAAAAAAAGGGGCAGTTCTATAACTCCCGTTCTACTGGACCAATTGTCAAAATTAATTTAACTTGCCTTTTCCATACCTCGAAAGTGCGACTTAGGATATATGTCAGATTTGTATATAGCATTGTTATAACATAGGTATTTTGACACAAAATCGGACTTTTTGTGGAAGAAAAAAAAAAAAAAAAAAAAAACCAATGGTTTTTCCATATTTCAGTTCTACAACTTAAATTATGCCAGAGTGCCAATATTGTAAAAATCGCACGAATAGTTTTTAAAAAATTTGCTCACAAAATTCTAGCTCTTCCACGTTAATTGAATTTGGTCTATATTTATTTATATCTCTTTGTTATTTAACTTATTTGATGCTTGCTTTCACATTTGAAATTTAAGTTCATTCCAAATAAAATTCGCCCATTTTTTATGATTTATTTTAAAATTTGTATTTTTAAATAATTTTTATAAATTTTTACCATCATCTTAAAGTAGATGTATTTCTAAGCATATCTGCAAAAAAATTAGATTTACACGAAGAGATATACACATATTTATGTATTGGCGTGTTTTGAAATTTGGCATATTTGTTACAAGCCATAATAGTGCCAAACGGGCTTTATGCATTTTGTAAAAATTATTTGAAAGTATGAAAGATGTACCTTTTCCCGTTAAGGCACAGAGAAAAAAAGGGAAGGGGAAATAGGTTGCCATACATTAAGAAGTTCGCCAAGTGAATTATTCTTGGCGCAAACTGAAAAATGCACCAAGATAAGATTTTTAATTCCTTACTGAAAATTGCAAAATTTAATATCTAGGGATAATTTGAGTCTTAGAGTCGAAATATGGAAAAACATTGATATGTTATTTCGGAAGAAGTCTGATATGTCAAAATACCTATGTTAGAATAGTGCTGTATATAAATCTAATATATATCCTAAGTCACGCTTTCGAGACATAGAGAATGCAAGTTAAATTTCTACAATAAGTCCAGTAAAACAGGAAATACAGTCAAAAGTCGTTAATTTGGACACCCATAATCTGGAATGATCTATAATCCGGACCTCAAAGCTAAAAACTTTCTGCGCATGCGCCACGTTGGCACAGGCGTTTTACGCGTGCGCGTAAGACCTTGATTACTGCGCGTATGCGTGTGCGCAAGTGCAGAATACGTTTTCGCCTGCGCGTTTAATGTTATAACGGGACGGTAGTGTAATTATCTAATTATCTATTTCAGTTAATGTTAATGATTGCGTTGTACCTTAATCTTCGAATTGGATCCCGCTTATTATATTTTGCAGACTGTAAGAGCAATTTTATAAAAGTAAACTTGAACTTTTTCGATTATGTCAAATAGAATTTCCGATGCTGGAACTTCCAAAGGATCTACAAAACGAAAGTATGTTTCGATGTCCAACAAACAAAAAGTGGAATTGCTGCAAAAATGGATAAAGACATGAAGAATGTGACAGAGGAGTTCAGTGAAAACGAAAAAATTTCGATTGACAAGTTAGTCGGTATTCTCGGCACAGCAATTAACGGGACTTGAACAGCGGAACTTTGTAACTGAACAAGAATTATGTCTGTTTATAGAATTAAAGAGAAAGTATTATCACATAAAACGAAGCAACTTAAACAACTTACAATTGAAAGAAATGTTTAATAAAATAAACAAATAAATATTAAGCTTCTTTTTTTTTTTTTTTTTTTTTTTTTTTTTTTTTTGTAATTTTGATACCCTTTAGATCATAATTGTTCTTTATTTCATAAATTACGGTTTCATATTTTTAATTTTAGAATTTCTGCATGCCATCTTACGAGATTTAAACTGATGATCTATAATCCGGAATCGCCGAAGTCCCGACGAGTCCGGATTAACGACTTTTGACTGTATAGAACTGTCCTTCCCCCCCTCCGAGGTGTACCTTTTATTTATGTGTAGTAAAGGAACTATAATAGTAAATAAGCTATAATTCAGCTCTGATGTTGATTTTTCTAAATTGAAAAACCTCATCATCATCCAAGAAAAAATATACATACATTAAACTAAACTTTAAAGCATCTTACGTATGCAAAATGTAAGCTATTTTAAAGCTTGAGATAAAAGGCCATTGCTTTCTCTTGCATTAAGGTATAATACTACTAGACAAGTAGTTCCCAGAATAGTTTTAAGGCACATAAAATTGAGGATTATTTTATTGAAGATGTTTCTAAAACTGTGTACCTTTTCTAAGGTATTAGGTTTTATGCTTGTAATGAGAGATGGTTTAGTAACTTCAGAAACAGATAGAGTGATTGGTGGGCAAAGACTGCTCTCAAAGACTTGTGGGTGGAAAAGCTGATTAACAGTTTCAGGTGTAATATACTTTCCAGTTTTGGCTAACCCATTACATGCTTTACAAAACTTTGCAGTGGAGATCCTCAGACTGTCTTCCTGGAAAAAGATGGGAAAAGGTTGATTACTTTGTTGTCAATTATTTGAATAGAAATCATATATTGTAAGAAAAGATTTAACTCTTTTAAGACATTATTCATTGCAACTACACTCTTTTGCAAAAAAATCAAAGCTCGATGAAGGAAGTGGTTGTTTTTGATGAAATTGAGTATGTGTATAGCTCGTACACAGATAATAAAATGATTAAAAAATCAAGGGTCATAGTACCTGTTCACGGCTCACAATCACCCATTGAGTGTTGAAATTAGTAGTTGGTCGAACCGCCCGTGGGGAAAATGCATGCTTGAATTCGTCAAGGCAAGGAGTGGTAGAGGTTATTAATGTCATCCTGCGACACATTCTGCCAGGCATTCATCAGTTGTCGCTCCAGATCTGCAATATTTTGTGGTGCCCGAATCTGGCGACCTACCATGACCCAGACATGCTCTATTGGTGAAAGGTCTGGTGACCATGCTGGCCAAGGAAGAGTATCAACCCACGGAGACAGTCCAGAGATATGCGAGCGGTATGTGACCTGGCATTTTCTTGTCGGAAAATGGCCCCACGCAGAATGGTATCACCATATCGTTGAGCTGTTAAAGATGTACGGAGGATAACTAAAGATCGTAGAGACATTAGGATTTTTGGAAGCACGCAAAATGAAAAATTAGCAACGCTTTCACTGGGAATTGAACCACGGACCTCTGGAATACGAGCCCAGCATGCAGACCACCACGCGAAGAAGGTGGGAGAAATACCTTATAAGATGACCTGCTGTCATACGAAATAGCGCCCCACACCATCACACCAGGATATGCCTTTGTAAAACAAAGGCTGATTGCGACTGCTAGCCCCGTCCTCTCCAGACATGAACACGGTGGTCATCTGCTTCAAGAATGAAGCTGGGTTCATCGCTGAGCACTATACGATGCCAGTCTGATGGCAGCCATGATTATCGGCTGCGACACCACTCCAGATGATTCCGCCGATGTTATGGGGTCAAATGCAAACTTCTTAAAAGCATCTGTAAGCGTAACCCCGCCTTAGACAAGCGCCGTGAGAGGTATTGAAGTGGCTGTACTGCGTTGAATAGTCGACAATGATACCGTTGAGGAGGTTCAGGCATGGCAAACATCATCCTATCTTGCTACTGATTAGCCCTCTTTGTTTCTCATCTGCATTAACATTTTGTTAAAGTACCAGTGGCTTTAAAAGAGATTACTGAGGTAATTATCATAATTTCTGGCTGCATTTAAAAAATAAATTAACTAAGGTAAGTTTTTAAACTATAGCTATATTTCTGGCCAACTGGCTGTAGGAATTTTTTTCCCCCTTCACATGTATAGCCTACGGGCATTTTCATACACACATAACATATGGGGTTCCCCATATGTTATGTGTGTATGAGACTATTTCCCTTAAAAAGTTGTGCACAAAGGCATCCCTTCCTTAGGCAGATAGCCAATGAGTGCTTTCCCTTAATCAAATAAACCAATCGAAATTAAATTTTACATCTTCCTGGAATTGCTATTTGAGGGTATTTGCTCGAGTTTGTGAGGATTTAAAACATTAGAACTGTCAGGATTACGTTAACACTGTAACCTACTTTCTTCCTGCGTTAATTGATCAGCGCACTGAAAAACCATAAATGGCACTGGAACAATACACGTATAACGAAAATTGCCATCGTAAAACATTTCCAAAGAAGATTATTATAAAGTACCAACGGACTCTTCTTGGAAGAGGTTACTTCCACAGGTTAAAAAAAAAAAAAAAAAAAAAAAAAAGTCTTCCATCACAAGTGGGTGGTATACAATAATGCTGCAGAATTACGTAATTCCAGAATTGCAGCAGCGAAATGTTTTTAATGCATTGTATGGATGCAAGATAGTTCGAGGACCATTTAAGGGAAACTGGCTCCCATTCACGTTACAAACATGGAGCAAAGTAAGCAAACTGTGCAAGTTAGTGCTATTAATTAGTATGCTAATTTTGGCAAACGATCGCCAATGAAAGACATGAGACTTAAGAAAAAGTTAACTTCCGAATAAGGCGGCCTAAATTTGCGAGGTCTTGGCTAAGTGAGGAGTGTTTATTTACTTGCAACCTATATTGGGGGGGGGAGAAATTTCGGCTCAAAGTATACGATTTTCCCTTTCGACTAATCTTCCATCGGTTAAAAAGGACATAAACCGAAGTATTCTCTCTTAGAATCCCAACCTAGGAGGAAGCTAAACAGTTAACCAGGTACAGCAATACCTCTTTCCCCTGCAGTACTACAAAGGTGATGGCATAGCTTCTTACCTGTACCTGTCTAACTTGCATGAAGTCTGTAATAATTTTTAGCTTATGTCTTCCAGTTTTGCATGTTTTAATTAATTTTTTAAATACGTGAACTTCAAATGCTTTATTTATTACACTTCTTGGTTCTTAAATGTAATCGCAACCACCTTAGAAGTCGCCAGATTTTCAATATGTGCCAAACTCTGGCAACCATGAGCATAATGATTCTTCAGGCAACTATGCTCATAAGAAATCCTTCAGTCAAGCAACGTCACCATTTTCCGTATGCTTTCTTTTTCTTGTTTTCCAATGGCTTTTATAAACAAATCGTGGTATTTTATGCCGTAAACTTCATTTTAAAATATGTGTTTGTGGAATTTGCCAGTAATGTATCAAAATACGGTAAAATTTCTTCAGGAACACAGAAATTTCACGCAAAATCTCTAAAGAGAACGAGATGCGTTTGATAGACAGCCGCCTGCCAATGTTTGAAGAATGTCAAGTCTCTGCAATTCTGTGCTGGTTTTTTTTAACAGCAAATAGATCGTTGTATATTCGAGGAGAAGAATAACGAAAAAAAAAATTACAGAAAGATTTTGGAGACGAATGCGTTTCATTTTTTTAATATATCAGGTGACATTTAGTTAAAAATTTTTATTTTGAATTCCTAAAGTGTGTTGACTTACAATGAAATGTTATGACACAATGACTAGAATGTAATGTTTGCCGACTTGCAATAATTATTGATACGTCTGGAATCATTTTGGAAAAAAAAAAAAAAGTTGCGGAAACAACACTGTCGCCCTTGATAAGTAACTTTTGCTCTTTCATCTGTACAAAATCGCCAAAATCCGTCAGGTGGTTTCATTAGTACGTAAGTACCCTCTTCTTTTCCATTTTTGTCAAATTTTTAATTATAATTTCAGTCTGAAATTATCCAATGCAAAATAAAAACGGTACTCTTCTGTTTTGAGGGCCGTAAAAAAATTGAAGCGAAAATGTATGCGCAAAAGCGCCAAATCTAGCGTACGCGCTGGTTTCAGATTGCATAAGTTTATATAGTTCCATATTTCTTAAGACGCCATTGAAATACTAGTTTAATTTTTAAATCCTTTTTTGATATCCTATGGATTTAACAATTTGGGAATTGCCCATGATGAAAAGTCGGCAATAGAATTTTGGGTAAAGTGCAGAATCACTCACTGCTTGACGCTTTTTTAAGAATTGCACATACTCGGTATCCATGTGCACATCGACCTATTTTCACTTTAAAAAATCCTAGAATGGCACTGCGCACCCCCTTGACTTTATCTATGTACACATCGATCTATTTTCATTTAAAAAGTGAAATAAAATTGACAAAAATCCAATTGTTTTTACCCTTGTAAAAAGCGGCAAAGAAATAAGTGAGCGATTCTGCACTTCTGAATTCCGATTCTGAATATTTCCAAAGAAAAGGCATCATTCATTATAGAAAATTACGTTTGAACAACCAGCGAGATGAAATTATGATTTAGCCATAAGTCGGTAGCGAAATAGCGATGCAGGCATCCATTCAGTTATGTTTAGCAATTTTTATATAAATTACAATAATGATCTGAAATAGTTATTGACTCTTATGCTTCCATTCAGTCATCTTTAGCCTTTTTCATATAAATTATAATAATAACAAAGTATTATATGAAATTAACCTTTCATCTAAATTAAAACATCAATCTTAAATAGTTATTTACTATTATACTTCCTTTCTTGCTGCAATTATATTAGGGTTGCCGCAATTATTTTTGGCAGCTTTGGCATCAACAATAGTTTGGTGATTTTTTTACGACCCTAGAAACCGAATAGTACCATAAAAACTACTGAATGTTGTTTCAAAAAAAAATTTTATCTAAGCTAAGTGAATTATAATACCGTGTTCTAGGACCATAAAAAATTGGAATTTTAAAGTATATCTCGAATGAAATACTGATAAGGTAAGTTATGATTATTATGTTAAATGCGCTAAATTTTCATAAAATCAATAAGATACAGTGTCTCAAAAAAGTGATGGGACACTTGTGCTTTACAAAAGGAAACTGTAATAAAATAAATTTAAAAAACATGTAAAAATTTTTGTGGGGTGTGTTTCATACTTAAATTTAGTAACAATTATTACATAACATACATTTTCTCAAAATATTAAAATATTAATTTAATAAAAATACAATTGTTTAGAACGGAGCAAAAAATGGCTCACATAAGTGATGGGCACACTACGTACTATGCAACAAAAATCGTCTGAAGTAAGCAATAAAAATTCTTTTGGGGTTTTATTTTTACTCAAAAGCAATTGGCAATAATTTATAAAATCGTCTGCAGTATTTCTCTCCAGTTTGTTTTGGAATTTTTTGTGTTTTTTAGCTCTGTGCAGCCATGAATGCTAAACGAAAAGAAACTTTGCCTGAAATTCGAAAATTAGTTATTAATTTGCATATTGAACGTGGAAAATCTATTAGAGAAACTGCTGAAACAGTTAACTTGAGTCATTCAACAGTTTTCAATATCATTAAACGATATAAAAAGAATCATATGATTCAGGATAAAAGAAGACCTGGCCGACCATCAAAGCTATCCAATGGAATAAAGCGAATTATCGTTCGAAATATTAAAAAAAAATCCAAGAATGAGTGCTCCTAAAGTTGCTGCTGATTTACAAGCATTATATGGAGTAATTGTTAATCCTGAGACTATTAGAAGAGTAATTCGATCTGCTGGATATCACGGTAGAGCAGCCAGGAAAAAATTCTTCGTAAGTGAAAAGAATAGAAAACTCAGACTGGCTTTCGCAAAATCCAACATAAATAAGAATTCTGATTACTGGAATGAAGTTATATTTGCTGATGAGAGTAAATTTAATATATTTGGTTCTGACGGTAGAATCTTGGTGTGGAGAAAACCCAGGGAAGAATTTCGCAAACAGAACTTGGTGCCAACAGTAAAACATGGTGGAGGAGGAGTTATGGTATGGGGGTGTATGTCGTCCGCTGGAGTTGGTAATCTTGTTTTTATTGACAGTATAATGGATCAGTACAAGTATATTGACATTTTAAATCAAAATTTGAAATCTTCAGCACGAAAATTGAACCTTCATAACGATTTTAAATTCTACCAGGACAATGACCCCAAGCACACTGCTTTGAACGTTAGACTCTGGCTGCTGTATAACTGTCCTGAAATAATAATAAAAACACCACCCCACAATCTCCAGACTTAAATCCCATAGAGAATATTTGGCAAGAATTGGAATCAAGAATTCGCAAAACACACCATTTCTTCAAAACAACAATTAAAATCGGTGCTTCAAGAAGAATGGGGTAAAATCACTCCAGAAATCACAAAAAAATTAGTCGAATCCATCCCAAGAAGATTAAATCATGTTTTAAAAGTAAAAGGAAATCCAACAAAATATTAAAACCTTTTAAAAAGTAAAATTTTTGGATAAATATTTGATGGAAAAGTAAGTGTCCCATCACTTATGTGAGCCATTTTTTGCTCCGTTCTAAACAATTGTATTTTTATTAAATTAATATTTTAATATTTTGAGAAAATGTATGTTATGTAATAATTGTTACTAAATTTAAGTATGAAACACCCACAAAAAATTTTTACATGTTTTTTAAATTTATTTTACTACAGTTTCCTTTTGTAAAGCACAAGTGTCCCATCACTTTTTTGAGACACTATATATACCGGAGGGATAGACATGTACCTTGGTAGAAAACTATGCAAAATTTTTCGAGTTCGCTGAAATGCCATAATGAATCAAAATTATTAATTTGCATTAAGCAGAATTATGAAAGAAACTTGCATATCTAATACTAAAAATAATTTTTTATTTTGATTTTATATTTTCTCCGTCAAAAAAAAAAGGAAGAAAGGAAAAAAAAAAAATCTGAAAGCTTTCAGATGTTATATTACGCGCAAAAGGGCGTTTTTTAACTTTTTGTGTGTTACCTTTATTTATTAAATATGTTCTTCGCACTTAAACCATAAAATTCAATTCAACAGCAATATCGCAAAATAATTTAAAAAAAGCATCGCTTTAGATTTTCCGATACACAATCTCGGGCGCTGGAGATGAAAAAAAAAAAAGGTTTTTTTCTTCTTTTTTTTAGCTTAAAAGGGCTATTAATGTCGTTTTGGCATTTTGCGTCCATTCACTGTAAACGGCTAATCACTTTTTAAATTATTGCTACCAAATATTAGAGCCCTGTATTATATTTAAAGAAATTAAATAATGAAGAAATCTGCCTAAATGTATATATGTTTCTCGCATTGTGATAAAACAACGGTACATGGAGCCATCCTTATTTTGAACAACGTATGTCTCCACCCGAATACGGGCATCTGGAAGCCAAAATTTGGAAGTTGTTTTTTTAATCTATTTCATATTTTTTAAAGCATTTATGAGTTTTTGATTAAGATACTTAACGATTTCAAAGTGAGCAATGGAGTGAGCAGAGTTAAAAACAAAACAAAACAAAAAAACTGTGTATTAGTAATTCTAAAGATATGCTCTTTTAAATACGAGGGCCATCCAGGAAGTAGATTACGTTTCCGTCTGTGTCCGCTAGGGGCGGGGCTAGCGCGGCCATCTTGGGGTCAGAGCGTTGCGCAGCTCAGTCTGCATCTAGCCGTGCTAGTGAGAGGTTCGTGCTGTGCTCCGTTCAGATACTGTGACGGTTTGAAATGTCTGCGTTAATTGAAAATCCCGCGAGCTGCGAGGTGCGCTCAGTAATAAGGTTTCTGACTGCAAAAAACTGTAAACCGATAGAAATCTATCGGCAGCTTCGTGAAGTGTATGGGGACAACATTATCACTGAAGGTGGAGTGCGTCAGTGGGTCATAAGATTTCAAAATGGCCGAACCAATGTTCACGACGAAGATCGAAGTGGGAGACCCAGCATAGTGACCGCCGAACTTCTCGAAAAAGTCGATGCTAAAGTCCGTGAAAATCGAAATTTCACAATAACGGAACTTTCTTTGAGTTTTCCACAAATTTCGCGAAGTTTGTTGCACGAAATCATCAGCGAAAAGCTTGGTTACCACAAGTTTTGTGCAAGATGGATTCCAAAAATCTTGACAGAGGACCACAAAAATCAGCGAATGGCTGCAGCGTTGAACTTTTTGGACGCTTACCATAAGGATGGTGACTCTTTACTCGATCGCATCGTTACTGGTGACGAAACATGGGTGAAACATGTGAACTGTGAAACGAAATTGCAATCAATGCAGTGGGGGCACACAAGTTCTCCCCAAAAACCCAAGAAATGCATGCAAACAATGTCGGCAAGGAAGATGATGGCGACTGTTTTTTGGGACAGAAAAGGTGTAATTTTGGTGGACTTCCTGGAAAGAGGCACTACAATAAACTCTCAAAGGTATTGCCAAACTCTCCAAAAACTCAGAAGAGCAATTCAAAACAAGCGCAGAGGAATGTTGAGCTCTAAGATCTTGTTGATTCACGACAACGCCCGGCCCCACACGGCAAATGTCACTCGTAAAGTTCTTGAATCTTTTAAGTGGGAGTTGTTTCCTCATCCGCCGTACAGTCCCGACCTGGCACCGAGCGACTTCCACCTATTCCCAGCAATGAAGAAGTGGCTGGCTATGCAGCGTTTTGATGACGACGCACAGCTGCAAGAAGAGGTAACGAAGTGGTTGAAGGCGCAGGCGGCCGAATTTTTCGACGAAGGAATTTCCAAGCTCGTACATCGCTACGATAAATGCCTTAATTTGTATGGTGACTATGTAGAAAAGTAGTATTTGAGTGTGGCTTTCATCTGTATATAATAAAATTTGTTTCCTATACTTTGTTTGTTTTTTTATTCCAAAACGTAATCTACTTTCTGGATAGCCCTCGTATTTTGCGAGTGGCTGTTGAATTGAATTTTATGGTTTAAGTGCGAAGAACATAATATTTAATAAATAAAGGTAACACAAAATTTTGAAAAAACGCCCCTCTGGGCGTAATATAAAATCTGAAAGCTTAGTTTCTTTTGGGGGGAGGCTTACTCTATATCATATTACTGCATGCGATACTGGTTTAAAAAGATTTATGATCACATTTTAAGATTGTTTAAAAATGGCAAATAGCTTCATGGAAATTCTAAATTGTAGTACATTAGTTTCAGAAATTAGACTAAAAGTTTCAGTTTTTCAATAAACTTACGGCCAATTTAAGCTTGTCTTCGGCGGATGGATCTCTTACACCCTCTTCTTCATCTAATCTGTTTAAAAGCATCATATAAGGGCTGGGTTCTTCTTTCTTTCTTCTCAGTTTTCTCAAAGATCTATATTCTGAAGTCTCTCTGCAGGATTAACATTTAGATGTGTAAATATAACAAGGTAATACATAGAATTACACTAAGCACTTTAAATTTCCTTTTATCTCTATGTGAAGGTTCTAATTAAAATTCCATCTGATAAAAATTGGCAAATTTTCTTTAATTTCTGTACTAATAAATAAAAGAAAGATCATTCGATATATCTAATTTTACTGGGATTATTATTCGCTATAATAATTAAGCACTTTACTCAGAGTTTTGAGCTGAAGGATGAAAAACAGGTCTGGAATTAGTACTGATAATTCGGAAATTATACTGAAGTTTCTGTCAACCGTTGAGCATGATGATTCTAAGGCTGCTGCAGGCTTTTACCTATAGTTGTCGGGTGCTCCTCTAAGTCGTTTGGCAATAATTTTGTTGTAAGCGCTAATTAGCGTCTCCCCAGGGGCGAAAAAACAGGTCTTAAAGACATGTTTTATTTGTAAAACCAACCTTTGTTGTATTTTCTAATCTTGTATATCATATGAATTATAAGAAAATGGGAAAAAATGATGAACAATTTCTAATAGGGGTTGCAGCTAACAAAGTAGTGAAAGAGCTTCTAAGTGAAGGTATAAGGAATTTCTCTTTTTTATATGTCCTTGCATTCGTGGTGTAACTAGTAGCATGTCCAGCTAGCATCCGAAGATCTGTAATTCGAATTTTATCAAAGGATCGTTGGTTTTTCGGTTAGTCTATATTTTAGGGTATCTCTTGGATTACCACCAAGTTGTTGTTTCATTTATGGTAACCTGAGTATTTGAATGTTACGGAAACCCTATTATGACGTGAATGATTACGTGATTGAGGTGAATTTGACTGATGGGAAAATATTTGTAAGGGCTTATTTATGTGTTGGATATTGGTTAGGAAGTACGTTGCTTATTTTGGGCTTTACACCGTAAAATGCCTACCGGTGGTACGATTAACCTGAAGTTTCTGTACTCTTTAGAGCTGTTAGGAAAGGAAACATTGATTGACTGGTGTGTAAATGAAGCTTTAAATGGCTTCGTTCACCTCTCGGTAAGATTTAAGAATTTGGAAACCAGAGCTCATATCAACACTATGGAAGGTATGTGGGGTGTAATAAAAAGGGATTTGCGAAAAAAATGCCATCGACAGTCCGGCAGTGTTGAGAATATTTTTACTTTTAATTTATGTGGCGACATCAGTATGCAGATTCTAGTATAGATAATTTTAAACAGTTTTTGGATGCTGTTATGGAATTTTGTGTGTCTCACATACCGAAGAAACAGAAATTTTTAAATAAGGCAAGTCGATATTTCCTCTTTGTATTGCGTAGATTATATAACATATATTTCCATTCTTATACTATTTCCTTGTTTGATTTAAAATGCAGTTTATTGAGATTTATATATATATATATTTTATTACATATATATATATATATGTGTGTGTGTGTGTGTGTGTAATATAAAATTCTAACTGTATTTCTTTTCATTTTTAATGGCGACGGTCTCTTTTTGAAAGTACGTGGATTAAATCACAGTTCCCATAGTCAAGTTGTTTTCCCGCCTTTCTACACGTACAGTTTTAGAATGTTCTGGAGATATTTAAAGCGAACTGAATTGGCTGCGTCGTTTTTTGGAACTCCGCCTTTCCAGAGGCTTATACAGGACTCGCAAAAGAATATCAGAAGCTTTTCTTTAATGTAACGATGCAGTAAACTTCATACAAAAAGTTATTAGTAATTCTTTTATTTCTTCGGATATATGATTTTGTACTACTATTTCTCTGAATAATAATAATGGATCCTGTTTTTTAAACTTATCGTCTGATAATTTAAGCTACGACTACATTTATGATTCTTCACCAATCTATTTATTCCGGACAAAAGCTGGTACATCATATATATATATATATACATATTGTTTGGTTTTAATTATGTTTTATTGCATTATGTTTTGGACGTCATTTTACTGGGAAGGGCGGGGGACGTGAACAAAAATGGCGCCAATTTTCGTCGAGGGGTACCTTGAAATATATTTTTACAGATTTTTCATGTTTCTTGATAGGAAAACTGTCATAGACTCTTTAGGGGGTGTTTGAATTAAAATGTAGTGGACTATAATTCGTCACAAATTGGATTGAGTAACTAGATCTTCTCCTTCTTACTCTTCCTTTAAGAGGGAAAGAATGGAAGTAATGTTGCCCTTCCTTATAGCATGCTTTCGTGGTATAATTGAAAGCATGTCTAGCTAGCAATCTGAAGATCCGGAGAGGGCATCACTGCTGTTTCGTACTTCCTACATTGAAAAGGTTAACAGACTCGACCAAAAATTTTATTTACATCTCAGAATTTACTTTTGGGGAGCACGTGATTACGTATTTTGAATTTCTAGTTACCAGCGACGTAATTTTATATGCTTAAATTGCAGATATACTGAAGCAAATGCATCTTTTCTGATGTAAGATATGTTTTGAGTAGATTTCTGGTTTCATTTCTTTTTGTTTTCGAAGACGAGGATAAAGGCCACGTATAATATTATCCTTGTTGTTGCGAAGTTTAGTTTCTCTAGATTGGCAACAAGAAAAATGAAAACGAGTTCGCCTTGATGATGTAACCCTAACGTCTTCTTTTATTGTGAATTAGAATATGGTTAATCCATTCTGGAATTATCATTTAAGTTAGTATGAATTTATTGACTCAGCATAGCGTCCAACTGAAAAAAACTGTTGGAAATTTAAAGTGTAATGAGCTTTTTAAAATAATTTTGCTTATCTTAAGAAATCCTAATAGCAATGCACAGTGTATAAGAAATTTTATAATTGTTATAAAAACAAGAACTAAATAAAACTTTAGTGTGAATAAAAAAAAATTGTTATTAGCAAAAACAAGCATACGTGGCAATTGTTGTGAGCAAAATTATGATGCTTCTTTTTTAAAGAAAACAAATTTGCTATTGCTGTTAACGATTTTACGGAAAATTATTAAACTGTAATTTTTCTACAAAATGTTTTAAATTTTTGTTATTTTTTCATGTATGAATATTTTTATACTAATTGAACTTAAATTTTTTATTACTCTTTTATATATTAATTAGGTAGTATTTACGCAATTTATTACTTCAAAAAATCCTTTTTGTGTGATTTTACTGTTTAAAAATTATTTTTGTTGCTGAAAAAAATTGTTCTGAATTTTGAGTTTGTCAGAGACTGGCATGTCTGCGTAAACTGTTATCTCCCAGAAGAAAAATTCAGTTCAACAATTCACCAACTCCTTAGAGTTATCAACATTATCACTGAAGGCTACAACTGCAAGCCTCCGACCGGTGCTATATTCCTCGATATCGCGAAAGCTTTTCATCGGGTATGGCATCGAGGCCTTATTTACAAACTAATCACTCTCAATTTTCCAGATCATTTTATTCGCTTAATAGCCTCTTTTCTCAACAACAGAACATTCAGAATCAAAATCGGTACTGCTTACTCTACCACCAGAGTAATCAATGCTGGTGCCCACAGGGGTCGGCACTTTCACCGTACCATTTTAATATTTATACACAAGATATCCCTAAAGACCCTTCTGTTCATCTTGTACTCTTTGCCGATGACACCGCCATACTTACTACAGCCTGCACAGTTATCGTTGTAAGAAACCAACTCCAAAACTATCTCATAAAACTGGAAAAATGGCTCACCCTTTGGAGGATTAAAATTAACACTGATAAAACTAAGGCAATAATTTTCCGTAAAGGAAACATGAAATACTATCCTCCACCCCCTGAAATATTTGACGAAGAAATAGACTGGATTAATGAAACCAAATACCTTGGAGTCACCCTTGACCAAAAACTTACCTTCAGAACCCACTTCCGGTCCGTAGTACAAAAATTTGAAATCACGACAGCTACTATGCGACCTCTTCTTGGTAGAAAAAGCAACTTATGTAAAAATTAAATTAAATTAACTCTATATCGCTCCATACTTCGCCCAGCCCTCCTTTATGCAGCACCGATCTGGGGACATGCAACTAAAACCAATATTAAACAATTACAAAGTCTACAAAATAAAATTCTACGAGAAATATCAATGCTCCTTGGTATATTCGAAATCTACGAGAAAAATCAATGCTCCTTGGTATATTCCAAACATCTATATTCACAGAGACCTTTGAATCGAACTTATTCAAGAGTATATTAAACGATTAGCGGTCAACTTCTTTTATTCAGTACACACCCACAATAATAGCCTTATTAGTACTCTTAGACACTCCTTGCATCCCAGAGAAAAACATCTGTCCCCAAGTGACATCCTACCCACATAAGAATTACAACCTTAATTGACTTCACGCTAAACTGACTCTGCGGTTTATCACCCGCGGCTACATCTTATAACGACACTGAACTTGCCACCCCCCTTTTTTTCGCCGCCGCTAGTGCAGACCTCACTCTCTTTTTTCTGCCTTCCACACTTCCTTCACCCTACTCTTTCTCCTCCCACCCGATCCTTATCAGAAGTAGAGTAAAAAGATGCTTCTACATCTTGACACTCCTGAATAAAATACGATCTGTGTGTGTGTGTGTGTAAATGAGAGCCCAGCTGTGATCAACAGCAAAAGAGACATACTGTAGCATGGTAAAGCAAGATCATATGCCCTAAATATAAAGTAGCTTGATTGGAAAGACCAGGTGTTATATTTATTTACATCTGTAGTGTATTTGCTTAAAAATTTAAAAAGAAAAATCTCTAATACTCAAGTTTATTTGAATCGTGTTTTTTAGTTACAATCCACTAATTCTTTTGAGAGTGATACGATCTGGAGAGCTAAATCAAAATGATCGCATTGCAAAGCAGTTCGAATCTGTGTCGTGGGGATTCTTTTGCAACAGCGTTATGATATTTGACTGCCACATAACAGATCCGGGATCGAATCCCAAGGTCATATCATCTTCAAGGGCATGCGAAATTCGCTGTTCCACTTCTCATTGGTGCTAATAGATGGCGACACGAGCAAGCCATGGAGGTAACTTCCTACCTTCATGAAGCAAGCGTAGCACCACGTAATCGCTATAAAAGAAGCTGAAAATCTGAGATTGTGGATTTTGATGCAGACTAATTCGATAAATAATACAAAAATTAGATATATATTAGTTTAACTTTTAAATAATTCACTAGAATTCTGGAAGAATTTTAGAACAGATTAACGAAGTGTACAAATTAATTAGTTTAATTTTTTACAGAAAAATAGTGAAAAAGATGGATGTTCAAAATGATATTTTTATGGAAATATATGAAAGTTTTGCCTCATCCCCTTCCGTTTCTATCCAATTTAGGATGATTTTTGCAGGGAAATCTGAGTCAATTGTTTCAAAAATAAACAAAAATCGGTACTTACGTATTAACGCAACCAGGCCAAAATTCGCATAAATTGCGAAATTTGGCAACCTTACGTGTTATACGTAGTTTTGTAAACAGAGCATGTGGAGATTCACAAAATTTTCCTGCATTTTCGTGCAAATTTTTGTAATTTATGAGAAAATAGCAGTCTACATGGATAAAGTGAAGAGTGTGCGCTATGCCATTTTTGTGCAATTCTGAGATGTTTTTTAAGTAAAAATAAGTCGACGTGTACATGGTTATGGCGAATACGGTTTTTAATCAGTGCTAAAAGCAATAGCCAAAAGATTTCCGCCGAAAAAATAATTCTGCAACTTATTTAAATTCAAAACTGGAAGGGTTTAATTGCTATTTTATACTTTTAAACAAAATAATATAAAAAACTGTATTAAAAATTCTCTGTAATTAATAAATGTACATTTTCTTTCTATTTATACTTTTTTACTCAAACTTACAAATAGCGTCAACCTGTTTGCGATAATACGTAAGTACCCAAAAATCTTTATAAAATGAGTTCCCGCATAAAGAAAATTTAGATACTTTGTTCTAGTATTGAAGTTAATATATATATCAGAAGTAAGTTAATACGAATGTAATATGTAGCATATTAATAACGCAATGCTCTTCAGAAAATAACGAATAAATAGTTGTAAACTTAATACAAATATGAAATATCGCATAAGTGTAGACCATTCAACGTGCTTTTTTAAAACTTTATTCAAAATATACATCTTGCACTCTTGAAAAAAGTATAAAAGACTGTAGAATAGTTAGGTTTGCCGAAGTAGGAAACATGAAAAATATGCGATACTTTCGGTTGTATTCGAACTTTTGATCTCCAAATTACTAGCCAGACATACTCCCAATTATACGATAAAAGTATGCGGTAAGGGGAGAGAAACACCTTACGTTGTCACTGGGTGACTGGGGAAGCCGGAATCCAATCGCCAAATCCTGATGGTGACGAATTATCGTCTACCACCGGCGACCCTATTACGTCATTCAGAATTTTTTGAAGAGGGAAACATGAAAAATGTGGAGTGTCATTGATGAAATTCTAATTATCGTTTCACATAAATTTAATCGCATTTTTTCGTACTTTTGTTATCATCAACTGTTCTATAATATACAGCATCTTAGATGAGTATGCATATAATACTCATTTAAGCTGTTGCATAGATGCATTAAATTTCCAAGAATGAAAGGTAGAAAAACGTTTCTGATTTTTTGTCATAGCTCAAATATCAGTTATCTCGTACTGTTTTCCCCTTTTGTGTAATAAGAATGATCTGTAAGCGAAACATTAAGGATTAACTGTAATTTTATTTTAAAAATGGTTTGATGCTATTTTTACCTCGACTTCTTGGATGTCGTTTCGCATTCTTGTGGCAATAGATTCGAAGATCTTTCAAGCTTTGATTTCACCTAGAAATTAAAGAAAATGAAGTTATGTAATCGATTTTAACTGTAAGTTCAGTTAAAATTTATTAGAAGTATGATTATTATCGAAGACATTCGAAATTCAAGTGAATAACAACTCAAGAAATAATCGTGGGGAAAAAAAGGTTCTTTGCAAAAATGTCATTAAAAATAGCAACAGCAACCTCATGCAAAGGCTTGTACGTTAAAGGAGCAATTAGTAAAACCCCAGGATATTTCCAAGAGCTATTAATAAAGCAAAAATATATATAAATGTTTTTGCACTCTTGCAAAAGAGTATTTAAAGCAAAACAGTACATAAAGCAAAAATGAATAAGTATCATTCTGTAGTCATCATTCATTTTTAAAGAGTTGTGATGCAAGACGTTGGTGTATAAATGACTGAATAAATATGATGGGTAGACGCTCAAAATACAGAAGAAAGTGATCAAATCAAAGTGTAGTTCTCTTGTATGACTATCCAACGCTAGCTATCTCCAACATTTACATGTACAAAACTTGTCAAACTGCGACTTGATATAGTGCTAACGAGTATATCATCTTACTACCATATATTTGCTTATATTATTATTATTTTGCTTCTCAACATTCTACACTACAGCTGTACGCCTCTAACAAGGCAGTAGTTGAAAGGACGTAGTTTCATAGTTTCACAACCAACAATTAGGTCAAAAAACAGTCATGAGTTGGATCAACAAGCAACTAGGGGGGAAAATGCACTGAAAGATTTTTTACTTTTTTCCTGTAGTACAGTCAAAAGTCGTTAATCCGGACTCGTCGGGACTTCGGCGATTCCGGATTATCGATTTTTCCGGATTATAGATCATCAGTTTAAATCTGGTAAAATGGCATGCAGAAATTATAAAATTAAAAATATGAAACCGTAATTTATGAAATAAAGAACAATTATGATCTAAAGGGTATCAAAATTTACAAAAAAAAAGCTTAATATTTATTTGTTTACTTTTATTAAACATTCTTTCATGAAAGTTGTTTCAGTTGCTTCGTTTTTTTATGTGATAATACATTCTCTTTTAAGTCTATAAACAGACATAATTCTTGTTCAGTTACAAAGTTCCGCTGTTCAAGTTCTATAATTGCTGTGTCGAGAATACCGACTAATTTGTCAATCGAAATTTTTTCGTTTTCAATAACCTATGTCACTTTCTTCGCTATCGGAAGCGAATTATAATGACGAGGCATTGATTTAAATCATATCAAAGACGGAGTACATCGAGATGAAATACTACATTGAGTAAGCAATTATAAGCCAAATAAAATAAAAACATCTGCTGCTCTTAAGATAAGGATAGTGGCTGACAAATCACTTCCAATTGCATTGCACGCCGCCGCGGCGTTTAAAGATAAACAAAGGATATGCCTTTATCCATTTTTTTGCAGCAATTCCACTTTTTGTTTAATGGACTCCGAAAGATACTTTCGCTTTGTATATCCTTTACATATTAGTAAATATATATCGAAAGTTCAAGCTTACTTTTATAAATTGCTCTAACAGTCTGCAAAAAATAATAATCCGGATCCAATTCGAAGATTAAGGAACAACGCAATCTGCAACATTAACTGAAATAGATAATTAGATAATTTTAGCTTAGCTTATCCCGTCCGTTATACATTAAACGCGCATTCGTAAACGTATTTTGCGTACGCGCACACGCATATTCGCAGCGGTAAAGGTCTTACGCGCGTGCGTCAACGCGACGCATGCGCAGAAAGTTTTCAGCTTTGAGGTCCGAATTATAGATCATTCCGGATTATGGGTGTCCGAATTAACGACTTTTGACTGTACCTTTGAATCCGAGAAAAATCAGTATAATAGCTGAATACCTCGTAGGTGCCGTCGGACCACGATGAAAAGAGCGAAATGGTTATTTGCAACGATTAGATCCATTTAGGTACTCAAAATAATGCAAATTATGCTTGAATACATTATCAAGAACTGAGTTCCGAATTAATTAACAAAAAATCAGCCATAAAGAGCCTCAGCAGATATATTTTAGCAAGAGCTTTTATAAGGTTTTTTAGTTAGTTAATTCTAAGCACTGGCCCCCAGCCCACCTAGCAGGCGAGGCCTGCTATATGGCTATGAGGGGACAGACCATTCCAGCAACAAACGAACGTTAAGTAAAGAAACATAACAAAATAAATGTTTACATAACGGAAAAAACTTGATAAACATCTGGTAATAAGTTCAGCTCATACAACCACTCAAAACGAACATAAAAAACTTAAAAGAAAGAAAACAAAAAGGGCTACCTTCCCCCCCCCCCAAAAAAAAGTAAAGAAAAGAAACAAAATCAAACACATAAAGCAGATACATACTTTCCAAACACTATCGGTGAAATTAGTATATAGATATATCTTTTCCATTTCTGTGTTTTTTCCTAAGTTTTAAATCTTAAATTTTACTTTCAATTATTATCAATCAAATTTTCTTTATATTATCAAAATTCATCTTAAATTTATAAGTTTACTTCAATCACATCTGTTTTCATATGATTTTCTGCTTTTATATCTGCTACCATATTCCTCTTATTCGCATTCAAATTCATAATTTCCTTGAAATTTCTAACATTTATAGGTACTAGATAAATCTCCAACTTTGTAATTTCCTCTAACCTTGGGTCAGCAACAGTCCTCTACGAAGTGCTCTGAATGGCCGAATTATTACAAACTTTACATATACAGTCAAAGTCGTTAACTCGGACACCCATAATCCGGATAATCTATAATACTATATGCTACTACAATTTTTTCTTCTGCGCATGCGTCACTTGACGCATGCACGAAACCTTTACATCAGGCAATATCGTGGGCGCAAAATACGTTTACGATGCGCGTTAATTTATAACGGACGTAGCTAAGCTAAATATCTATTCGTTAATGTGCAGATTGCTTTTTTCTTTAAGCTCGAATGGATAAGGCTTATTATCTTTGCAACTGTTAGAGCAATTTTATAAAGTAGCTTGAACTTCGATTATGTCAAATAGAATTTCTGATATATTTAAGAACACTATATGTAAAGATTCCAACGAAATATGTTTTGACTCGATTAAACAAAAGTGAATTGCTGCCAAAATGATAAAGGCAATTCCTTGTTTATCTAACTTTAACGTTTGTTTCTCTAAACTTTACTAATCAAAGTCAACAACAAAAATCAGCGTATATTTACAAATTTTCACAGGACTAGTTTCGATGGTTTTTTCGGTTTGGCAGCTGAAGATGGTGGTTGGTAAAAACCATCAAACTATCCTTGAAATTTTTGTAAATATAACGCGGAGTTTTCGTTGTTTGACTTCTGATTAGTATTATTCGGCGTTTATGTGTCTTAATATCTAAACTTGTTTATCTTAACCGGCGCCGCGCGCAAGGAATGGAAGTTGATCGTCGCACAATCCTTAGCTTCAGGCAAATGTTTTTCAGTTTATGTTTGTATTCCTTACTAAATGAATTATTTTCATCTCGATGTATTCCTCTTTGATATGATTTAAATCAAATTCCTCCCATTATAATTTTGCGCTTCCGATAGTGAAAAGTCCACAGAGGTTATTGAAACGAAAAAATTTCGATGACAAATTAGTCGGTATTCTCGACACGCAATTACAGGCTTGAACAGCGGAACTTTTAACTGAACAAGAATTATTCTGTTTAAGATTAAAGAAAAGTATTATCACATCAAACGCACACTACTTGAAGAAATTTTAATAAAGAAACAAATAATCATAATTGTTCTTTATTTCATAAATTACGGTTTTCATATTTTAATTTTATAAATTTCTGCAATGCCATCGTTACCAGATTTAAACTGATGTCTATAATCCGGAAAATCGATATCCGGAATCGCCGAGTCCGCGAAGTTCCGGATTACGACTTTTGAGTTTATTTTCCCTGGAGGTGGAACCTTTTAAGTAAACAGAGAACCTTCCATGCACAGTGAGAATTTGATTGACATCTACATCTTCTAAAATTCGCATTTTTTGCATAGGTTTATGAGGTATTTTCTCCTTCTTTTCAAGCATGCCTTCGTGGTGTAACGGTCAGCACACTCGGCGCATATTCAAGAGGTCCAGGTTGCTCATTTTCCCCGTCTCCCGCATCGAAAAAAAAAACTAATGTCTCGACATGTTGACAGATAAAAATTTTGGTGTAAAGCAACCGTTGTAGAATGCCAGACAAATTCAGATGTGGTCATTTTTCAGGTTAGACGGGAGCCTTTTTATTTTTCCCAGCAATCCCTCTAACCGTGATTTACAACATACACTGGTCATCAAAATTAAAGGATACTGACAGAAATATAACGTAACTGATACTTAATGAAAAATTATTAACAGAAATTTGTACAAAAGCTTTAGTTAACATAAATTACAATGTTTGACGGTTGATTATTAGGAAAACATTTAAATTAAAACCAAATTTATGGAAATTGGGAAATGATACAAAAATTGAGTCACATTTCGTGGAAATTTCCTTTTAATATGGTGCTCGGTCACCTTGAACTACGGCACTTTATAGGGTTCTGCTTATTTTTACCAATAATTATTTTATTTTATGAACCTATAGGTATTTTCTTCCTCATCTTAATCTTTTTTCTTTCCCTTCCTCCTCTACATCGTCTTTTTCGGAACTTTTGTCTAAACATCCTCCGAAAAGAAGCCCTATCGTGATTTCGGAACTTTTTGTAAATAGACATCTCCAAAATATCACTAGCGTGATTTTCAGGACTTTTGTAAAATAGACATCCCCCTAAATAAGCTCTAGTTAAAATAATGTGACAAATATTCGTTAAAAATGCTGTTATTTATTAAGTATAGTAATAATATGTTTAGCTTTTCTAATACTCGATTTCAGAGAAATGTTTGAAACAAAATATTCGAGAAATTAATTGTTCTACCTCTACAGTCGTTTCATTAATCTTGGAATTACTTAACCATTTCACCGTTTGCCCCTCCCCGAGAGAGATACGTTTCACAGAAAGGCAATATCGCCCATCCGTTAGCGTCAGCATACTTCTCTCGTCAGGGTGAAATTTTGGGCTGAACCGTACCCCCAATACAATACGCCGCAGCGACCTGTTTCCAACCCCCCACAGAATGAGTCGAAAATCAAGGGGTGATTGATGGGTAAAAAATTCATGGGACAAATTAACTGATAGGATGTTTCTCTGCACTACACAGGCTGCTTAACAAAGATGTTCATTTAACGATAGCTTATCGCAAGACGTGAATCGACTCAAGGAATTCACATGAAATGGATTTGGGAAGAATTCAGATATAATTCAGAATTTTATTTATGACGATGTTCCAGAATAAGATGACATATGTAATTGAATAAATTTCAATTTCTGTATTCTGTGTAAAATATATTTAAATAAAAAATGTATAAATATGCTTTTATTTTTTACCCTCCCCCGAAAATAAGCCTTAGCGCGTATTTTGGACCAAAAAAGAAAGTAAGACAGTGTCTTATTTTCGGAAAAAGACGGTAGCATGCCTTCGTAGTGTATTGGTCAGCATGCTCGACGCGTATTGGAGAGGTCCGTGGTTCGAGTCCCGGTGAGGGCATTGCTCGTTTTTCACATCTCCTGCTTCCAAAAAATCCTAATGTCTCTCCAAGCCTTTCCTGAATTCTCTTATTTCCTCTCCAGGATCTTTCGCGTTTCCTCTCTAGGATGTAAATTGAGTAGAATGAACAAGAGTATTTATACTATTGGAGTGAAAAGGTTAGACAGTGCTTGATTTCTTTATTGCGAGCGCATGTTTGTTTGTTTCTACCAGCTGTGAATCTTTAATAGCGGCTACGCATTCTTGCCATCAAGCTAGTATCCTGCCGGTGTAGGTTTTTTGAGTCAACCTGTTAGTTCAAATTGAATTGTGTAGTCTCACGCTACTCTTTACCTTTAAATTTAGCGTTGCACTATCTTTTAAGTTCTCACCGCAAGTGTAAATGTTTTGTATAAACACGTAAGGCCGTCTGGTAAATAGTTTGGGGTCAATAAAAGAGTCTTTTACACCCTTTTTCAGGTTGTGTTCATCTCAACGCCTGTGAGAGAATTCGCCAGGTACGACACTTAATTAGATCTAGTTATACTGTATGATAGCAAAGAAAATTAGATCCTACAACTTCACATCTTGATTTCATAGACTTTAGCAAAGTGTTGATCATATCTTGTATAACTACACGCCACTCTTCTAAAAGTGCATTTTTCAGCTTCCAGAGGGTCCGGGAAGGAATTTAGAGCACTGGAAATTCGCCACCCTAAGGCATCCCACACATACTGAATTGGATTTAAGTCCGGTGAAACTTTCAAGTTCAAAAGTGACTAATTCATTCTAGTGATATCGTCTGTTTGCACGTATTCTCACACCACTTATGCTCCATGAGGACGAGCATTGTCATCCATTAGCAAAATCTCTAGAAGCTAACTGCAGCCCCAAACAGTCAAATTTGGAATTCCAAATACCTCGTCTACGTATCTCTGAGTGGTTACAGAACCTCCTTGAAGGGCATGCAGCTTGGTGCGGCTAATTGTCGTGATTCCTTCCAAAACTATTACACCGAGGAAATGGGATTTTTTACGTCCAAGGGAAGGCAAGTTGTGTGTTCCTTCATCTGTCTAGAACATAAATACGTTTAGAATCACTGTTCAGACTATATCTGGATTCGTCAGTAAACAATACTTGGGCCCAGTCGTCTTGGCTCCATTGAATATGACTAGAGCACCAGTTTAAACGGGCCCCTCTAGAAGCTGGAGTAAGTGGGACATAAAAAACATTGGTTTTATCGCATACAGTCCAACCTCCTAAGCTTTCGTGCTGCAGTAGAACAGCTAATTCGAGTTCCTGTGGCAGCCTGAAAGTCTAAAAGCAAATCTCTTGTAATCGCTTCGCGTATTCTTAAAGCCCACAACGACAGAAAGCGGTCGCTGTCGCCTGTTGCGACGATGCAGTTGTTGCTCGGTGACGCAGGTTTTGCTGGCGAAGCAGTTGTTCTTGGTCGTCCTTGATCAGGCTCCTGTCAACTGATCCAGTGCTTAATAAAATAAATAACAACTAATTCCCTTACTACAATCCACCATCAAGTAATTCCTATAATATTTTGTATGTTTTGCTTTAATTGTAAAAGTTAGTATTCTTTTTTTAATTTTCATTCCAACTGCTTCGGAAATTATTTTAAATTTGTATGGTCTGAAAATCGCCTTGCTTCTTACCCAGTAAACTTGTACTCTGAGATTACACATCACTCATTCATCTTCTCTTCATCGTCTATAATTAAATCTTCACTACATTGTCCTCCTTCACTCCTGACTCCTCCTTCACTACATGTCCAAATAGACAGGAGATTCTACAGGTAATGCCAGCACCTGACCAGAAAACCCTCATTTGCCCTGAATTGCTAATCTTTTTCTTTAGTTCCACAGCTACTGACTTTGAGTCTATTGCAAACTACGAAATTTTATTGCTGTTGCTTAAGTGGAAATCATTGCTTCTTCCCAACCATACTACGATAAGTGCTCACACACACACAGATCGTATTTTATTCTCGAGTATCAAGATGTAGAAACATCTTTTTACTCGACGTCTCATAAGAATCAGGTAGGAGGAGAAAGAGTAGGAAGCGGAAAAAGAGAGTCAGTTCCGCGCTAGCGACGGCGAAAAAGGGGGGGGGTAAGTTCAGTGTCGTTATAAGATTTAGCCGCAGGTGGTAAACTGCAGAGTCAGTTTAGCGTGAATGAGTCAATTAAGGTTGTAAATCTTATGCGGGTAGGATGTCACTTGGGGACAGATGTTTTTCACTGGGATGCGGGGAGTGTTTGAGAGTCCTAATAAGACTATTACTGTGGGTTTGTACTGAATAAAAGAAGTTGACCGATAATCGTTTAATATACTCTTGAATAAGTTCGATTTGAAGGTCTCTGTCAATGTAGGTGTTTGGAATATATCAAGGAGCATTGATAATTTCTCGTAGAATTTTATTTTGTAGACTTTGTAATTGTTTAATATTGGTTTTAGTTGTATGTCCCCAGATCGGTGCTGCATAAAGGAGGGCTGGGCGAAGTATGGAGCGATATAGAGTTAATTTGTTTGTAGTAGATAAGTTGCTTTTTCTACCAAGAGGTCGCATAGTAGCTGTGGTGATTTTAAATTTTTGTACTACGGACCGGAAGTGGGTTCTGAAGGTAAGTTTTTGGTCAAGGGTGACTCCAAGGTATTTGGTTTCATTAATCCAGTCTATTTCTTCGTCAAATATTTCAGGGGGTGGAGGATAGTATTTCATGTTTCCCTTACGGAAAATTATTGCCTTGGTTTTATCGGTGTTAATTTTAATCCTCCAAACGGCGAGCCATTTTTCCAGTTTTATGAGATAGTTTTGGAGTTGGTTTCTTACGACGATAATTATGCAGGCTGTAGTAAGTATGGCGGTGTCATCGGCAAAGAGTACAAGATGAACAGAAGGGTCTTTAGGGATGTCTTGTGTATAAATATTAAAAAGTACGGCGAAAGTGACGACCCCTGTGGGGCACCAGCATTTGATTACTCGGGTGGTTGAGTAAGCAGTACCGATTTTGATTCTGAATGTTCTGTTGCTGAGAAAAGAGGCTATTAAGCGAATAAAATGATCTGGAAAATTGAGAGTGACTAATTTGTAAATAAGGCATCGATGCCATACCCTGTCAAAAGCTTTCCGATAAGTGTTCAGAAACTGCATCATCTTTACACTAGGATAGGGATTTTCGCAAGCGCCCAAACATAAAGCATTTTTGGTCACAACGGAATTCCCTACTTTTAAAATGTATACCAAGGCTGACGTAAATAGGGAAAACCGACCATTTTACAGCGAAATGTCATTTTCCACTTCATTGAAGTCCTATATTTTGGTAGCCATGTTAAGATTTAAAAAAGCATCGTATTTGACAGAAAAATTTAACATTCTTAATGTTTGATAATGTTTTAACTTATTTATGTGTGAAACTATCTAGCATTTTAATATGGTAACAGCGCATTTTAAAACTGCAAATGGCTGATAATAAAAGATGTGAAGGTAAATTTAAAATTCCCTGGAGATGTGGGGCGAGTGTTTTAAGATGAGCAAGATTCGCCTTCCCCATTAACTGTGGCTTGGACGGTAAATCGCGAAGTTTTTTTAATGTGGACGCTTTTATGATACATAGAACTTAATAACTGCTGATATAAATGCTATTTAGGCAATAGTATGAACGCAGCCTTGGTGACCATTCGGAAAGCTTTACTATTTCATTAAACTCATATTGATTGAACAATTGAGTTTAAAATGTATAAGGTATTTCTCCCTTCCTCCTAACGTCTTTCGTGGTGTAGTGGTTGTGCACGCTGGGCCGGTATTTCAGAGGTCAGTGGTTCGATTCCCGGCGAAGGCGATTGCTAATTTTTCATCTCTCCGGCTTTTCCAATTAACTTAATGTCTCTACAAATGGACAAACGAAAGCATCGAATTCTGCGGATTGAGCAAATGAAATTTGATTAGATGAAAAGAAAAATATAGTAATTCACGAAAACTTTTATGTCTTACCTTTCTTATATGAAAAATAAGAATATTCTTAAAAACAATCATTATCCTACCGAAATTTCCTAATAAATAATTGCATAGAATTTTAAATTTACATATATGTACATTTTCTAGGTTCTCCAAGAGGGTTTTCTTTGTTTCTTCCAGCAATTCGTCAATTTCTGTTATTCTTTTTTGTTTTTCTTGGGTTGACGGCATACTGCGGCTCCATGGATCAAAATTCCTTTTCCGAATTATTTTTGGATCAGCTTGAAATTTCCATCCTGAAGTTTCTATATGCTTTCTCTTTTTACGTCGGATATTATGTTCGGCACAGCATGTTGGAGTAAAGTTGGAATAACTGAAAATAAACATTAACGAATGTAACAGCTTTAATTAAATAAATTTATTAATGAGTCCAATATAAACCTTAAAAAATTAAAATCGTAAATTTGTTATCTGAATATTTTGTGCAAAAGGACTCTATACTCGAACATTTTTTTTTAACTTCGAAAATTTTGTTATATAGTTGTATTAGTTATATTAATAAATATATAGTTGTATTAGTAAATATAGTTAAATTGACAACATTATGCAATACAGATTAAAGAGAAATGCGTTTTTTAAATTTTAAATAATTATTTGGAAGTAGTAATTTCAATGAAATAATTTATAAATGTATTTCAAAATAAATGAAGTATCATCCGAAAAAGATATTCCTCCAACAAAGAAAGCTTATTGTATAAATAAATTTTGATGAAAAATTAAATATGCGTCATAAATTCTAAGCAGTTCGAGCAACCAGTATTCAACGCTTTAACCACTTCGCCATTAGTTGGCACCATAACTGGGGGGAGATGAGTCTCACCTTTAAGGTTAGATTAGGTTATTTAATTACGGCAAAGCCTCGAGGGCTATCTGCCTAAGGGGAGGGATGCTTTCGTGGAGGACTTTCTAAGGGGAACTGGCTCGTGTGCACGTTACACATGGGGAAAACCACGAAAACACCCATGCAGCCAGCCCGTTCCCGGGATTCGAACCTAGGACCGAACTACCAGTGTTCAGCGACTTTACCGCTCGGCCGCTGGTGGGGCTCACCTTTAAGGAAACAGAAGGATGTGTGTTCGGAAGAACAACTGTTTGGAACAAATTTTCTGCTTTGTCACAACACGTCACCACAGATCGCTTTGGGATTAAATTCTAACCTCCTTGGTTCATACAGGGAAAACTGGTTCTCCACTAAAAACAAGTTGATAGCATTCGAAACTAGTAATATCTGATTGGTTGAAAACGAACAACCTGCAATTTTTTTCGAAAGAAAGGAAAATATTGCGCGTCTTTCTTTCAATAGTAAATCAGGCAGAAAAATTGCCCGAAACAGTTGTTTATGTGAAACAAATGCGTGGGTGATATGAGCCTAAAGGCCCGTTTCCACTGCTGCGTATGCGTTGCGGTGTTTATGCGTTTCTCCAATCAGTCAGCGACTTCACTTTGATTGACATCTGCAATCCGGTCGATGTGCGGCGACAGATGACATACGGATGGAGTTCAACAATGTTCAACTTCTATCCGTATGTCTGCGGATCATGGACCTTATAAGAAATAGACTAACCCAAACGGGTTTTCTCCCTCGTCTGAGGCGTTGCCGGCTGTCACCTTGATCACATCCGGAGGAGTAGGGACGACTTGCAGACATTTAACATTGGTTGCCTATTGCAGCGTGTATAATTGTCAAGAAAAAGCTGGTTGTAGCGCCGCATATCACAAATTAGAATTTCTACATATTTTTATTTTTGAAATTGAGATTGATTTTTAAAAATTTTGCATATTTATCAAGCCTAATTAACTTTCCAAATAATTATAAAGCTATTGCATGCTTTCAGGACTGGATATTTTTTTAGCTTTTCATATGCTGTAAGGAAATTTGTAACTACTTCTTTGAGAAAATAATATTTTAAATCTGATCTAATAGAAAATTTCAAACAAGCAATTTTTATGCTTTTTATTGGTGTAAATAAGTAAAAAATACTAAAATATTTAAAAACGAATTTTTGAAAGTTTTGTTTAAAATTCTAAATTGTGCTGCTTTTTTTTAAATTATAGATGAGTATTATAGCACAATTTCTATAAAGAAATTTTATTTCAATTATATTTCATAAGTTATCATAGTGATAAACACTTTGACACTTAAAAATTTTTATGCATTTAATAGTAATATTAAAATTGTATTTAACCGTAATAATTAATTTTGCTTGTATTTTATACTGATTATTTTTTAAAATTTATTTATAGTTCTGCATAAGATTTTTTTCATTTAGTGTTAATTTAATTTATTAGCCCAAAGGGGTGGTAGTCTAGAAAGGCTGTTAGTTTCGAAGCGTCATTTTTCGCTGTTTTACTATAAATGTCCGCGTCTCCTTCCAGATTGTTGTTACCAAATATTATCGCCCTATGTTATATGTAAAGAAATTAAATAATGAAGAATCTGCATGAATACATGTATGTTTCTCGCAATGTGACAAAAAACGACAGTATCTAGAGCCATCAAATTTTGAATAATGTAATCCTCCACCCGAACATGGGCATCTTGGACGGCCGAATTTCGAATTTGTTTTAATCTATTTCACATTTTGTAAAACTTTAAGGAATTGTTGATTAACAAACTCAACGAGTTCAGAGGGAGCACTGTACGGAAAATAACAGTTTTATCTCCAGTGCGGAAATTCTAAAGATATGCTGTTTACAAATGTATGTGGTTTACGGGCGAAGAACATGATATTCAATAAATATAGGTAACACACAAAACTTTTAAAAAAGGTTCCTTATGGGCGTAATATAAAATCTGAGTGCTTCTAGATTTTATTTTATCTTTTTTCCCCTTCATTACGCTCAGAAAATTTTATCCTCCGAATTTTATGAGTTATTTAAATAACTAATCCACTTTAATGTTAATAATTAAATGATCATATAATCAAATAAATATGATCGTTTTTGTAATGTTATTATAGTTTGGAAAATCACTGCCTGAAAATGTTCATTAAATTAAAAAAAAAATTATCAGATCTTGTTTAATTTTACCTTATTTATTTCAAAGCATCGCGAACTATCAATCTTATTTAATTTTACTTTATTTTTAAGCAAAGTTCATAAATTTTGTGCTTAGAGTTTTTACCGTTTTACCAAAGTAAAGATGTTTGTACAAGAATTACGCGTGAAAAAAATGCGCGAAGTGCAAAAAAGTGCTTTAATTAAATATTAAATCTTTTACTGTGGTTTTTAATCATCACTACAAAGTTCACATTTAATAATTAAGAAGAGTTATGTGATACAAAAGCCATAGGTTTCAGTGTTAAAGTAAACCATGTAAGGATCTTAAGTTTTACTAACGTTTATTTTATTTTAAATCTTTACTATCACTTCTTATTTTCTACTTCCGGCCAGAATTATAAGCGTGAAGGTTTTTATGCAAAGTTTGTCTGGCGAACGCCAAGTACTTAAGTTGTGGCTTTTTGCCAAGCGAGAGAGAGGAAGCAGCGAGTTCGAAGCAGGCCGCTTACCTTAGAAGTTACGCAGTTGCTATTTGCCTTCCAGGCCAGAGGTTTTAATCCTCTTGATAAATTAAACGTATTGTAGTGTTCACAGTCTCTGTGCTACATACGCTTCCTGTTATTATAAGGCCAATCTTCCACGTGTATTATTCTAAAGTTAAATTAGAGTTTAGTTTTATTTTTATATTTTTTACGTTAGACCCCGAGTGGAGGGTCAGTGTATTCCGAAGTACGGAAGTTATTGTATATAGAGAAAAATAAAGGGTTTTGTATACCCTTCGTCTGTATCCTGTCTACTTACCACAATTAGTGAACATAGCTTTAGTAAGCTCTCTGTTCCGAGTCAGGTCCTTGTATGTTCCCGAAGAAGGTTAGAAGGAACATTGAACCTGATAGTGGCGCCCAACGAAGAAGAATAACCATGGCCGAGTTTCAAGAAGAACCTGTGCTGCCTGCAGAAACGGCTCAGAATCCAGAAATGCCAGCTGCCGCCCTGGAAGGATTTGGGTTACATCGTCCAGACCATGCGCGCTTCGATGAAACCAGAAGCAACGTTTAATGGAAACTCACCGGTAACCAGTTTTTTGGAAAAATTGGATGACCACTTCATGCTCTACCCCGTGCACGAGTTTCAAAAAGTTACCTTAGCTACCAGCGCTTTGAGGGGCCAAGCGCTTAACTGGTTCAAATGTATCGGCAGAAGTCTCTTGGGTCAAGCAGGAAGTCCCACCTATACTTACGAAAATTTCAAGACTGCCCTACTAAAAGCCTTCCCTGTTGTAAGGGATCGTGCGAAATTAGAAACGGAACTTTTCAGTATATATCAACAAAGAATCGAAAACCTCTCGAGCTTTATTTTAAGAAAAATTCACGTTTTCAAGCTCTTGTATGGAAACCGTCCGGATCCTGAAATAATTCAAGTGATTTTGCCGAGGTTACTGCCCCAAGTGCAAGACTTTATTGAATTAAGAAATCCGACTACACTGGAAAAGTTATTTGAGCTAGCAATCCAGTTTGAAAGTAGAAGAACGGCGGACGTCGAAAGAAGACGCCAATATCAACAGCGAAACCAATTTGGTACGCCAAGACTACAGCAAACTCAAGCACACGGCTACGGAGGAGAAAAAGCGAATCAGTGGGCAAGGAAACCCGAGCATTCAAAAACAGCCGGCGAACGTCGACAGTTCAATAGCAACCCAGGAAAAAAGTCTCAAGGCCAGGGGAAAGAAGGAAAAAGAAGGAAAGCACACGGAAAGGAAAAATAATTTAAACTAAAACGGATTTCTGCTGACGAGAGGGTGCGGAAATCCGAAGGCCACGAAAACCCCTCTTCCTACAAGTTAAATACAGTAATGGTGAAAAATTTGACTCTTCCGAAGATTGAAGTCTTGGTGAATAATATCCCGGCCACCGCACTAGAAAGTATTTTCGCAAATACCGCATATATAATGCGGATAATACGACAGTATTAGCGGCGCAAGGAGAACAATGTAAGTGCGTAGGTAAAGTACCTTTGTATATCCGTATCAAGGACGAACAAGTAAAGGTGATGTTTTTTATAGTAAAGAATTTGCAAGCACATTTAATCTTAGGAATAGACTTTCTTTCAGACGCACAAGCTACACTGGATTTTAATGAAGCGTCCCTTAAGCTGACAATGAAACCAGTGCGTGTAGAAAGTAGAAAAGGTTGAACCGCCAAGGTTAAATCTTGACCACCTGCCTAATGACGAGCAAGATAGAATCCGACAAGTGGTAAGTGAATTTGCTTCGTTATTTAGTGATATTCCAGGATTTACTCAGGTTACTAACCA